TTAATCCTTTTCCTTTTATGCTTGATTCTTCCCCTCTGATCATACACCATTATACGAATAGGCTACACATCCCATCTCGCCTGTCCTCCGTCGAACGTCGAGTTACGAGAGCGAACCACGTGTCCTATTACCAAATGATTTCAAGGCCGATCTGTCACGGATGGTGGCCTAGTCTCGAATGGATGAGGCGGAAGCGGGACATCAGACAGGGGGGCTATGGACCTTGGACGAGCCTCGACAACGTAGGATACGCCATCCTCCGATGCATAGGACGGTGGGCGAGCCGTCCCAGGGCGAGAGTACCGCTCTTCGTTGGCTTCCGTAGGAGGCTGGTCATTACGTTGCCAATATAAGCGATCCGGATCCACGCGCTGTACCACTTGTTAGTAAGGTTGTTATTACCTCTCAAGATATATAAACTGATACATACCACGCTCTCGCGCCATAGCCCATAAGCCGGAGGCTCCAGTTTATTAGCGACATTATCCATCCCTGCAGCTTCTTCGTCTTGCGCGAGAATAACATGAATTGGCCGTCGCGGGACGGCGTATCCACCAGGTTCCATCAGCCGTGGTAAATGCGCCTGCTCTTCGTCTTCATTGGGCGGCTTGATGATCAGCATGCATATTCTTATTAGGCCGTGGCAGAAGAAGATGGTTGAGAATAAAATGATGACGATCAGAAGCACTGTAAATTCGTTGCTGTACACTCTTTTCGAGATCGAAAGAACGAGGTCTGCATTCGTCATGTCAATATATAGCCTCGTAATAGACAATTTGAATTACTCACAGATAGACAGCATAAGCATTAAAAAGAGGCCAGAGACGAAACACCGCAGGATCTGAGAGCGTATTCGCCGCGATTTAACCCAAGGGAAACAAAATAAAAATTTCTCAGGTCGCGCATGTTGTCTTTGCCTTCGGCTGCGATTACGTCTCGTTCTGTCTACTTGATCGACCAAACGAGTCTCACCAGGATCCGCGCCTCGAGGTTGTGATCGCCCGGTATCGACATCTCTGTGGCTACTACGCGTATACGAAGGTCTCGGTTCGGATACGATAGGAAGTCTTTCGGTCTGTGTAGGAGGCGGATGTGATTGCGATGTAGGCGCAGACGGTGTCTCAGTCCGGCCAGAAGTTGGACGCGAGTATTCTTCGGTCCGTGTTAAGTTTGGTACACGTAGGTGGGTGGAAGACGTATTTGGAAATCCCGGATCGGGACGCGGCGTCTTTGGGCTATCATCTTCAGCCCTGCCATCGCCGGCACTCTGACTTTGTCCACCTGTACGCAACCGATTCGTGAACAGTGTAGGCAAGGATGGGCGACCGACTGGGAAGCGTCTTGCATGGGAACCTGATTGCTCCCCCATCTCTGGCTGCCCCTGCTGCTCTAGATCCTGCGTTTGCGCATCTGAGGATTGACCTCTCCGCAGGACATTTGAACGAAGGTAATCCATGACTACAATGAGCAGATGTGTAGCTTCTTAAGCGTTAAACCTGGTGTCACCGACGTCCAACACTGTACATGCTTTTGTGCGCCGGTCTCGACCACTATGCGAAATCTAAGGAGTGATGGGGATGAGCGCGGTCGATGAAGGACAAAGTACTACAATAAAACACGGATAGCTAAGTGAGATCGACCTGGCGTGTATCCTAACAGATTGTGTCGGATGGTTTCGTGTAAACCGACTGGCGACGAATACCGAGTCTCTTCGGTAATGCAGTGTTGGTTTCGGATGCAAAGGACCATCGACGAATCGAATCTTCTTGGTATTAGAGAACGCTCCAATACCTGCAGGATCTATATGCAGTATGGCAGTATGTCTCGAATCGTAAATTATAAGCTCGGGATGGACCAGCCAAGCCGAAGAGAGAAGGAAGCAAAGGGATGTGGTGGAAGGGCGAATTATCAAATGAATTAATGACAGTTTGACGCAGGAGAATAGAATCGAAACTCCCAGAGTCCGTTATTCTCAAATGGTATACCTAGAACGAGGGACGAGAAACAGTACAAAAAGAAAACAAGAGGATTACGATGATTCCATCGACTGCAATAGCCGTCGATTGGCTCACGGAAGGTAGACAACCACAAACGGAACGAGAGGAACAGAGAGTGAGAGAGAGAACTGCGAGGCACACCAAGGATAGGCGAAGGCGGAGGCGAAGGCGAAAGCAAAGGCGAAGGAAGATGCGGACGTCACAGCGCTTGAGAGACAGCTACTATGTACCTAGAACGAGCGAGCGTCTCCAAAGCGTTGGCGGTCTCATCTACATACAACTAGTAATCGGAAGGATGCGACCCTGTTGTGAATTCGACCCGGCTGTTAATTGACCGTTGGTATGGCTGGCGAGGCATGAAGGAATATACCAGGCATGCAAAACAGCTAGTGCTCAAGTAAAGACCTAAATGAAGACCTAAGGTGGCAGGGTGGTAGATTTGGTCAGCTTGGTTCGATTTGGCAGTTAGGAATAAGATGAATCAGCCAATCAAATTGCCCCTTTATCGCCGCGTCAGGGAACCTACCACTTAGGGGTCCGTTCTCTAACTACAACTATAGACGCCAAGGCTGCTTGAGATGAAACCCAGACGCAGGGGCACCACCGTGACCATTGTTTCGGAACTGGTACGTACCACCCAATGAAGCAATAGCGATATGCGTGTGGGTCTTATACGAGTAGTGTATTACGGTATTACAGTATTACATAATTGCATATCCATACATGATGTAAGTACATAAGTGTGTACATGTAGTTACCCCATTCCGTAAGTGAGGACATATAAATCTACCTATATATTTACAGAACAATCGTATAATTGTAAATAACCTAGACACTAGATTCAAATAACCACTTATGTTATTTATAAACTTCACGCGCAAGATTCTCCAGTTATGTAGCTATAGCTTCGAGATCTCACCCTGAAACCAACAGTACCGGCGTGAGCATCTATATTAATATACCCTATAGGCTTGCTATCTGCTCTGCAATGTAGACAGGCAGAGCACCAAGTGTTTGCGAGGCTATCTTTATCTAGTTGATAATCGACCCAGACGGTGGGAAATATGAGTTCAGATCCATTCCAGATAGCCATCATATTTCTCAAACGTCTATTTGATGCGCAGACTTGATCCATTATCTCTGAGGGGATCATTCGAAGAATGGCTGATAAACCATCGCCAGTATTATTAAACGAACTACAGCCCTGTATCAGGGGAGCCTAGACAACCGAGTCTAGGGTCTTGGCGAATAGGATATCTAGGGTGAGGTATAGGGCTTATAGAATCATTCGGTGTCAGCCATATAGTTTACACCCGAGGCGATGAACTGAACATCGTCCTCTTATTCTTGCTAAACTAGAGCTTTCATCTAAGCTCCCCAAGCAACATTCTACGATCAGAAGACCCAGATAAGACTAATTAAAAGTTAACAACAGGATTCGCAGAAATTTGCATCAGAAGCTCACTTACTAACAGGTTCCTCGCCAGGAGTGAATTCGGCGCAATTGACAGCTCCCTTATGGCCTGGTAATTTGTAAAGGAGCTTGCCGTTGTCGTTGGACCATATTAATACTGTCCCGTCACCAGCACCTACGGCGATTTTCTTGCCAGCCTTATCCCAGCCAGCTCGAGTCAGATTCTTCTCGACTCCTACCTGTGCCCCATCGAATGTACGAATATGTCGTTCCGTGGGTGCGAATGGTCTTATGTCCCAGGTCTTGGCTGTCGAATCGTGGGAATAAGATAGTAGCGACTGAGAGTCCGGCGAGACACGTAAGCTAGTTACCGTATCGTTATGACCCAACATAGAGTAGACAACGGCCTTCTTGCGTATGTCCCAGACCTTGATATCATTGTCGATACCACCCGAGAAAATTTCATTGCCTGCCTCTGCGACTGCTACTGCTGTAATTGGGAAGTCGGTCTCGATAAAGTCGGCAGCGTTCTTCGATCGGGGATCCCAGATGCCTATAGTACCATCGTCACTGCCACTAATTAAGAGTTCCTCGCCACGTTTGCTCGTGTCCATGGTGTTTATGATTTCCTCGTGCCCGATATATCGTCGTATCCTCGTTCCCGAAGTCAAATCCCAGCTGGCAAGATGCATATCGGCCGAGGCTGAGTATAGAATTTCGGAGTCTCGAGACCACTGCAAGTCCAAGACCGCGCCTCGATGGCCTGTTAGCACGCCGTAGTTCTCACATGCTCCCGAAGAATTCCAAAGCACTACATCAATCAGTCAAATTCATGAGCGAAGTGCCGAGACGAAGCTTACATATACTCCGGTCCATCGACCCCGAAGCAATCAAAGCGCCCGTGGGATTGAATTTCGCTGAGAAGATCTCTCCAGAGTGTCCCGTCAACTCCATCAGCGGTGCTTCTAGGTTACTTGTTCGGGGAGCCTAATCTAGGTGTCAGTGCTGCGCCTACAATTCTCGTTTTGATTCGCATAGTAGATACACATACGGATTGAACCAGAGCACTGCTCCCAGAGGCTCCATCTCGGCGTGAGAGCGCAGTACTTATCCCTGGTTTTTGCCTTTTAACAACCAATTGGCCCGAGCCTGGTTCCTCGGGCGCGGGTCGTTTTTCGGCGGACATTGCTGCTAGTTTGGATATCAATCTAAATCAATATAATGTCCTTTTGTTTGCAATATGCGGCGCGGAAATCGGGGGTTATTAGAAGTCTTGTAAAGTGATTGCGCGCGACTTTGCGCGTCTCTATTCGGTAGCAAAACTTAAGCTTCGTTTATCCAGAACTAGGAGCTTCAAGTACCTAAGTAGATGTAGCTTCAGCTGGTACCTAGGTAGGTAGCCGATAATGCAGGTGGGTCGTGTTTTAGCGGAAAAGCAATTTTCCATTTTTCTCTGATAGGCCTCCTTTAAGTGAGCTTAAAGAGTGGACCTCAGGCTTTCATAGGTATGTACATACATGTATGTACCTAGGTACATAGAGTCCTGATCGGAACTATGATATCGGTTTGCCGACGTAACCCCTCGATCCCACCAATCAATATATCTATCAGTGAAACAGCAGCAACTAACTATCTTCACCGTCTCGTCATTACTAAACTTAGCACCTAAGACGATAACACCTACACATCCACACAAGCTTACATTGTTAAAACTCTCTTCGAAAGATCAGAAAACATAGACAGGAAAGGGTCAATGATCTGAATGAGCCCAACTTGAGCTCGTCAATCGAGCATGTCAGCAAACAAAGCTGCCCGTGTGGGCGAAGAGTAAGTAAGCTGCATCTATTTAGCCTTGCATTATTTTTGCTAACGGACAGTAGGATTTGGAAGTAAGTCAAAGAACCACTAACGATAAATACTTGTTCTAACAATATGCTACAATAAGGGGTCGCATCGATAAAGTCAATGCCGAGCTTGTCACCTTGACTTACGGCACCATAGTCGCGCAGCTGTGCAAAGACTTCGAGGGTGATTATGTCGAAGTCAATAAACAACTGGATAGAATGGGTTACAATATTGGCCTCCGATTGATCGAGGACTACCTGGCTAAATCTAATACTATGAGACGGTGCTCTAATTTTCGAGAGACAGCCGACATGGTCGCGAAGGCAAGTCTTCAGCTAAAGCAATTCCCCTAGCATATGTATATGTCCTAGACTAACATCTACGGTTGGTTTGCATAGGTCGGCTTCAAGATCTTCCTTAACATTACGCCGACTGTAACGAATTGGACAAGCGATAGCAAACAATTCTCGCTTGTATTCGAAGAGAACCCTTTAGCCGACTTCGTCGAGCTTCCCGATGACGGCCGAGCGCAGGACGAATTGTGGTATTCGAATATATTCTGTGGTGTATTAAGAGGAGCGCTCGAGATGGTGCAGATGCAGGTTGAAGCGCACTTTATCAGCGATGTGCTACGAGGGAACGATACTACCGAGATGAGGATATCTCTAATCAGGTATATCGACGACGAGTTACCACCAGAGGATGACTAGTACGCCCACTTGAGGACATGTATAATTAATAGGTGGAATATGCAAGGCCTGGCAGATCTTCCAGCAGCCTAACGGGCGCGGCTTTGATACGTGTTAATAATGATACCAGCTAGAAGATATCTAGCGATCCATTATAGGACGACATCGGTCCCGGATTGTCGGGGTATTTCGGCATCTTACACTTCATCCAACGTGCACTTCATACCCTACACTCGGAAAAGTCTCGCATAAAAAATTATCACCGAAAACGAAAGAGTTATTTAAATCTCATATCGTTTCGTAATATCACTTCCTCGCTTGAAGTAGTCTTCAGTAAGGGAGGAAGTTCTAGAAAAGCAATAGTCCAGCCTAGTGACGCTCGAGAACACACTATGATAACATGAAGAATCAGGACAGAAGCAAGCGGCGGTGACAAGTCAACAAGTCAACAGGTCAACAGCGAGGGTGATATAATTTTTATTGTCTCGGGCGGGATCTAGATTTCTTATTCCTTGGATTAGCGAGGTCCACTTGACTCCCGAGACTGAGGGAATCATGGGAGGGGAATGCGGGAGGCGCCGCGGGGGTGTTAAGGGACCAGGGCTCGGTCTCTTGGATTAAGTTCTCTTGGGTCAAGTCGGGGTAGTTTTGGACCCCGCCGAGTCCGCTTGAATCCATCGTGCCCCATCCTTTCCTGCAGTGATCTTCCGGCATATTTGTAGACGGGCTTATATCAATAACCTCGCCCGCTTGGCGATCCTTCTTATAAGTTATCCCCATAATACTACAATTTGCATAGTTGGAGTATAGTAACCTAGGTTAGTATAATAGTTGGTAAACCCCATCTTTGATTTTTTCAGACCTTTATTAAAAGGACCCTATATTTTTTGTATGCAATTAAAACGCCATCGGAGGTTTTTTCTTCTTTTATGCACTCAGTACTTACACGGAGTGTAACTGTACCTGCGTCCACAAGTCTACTGGTTCGTTGTTAGCGTAACACGTCTATAGTTGTTAACACGATCCACCAAATATTATTAACAGATTGCTATTTCAATTCAAGCTGGATCAGACTCAAACAGGCTTCTATATGATTATATTGTTACACAAGAAGCCAGTGACAGCTTATGCTAGTGAAGATCTGGTTTAAATTATTCTGCTAGGCAATCTTTTATTTGCTATTTATTTGTTGAACCTAATCTTGGCCATCCTTGTTCTGGGGCAACATCTCCAGCGCAACCAAAAGACCGAGTAGTAGAACAAGATTTAATAACGCTCTCTTTACCCAAGCCTTCAACTTTGCCTAAGCAAAGGCAACGTGGCAAGAGCTTGACGGGTCCAAAGAGACACAGCTGACATAAGTGATAGGTGGTATACATAGAGGGCCTTTTTGTTATCATATAGGTAACGAATACTCGAACCCCCCAAATCTTGACGTATCAAAGTTAGACGCCTTGAAGCTTACCATGTTGCCTTACCAAGTACTAGTATTTCAAATGTTAATCATGAGAGGTACTTTATGTTATATGTCGTATCTGTTGAGGAGAAGAGACACAGCCTGTTGAACAAGGTTTGTGACCTCATTCCTCCTCACGTCACCAGATGACGACGGATTAACACCATCCGCTCTTCTACATACACATGTAGATCCCTATATTCGTTTTATTCCAGATGTCAGTTTAGCATCTACAACCGAACTAAAGAGTTAAGGCAAGGAACAGGAAAGATGTCGATGAATAGTACTACTCATCACACATACCCTAGGTTAGGTACATTAGGTACAAACACGTACATACACATCTTACTGTACTCGACATATTAACTATTAAAATCACGGAACAGACAGGGTGAAGAATATCGCCGGGCAGTTTAATCATATACTCGTTCAATATCCGTTTGCTGTACGGCAATAAAATCGATGAATAGACCGGGATTGACTACAATATATCAAACCATTATTTCGATCTGTCATTAGGAGAATAAGAGGGTGAAGTTGATCTTAACCCATGGCCTCATCATAGATGAACTAATATCGACAAGGATTGGGTCCACCTATTGAACATGGCTCTTATTACATGTATCTACAAAACATGGATATACCTTGACTACCTATACTTTATACTTTTAACGTACCTCTCTCGAAATACGTTTTTGCTTAACAATAATATAACATCTCGATAAACAACAAACTTGTCTTATAACTCCCTCGAACTGGGCAGTTCGCATTTATCGAAGACGTGGTGCTGAGCTTACATGTTAAAATGCGAAGAGTGCTGTATGTAAGTTGGTACATATGTAGTACATCAGGGTCGATGCTTATTAGAGTTCTGAAATTGACGTGAAGGATGCCAAGACTGAATTTGGGAAGGCGTTCTCAAATATACGCTGGAAGGTACGTCGGTAGCCTCCGCCTATTGCCAATAAAATGTGTATAAAGTATACATAATCCCGTACTCAGATATGCGCCTACATCGGACCTCTGACCCATAGGTTTTTCCATCGCGTCTGTCTTAACCCATACTTCCCGACTCCCCCCAGTTCCCCCGTTCTGCAAGCTCCTCGCAACTGCTCTTTACTCTACATATTCTGCCCTACACTTTTTGCACTATGCAAGGAGCTTGTACATCTTCTTTTTGTCTTATCTCCTCTCCCCCCCCCAAAATCTTAAAATCCACCCAGCGCATGCCCCAAGAGCCCAAATAACGGGGGTCCCTTGCCTTAACTATCATTTACCTTAGCATCTTCTCTCCGCGCACACCACATTAAATAGGTACCCTATTAACTTTACTTACCGACCTAGGTACCTAACATAGGTACCTAAACCACACCGACCACATCCTGGTACTTACACACTTGCCTTACCCTCGCACACTACCCATCATCTTCCGCCACTATTCTTTGCCAGTCTCGGCTCAGATCCGTAGAATTATATCCTTCTAATTCTTCCTTGCATTTCCCTTTTTTCCAATACTCATCACCAAGGCAGCAATCCCCTTATTCTTTTAACATTTTGTTTGCGTGCCTATGCATCTCTGGATATTGCCTAGTCTTTTGAATGTCTGCAAGGTCGCATCCACCGTGCGCGATTTCGAATTCGCCTAATAATTGGCTTCTCGTCGTGGAAGGAAAGCTAGCGCTCCGCCTACACCACAGAAGCGCTGTGATCTCGCGTTGAAGGGACACACAAAAAACAGTCTGCGAGACAGAGTAGAGAGCCAGAAAGGGAGAGTACGCGAGATAGGAATAGAATATTTGCACTGCAACAGTGCTGCCAACAGTGCTGGACGCGGGCGAGCAAGGCACCTTTCTGCCCCCATCACCAAGTACAGCAGGACAGCAGGACGGCAGGACAGCAGGACAGCAGGACAGCAGGACAGCAGGACAGCAGGACACCCAGGCACACAGTGCAGCTTTTAAATCTATTTCTACATATACAGTACCTATCTTAGGTACCTAAGCTGTACCTAAAAGCATCTTACCCACCTAAGTTCATCTGCTGTTCGCTATCCATCAAGACCAAGCGATCCTCGCAAAATCTCGTCTGGCCCTCCGACGACTACTCTCTCTTAACATCATCCCCTTACTATTACCGTTTTGAGCTGTCGCGTTCGAGACAGGATCTAAGGTTATTTGGACTACCGCTTGAGGAGAACTAGTAAAGGTTTATTGGAAGAGAGGGGTTTTTTTTCCCAAGGGACCAAGGACAAGAAAAATCCATTAGCTGTCATCCTACCGGCGCCCTCTCTCATTCGCTATAACAAAGCACCAGCCCCCAATAACGACCGCTATTATCAGCACCTACCACCTCCACGATTAGACCACCACGCCCATACCACCCGACCGAAAATCGACTGACAAACTCATCTTCGCCATCACCGCCGTCGCACCAAAAAGTCCGACACACATCCACCACCTTCACTCTTTCTCATCCACTCGTCCATTTTCTACTTTATTGAATCTACCGCCACTCGCGATACTTTATACCAACTTTTCTTTTCACCCCATTCGCGATTTTTATTCCCAGCCTCTGTATACCAACGGGATCTTTTGTACCCGCGTACCTGGTCGCATCCTCTTTTGCTCCTTTTGCATAGCTAGAGGATTCAGACTCTTGCCTAATCAAGATTTCCTGTCTAGCAAAAAAGGCGAAATCCAAAACTAGGATTCTTTTCCCGAAACGCACCGTCAGGTACTGGATTGCTCAGGCGATTATTACACTTACGCGCATTCGTTTCTGTCTTGTCTGATCAGTTCTTCCTTCGTCGCTGACCAAGAAACGAGCGCCCGAGATATTTGATCGATTCATCCCGGCATCATAACACGACTTCCAATAGCCAGAATTGAGCCTCACGGTTGCCAGGCTTGGCTCCTATTACCGCGACACGCACGCGCATTTGCCCCGTGGTAGCTTATCACTGTGACTGGATACCGCAGATTTCGACAGACTTTTGTCTGTCCATCATTTCCTACTAATGAATAACATGAATATGTCCAACATCCCCTTGGCTGGGCCTGTCGGTGGTCCATCACCAATGATGGCCAATACGTTAGCCGCGCAACAGCAACAAGTCCAAAGCCAAGGGAACAATCGGACGGTGCTTAATACATATATTTACGACTACTTTCTTCGAGAGGGCATGTACGACTGCGCGCGTCAAATGCTCAAGAGTGAGCAGACCCTCAATGTCATTAAGGAAGGCCCCAACCGCCGCCGTGACGAGAATGGCAATGTTCTGGGTAATGGGGTGGGTGACGATCCTATGGACACCGATAGTAAAGATGACATAGACTCGAAGCGACCTTCGGATCTTCCCATGCCGAACGTCCCAGCTGCCGCCGAAAATAGCTTCCTATACGAGTGGTTCTGTTTATTCTGGGACATGCTTTACGCTCAACGTAACAAGCCTGGCATTAGTCCCCAAGTAAGCCAATATGTCAACCATACTCAGGTAAGCGTCCCGTAAAGCCGGGTTTGAAACAGCGGTAAGGCTAACTACTCTAGCAACAAAATCGCCAGCGACAAACAGAACAGCAAGCGATACTACGAGGAATGCGACAAGACATCTACGGCCAAACCCGAATGATGGGAATGCCGAATGGGATGCAGGTTAATCCGAAGCAGCAACAAAACTTAGCTAGGACAGCCATGGCCAATAACCAGAACAAGTATGTCGAGAGTCTATTGTATACATGGCTGGTTACGTACTAACGTTATGTTACAGCCCGCAAGGCATGCACATGCTACAGCAGGTAAAGCAGAACCAGATGCAGCGCGATGGTTCGAATATGGACGGTAATCAAAACCGCCCAGGTTCTCCCGGCCAGGCCGAGAACGCGCCATCACCGAGCAAGAGACCGCGTCTGGACTCATCTGGACCCTTTAATCCTCAGCAGGGAGGCATGATGCCTAATGGACAACGACCGCAGATGCCAGGACAACAAGTAGGCAACGGGCCCAGAAATACTACTATAGCTGGACATATGCTTTCAACAAACGGTATTAACCCAGCTAATCTGTCACCTGAACAGTTCCAAAATTTCCAATCGCAACCTCCGCAAACTCAGGCCAAGTCGATCCAGACGTATTCCCAGAACCTACAGCAACACCATGGCCAGCAAATAACTAACAAACAGATGCCTAATCCCGGTGGCCCGCAAGGCCAATCGCCCATGATGCAAGGCGGTCCCAATGACGTTGCGATCAGTGCACTCTACAACCCAGACGGGATGGGCGGTCCTGGAGTGGTGAGGCCCGGTGCACCAGGTGGTGCCCAAGGAGCAGGTGGTAGCAATCATGCTCTCCAGGACTATCAGATGCAACTAATGCTGTTGGAGCAACAAAATAAGAAACGTCTTATGATGGCTAGGCAAGAGCAAGATAGCATGGGCGGCATGCCCCGACCGGACGGAGCTGGCCCCGGTGGCCCTGGTCCGAACGGACAGGCTTTCCAAGACCCGTCTGGTCAGGGGGCTCGCCCGGGGGCTTCACCTAACCCGGCAGATCAAATGAAGCGTAATACTCCGCAGATGAACCCCGCCACCATTCCATCGCCATTGACGGATGGCGCGCAATCGAGAGGGTCGCCGAACCAAATGAATTTTGTGCAAAATGGAATGGACCCTAATATGCAGGGTCATTTCTTCAAGAATATCAACGGGATGGATTCCAACATGGTGGCTGCACAGATGAACGGAGGCATGCGACCTCCAAGTTCTCACCCCAACCAACCATTTAACGGCCAAATGAACCCTCAAATGATGAGACTGCAGCAGGGTGCCCAAGGTGGCCCCCCAATGCAATGGCAGCAGGGGCCGAATGGAAACACGATGGCGCCCCAAGGGCCCCAAGGACCTCAAGGTCAGGTTCAGGGCACACCGCAACAACGATCTATGCCGCCTCCGTCAGCTCCCCCGGTTAACAATGGTGCTGCGGGCCGCTCAACGTCGTCGCCGCAGCAGAATAATGCGGCTCCGCCCACACCCCAGCAATCCAACAAGGCCGCACCCAAGAAGAAGGATACTAAAAACGCGAAGAACAAGGTACGCATATAATTTTTAAGAATTATATATTAACAACTCTATCTGACCGCTTATCCATAGGCTGCCGCTCAGAAGAAGGCAAACCAGGCCCCGGGTGCCACGCCTGCTTCAGAGGCCGCCCAAGAGCCAGAGCCGCCTACGCCTGTCACGCCCGTCAACACGACGAACTTCAACAAGAACGGACAGGTTGTGGCCGCTCAGCCAGCAGCTAATGCAGCTGTATCTGCTCCTCCACCTGCTCCTGCGCCGGTTGCTGCACCGCAAGCGCATCCGGACCCGTCGCAAATAAATACGTTTAGCATGGACAACAATTCAATAGTAAGTTACCCCCAATCCTTTCTTGAGGTCATTTGCGCTGACTCTCTTGCAGGACTTTGGCGCCATGCCGTCCTTTGCGGACCCTATGCAGACTGGCGATGTACTTGACTTTGATTTCGATTCATTCCTACAAGACGGCGATGCTGACCCCGGAAACTTTGATTTTGGTACTGGGCCATTTGGGATGGAAGGGGCTGGGGAGATTGGGGCGGAGTAGGAGTACGTCTTTAAGCTCGCCGGTCTTGAGTGATATCCTTTAAGCATCTCTACGTTCGGGTTAACTTGGGCATGTCATGGCGTTCATCGGTTGTTTAAACTCGCATCTGGACTATGGCTATGGTCTGACGGGTATTCGAACTCAGCGGACCAGAGACGAAACACGACTACCACCGAAAAGCCTGTTGATTTTTCTCCTTTTAGACTACCATACCATACTTATTGTTTTTAGTTGTTTCGCCATACCGCTCATATCACATATGCCCTTATTTCGTCTCGTCCGCTGCTTCGTCTCCGAGACTGGTGAGATTCTGGCGAGGGACGTCTCAGTCTTGGGGTCCAGGATTGATTCTTGTATTTTTGGAGGATTTGTATTGCACTTCTCTGCTACTGTACGGCTCGCTAGTTTTTCTTGTCTCTACATTGGTTTGGTTTTACGTTGATATCAGCGGATCAGTCAGGCAATGAAATTCATTCAAACTAACTGTCAGTCGAATTGATCCGATTTCATGATTGGAAACCCCATACCCGCTGCTTTGTTGATTTTACAATTGTGGTGTGAGGCGAGGAGCTGTTAATTAATAGATGCTGCTGGGTCGTGTCAACGATGACAGGAACGCCCCGAGTACATTGACCGTCGTCTTTCGCAAGTCTCTTGGACCAAAATTGGAGGAGTGTATGTGCCGGAAGGCATACTCTCCCTCTCGTCTGCAAAAAAAAAAAAACACCCTAAATATTTGTTTCGCGACTTCAGGTGCTGATTATTGCTTTTTGGGACTAAAAAGGGGTGGGCGTGGGAGGCGAAAGTTGTTCCCAGAGATAGGATCTGGTTATGCATATTCACAAACTACCTAAACTTCTTTGCGCTATGGGCAGAAGCAAACAGAAGTAGAAGTGGAAAGAAAGCTGGGTTTGGTGGTTTGGTGTAGTGCGGTTCCATTGTGGTTATTTCGTCTCGGTGTATTCAATAGAGCAGAGATGTTGTGGTTCATGGTGTATGGTTTCCATCGACATTTTCCTTAGAGGCATTCGCTTACCTACGAAGTTTTATTACTTATAAAAACTATCGCGCAGTCGCAGTTGTACGTACTTTTTATTTTTATAATGGGGAGTGAATGGCACTTGTTCAAGTTAAGTGAAGTTTAGCTTTTGCCAGATATTCGGAGATTGATAAAGTCTAATGAATAATTGCTTTATATTTGACTTCTTATTGTTTATTATATTGTAGTGACTATCCCGTCTTATATTTATAGTTACCTAACCTAGGTATATGCGAAGTTTGCTAATCGTACGTTATAGGCTCGCCTAGTGATTTGCCGAGCTGTACCAGCGTCTTTTCATATACCTGACCTACATTTAGTTGCAGCTCCTCCTCTTCCTCATCTAACTCTATAGTTGGCTCGTCCATATCCTGTTCATTGTTGGGAACCAGATGTATCGTTGATAAGGGGGTAGGAGAAGTGTTAAAGCTGACTTTTGTATTCGGGGCCGTTTCGTCATCGGAATCTTCATCGGAATCTTCATCGGAATCTTCATCGTCATCTACCATCCAATGGAACTTGCCGTCGGGCTGATGTGGACCGGGTCCATCAAGTGCCGGAACGGGACTCCGAGCCCCCGGCGCCGCATCACTAAACTTTGGCGTCGGCTCCTCTTCCTCAACTTCCTCAACTTGTATCCTTTTCTTATCCTCTGGCCCCCCGTCCTCTAAATCGGTAGCGCTGGCTTTGCGTTTAGGTATAGCATGGCGTGGTTCTTCGACCTCACCCAAGTCTGTGTCATTTTCAAAGTCTATAATATCTTTGGACTTAACCCTGCTATTACTATTACCGCCGTACGGAATAGGTGTCTGTATTAACCCCGTAGATAGTGAAACGCCGATGTTTCTCCTCATAGGTAGTTGCCCGATATCATTATCATCATCGCTTGCGTCTGCATATGCCCCGACATCCGGCTCGTCGCTCATAATCACTGCGACCAGCATGCGGGTCTCATCGGCAATACTTTTACAGCGCACCATATCGGTTTTCGTAAACCCTCTTCCATTGCCTTGGAGCCCTGGTAAAGGGACGCCCGATTTAATATCGTGGCCTACAAGGAGACTAGCGAAACAGTGGTCGAGCTTCTTCAGCAGCGCAAATGTGGGCAGCGGTGACGGCGAAAAGGATGGTAGATACGTGTTAAATGCGAGTGCGACATTAAGGAGGTACGGGATTTGAAGACTGGCTAAAAAGTCGGTTAATAAAGCTATTCGACCCTCCTTCTTCGAGGTGCAAACGTAGGATAAAACATACGTGTACCCGAAAACCAAAGTACATCAACGACATCTTCAAGGTCTTTGCATAACTCGTCCACGTCCGTATAGCCGTTTACCTCATCAGCAGGGTCCGGGATGCCATGTTTCTTAACATATCGGCGCGATATGTGCAATAGTCGCTCGGAGACATAGTTTCTTGCGTAATCTTCTTTCCTTGAACCCCGAGCTAGGGGTTTTGATCGCGGACGCGGGAGGCGCGCGGCCACCTTATTGGATGCTGTACTAGGGGCGGGAGAAGGTAACGAGGTGCCATTCGGTAAGAAACCGCCGGCATTGCCGTAAGCGAATCGGGGTGTTTCAACCATTTTCAAGTGCGATTTTAAAAGAATATATGATATTTGAATACTGGATTGCGCGCATGGAGACGTATATATACCTGTTACGAATAGGTATAGTTGATGTAAGTAGGTTTAAGTTGGGATTGAGATGGATGGGAATTGGGAAAGTTAAATAATGGACTTCAGCCTTGTGACAGCATTACGACATCCCGCCTGTCAGCTGCCCATATGTATAAGCCACAATGTGCTCCACATATCTCCCCATAAAGAACCTTAGCAAGGGTCCACACAAAGCTCATATTGGCCCCACTTGTTCCGCCAATGGAATAGCGTAGCTTAGGTAAGCTCGTATTTTATTCAGCCTTGAATTTATTCTCCAAATCTTTTTTTGTATTCGACATCATCATCATCGCACATCACATAGTCGAATTCACCAACTTTACTATTTCCAACACATATACAATGCCGCCAAAGAGAGTTGGCGGTCGTTCCAACAAGGGCGTTGTTAGTACCATTTACGAAGCTTTCACATCTCCCGAAAATGCTTCTGTCGTACGGAGCGTAGCAATCTTCGGCGTATGTTCCCCTGCGACATATCCCCCCCTTGCTACCAAATAAGATGTTGGAAACTAACATATTCTAGGCTGCGGTGGCTTTCCTAGCGAGTCCCTGGAGCGAATACCTTCTTCCACCGTGAGATATATAATTAAAAAATATCAATCAAATATCTACGCAAAACACTAACCTCCAATCCAGAGTATAAATGTGCATTAGCCAAGAGATAGAGGGAATCATGAATTGCAAAGCATGTACTATATGGGGCAAACGGCTCGGGTGTACCATACTTGGGCGGTAGATTGGGAGGCGGGATATATATGAAATGCATCCAACCGGTCTTATTAAAATGTCCAAAGACATCAGAGGAAATCCCTCCACTTGACGCATTAATATGACGAACAACTCAATACCCACTTATAGCCTCAGTATTGTCTTCCAAGATTTTGGGATTTTATGCTGCCTCACTCGAGGAAATGCCCACCGGGTCTTTAGCCAAGGCAAGGCAGGTAACTTCAAGTATTGTCAACGAGGATCTGGAAACAAGATTGCATACAGTTTCTCACTCTTACCTACATACCTAGGTAAGTTAGGTACCTATTTATTCTGTCAAGCAGTGACGACCCAAGTTAGTAACCGTTCTGCTTCAAGAAGGTACATCGGGAAGTGTCTTTAAGATACAATGGCCAACCTTTTGTCCAGATTCTACAATGTGGCTTGCAATCTTCAATAGTAACCCTACTCTTTACCGCCTAACAACATGTCTTCGTCAATATGGCTTCCTTGTTCCTCGAACCTGATTATATCTTCCTGAGACACAAGGCAGATTATCATATGCTTGATCTGGAATTTGCCGCATGCAAATCATTGTTCTGGATTATCACAGATATTATATCCCGCTATCGACCCGTAGATCGAAAAGATGTTGTCACTTTTAGTATCGTCATATCGCACATCAGACCAGCGATGAGAGCAGAATATGTTATAAAAAATGTTATCTTTCGTGGCATTATACTGCAAATTACTGGGATCCCGTTACCACCTGGCACTTGGTCCCCTCTCGCCATTCTCTTCGACCTACTCAGGATAATCGTGAATTGCACGATATGCCTGCCACCCGGCAAACCGCCGCTGTTAACAGAAGAGGATATCGAATGGGGACTTAGGTCTGCTTATTGTGAGTAGTAGTACCGTATCTTAATAGATGCCCCCTACGATACGGCAATTTATGAAGGGAATTGGATTGACATCTTCCTCGATACATAGGTCTGCCAGGAGTTGGATCTCAACAGAACGACGTGGCTGTCCATAATTTTCACTTTCACTGCTTTACTGCCTCCATGTACGCTCTCAATGTAATGGACGATCCTTCTTTTTTCGTATTCGCAATGCGCGACGCACTAGAACGCGGATGGGACAGTGCCGATCACTGCAACAACTTCCTCGACTCGGTCAATCAATGGATTTTGCAGTGCGGAAAGAGGATATATCGGCTGATCAAGCGCGGATTTGAACCAACCTACAAGGCAATGTATTATCATGGGAATCTATACGAACTCGAGCTTGAGAAGACATACGGTAGTCACCGCCCTACCCCTGGCTTGACGATGCATCGCTGGGAGTTCTGGAAGAAGCGCGTTGAGGATACGATGATCTTCCTCGTCGACTGCGAACGCCCGCTACAGGTCATGACGCAAGGAAATCTGGCCAGACAAATTGCTACAAATATGAATGTTATAGCGAAATTTTGGGAGGCCGAACAGCGCGAACTAGTCAAACTGGGCAATGAAAAATAAAGCAGCGAGGTATATTTTTATTTGATCAGGGTTAAACGTCAGTAACGAAGTTCTTGAAGAGCTGAGTAATTCAATCAAGTATAAAATGTTAACCATACATATCTTAGATAGTTGAAATCAGCGAATCTTTTCTCCACTTCCCTTGCCTTATGCTTCAACTCGGAGGCAACTGTTTCTTAAGGCATGTTAAATATTGCTGTCTTTTCTTCTATCTCCTCTTTAGTTGATATAATTAGAAGCAGGCTTAATATAGATCTTCTTAAATAAGGTCTGGATAACTCGTAGACATAATGATAAGACCTGTCGCGCGTTACAGTTGGTGGATTCCTATCAAACACAAAGAGCTATGCGTTGAAGTAGCCTATAAAGTAACGACTACGAGCCCCTTAATATTTAGGTATTATGTACCATAACGTACCTATTACCGATTATGGACTTACATTCATCAAGTGGAGTAGGATAGAGGAGCAAGTAGAATATTGTATGCACCGGGTTCGTCGTACTCATTCACCGAGTCTATTACTTAATTTTTATTCTAAAGTAAAACGACATATGTGTATCTTCGTCTTTCTCCTTTAGGCAATGCGTCCGATATGATTAGGTACCTATATGTTGAACTAGTATTTACATTGGAATATCATGTTTTGGTTTAATATAACCCCGGTATAGAAACCACAACGTGGGGAAGTGAGTGTATATACTTCCATTCGCGGTATAGATTGTTGGAGATGATCTATTTTCGCTATACTATGCCCGGTAAGCTGTATCTTCAACAGCCCCTTTTTTGCAACATCCCCACCTTAGAACGATATGACTATCAACAATCTACCAATAATACGAGCATACTGAGCTCATTTGAACATGTTTAACGACAGAGGCGTCCTAGCTTAGCTGCATGTGCACGCATATATGTACGTGATGTATACGTCAATGATCGAAACATCGGTTATTACAGGTATGAATACGCCCTCTTAATTCACATATCAAGAATTGACCTACCAGAAGTTCTAACGGCCTATGCTGTGTAGCCAACGTATCGCTGCCTTATTGCCTATATCGCTCGTGGGGGAGGCTCGTGTAGCACACCGCTACCCCAGCTCTAATCTTCTGAAGCCGGGGTAGATATTTTTCTATAAAGGCATAAGCGTTCCGCAATATTCAGGTCTCTGTCAGTCGACCCGAGTAGAACTCTCAGCTTATTCTTAGCTGCTTTAGCGAATAATGGCAGACCCAAAGCCCCTTAAAGGAAAGGTTATACTCGTCACGGGGGTGGCCCAAGGAATCGGGGCAGCTATAAGTGACTACATCGCGGCGCGTGGTGCAACGTTGTCTTTAGCAGATTTGCAGATAGACACACTCAACGCCTCGGCGCAGCGTATTTCTGAGGCTTATCCCGATATTCAAGTGTCGACATGGACTGTGAACGTCACGGACCCGAAGTCCGTCGAGGAATGGGTCATTGCGTCGAAGGAGAAATTTGGGAGGATCGACGGATGTGTCAATAATGCTGGTAAGCTGATCTGAATTTACGATATGTACCTAGGTTATTTATACTTGCCCTCCCCTCATTTGACTTTACTATATCCCATTGACTAACTATCGAGATGTACCGAAATAGGAATCCTTGGTGACGGAGACCAGATAACGGAGATGAGCTACGAGAACTGGTCTCGAGTCATTGATGTTAATTTAACTGGCATGTTTAACTGCCTTAAGTTCCAATTACGCGCAATAGCAGATGGCGGTAGCATTGTGAACATGTCTAGCGCTTCCGGCATACGCGGGACTCCCATCTTGCCGGCCTACGCAGCTTCTAAGCACGGGGTCATTGGTTTGAGTAGAATAGCCGCTGCCGAACACGCCCACCGCAAAGTCCGGGTTAATGCGGGGTGCCCGAAGTATACGTTATTTTCTTATCGGCCCGGCTTTATGAATTGGAGCTGGTATAAAGAGAGACCTGTATTTGACTGCTTTGGGGGGGTTCCTCTCTACGAACGTCAGATATACCATTAGTAACTAACTACTGCTCGCTCTAGGGGCTTCGTGGACGGTGGCATGCAAGATAAATTGCGCAAGGACAAGCCCGACATGAATTTCGCTGAGTACTCGGTGCTATTAAAGGAGTACTTACCAATGGGTGAGGTGGCTGCGATGGTTGGGTATCTCTTAGGCGACGAGAGCAAATTTATCACTCGGGCGATTCTTCCGGTTGATGGCGGGATGAGTGGATGATTCTATAAGGCAGGCCTGTCAACACCACATCTTATTTAATTATCGTGTAACTCCGAGAGAATGTTCTGCTTGTGCCGTTGGGATGAAATTTTTAGCACTAGTCTCATTACAGTAGAAGGTCTTGACATAGGCGATGTCGGACTGCGTTTCTTGGCCTATTGTTTAGCTTGGTCTAGAATTTTGGGACGTTGACTTTACCCTATGTAGCTCAATATCCGTATCGCTCTTTTTCCAATTAAGAAGAATTGGGCGTATGGGCGAATACTTAGAGTAATTAGGTAGATCGTTCTATAGCTGTGAGTTGGTAAAGAGACTCATATCCTGATCACGTGACTGATGCATGTCTATCAAGTTTCTCCCCCCTTTTCTCACCTCCTTATACGGGCCTTACTAGATGCTGATGCTATGACGATGGGCTTATATCTCTCACCTGGATCATCTTGTTATGATAAATATAATCCTAGATAAGCCTAACTGTAACTATCTTCTCTAAAGGGTCATCTATACACATCTTAAGTCTTATAACATCCCCGGGATTTCCACCTTATTCCAATAGACCAAAGCTGAGGCGTTCCGGTTCGTTAGATTGCGAATAGCACATAAGCTTGCGTGTACATAGCAATATTACTGGGTCACAATTCAATAAATACTACCCAGCCGCTTTGATACCGCGCTGCCCCGGTATTCCGTAACCAGGGGGTGTCCGCCGCTCTAACTGCAATTGGATCTCTACGAGTGATATAAACCAATTAGGGGTTCGCGACTGTCTCATCTTTTCATCTTGCGCACAATAACTCTATTTCTTATTTTCCCTTGACCCTACTCGAATATGTCTCTCGGAGCAATTTGGACGCAATTCTTTCCGCCGCGCAACAGCGCACCGCTGACAGACGCCAACTTACCAAGCCAAGCCGGCAAGGTATTCATCGTAACAGGCGGGTCATCCGGGATAGGATATGAAACCTCACGGATCTTGTACGGTGCGGGTGGAAAAGTATATGTGCTTACACGATCGAAAGACAATGCTGAAGATGCTATTACTCGCATAAAGGCACACTATGCCCAAGATGGGGATACGAATGTGAAGACGGGGACCTTACATTTCATACAAATGGACATGATAGATTTTGAAAGTGTCAAAAACGCTGCCCAACAATTCCTAGCGCTCGAAGGGTCGGATGGGAGACTCGATGTCTTATTCAATAATGCGGGTACTGGCGCTCGGAAAAATGCTCCTCGAACTCCCCAGGGACACGAATATCATTTTGCTACCAATTCTATTGGGCACCACTTACTCACCCGATTACTCGCCCCTATTATGTCTAGAACAGCTAAGAAGTCCCCTAAGGATACGGTGCGCGTCGTATGGGCCGCGTCAGTTCTCGTCGACGTGATGAGTCCCCGGGGTGGGATTCGGAAAGAGTATTTACAGGACCCTTTCAGTATTAAGAACGAAATGGAGCTATACGCCACTTCTAAAACCGCAAATTGGTTCCTAGCTTCAGAATTCTCACGTCGGCAGTCCGAGGCTGGAGCTTTCGGCACGGGAGTCGTCCATATGGCCGCCAACCCGGGAAACTATATCACGGGAATATGGCGTCATGTTCCCTCGCTGATTGAATATCTTGTTAGACCTATCCTTCGCTATCCTGTATACGGTGCTTACACGTATCTATGGGCGGCATTCTCAGACTCGGTCACTACGGAGGATGCGGTGACGGGACGATATGTGATTTGTGACGGGAGATGGCATCCTGGACAGAGAGAGGATCTTCTACTAGCACTAAGGGGGGAAGAAGAAGGGGGATCGGGACGGGCAAGGGAGTATTTCGAATGGTGTGAGGAAAGAGTAAAGGAATTCCTGGACTAGAGTCCTAGTATGATCTTTCTACAAGGCCTAGGAACATTCGAGGTAAAGCATGGTATAAAACCATTTGTATTAGTCTTAGTGACTACCTGGGTATATATGTAATATGCTGTATGAATAGTATAATTCGTTGTCGATGCTTACGGTTGACCTGGACCTATTCATATCCTACTTAAGCAGATATTCTCAATACCTATAACGGAGAGAATAGGTACGTATGGATACCTACCCTATGCATCTAGTTATGCATTAACTTATAGCGCATATATATATTCACTAGCCTCCAACGGTGCGATTTTCCCCTCAAGACAAAACTCAACGCTGACCAATCGCCGGATCGACCGGTATATCTTCTATCCACCATCTCCAACCCCTCATGTCTTTTGTATCCTTTGTGTCGTGATTGTCACCAGCAGAATAACATGCTACTTCAAGGCCATTATATATATTTAGTTACCATCTAATCGCAATTTCAGCCATGGCGCAAAATATCGAAAGACTATATGAAGATGCTATAGCTTCAGGATTGCTTCCTGGTGTCTCAGTTATCGCAGGAGATAAATACGGTAAAAGTTCCCTCCAATTGTATACCTGATTCAAGTCCTAGGGAGTATTCGGCCGCGTATAAGACAACTACTCAGTATTTGAAGACGTTATGAAATCAACACTTCAATAGCAGTTACTTATATTCAACAACTAATACTACTAAACAGGCAATGAAATTTACTCCAAGTCCTTTGGAAAGGCAAGTCTCAAGGAGGGCACTGATCTTCCTTACACGGACTCCACAATCAGCAGTATTGCTTCCATGTCCAAGCTCATGACTGCGGTCGCTGTTCTGCAGTGTGTCCAAGACGGGACTTTAGACCTAGATAAAGATATCAAGGCATTGCTTCCTAATATCGGAAAATACGGCATTATTACTGGCTTCGACGACGACAAAAACATTGGCATTTTTACGCCTAACTCCATTCCTATCACTCTTAGGATGTTACTTACTCATACATCTGGCCACGAGTACGATTGGTTCAACCCCTTGCTTGTTAAGTGGCGCGCCTCACGCGGCGAAAGGCCGTTCTCCGGCCCAGATGCTGAGCACATAGCTACCTTGCCTCTAATGTACCCTCCGGGCACGGGATTCTCATATGGTGTGAATTTTGAATGGGCTGGCAAGGCAGTCGAAGCTGTTACCCACCTCAGCCTCGACGAATTCATGCGCGAACGTATCTGGAAGCCTCTAGGAATTGAAAATGACGCTAGTTTCTTCCCAAGAGCGAGAGACGGCATGAAAGATAGAATAGCTGACCTTAGCACACTCAACGAGAAAGGAGAGCCGCCGGCAGTGGATGCCTCGGACTTTGATATGATTGGCGGGGTGTCTGACTGCTTGGGAGGCGCGGGCGTATTCACAACTTCAAGAGCTTACTACACGTTTCTTTCCGCTCTACTTCGGCGAGACCCCAAGCTCCTATCACCCGCGCTGTACGAAGAGCTTTTCCGCCCGCAGCTCGACGAAAAGCTAGAGCAGAAATTGAACGATGATATCGCCTTGCCGGAGAAGACGCAGTACCTCGGCCTGCAGATTCCATTGTCTATCAGGAAGACGTGGAGCTTCGCGGGCCTGGTAGTGAAGGAAGGCCAGGAGGGCTGGTTCGCACCGAATACCGTGTTTTGGGGCGGATATCCGAGTTGTATGTGGTTTATTGACCACGAGACGGGCATCTGTGGGACGGCAGTCTGTCAGATTATACCGGCTATGCATCCTAAAGTCATTGCTCTTCATGGAGAGTTCCAGAAGGCTATATTTAGCCTTGTAAAGGCGAAACAGAACTAGTCATCTTTTCCGTATTCAAAACTCTCGAGGTTATGGGTATAGAAGCAAACGGGTTTTTGAAATTTGTCTTGAGTGGCAATGAGCGTTTGTGATAATACTCCATCGAGGCCAATGAACGAAGCCAGTCATTTAATATATACTTAGATACACTGAAGTCTTTTCAATCCACGCGCTTCAATCGATATATGCCCACATATACCTCCGCACCAAGCACAATGTTTCATTGGTCACAGTCATGGTAACATTCATCTTGAACTCCGTTGTTACAGGCTGGGTCAGTTGGTTCAGTACAGATCCAGCTCTCATAATATTGGCAGGTTTTATCTGCATATACGATAATATTAGCTTAGTATTTCGCAATTTAGCCTTTAAAGACAATAAGTCAGTGTTTGCTGGAGCTATTCCACCTACGCTGGCAAACTTTGCTGCCTGAGCAATCATTTCGAGTCGAGCACTCACGAGTTTGGCCAAAGACACCCAGTCCAAGAGAAAAGACCAAGAGAACTTGAACAAGATGCATGGTGCTGAGGAAGTTCGTAGGAATAATGGCAATAATAGAGAATATCGTTTCAATGCGATGGTGGATGTCGTAGGTGTTTGAAGTTGTACCCTTTAATGATCTGATTTAAGCGTACCGAGAACCAAGAACTCGATGATGTGCTCAACTTTATATACACAGATTGCTTCCTTTTCGCTGCCTACTTGACGTACGGCGGTGCATATGGTACTCATCGTAATAGTTCTCAGAATACATCCGAAGCTGGTGTAACTGAATCCATTGACGAGATACTATACATGTTCTGACTAAGAGAATCGCGGCATACGTCCTAGAAAATAGGTATCATACAATTATACAGTCAAATGGCCCGTAATATCGCCATATATACCTAGAATTGGTAAACGTAAGCTGACTAACGTGTAATAGTCACATTAATGCTATAGCTATCGGATAATTCTATATTCCCCCTTTTCTTATAATTATGATATTGCTTGCTGATAGCATTTATCAGTCCCAAAATTAACACCCACAACAACATTCGAGGTCATGCGAGTATAAATAATTTACCTATCATAGTAGAACATAACAACTACATTGTTCAGTCTGTCAGTCGTGATCTCAAAGTACGGTAAACTAACAGGGATATGGTATCTGATCGTTCAAGTACAAATATGCAACAATGCTCAAAGGTTTTAGTATAAGAGGTAGACAGAAAAGAAACATCCGGTATCAGAATTTTATCCGCATATTATATTCGGTACAAGACCTGAATTTGCTATCATATCCCATAATCCCTTAACCTAGTATCTGCATATCAAAAGTCAAATATTCACAATGGCACCGAAGCTTCAATTCGACGTCATGGCGAGAGTTGCCCAACACATGGAGATTTGGCAATGTCTCCGAATGGGACGTATGAATAAGAAATTAAATAATGTGGTCTTCAACCACACCGTAAGATATATTTTCGAGAATCCGCAGCGATATCGCGCTCTTCAACCGATCGAGTATGCTTTCACAACTGGTAATATTGGCCTGTTGACTACTCTTCGTGACATAGTAGTTACAAGTAATGTGAGGGTTCCACAGGGTTGGTCGTACACAGTGGATTTTGGTTCAGTTGTGCGAGAAGTTCTCGACTTTGAGTCCATGAAGCAATGCCTCACGAACCCCGAGGGCTATAAGTGCTTTCAACTTCTCATCGACACGGCTATTTCGACAGGCACTGTGCCTTCCTTGGACCTCTGGGGCATACATAGTCCTTCGATGTTACTGGGAAATTCCATAAAACAAGACTGTTATGACGCCGTCGCAGTTATTCTGAGACGGCGAACAGAACTTGGCCTTGACCGTTTCTTGAGCGAGATGTGCTTCGAAAACATTCCTGTAATGGATGGTTATCTTTCTCAATATCATGTCTCGGAAAGAATGATTGAATGTCTTATTATCTGCACTGGCTTGCCATTTCACTCCGCCTGTGGCATGGCATTTGTAGGTGCCATCAATTTTCTTCTTACGAATAGCCCGGAGTTACAGAACAGTCCGGACCAAGTGTTAGCTGGTTTCGATCATCTTATTACGTCCCCATCCTGGTATGGCAACCCGGGTGAATCGGGCCGAAGCATCATGAGGTGCATTAACGCGCTTGGCAGGTTTATTCGGACTAAAACCGGAGCGCCAGTTCCTGTCGATACGGTAGGGAAGCTGCTAAATCAAATATGGAGAATTATTAATCCAATTGTAAGATTCGTGGCAGGTGTTGGTGACGCAGAAGGCGTAACCCAAGAGCAATTATTAGATGAAATGACTCGATCTGTCTGGTGCCAGCAATATTCTAGAGTATTCAACGCCATCATCGATCTGAATCCAAGGTTCTCAAATATTCCGAATAGGAACGCTGATGGGACTGCACGGCTAGGACATGTACGCTTTGTCGACCTCGTTAACCGAGAAAATATCAATCTTCCCCTGAATTTCAACTGGAATGCGTATGATAGGAGTATTTTCAATGGGGGCCAGGTACCTGACGATGGTGATAATTGAAGATGTTCTTGATTATCCATCTAAGAGTATTAAGAGATACATATACCTAGATTAGCATTGTTTTATACAAAAGTATTGTTTAATAAATATTCAGTTAATCACTAAAAGCAACTAGTTAAGGTTGTTTATGTTATTCTTCTTTCATGCATAACTATTCCTTTCAGCCACGCAAGGAGTCGAGTTTTTGTTTGTTATCACCGGCTCTTTTTCCTTGTAATTTCCGAGAGCCGCAGGTTCGTACCAGATATGGAAATATTTTCAACATCAACACCACCAGTAGATAGATGCAAGTAGGTATTTGATGCAGAAAATTCATTGTGATATACCTATCATAATATAAGACAGAGTGGCCCATAAAATGAAGGCTGAGTGCTAGAGTTTCTATTGGCTGATATATGCGTTTTAGCCCCCAATTTACAAGCAGGCTGAACCAAGCTTGCCCAAGCTTATCTTAGTATTGTGGGATACGACCCACTTATGGCCCACATAGAGCCCTGCAGCATTCCATTTTATACAACAGCTACGACCAGCTACGACCAGCTACGACCAATTGCTATAGCACTTACCAAACATTATAGTATTGTACCTATTATGTACCTATTATAGTTAGGTACTTGCCTACATGTGCTCAGCAGCTCTTCCTTTCCCCCCTCCGTCTGCTTTCTTCAATGTCGCATGATCTAAACCGCATCTTACTTCTACTTCGTATACTTCTATGCAACAAGCAAAGCTGGCAGAGCAGGCAACTAAATACCGTCGAGGCTTGGGTATGAGTGGTCAGCATGACACGATGTCACAATATCACAAACAATTACATGGGCTGAGCTATGCCTTAATTAATGCAGACAGGACTGATCATGACCCCCTGGTCTCGGTGAACCACGCTCTTCTTCTATTCTATGCCTGCTATGCTCGTCCTAGTGCCAATGCTTATAATTTGGAAATATTCCCTTCTCCTTTGCCCTTCTCACTTACACATATCATCTTCTCCACCACTTTCTCTTTCACCCTTAGCCGTTTCTGAACTACCATAACCCCTCTCCTGCCTGTCATATAGCTGATCGTACCAGCTATTTGTATATTTTTCTTGGTCTACCTTCTCTTCTCCTTTCGACTTGACGAGAGAGGTAGGTATAGGTGACTAATTGTCCCTTCCGTCTTTGTGTCACTTGTTGATTAGGATTTCGTGCTATCTCGTCTGGGTTTGAAATCAAAGAGCCATGTCCGACGTTGACTCAGCCCTGCCTTCGGAGGCTGAATATTTGGACCAGGACGTTGGGGACCGTACCGTGATGGCCATGGTGCCCGTGAGCATGCAAACCCCTAAGAAACCTAAGAAGCAGACCCCTCAGGAAGCTATTGACGAATTCTGGAAAAAATTTACAACTAAAACTCCCGGAAAAGGTTCGTACTCTCATTGTCATACTACCCTACTACACCAGTTTTCGAGCTTGACATTATTGATTCGCCTATACTAGCAACAACTATTATTCCGCACAACGAATATGCCGAGAAAGCGGCGAAGAGGTCTACCAAAGCTATTGGCGCAAATACCCAGACGTCGTACGAAGAAGCTGCTGCCGTCTGCCGAGCCAAGGTCGCCAAAATCGTCAAGGAGTGTCGCCGTGTAAACCAGAAATATCGAGACCCGCACTTCGATCTCGAGATCGATTTGAAATGGGGTAGCCGAGATACTCTAGAGTCTCTTTGCAACACTAAGGAGAAGGCTGACTCGTTCTTCAAGCCCAAGAGCGTCAAGCGTGTGGTAGACATCTTCGACGACCCTAAGTTCTATATCGAGGGTCCCACCGCCAATGACGTCAGGCAAGGTCGCGATGGCGACTGTTGGCTGCTCGCCGCTCTATGTACTCTCAGTAACAAGCCTAGTTTGATTGAGAAGGTTTGCGTAGCCCGTGACGAACAGGTCGGCGTCTACGGCTTTGTCTTCCACCGCGATGGCGAGTGGATCTCAGAGATTATCGATGACAAGTTATTCCTGACCAAGCCCGACTTCGATGAGAGCTTCCTCGAGCGGATACTTTGGGAAGACCGCGAAAGGATTAACTCTGAGGAGCAATATCGAAAGGCGTATCAAAGCGGATCTGGAGCTCTCTATTTCGCCCAGTGCGAGCACGAAAATGAGACCTGGCTACCGCTGCTCGAGAAGGCGTATGCTAAAGCACATGGCGACTACGCATCGATCGATGGCGGTTTCACCGGAGAGGGAATCGAGGATCTCACTGGTGGAGTTACGTCCGAGGTAGGTTTTATCTTTCAGTCATACCTTTGAGAATTAGTTTCCTACTGATACTGTATAGCTCTATACCACGGATATTCTTGACAGGGAGTATTTTTGGAAAGAAGAGTTGATGAAGGTAAACGATGAATTTCTCTTCGGATGCTCCACAGGAATGTGGGGTGCTTGTTGGGGCGAACGTAAGGGCATCTATGAGCTTCATGCCTACTCAATAATGAAGGCTGTGGACATTGACGGCCAGCGGCTTGTCCTACTCAAGAACCCCTGGGGGAAAGGAGAATGGACCGGCCCATGGAGTGACGGGTCTAAAGAGTGGACAGCTGAGTGGATGGTCAAGCTCAACCATCGGTTCGGCGACGATGGGAATTTCTGGATCTCGTACGATGATCTACTTCGAAAGTACCAGGCTTTTGATAGAACTCGACTTTTCGGGCCGGAGTGGAAAGTTACCTCTCTCTGGACAACTCTCTCGGTTCCCTGGACAGTAGACTACCACGATACATACTTTTCATTCTCTCTAGCAAAGACTGGGCCTGTTGTTCTTGTGCTTTCTCAGCTGGATGAGCGCTACTACCGAGGCCTTGAAGGGCAATACCGATTCGAATTGAACTTTCGCCTCCACAAAAACGGCCAAGAAGACTATGTTGTCCGTAGCATCAGCTCGATCCGTCTGAACCGCGCGGTAAATGTTGAGCTCGAGCTAGAAGAGGGCGAATATACGGTCTTGCTCAAGATTGATGCTACTCGTTATATGGACAAGCTACCAATAGAAGAGGTGGTGCGCAACTATGCGCGGGACCGCAGAGACAAGCTAGTCGCCGTCGGCATGTCATACGACCTAGCTCACAGTAAGGGGAAGATCATCGAGTCTTCCGAAGAAAAGAAGGCCCGGAAGGAAGCAGAGCAGCGCAAGAAGGATAAAGAGCGTGAGGAACTCAAGAAAAAAATCATGGAGGCCCGGCAACGTAATCATTATTACCGCGTCAAACAGCATAAGAAGGACCAAGAGAAGAAGGCTAAGGCCAAGGCCAAAGCACAGGCCAAAAAAGCTGCGAAGGCCGACAAGTTAAAGGCTAAGGAGACGGACAAACAGGAGACCAGTTCCAAGGAAGAGCCGTCGAAATCCGCGGATAAGCACGTTAAAGCGTTGTCGTCAAGCCCTACGCCGGCGCCGGAGGACCCTAAGAAGGAACCGACTTCTGAATCGAGTACGGACCCCAAGGTGGAGACGCCCTCTACAGAACCTGACAAGTCTTCCGTAGACCCACCGCCGACATCTGAAGAGCACCCTGCTGAAAACCCTGAGGTTTCTAAGGAATCTAAAGCAGATGATACATCTGGGTCCGGGAAAGTTGAAGACAAAACTGAGCTGGGTACGGAAGAATTACCCGCTCCTAGCGTTACTTTATCAAATAAGGCAAATGTCGATAACAAGTCGGATGAGAAGGGGGCGAAGGAGACGGAAGATGAAGAGGATGACTCGTCTGACGAGAGCGATATATCGTCTGTTTCCGAGATTAGCGATCGAGAGCTAGACTATGAGCTCAAGCGTCAGGCGAATAGTGCTGCCCATCCTCCTCCTTCACCACCCCCTCCTGTCGAGCCGCCGGAGGAAGAGGACGAGTTCGAGAAAGACCCGTGGAATGCTGTCGCCACAGTCGGTCTACGCGTCTACTACAAGGTGTCTGATGAGGATAAGGATAAGGAGATTGTAAAGCTACGCGTCGTCCGCCCGAACCCCTACGCTAAGGACGATAAGACGAAAGGCGAAGAAGAGGATGAGGAGAAAGAAAAAGAGCCCAAGACCTCTAAGGGCCTAGACGTCGACGACAGTTCTAAGGATGCCACGCTTGAAGGTAGCCAGGAGCAGAGGAAGAAGAGCATCATGTCTCTTGTGCCGCAAGCTTAGCGAGTGTAAGGATCCGAATAACGAGTTTATGAGGTATGAGTTATTACGAGTATGATTGGATAGAAAAGAATGGAACCTGTATAGAGATTGAGAATAATAGTCAAGTAGAATACCTACTCCATTCAGTCACTTGAATATAAATATCTTCTTTTCATATCGCCGAGCTTGTTTTCGTATGATGTCGATTTAACTTGTTTAATTGACATTATCTCAGCTAGATATGAGGTATGTAGATATGTACTAACTATAGGGGTATCATCATTCTTGCGTAACGCCATGGCGAGTCGACTACCAAGCCAGGCCAACTAGCCGCCCCGAAACCCGAGACGCTACTTTCTTCCTTTCTTCCGCACACAATAATAAACAACTAGAACTGTGCCAGCATGGTAAGCGCCAGCATGTAATGTCACGACATATCAAAAGCCATCAAGCAACCTCTCAATCTTGCTCCGCTCCACAGCCTCTAGATCCTCCATCACAACGTCCTCGCCAGGCGCCGGGTCCGGCAACTGGGCGACACGGGAGGCGACGCGTACCAATAGCACGCGCATGCGCTCGAGTTCCTTTTCCATTTCGCCGTCGCGCGTGACGAGGTTCGGTTGGACTTTTTCGACGCCGGATTCGCTTGAATTGCCGACTTCGTTCGCACCGCTACTACTTTGCGGTTTGGAGGAGTCGATGGCGGAAGAGGAGGGGGTGGTGGTGGCAGAAGAAAAGGGAGCTAGTAAGTTGCGCATTCGACGGAGACGATCGAGGCGCGCGCGGGTTTCTTTTCGCCGCGAGGAGAGGATTGATAGCGAGGTTGCGAGGTCGGCGTAACGTAGGGCTTCGGCGGGGTGGGCTTCGGATTGCGAGGTTGAGTGTTGGTCCCATGTGTTGGGGAGGGAGGCGATGACTTCGTCGGATGCTAAGTACGGTATCTAGTTAGCAAGAAGCTCTATAATATTATATATCATCATAGAGAAGTAAACATACCAAAATCCGCACCCACCATCAAAAACTTGGGTCCTCCACCTCCCAACCCCGTCCCTACATCTACCCCGTCATCGTCGTCCCCCCCTCCCCCCCCTTCCCCGCGCACAGCCCTCTCTGCAGCCTCCAAGTACAGCGTCTCGATCTGCTCCGCGACATGCCGACTAGCCTGGGGCGCATACACGCGGCGCGCGTGTTGCTGCAAGATGTGGTTGGCGCGGTACAGCACCTCGTCGACGACGCGGTCGCTTAGGCTGCCGCCGTTGTCGGGGATGCGCTGGTTGGATGTGCGCCATGTGGTGCTCGGTGCGAGGGATTGGGATAGGTGGAGGGTCTGCGCGGTGAGGAAGGAGGATTTGTGGGCGAGGATCGTGGGGGGCGCCATGGTGGTGGTGGTTTATTTGGGAGTTCTAGGTGTTGCGCTGGGGTTCTCTTCTAGTAGAGTTAAGATGTAGGGCGCATCGTTTGGCGGTTTTAATTCTTTGAATTTTGAGGCACGGGTAGAAGAATAGCTTTCTAATTAGCCAATCGTTTGTATAATTGATTTCTATTTCCTCTATCCGAAACGGTTGTAAATTGAGTTGGCTTAAAGTGGTATATTGTGTGATATATTGTACTTATTGAAAGATCTTGAAAGATCGCGTCGCGTCTTGGAGATCTAGGTACATACCCCGCGTTTTTATCTAGCGGGTCCACTGCGGGGTCTATTCAGGGTCCAAGATGTGCATGTAGGTACCTTACATAAGGTACCATAAACTACCTTAGGTACCTAGGTACATACTGGAGTTATTAAGTGCGCAAAGACTAAATTATAACTATTCTCAACTTCTCCCTTATATTCCAATTCCACTCATCTACGCTTTCTTTCTGGCCCCCGTTGAAAATGTATTGAGGTCAATTTGGAAAGCGAATTGCAAAGCAATCTTAATTAAAAGATAGCAACACGATATAACCAATAATCAAACATTTATACGGCACTGAGGATACTCCTGCTATAACAGAAGTCGAATCTATTTCTCATCTCATTTAATCATATCAAATATTTCCCTCCAAAACCCTATCTCAAATAAGACGCCTCGCCATAATTTTCATCGACATTCGTCACACATCATGGGCAATGATTTTCCATGTTTGAATTCTTTCAGAATTCATCACAGTCCCGACCACCAAAATGTCTCAGCCACCTTGAACGAACCCTTCACAGCTTTACTTTCTTTAACCTCACTGCTGTCACTGACAATGACATCGTACTCGCCCTCCTCGACGCACCATTGATCGCGCTCCTCGTCCCAGTAACTAGCCGCGTATTTTTTCGCAACCTTTACAGAAACCGTCTTAATTTCGCCTGGTGCTAGCTCTACCTTGGCGAAACCCTTGAGTTCTTTGACTGGCCGATTCACCTTAGCTTTCTGTTTGGGCGCCACGTAGACCTGCGCAACCTCGGCACCCTTTACGCCGCCCGTATTTTTAACGGCAACTAATATAGTTAATTCCCCGTCTTTTTCGGTGACCGACAGGTCTGAAAACGCGAAGCTCGTGTAGCTCAAGCCGTGTCCAAAAGGGAATAAGACCTCGCGATCGGCAAATTCGTAGTACCGGTAACCGATGTAGATGTCCTCGCCGTAGATCACTCGACCGCCTTCGGTCCGGTAATTCAGAAATGCCGGGTTATGCTGGACGCGAACTGGGAAACTGAGACTAAGCTTTCCAGAAGGATTTACGTCACCGAAGAGAATATCCGCAATGGTATTTCCCGTCTCGTTGCCGCCGTACCAAGCGTGGATAAGAGCATTTACGTCGTTGATCCAAGGCATCTCTACTGGGGTACCGGACTGCATGACCACTGCTGTGTTGGGATTGGCTTTGGCGACAGCAGCGATCAGATCATCTAAGCCGGGAGGGAGGCTCATGTCGGTGCGGTCATTGCCTTCGGTTTCCCATTCGGCGTTAAGCCCGGTGCATACGATGACTTGATCGGCACCCCGAGCCAGCTCTACAGCGTAGGCTATCTCAGCTTTTGGATCGATAATCTTACAGCCGCCGACCCTGAGCGCGCCGCCGTTGAGAAGAACCGCACCGCCTCCTAGCTTAGACGTTGGACTCGATCCAAACGTGACCTTGAAGTTGTAGGTCTTTCCCTTTTCCAACTTGTAGGTCCCTTTCACTTCGATCGTGGCACTACCAAAGAATGCCTCGCCTAATGTCTGTTTTGTGGTGTTGTCGACAATTAGCTCGTCATTAATGTAAAGATTTGCCGATCCGGACACAACAACCCCGAATTCCCAGGTCGCGTCTTCCTCAGCAACTAACGATCCCTCAAGAGTCGCATACCAGAGAGGACCCTTCACGTTCGGATTTGAGTAGTCAATTAGTAGCATCTCCGTCTTCAGAAGCTCTAGTTGGTCAACTGGTTTCCTGTCTAGAATATCGTGTCCCTCTGTGTAAACCTTCATGGTCATCCCTTGTGCACCCTTGCCTGACTTGGTTGAATAGCCGAGGAGCGGTAACAACTTGTGTGAGTATTGGCCGATTGTATAATCTGGAGCCGAGGACAACTTGTTACTGATACCGTCGAATGGAGTCACGGCATAATACGCAGCCAAAGACGCGGATCCTCCTCCGTGGTATGTTGCAACCTTGGCGTTCGGTCCAATGATTACAGTCTAGAAATATCAGGTAATTAGCTATCAGGAGCCCAAAGTCTGAGCAGAGTTAGAGAAGAATACCGTACCTTCTTATCCTTTTTAAGGGGAAGGACATCATTCTCGTTCTTCAACAAGACGATTCCCTCATTGCCTATTCGTCGAAGAAGCTCGGCCGTTTCAGGGGTATCAGCTGTACCTTCAGGGGCGTTCTCTTTCACGCCGCTAGCACCACACTTTTTGATAAATTCCAACATAGTCTTCACTCGCTGATCTAGGATATGGGTGCGAACTTTGTCGGTCGAGACGTTGAATTTTAACGGCCCGCCCCTGAATCGTGGCGGACCAGGCATCTCAAGATCAAGACCAGCTATCGCCGCCTCTGTAGTGCTGTATGTGCCGTACCAGTCACTCATGATCATTCCATCCCAACCCCATTCCCCACGTAGCATCTGGTCCAAAAGCTTGGGGTTCTCGCTACAGTACGTCCCGTTGACTCCATTGTAACCTGTCATAAACGATGCCGGATTGGAATCGCGAACGACTAGTTGGAACGGCAGCGCATATATCTCACGCAGTGCTCGTTCTGTGATGATTGCTTGGACGGCATTTCGTTTGTGTTCGTGGTCATTACAAACGAAATGCTTAATAGTAGCTTGGATCCCGGTTGACTGGATACCCCTGACGAGCGCAGCTGCACCCAACCCAGCTAGGAAAGGGTCCTCGCCAAGCGACTCGAATCCTCGGCCACCCAAAGGTCCTCGCTGCATGTTTATAGTAGGCCCTAGGATTGCGTGTGCTCCCTTTACCTTGGCCTCGTCTCCCATTTTCCTTCCTGCTTCTTCTAGAAGCTCGAGGTTGAAAGTAGCACCTAAGCCAGTCCCGCAAGGAAAACAAGCAGCTTTGATGCCATTGAAGAACTTGGTACCGCGAACACCATTGGGCCCGTCAGTTAAACGCAACGAAGGGATGCCGTGTTCTGGGAGGCCTTTTGTGTGCCAAAAGTCGATACCTGCCAGAAGATCGACCTTGTCGCTCATAGAGAGCTTTTTGAGGACCTGTTCTACATTTATATCCGCCATCGTTACTTTAACTCGGAGGGAAACGGTGAGAATGAAAATAACTGCTGAATACCCAGAACAGGCAGGAAGAAAAGAAAGAAGATGAAGATAGAAGAAAGAGGAAGGAGAAAGAGATCGGGGTTTTAACTACTCGAAGAACAATTCATTACTTATTACTACCTTTATAGCTCGAAACTAAACCCACCGCCACTACCGCGTAGTACTTCCCTACCCCATACAAGGTTCAACAGCAGACAGCATACAAGGAGGTACGACCAATATTGACCAAGCAGGATACGCAATTCACAGAGGTCGCGGCTTGGCGGTGTATTTCGTGGGGTCATGTAAGATCGGCTCTCGTCTGCCGTCCCATCGTCTGCGACCCTCCGGCATCTTCTCCTGGTAGGCACAAGCCCCCCTTTCCCCCCCAAACGTATGAATTGTGACCCTCGACACCGGAACGCAATCGGGGGGGACAAGCCATCCAAGGAAAAAAAAAACGTTGAAGCGGTCTCTTTCAATGTAGTGTAGATCGGCGCCGGGTCGCGGGCCGCTCGACCCGGACTCCCGCCCGAAGATTTCCCAGTAGCGCGCCGCAATAGGGGGGCCCCGAGGTTTCTCCAGTCCAACCATCGGCTGTGGTTATACAGCTAGCTGCCGACAGGGTCCCGATATGTAGTCCTGAACGCTTGGACGCAAGGTGCTGCTACTTCGGTTACGCGTTCGTCGTGACTTTGCCCCGAGTTCGCTGGGTTTTGTAGAATTCTAAATAGGAAATAAGACCGATCGATTAGTTCGTTGACGGCCTAGTCAGTGATTAGAAAGCACGGTATTTTTGTTTTAGTCCGTACGCTATTCTATATGATCTCCTATCAGAGACGTACATAAGTTATGCTTACCCATGTCATGTATATCAGTCGTAAGCAGCTATATGGAAGATAAATTCACAATGTTGTGACAGCGGGACAGTTACACAGAACACATAAAAGTTCATACATCACATAGAATTAAATATAAGGTCTATATAATTACTAAAGTAGCTAGTTGGTATCATGAATATTGTCATAACGCCTGTTCAATTAAAGATTGAAATTGGTCGCAAATCACAAAATGTGAATCGATATCTTCACAGTATCCAACTGGTCGTGGATTGAAGGGCAATGGTTGGATACATTCATTCAAAGGGTTGTATTTTATATAAAACATAGAAAAATAAAACTTTTACACCAATAGCTTTAGGCCTAAAGGTCATGACAAGGCCACATAAATACCTCTAGAAATACATACCCGTGTCTAGGTATATCCCAAGCAGGTATTGGCCCTGTGTTATAGCTCCTTTCGACGTAATAGAGATGTACATTTCAATGGTTACCGGTCTTATATATTCTTAGTTTATGAAAATTTACTCGGAAAGCTTATAAGCTGGTAGTCCTGAAGTATCTATAGCCTTAGTAAAAGAGGCAGACCTAAAATGCGTACAAACAACTTATTTTCTGCAAGGAACCCCGAATGTGAGTTACAGATGCTAGTGGTCGTGTGTACTCAGAAATAGCATTCTTCTAGAATTATAACACTTAGGCTGTGATCTGTTGTTGTGTTTACCCAATGCCTATAGTGCTAGATTCTAGAACTACCATATTAAAGCTTCTAACCTGAACCCCCCCGGAGAGTATTTTCTATATTTGAATATTGACCTCGTCTTGTCCTTTTACTAGTGCGTAAATTTCCTCATTAACAAAACCAATACCTATATATCTAGTACTTACGTATCCCCGTGAGATTGCCGTGGTTTTACGCAATACAAATAGCTATGCTTTCACAGGCCAACTTAACACAGATTCCCATACTCATAATACAGAATCATGATATTGAGAAGAAACCTTGCTTAGGGCGATGCTGTTATTTTCCCATAAACCATAATATAATCAAGTTTTACAAGAATTCGCATCCTGAAAGCAGACACATACCTCGGAGATAGGTATTAGATTTACGTCTCATAAAAAATGGTGCCTACTTGCTTATTTACCCACGTCTGTTGGAATTACCGATCTTACTTAGACACCACTAACGCATTCCGGGCCAAGTTTCGGTATGCTTTAGATAGACAGTCATACGATTCATATGCAATTGTCATGAGATGACCGGGCATATCTGACATGAGGCACATTATTTCCAGCCACTAATAAGGAAAAGTATCATTAGCTATTTGTAGACAGATCTACGTTAGGTAATAATGAAATAATGAAATAATGGACCATAGAACTTTGGTTAGATAATAATCTGAAAGAAAGGGGGACGACAAAAGCGTCTTCCACTGACGATATCACTGAATGGTTAAAGTGATACCCAAAGTATATTATTAATCAGAAGTCGAGGATGCCATACGATATGTTATCACTGATCTTGTCGGTATGATAATCCTGCCGATTGCTAGACAAATATGCCTCTTGGTTCGCGGGAATAAGTTGATCTTCTGGAGATGTGTCAGGCTAGTTCAAAACAATAGGATAAGACTGTTCTCGGAGCCTCGGAAGTGCGGTAGAAGGGCGAATACAATATAAACACCGAAGCTAAATGATGATTATCGGCTTTAATACATATTAGCTGATTAACAACAAATTTAAATCCTAGCTCGTTACAGCTTGCAAAGGGATTTTACCTGTTTAAACCCGTAATCTTCGAATACAGTGGGTTTGAATAAGTAAACTCCTGCTCCTATATAGTTAATGAGGTAAGATGCGGCGCCGTAGACGGTGCAACCTAATTCGCCGTCTAAGTCCGAGGTTCGTAAGATGTAGGACCCCACATAGACGACGGGACCCGGATGGGGCCTGACGTTTAAATCGGAGCCAACAATTATGCCGAGGTGGTGGTCTGGTCAGGTTAATTGTATCATATATTACAGAATTGGCTATATGCGGTAGAGCAGGCATAGGGTCAACTACCGAATCAGGGGGGTAGCCTTAGGTACCTAGATGAACCTATAGCGTTAACCTAGTCTAGGTCAAGTCGCCCGGGTGAAAGCATCGGGGTATATAGAGTATAAATGATGCCATCAATATGATACTTGAAGCTTGCGGATTGCCAGAACAGCCCCCTTTCCTCATTTCATCTCGCGCAACCCTTTTGAACAATTTTACAAGGTTTCGAAAAGGAACCCCAAACCACCAATTCCTTGTGCTCAAACCACTATAATGGCAGCATCGCATCGAGTTCTCCTTACGGGAGCAAACGGCTTCATTGCGCAGCATGTTCTGTCGCAACTTCTCGAAGCGGGGTTCTCGGTACGCGCCATCGCTCGTTCAGAGTCCAAGATTGACGTCCTCAAAAAGAGCTTCAGCAAATATGTGAGCACGCCGCAACTAGACTTTGGTGTCGTACCCGATATCACTGTTCCTGGCGCCTTCGACGGCGTCTTGGTATCTAACCCTCCGTTCGACATCGTCGTCCATACGGCCTCCCCTTTCTTCATCCGGGCGGTCAAAAGCACAGACTTTTTAGACCCAGCCATTAAAGGCACAACAGAAATTCTGTCGGGCATAACTCGCGTGGCACCAAGCGTTAAGCGCGTCGTCGTCACATCATCGTTCGCTGCTATTGGAGATATGGCTGCAAACCCAATCGCGAACCCTCCAAGAATCTATACGAGAGATGATTGGAACCCTACGACGCTTGAACAAGCATTAGCAACGGATAACCCGAATATAACGTACCCGGCTAGTAAAGCACTTGCGGAGAAGGCGGCGTGGGATTTTGTAAAAGAGGGCAAAGGCAACTTTGAGTTGGTGACGTTAAACCCGCCCGGCGTCTACGGGCCACTCTTCGACGCCTCCCAGATTGCGAAGCCAGAAGACCTCAACGCAAGCACAAGCCTAATTTATCAGTCTCTTCTGCGGCCTGGCTTGAAGTCGACTGATCCTGTTCCTACTACATTTATATATCTTTGGGTTGACGTACGCGACCTTGCACAAGCTCACGTACTGGCTGCCACCAAACCAGAGGCTGCAAACAAGCGATGGTTTATCGTTGCAGGTGATTTAAGTTATCAGGAAATGGCCAACTATCTGCGCGAGGCGTTGCCAGAGAAGAGAGACGTGATACCCGTGGGCGAGCCGGAGAAGACGCAAAAACCAGAGGGATTCTACGGAGCAAGCGCCCCTGAAACCGAACAGGTACTTGGTGTAAAGTATAGGTCGGCTGCAGAGTCCATCAAGGATCTGGCGCCGCAGTTAGTTGAGATCGAGAAGAGAGCGGCAGCTTCATCCTCGTGAGTCAAGATGTCAAGGTGTCAAGGTGTCAAGGTGCCGAGGTGTGAAGATGGGATAGATTAGGTCGGTTGTTGTTTTTATTGAAATGGAAAGCCCAGCTCTTTATCGATAGTTGAAGGAGGGAATGCATAATCAATTCCACTTACCTTATGTACCTAACATTAGATAGTATAAAATGTACTGTGTCGTGTTGCACAAACATTAGGTACGTTCATGCTGCCCTTGGCACCCAAATATTGAACATCAAGTGGCTCCTGCCACAGATATTGATATACATTACAACTCAAGTACAGCTGAGGTGTGGAGTTACCTAACCTAGGGTGGTACCCCTCCGTAACTGCCCCTCGATTCCCTAAGGCCTAATTCCCCCAGGCCTAAAAACAGAATGTGGAGCCTTCTAGGTACAATGTAATTTGTAAACTCTTTTACAACTTCACAACTTCATTCACTTCTACGATTTATTTATATATAAAAGCCTAGGTTTTAACTTCTAGGTATCTGACCGACTCGACTTCATTTATGGGTTTTAAAAAGGTACCGAGTGCTTTATGTTGAAAGACTCGGAATCTCTTCTCTTCGTAACAAACAGGCTGTTACGTGTTGATGCTACTCATTATCTTCGACGCACTCATTCCATCTCCAACTCAAATACTTGCCAATTTAACGCCTCGATTAATGCCTCGATTAACCTGATGCTTTCATCAACGCACCTCCTTTCACTATGACAGACAACCAGGCGGATTCCAATTTTCGCTCCATCGTGAATGCTGCTGCTGCAACGTGGTATTCGCGGCACACGGGTTCACCCGAACATATCCAATCTAATAGTGAGTATGATGACTATCCACCTATACGCCGTAGCTATTACTTACGGTCCTCCAAAGGCGGTAGCCAGCAGGAAGCCGGTTCCGACCACGTAGATGAAAATGAGGGTCCGGCAATAAATGACCCGGTAACGAATGGTTCGGAATTCCACAGTAATCTAACTACCTGGGAAAGCACATTGGAAGTTCTGCCGGATGAGATGAAGAACATGCCACTCCCGGTTCACCCGCTCGCCCAAGCTTTGGCGGAGCAGCGTACCTTACGTCAAGTCGAATGGAATCGATATAGGCAGCAAGGTGGATTCAAACCAAGGACGGCTATTGACTATAGTTCCTTGATGATCTACTTATCAGGACAAGTCAACCCAAATCCATGTCGCAACTGTCGGTTAAAGAATGGCCCCTTCGCCCGCTGCATCGTGGCACCTCCCTCAGTTCTCGCATTGAGCAGCCTTAAGCACGCGTGTGCCAACTGCACCTACCAGAACCAGCACAAAAAGTGTACAAATCTCCCTATTGACGACGAGGAATTGGTAGCGAAGAGCCGGATGGCTAGGTCGACCCAGAAATTAAAAAATCCCGCTCCGATGAAGCCCCCTGGCCGGAGACCTAACTCTATTTCTGATGGCACTCCTCACTATACGCCAAGGTACAAACCGGATCAAAAGCAAATGATTCGCAAACCCACAGCGCGTAGCATTACTGCAGACGCATTCGGCGACAAGCTTCGTCAAGTTCGCTCATGGTCACCGCGATCTCGACGGCTGATGAAGGCTGAAGTAATGCAATGGGAGGCAGCGATTATGACGATCGAGGCTGAGAATACCCGATCTCCGCGTATAGACCGTGTGCTCGATAGTCAAGGCCAGCTCGAAATATCCAATAAGCCCATTGGCCTCCCACCTACTTCACAAGCCCCTTGGCACCCCAGTGAATCTTATTCGGGCTTGACTGGCGCTGCTTCGATGGACGAGTCTTTGGATGAAATAGAAGCTGAGGAATACGGTGAGATATATAGCCGGCATCAGATGGCAGAGGATGACGAAGACGAAAACGAAGGGGAGAGTGATTATGAAGGCTCACCGTGGGTTGGTTACCACGGTATAGGACCCGGACTGAAACCTCCGCTTTAAGGGGTGGTATGCAGTCTAAGATATAGATAGGAAAAGGCCGCATTTCAACGTTGACTAAACATCTTAACCTGTTTAATTGCCCCAGCAGTGAGTTGATATATAAATTACTTCAGTTATATCCTGCTGATAATGTAAATAGCATCTGCTATATCTTCTTTATCATTCGCTTGGCCACTTGGCTTCGTGCGTTCCCCTTAAGCAGCTCCCTAAATCATATCCTAATCTTGTTGTCTCATATGTAGCCGCGGGCCCAATAAATACCATATCTTCATCAGTCTCTCCAAGGTCAGCCTTGAGAGTCAAGTAATATCTTGGATCTAATAATTGCGGTACCTTCTCCGGTAAACCGCGTACCAACTAATATATAATTTAGCACACGAGCTCGAAACGAGCATAACTTTCCAAAGCACGAGTACTTACCACCCTTGCTTGTCTGTGTAAATCATCATAATGCCGCGATTTTAAATCAGGCCACATATCGCGCAACGACTGTTGTACTTCGGGGCTCTGGGTTCCGAGGGATATTATGAAGCTGTTAAGCTGATTTAGCGACATGGACACAAGATAATTGCCCCCTTTCTTCGATCGCTTGTCTAGCGCATTTATGATTCCGATGCACCCCACGATACCAGTCTGGAAGTCGGAATTGGGCAGGAATGGCATCACCGGCTCGTCGGCATCCCACATCCGAGCGAATAGCCACGCAACTCCCGTTACGGCGTCGCTGATCTGCTGCCATCCGCTGCGATGCTTCCACGGACCCTTCCAGCCGTAGCAGTTCTCGCGCGCGTATACGATGCCTTTACCCCGTCTCCTAGCTATCTCATGCACATACGTTGGCCCGAATCCGAGCTTTTCTAGGGCACCTGGTCGGTAGCCGTCGAGCACGACGTCCGCGTTTTCTATTAGATTCCGGAGTGCTTCCCGCCCTTCTTCGCTTTTTAAGTCAAGATGCGCATCCCGCTTGCCGAGATTGCTCTCGAATAGCACAATACCTAGATCAGGCAGTTTCGTATTCGATACCCTGACTACAATGGCCCCGAACAAAGCCGCCAGCTTCGCCATCGTCGGGCCCGCAATCGCCCGTGTGAGATCGACGATCTTGATACCCTCTAAGGGTCTATATGTCTTGGTATCGACCTTGGGCCACGGCACCGGCGGTAACCTTTCGTCGGGAAGCTCTTCTAGTATATATAATCCGTCATCAGCTATAGATTTTCCTTGCTCGGTCGCGCTATACTCTTCGGGAGTAAAACAGATTCCTCCCGCCTGCCTCCAGTACTCGTTGGCTTCGATATCCAACCAATCCGCATCAAACTGCTGCACTCTCTCCGAGAGCCCCTTAATCGCCTCCATTTCGTCTGCAACATCCTTGTGCGCCGGCAACCCGAGCATCCGGAGGCTCCGATCGGAATCCAAGCCGCCGTGCAAGTGGAACCAGCGACCATCCCGCGTCGGGTAAACATTGGTGACAAGCCGCCTCCAGAATGTGAACTGCCGCGTAGTGTCATAGATCGAGTACCTCTTTACCAGCTGCGGATCGGAAACCGATTTCCCGCCGACCTGCAGAAGCCAGAACGAGAATAGAAACGCGGAGGCGACGTCGCTATTCACGATAACGCGTTGGTCGGCGAGACCGTACCGCTCAGCGGCCACGGCATTACCAAAGGTCGCAAGTAAAGCCCATAGCGCCGCGCTTGACTCGGTGCACTTTATGGGGGCCGGTAAGAAGGGTGCTTTTAGCGCGGAGGAGTCAAACGAAGTGCGCTGCGCTGCGTCTTGGACAGACTGCGGAATCTGTAGACGCGGATCCGTGAGAAGCACCGAGTGTAGGATGCGTGACGCTTCCTTCTGGACGGTATAGTTTTCGTCTTCCATTTTTCTACGCCTGTATTAAGACGTGCCTTGCTATTTCAAACTTATTTACTTGGGAGTTTCATAAGTGTTATCTTATAAAAGTCCGTATATATAGGTAAGTAGACTTGACCACTCATATACATGCACTGATATAGACACCTGTACATATATGGAGGTAGGCTAGGGGCATGTGTAATTGTATACTCGCCTATCTAACATGCAAGACCCCAATGTCCTGCGGGGAAGATGCACGGCATGGCGCCGAGTAGCATTTTATCCGCGGTTGCGGACTGCATGCAGGAGAGCTGATGTCGGTAGATCAGTAACGGCTGAATAGTGGCATATGGAGGTTATTGGAGACTTTGGTGTTGAAGATATTTTGAGGCATTATTTCCTATCTTGTCGAATGAGTGGTGCTGATATTGAAGGTGTTCGAGTATCTAGATTCAACCTTTTAAGGTCAAAGTCTCCTATAAATAATCACTTCTTGTTCGATTACCTATATTTAAATCCTATTAGCACTATTAGCATAGCCCCTGACTACATTATGTACCTAACATACAATGCATGATCACACAAGTATATAATACCTATTACCTAACCTAACCTGTTTTGTTCAAGTAGAATCGTTACAAGCTTGTAGCTCTTGCTGTAAATTGTCAATTCACCATCCACGTAGCGCCTAATTTCAACATAGAGTTTACAGTCTAAGAAGTTGTGGCCTCGTGCCGTCGCTAGCCTGTCTCAGAAATAATCACGCCTAGGGGTTTCCTTTCTAGACTTTCCTCCTCTAACCTCTAACCTAGACTTTCCACTTTACAATAACAACTTTGTTCTTTATGTTTCTTGCCCAGGGTCCCAGATATATGACATGCTAAATCCGGTCTGCCAGTCTATCCGTGGAGCTCCGTAGCTCTGCTCAAGTAGATATGATGTTCTAAGAGTTGGTCTTCTTGGGCACATATTATATTCTGTATCAACCAACCTTCTGATGGCGTCGACTATTGCAAGCTATACAACGAGCTCTTCTCCTGTTTCCTTCCAAGATCCTGAAGATTTGACTATTGAACTTCAACCCGCGCCTCTGCGCCTCCCCCGACGAAGAACCGATCCGAATCTCGATGGAACGAACTCCGCAGCTGAAGAACAAATGTCTATTGTAGATGGAAACAACTCTACCCCTACTGCTCGTCGAGAAAGTATCAGCCCTCCACCCATACCCAAGAGTCTATCGCAACGCCGCGCTCCAGCCCACAAATTGGGACCACTTGTATCAAAGTTCGAGACACTTGACGCAGTAAATACTGCTGATACCATCTCTCCTCTCGATTCTAAACCTGTTGCGATTCCCCGAGTCCAGAGGCCATTGAGACACAGCCGAGCAAGTGAATCTCTACAATCTATTGCTTCAGAGAAGTATTCGACCCCTGCAAACTCCTTAGATGTTCTTCCAAGACGAGATGAACCCCCACTACCATTCAGCAACAGGCCAAAACTCCCGATCAAAGCGATATTAAAGAAGCCCTCGGTAGAAGATAATGTTGAAGCAGGCTATTGCTTCCGTGGGGCGGTAAAGGAAGACACATTCGTCAAAGAACAAGGGCAATCTTCAGAAAAAGACGTTTCGCCTGTTCAGGAATTGAAAGAAGGTGATCGGAATTCTGACAATTCCCATAATGTCACTTCTCCGACAGGTAATGGACCTGGATAGGATCCAAGGTTGATTTCAGATCGGAGAAGGGTTTTCGAGAATAGTAGTGGTAAGTTTGCTAATGAAGATTCCGTTGTTAGAATGAAATGTTGGGCAAGGCTAAATATATAGAAGATTCCCCTATCGCTAAGTCGACGAGCTCAACATCAAACCAATTAGCGACCCAGAAGACAACGTCTACTCTGGCGACTAGCTCATCACAGCCTCTTCCAGCCTTCAATTCCTCTCAGGGGATATCACCAACTAAGTCAAAACTACAGACTATCTCCACTCTCAAATGTTCTCAGAAGGGAGATGTCGACAAAGATGAGCAAAGTTATCACGGTATTGAGAAGCCAGTACGTAGAAAGGACGAGCTTACGGCTTCCTCGAAAATCCCTGTAAAAAAGGCACAGATGAGCGTTGCAGATCTTCGCAAATCCTTCGAGAAAAACACACAGGCAACAGGGCCCGAACCCCAAATTCTAAATAAGTCTAAGCTATCTTCAGAGATATCAAACGATCATGTTGCTCGAATTAGCAAGGAAACAGTCCATTCCTACCACTCTGGTAATCGAAGAAGTATTTCTTCGACCAGAAAAGCAGCCCGGAAGGATGTTATAGCTCAAAATCGAAAACTTATCCATACCAGGTCTGAAAATAGACTATCAGAACAGTCTCTACCAGTTCCATATACCACCAGCACATCAGAACTTACCAGGACAGCTTATCAGCCGGAGAGCAGTCGAACTCGCCGGATAAATAACCGTAATCTCGAAGGAGCCGTGTCGCTTGAGGGCGAAGTAGCTCCAGATGCCGGGAGAGGACTGAATGAACCCAGCACCACGGCTATCCCCGATGCTCAAGCCATTCGAGGAAACAAATTCTCCCGTACAAGTAGAATTCATTCGATCCTAGTCAATAATTCAAAGGCCAGCTTCAACAGCATAATGACAAGTAGACATCCCATGGCGAACAATGGAGTAACGCCAGAATCAAGTAGGGTTCAAAAGCCTGCATCAAAGCCGATATCAAAACCGGAATCTGCGGCAAGGTGCTCAGGCAAGGTATCTGATCTTCGGAGACTTTTTGAGAGGTCCTCACCTCGAGAGTCATCTCCGAACTCATTTAAGTCTTTTTGGCAAAACAGGGGTCGAAATAAACCAGTAGTCAAAGCAGAAAGAGCATCTAATATTCGACAAGGCTTAAATATGTCGTCAACCACATTGGCCACACAGATAAGTCCCGTGAAGAAGATCAAAGTTCCCGAGTTGACAACAGAGATATCAATTAATGATTTCGCCTGTGACTTCTCTGAACCATAGGATGGTGCGCGACCAGCAACACCAGGGGCGCACGCGGAAACGAATACCATTGGAAGCCAGTCAATTAAACAGGAATCCCCTGTAAAAGATCGCATCCAACAGTTCGAAAGTTTGGAAACAGGCCCATTAGATAATAATTCAACTCCGAGTTACTACGATGTCAACCCGAATATTTCTCCTAATAAACAAAAAGCCGATGTTAGTCAAATAGAACCTCAAGCTAATCGGCACTCGCTTAGACAACGAAAAGCAAGGTTGTGGCGACGAATCTCAAATACGTTTACTCGATCGATCGACGGAGGGAATATCAATAGTAATGACAGGAATCAATGTGGTTCGGGCCGGGATAATAATGATATTAATAATGACCCATCATCCTCGATACGCCGTCGACCTCGATATTGTCGTTCAAATCTCCTTGGTTATCATCTGTACCGCACATCTGAAGTAATTCAGTCATCGACTGATTCGGTTTATACCAGATCAAACATCAATATCAATGAAAAGTTAATTGAGAGGCTCGAGAACCAGCATCCATATATAGCTTATAGGCGATCACCGTCCAGTTATCTATCAATGCGCAAAACGTTTCCTTTCTTAGCTCGTATGTCGGATGATCTGGGCTGCTCGGATGAATTCGACGATTTTGGACTCGACGGTTCCGTGTTGTCCAAGGCTATTCATCGGCGGGATAAGTCATCTGCTGGACAAACCTCACAAGGCCTATCTTCGCCTGTATCTTATAGCGATTCTAACGCCGTATCGAGTACCACGTCCAAACAGACAACGGCAGAGCGCAAGCGTCGCCGCTTAGAAGAGAAAGAGCTCCGAAAAGAACAGAGACAGAAAAATAAAGAAAAGGCGATGGAAAAGGGTAAAGGAAAAGAGGCAGCAGTAGACGACAACCAGGGAGCGGGTAGTGCACAAGATAGGGAGAAGGGCAAGGATACCGAAGGCAAGAAGAAAGAAAGTAGTTGGAGCAAAAAAACGGCCTCTGGGTTTATGGTTAGGCAAATCCACGATATCAAGCTAAAGCATCCGAAGCCGAGGAGACCAGGTCAAATAAAAAAGATTGTTAACATGTACAAAGACAAGTCCACCAGCGGGATCAGACTCGGCAAGGGGAGCGGCGTTAGCTCTGGGTCAGGTACTGCAGGTATCGCAGGCGCATCAAGCAACTGAACCAGCGGACTTTATTGTATTGGGCATGGGCGTAAAGATTAGAAGCGGCAAGCAGATAGTATTAGTTATTAGATTGTAGACTCGGGACTTTTTGAGAAACGAAGGAAACAGGGGAAGACGACTATGAGTAGCACAGAGAGCTGTCTTATCGAGTATTGGATACCCCCGTGGTCGGCCATTATCGAACTAGCTTGAGGACCACGGAGGAGAGGACGTAATAGAACACCTAAGATACAGAAGACATTCTTTAGCCAATGAAAGAAGGGGTTATCCGGGTATGCGCTACGAGAAATACATAGGTACATTCTATTTAGTTACTCTTTTCTGTGAAGACGATCAGCTATATCACATTGACCGTGTAGTCTTTTGCTTTACCTAGTTGATATCGTTATGGTTTCCGCGGTAGTTACTTGTCATATACCTTCCAATATAGGTAGGTACCTATATAAAGGGGTATGCGGACGCAACATAACCACATCTAGCAACACGAACTTGAATAGACTCGAGGTATCTTGAAACCACCCTATATTAACAGCCGAAACTTCATTATCTCTTATTCGCATCTTAACCTTACTAAGCCCAAACATCAAACTGTAGGCATTAGTTAACTAGATCCCCCTTTGGATAGACAGCTATACTGGGTGAGGTACCTAGGTAGTTAATTATAGGCCCATCGACTTCTTTACACCAAACTACCTTATCCATACCCATAACCTTCATATCTTCGTACCAAAACCCTTAGGTATCTACCCAACTTACCCAACTTACCCGACAAGTCCCATCCCTCTCCCAATCTTCCTCGCAAGCGCCTTTTTCAAAAACCACTCCCGCGCTAACCCGCGCGTCGTCCGGGCGAAAACAGCAGGACTTATACGGCCGCGCTCAACGGCGCGTCCCAGTACGAATATCGCGTCGCCGAGAGCGCGCTCCTCGGCTACTACGTCATACAACTGGTTTGCGACGACGGTGGGTGCGACTAATAAGTCGTCGATAGGCGGGGGTTCGCGGGTGCGCGCGTTGGATACCACGCGGTCTGCTTCTTGGAGCGAGTGCTGCAAAATCGAGGTGTTGGACGCTAGCATTGCCGATAGGGGGCCTAGGGCCAAGGCGTCGGATTGTAGGTTTTGCAGCGCGGAGAGCATAGCGGCGCGTTGGGCGGAGAGGCCGGCTAGAGAGGACTCGTTTTGGACGCGGGCACGCTGGCGTAGACCGTAGAGAGTCGAGGCGAGTTGTTGGAGGAGGGCGTCTTTTTCGGGGTTCGGGGGGATAGGGGGTGGTGGGAGGTCATTGGCAGAGGGCTCTGGTAAGGCTAGGGAGAAGGGCTCGTCCATGAGATCCGGGGGTGGAGGAGGTTTAGGCTTTGATTGCGCTTGAAGCTGTTGTGGTGGGGGTTGCTGCCAAGTTTGAGGTGGGCCGGCGTATGGTGGCTGTCCTGGGACGACGGTGGCGTTGTATGGGATAGGAGTTACGGGGGATATCATGGATGTGCGGCGAGAATCCTGCGGTGTAAGTCCGCGAGGAGGTGGACCGCATTGCTGATATGCATGTTGCTGTTGAGGCTGTGGCTGGTATTGAGCATTAGGGGGCGGTTGTTGATACGATTGTGGTGGATGAGGTGGTAGGGGAGGCGCCGCATCGTATCTTGAGAGCCGATTTGGTTGCGGTGAATGCGTCGTTGCTACCGGAGCGCCGTATTGACTTGACTGCCGACGAATATCTTCTGGTAGAGGGGGTCGTGGGGGACCGTCCGTGTGAGCAGTCGGGCCTGACACTACCTGAGGGAGGTCGCTACCTTTGGGAGGAGGCGGTGGCGGCCTTGGATCCTGTATATGTGGAGATGGGACCTGCTGAGGAGTCTGTCTTGACATATCAGGGGGTAGAGGAGGAACAGGTGGAGGGGTCGGTGCCGGTACGGATTGTTGCGATACGGGAGGAGCTTGCTGGCGCGAGACAACCGGAGGCTCTTTCGCAAATACGTCTCTGAGTATAGCAATAAAGTCTAACAGAGTAGATTTCTGGTCAAACGCTGTTAGTATATCTCATAGACACAATATTAGCTGTTGTAGACGATATACATACGTCCCAGAACTCGGCCCATCCTACAAGATAAGGATGATATATGCGTCCCTGAGGATCAACATGCTGGCCTGGCCGCACCATCATATTCTCAGTGGGCGTAACATAGCCTAGCGGCGCCTCGCGCGGGTAGGCGTGGGGTATCCATAGCGATATAGGGAATCGGTAGGTGGTGCCGCGGAATATGACGGGGATGGTGCCGGATAAGTGTAAGAGGAGGGCAGACACGCCGTTGTCGAAAGCTAAGAGCTTGTTAGAATAGGTTTGTCAATTGAGGATGACGGACACTATATAATGGGTTCGTACTGTGGACATCGGTCCTGGGCGAGAGTGAAGGGTATTGGGATAGCGCTTGGGCTACATCGTTGTATGTGCGGTTAACATCTTGGTATTCCTGTGAAATCAAAGCTATTAGAGACGGGTATAGGAAGAAGCTATTAGTGTGTGATATATCTTACGCTCGTCAAAACGCTGTATAACCAATTCAATATGTGCTGCTGGACCACCATGTTGGGAATCCTTCGCAGCGAATTATGGTTGTAGTAGGTAGTAGCCGCGTCATGATAATTTGTTGGTGTTGAAGGGAAATAATGTATTGGGGAGCCTTGCACTGAGCTGCCCGCCAAGGCTGATAAAACGCTTATGGGGGTGTAACGGTGTAACCAACCATAGTGGGGTTTCCCTCGATTAAGCTAAATATACCTATGTAAGTGGAAATGACGTAAGCAGGTCAATTATGTAATAGTTTCACAGAGGCGTGCAGCTTTTTTCTCTTCTGCAAAGTCTTTTCCGTTTTCTTTCATCCCACGTTCAAAGCACCTTTGCGACATCTCGTCATCTTGGACCAGCCGACCGGAAGATATTATAACTTAGCATCCGCCGGCATCGGGTCCTTTTTTGAAGATGCTCAATAAGAACTACTATTTATACAATTATACAATTCAACTATTATTTAGGTACCTCTTAGTGGAATAACCTGACTCGTCCAGATCCATCCCACATTCCCACATTATCGGACTCTACGGAAAGACAATGGCGCCATATCACCCGCAGGTGAAGTGTGGCATGTGCCATTTTTCCCTTTTATTAATCACCACATCTATGTAACAAGACAAGTTGTCTACATACCTAATATTCTATCATACATACTCCTCGGTCAACAACTGGAGGGTGTTTATTACCCCCCCTACTCTCATACGACTAAATTGATGAGTAAAACTGATCCATTATTATCATTATTAATTCCTGAACTCTCGCTGGGTCCGCCTTTCCGAAACCCTGATGGCCTAGCCTAGGTTAAGGAATTACACCTTTTCTCCTCTTTATAAGTTAGGCTTTTCCCGCTTCTTTAGTCTTGAGTCTTTAATTGTTTCCTTCTCCTACAAAGCATACCTCGATAAATACTCATACTCATACTCAGCCTTGAGACTTGTGACTTGAGAGCTTTATCGCCAATTCTTGACACAGCTACATGCTCGCGGCTCAACTGTTGCTTCGCACGGCTGAGGAGTATTACAGGATAAATCTGTATACTCCTTGCGTCAGGAATTAGACTTTTTTATTAGTTTAACTACTTGAATCTATTCAAACAAGTCAACTGTTAGGTTGATTCTTCATCCACCGAGCTCCACAGCTTCGCCACAAAGTCAACTCAAATTTATTGTCTTGAGTTGTTATCTCGTCGTCGAGAAACAGTTGCGCCGTCGTGATGAGACCTCCTATCCCAGTATTATCCGAGTATGGAATCTCGCCAAAGTATGGTTTCTTGCCCGACGTCCTACCTTTAACTAGGCTTCCGGACCCCTACTATAACAAGTGGGAGTCCATCAGCGCAAATCTACAGAATTTGATTCTTAGCAAGCGTCTTCGAGGGGTTATCGACCGTCTTCCTGTTCTCTCCACCGTCGGTCTGGAACATGACGCAGAATGGAGGAGAGCCTACATGCTCCTGACCTTCTTTGCTCACGGCTACATCTGGGGAGGTGATATCCCCTGTGATCGTGTGCCACCGAGCATCTCTGTTCCCTTGTTGGATATTTGTCAACGCCTCGAAGTTCCACCCGTGTCTACCTACGCCGCCTCCGTGCTGTGGAACTTCAAACCCCTCTTCGTCGACGAAGAGATCGACGATCTTGACAACCTCGCCACCTTGGTGACTTTTACTGGGTCTCTTGACGAGTCTTGGTTCTACCTGGTCTCGGTCGCCATCGAGGCTCGCGGCGGCCCCATCATCCCCCTGATGCTGACGGCAGTTGCTGCTGCTCGACAAGGCGATAGTGCAACCGTAACACGTTGCCTGCATGCCTTTGCCGAGCGCCTCGATGACCTCGGCGAACTATTGCGTCGTATGCATGAAAGCTGCGACCCTGGCTTCTTCTACCGTCGCATTCGCACATTCCTTGCTGGTAGTAAGAACATGACCGAGGCAGGTTTGCCGCATGGTGTCATGTACGATGATGATTCAGGCAAATCTGAATACGTGCAATACAGTGGACCTAGCAACGCCCAAAGCAGCTTGATTCAATTCTTTGATATCATTCTTGGCGTCGAGCACCGTCCCACCGGCGAGAAGCCTAACCCGTCCTCTGAGTCGGAACGCGAAGGGCGAAGCCGTGCCCCCAAACACAATTTTATCCGGGATATGCGACGATATATGCCAGGGCCGCATGCGCGTTTCCTAAACGACGTCGGATCGGTTGCTAACATTCGCGAATTTGTTGAGAGCCGCGTCGCTTCTGATCGTCCCCTAAGCATCGCCTACGATGCATGTCTTGCTATGCTCCGCGCGTTTCGCGACATTCATATTGCTATCGTCACGCGCTATATTGTCTTGCCATCTCGAGAGAATAGAGCACGAAGTCGATCGCGTAGTCCCGAAGCTATTAGAAATAGAGTAAACCTAGCGACAGCTTCTAAGAATGAGAAGCATAAGAAGGTCAAAGGAACTGGTGGTACAGCCCTGATTCCTTTTCTCAAGCAAGCTCGTGACGAGACTGGCGAGCCCTCAGTCGAGGCTTGGGCTAAGAAGTTTATGGGCAGGCAGACTAAGGTCTCAGGTCAGAACGATTTCTTCCTCGGTAAAGACGAGAAATCGGAGGTGCCAGATGAACCGGTTATTGAACATGGTCTTGCAGGGACTTGGACTATGGATGAGGAAATTGGTGGCATCTGCAATTACTGATGGGTAATATTACTAACCTAAGCTTTTGTCTCTAGTTAGGACCGTTACAGCAGTTGTAGTAACGAGATACTGGATAGTTCCCCAGGAACCGTAGTTCTCCCTTTAGCAACAAGGTTTTATGAATCTATCTATTAAGTATCTCACACGCCAACGCGAAAAGAGGATTTACTTTCCTTCGATCTAGAGTATCAATTTGATCCTATCTATACCTGCAGACTCGCCCATATGTTCCTAAGTAGCCACTAAACTGTATCCATGCCATGTTGTTTATAGTATCCCTCAACCTTGGATTAAACAAGTCGAATGCTATAGCTTAACAAGGCTGTCATCCGTGCCGCCATTAGTCGTAGCACGTCTTTTAACACGACTCGCCTGCTCAAGCCATATTGGAGTAAGGATGTAAGGATTACCCCAAGCAAAGGACGATGTGCACTTCCCGCTCGATTTAAATATATTACCTGATGAGAGACTTGACCAATCATATTCGGGCGAGTGCTATACGTATGCCTTGCTTACGAAAAGTAAATAAATGTACTTGATCTACATATGCATGTGCTTTAGATGCCATGTTAGGCAAGCTGAAGCATAAGCGAGTCTTCGATTCTTGTCGAATTATACCACTATACTAACTAGGTTACTAAAGACTAGAAATTCCGTAAAGCGTTTATGCTATTGTAGTAGCTATATCTAACAATTTCCATCAGCGCTCTCTGGCGATTTCGCTTATGCTTCAAGTCGAACAACATGCCCATACATGTGCTCACCACTTGACAACCTTCTGCGGGAAGAACTCGTCGATAAGCTCCGAGTAATACGGCTTCAGCTCCTCTACATCAGGAACTTTGTCGCTCTTGCTGTATAAGTCATACGGATTAAACGCCTGCACGGCACGCAGCATATCCTCGTCGTGCTTGTCCATCAGCTCGCGATATGCACCATCCTATAACGAATCAGTCGACGTTCTAGAACCAAGACGCGAATTCAGAAAAGGGGGTAGCATACCTTATGCCAAGGGTAAAATGAATGATACCGAATCATAGCTAGCGCCTCAGGCGGCAGCGTCGACTGTTCCTTGGCTACGTGGTATAAATACTCGTCGTGGCCCCACGACAGCATCACGTTATCTAGTCCGCAGCCGGGCGAGTAGATGCCGAACTTGGTGCTATAGATGGGATCCCGAGAGTCTGGGTTTGCAGCGAATGTGTCGGGGTATATGATACGGTTGTCGAAGGCGCAACCGACGGGGAACGTGTCGCCAACGACGTCCCATTGGCCTTCGGAGCCGAAGAAGTAGAGTAGTTTGCCAAGGTCGTGGATTAGACCTGTGACCTGCATCCATCGTGGCTTGCCGTCCCTCCGGATGGCTTCGGCCGACTGTAGCAGATGTTGGATCTGCGATAGACTTGTGTCCGGGTCCGACTCGTCGATCAACGTGTTGAGCTTTTCGAGTGCTTGCCACACCGTCATCTCCTCGCGTCGCCGCGTCTTGAAGGCGATGCGTGCTTTCAGATTGTACGCCACCGTCTGCTTTTTATGCTGCTCCCGATAGAAGTTCTGCACGCGTTCGCAGGCCTCTTCAAACTGCCTAAACTGCGTCTTGTCTTTGGTTGAGTCAAATTTGGACTTATCGTCGAACTTGGCCTGGTTCTGGTCCTTTAGCACATTAACTGCGTCAATGTGATCTGATGTCTCCTCGAGCTCGAGACCATTTCGGCTAATGGTATCGTCGACCAATATGCCTGGTGCCATTGTGTTGTGGTGGGGGGTTTATAAGAATCGATAGCAAAAAAGGGGTATGTCTTAGACTATAGAAAGTATTTAAAAACAAAAATACTAGGTCAGACGCTTTAAGCAGAAATCTATAACTTTTCCTTACATGTCGTCGTCCTCGACTGGATTTTATACTCTGAGCTTCGTGTAAGTGGTAAAGGTCCCCACATTAGAGTGATGTATGGCCCGTGATGAATGAGGAGAAAATCGCCGAACACAGCTATATTGAGCTGACTAGCTCAGGCAACGATCCGCCGAGCGGGAATCAGGTACACCTCCTTTGCGGAATGAGATCCGCGAGACACCTGTCCCTTCTTTTGCGAAAACGGTAAAATCGCCCGAACCCTGGATAAGTTCATCTCATCCACTAGTCTGCATCTTTCGCGCTCATATGTAGTATCCGGAGTACCCCAGAAAGAGCAACGTCACTCGAACGCCACCTGGTATCTATCTATATCCATAAATCTTAGTATATCCCCGCGTTTGAATAACGTGGGGATATAGGCCTAGCCAAGTTCGGTAATCTGAGGAGATCCTAGGCGCTCTCTAGTCCACTTTGTAATCCCTTCGGCTTCTCGTATACCATGTCTTCGCTTGGTAAAGAACTAACCTAGTCAATGTCGATATTTGCTTCATTCGTCGTTTTCTGGTAACCAGCCCCACGCTTTCATCAGTTGCTGCTGTATTGACGCAGTCGGTCGAGCGTGATCTGCCTCCGTCTTCCTTAGAATATCCATTAGAGCTTCCTGGTCGGGCCTTTCGCCAAATTGATCACCAACTGCAGTTCGTGTTAGCTCGGTGTTATTACTAGCGAGCTGGGTTTGTTCGTACACATAGCGATGCCCATGCAAGCAGTAAACATGCCCGGCGGAGTCCACTGGTTGCATACCCCGATACCACAGAGCTCCCTCACGAGGTTCTCAATCCGGTGCTGTCTTTGCATAAGTCATATGTAGGAACCTTTCTTAATAGTATAGACTTACCGTCATTTGCTTCACTGCTGCTCGGCGATTTGTGCCTACTTTGGGTATCGAAGGATCAAACTGAGTCAAGAATAGCTGTGCGAGAATATGATGTTGAATCCCGATAACTAAGGAGTTAGTAACTATATTATGCCTATAGCATTCAGAGAGATTTCAACGCTTACCATGACAACCTGACCCATGCCAAATTTCTGGGAATGCCGGGAATGCCGAGGTTGCCGTACGTTCCCTGTAAAAGAAGGGGTTGAAGGATGGGGGTCGAGTGCTAGACCACTTCCTGCACGCCTCATCTAGTGCACTCCAATGACCTGCTACCAACGAGTTATTCCCGAAGCATAGATTGAGGACGTCCGCAAGTAGCACAACCGCCCGATTTGACCAAGTATAATCGTCGACCGGCTCAAATGACCGGTCCACCACGAAGTGGTCTAAAGACACCTTGACAGGTTGTTGCGTAATGACCGCGATATAGATCTCCTGCCGGAGTCCTACCCAGAACGAAGCTGCACTAAGACTTCCCGGACCCATGTATTGGTCGCCGACATTAACAAAAGCATGGATACCTAGTAGATGACTGTAGGTGTCTTGGCCCGTTGTTGGAACTGTCCGTTTATTAGCAAGCTGCTTCCGGAGTACCCCAAACGCATCTCATCTCACCATCCATCTCCTCAAGCATACGCAAGATAATCGTTGCCGCGAATAAGTTCTCATCTGACACCGTTGAAGCGTGATTTAACATTGGGATCAGGTACCTTAGGCACTCGTCATGATACCTGTTCGAGGCCAACGGGTCAAAACCTGTCGTATGACTGAGATGTCTCGCAGCTATGGCAAAAATAGCGTTCAAGAGCATATAGCATTCGGCAGCACGCTCTGGGACGACCAGCTCGAAATGCCGATGTGGATCACACAAGTCCAACTGCTTTAGTTAGAACTTTGGGTTATAGGAGTGGCTGCTATATCGGTTGGCTTACACAAATTGCTAGTTTCTGGATATAGTGCCGAAATAATAGTGCTTCCGTCCGGTCCTTAAGCGGCAGGCTAGAAGCATTGTGGAAATTAGGCATTAGAATACTCCCATCATGGGACACGCGTGTGTTCTCTATATCCGAAGACGACAAATCATAGGAACTAGCAGATTTAGACCCTGGAATATGTCCATGAGAGCTCAGCTCAGCGATGGATGCATCGTTAGCTGGAAACCCTCCATCGTTTCTTGGCGTATTCTGTGCTTGAACAACACCTACCGGCTGACCGTCTGCCCTGTTGTACTCTGTTGAATTAGGAATGGATGGAGGTGTGAGGCTCGAGGCAGTCGATCCCTGCTGCCAATTATGACTTGAACCCGTATGAAATTCATATGGAGAAATATCCTCTGAGGGGCTTCCTATGGTCAGACCTTGTCTCTCGTCGACGTAAATTACTTGTATGAGTTAACCGTTAACCATACAGATTTACTCTAATTCGATGTGACGTTCCAAACTTACACTTTTTCGGCGGCTTGAGCCATTTTTGGTTTCTTTTGAATGTGTCTATAAGAATGAGGTTTAGCTCAGAAAGAATGGAGATTCAACTGCAGTACCTTTGCTAGGTTTGAATTTGAAGCCTAGTTTGCATTCGCGACCTGCTCGGACACAGCGACCACATCTTGGAACCGAGCGATCGCCTGCTCATTCAAAATAATTAGTTTGGCCGTCTTGGAGATATAACAAGTATCTATCTCTAAGGTTACTCGCATTTAAGATGGTATTCACGGCATGTGACACTATTCGCCAAGTCTATGTCAGCAATGGTCCAACACCAGGATGAGATATAAGTGGATAAACAAAAAATCTAGTTCGCTAGAGAGCACACCGGTCTCGGCATAGCCTAAGCGCATCTTACGAAACAGACGAGTAGGGATATCGTACCATGGTGTAGCGAGCAACTCGATCTGCTCTGATGAGGGCATTCGCAACGTCGTCGCTTCTACAGCTCTCTATGTTTACTCGGTATGATTCGGTCAATGATACCGACGGATAGACTCAGAGGTCCCAATTGTGAGAGGATCATCTGATAAAGATGGGCAAAACCGCCGAGCGGGAGGCGTGGATGGTCTAAAGTAGTACAAAATGACCCGGTTCATGGGACGCCGAAGCCCAGACCCAATTGGCCGGCTGGGCATTCCCCCATTGGACCGCCTCTCGAATAACGGACCTAGACGGGGCCAGTATGTATGCACATACAGACGTGCTAGTATGTATGTGTGGAATGTGTGGATAGGCGAATGGGGTCGTGATACTTCCCTGCAGGCTAGCTGACCATTATGTTAAAGCAGTTTGGCCAATTGACCCTCCTGATAATCTTGGCTTACTTGGGATTCAGGTAACTAGACCAGTCAGGGGTATTCGATTGCATAGGATTCCAGAATTCCAAGTGCTTCTTCCCCGCAACTTTCTCTCCACCGTTGGGGACAAATCGAAAAGAAAAATGCGACTGGACTAAACCGCTTATGGAATATAGCAAGCTGCCTCGGTATTCCCAGCGTACTACTCTCCAGACTACTATTAAAGTTAGTCAGACGGCTGGGTTAGAATATTCCTTTGCTTATATTTTTCCCCAGATGAAAAGAAGCGAGAAAGATTAATACGACGGCGCCATCCGCACTATCGCGCAGTATATTATCTTGCTGATAGGGCAAAGTCCAACTGGAAGTCCAAAAGTTCGTACATCGCAGCCATGGCCTCAAGCTCAACGAAAAGCATTAGCGACGATGTTGTCGAAACGGTCACGGCCCCGGCTATGACGCCGAAGGAAGAGCACGAGACCATGAAGGACGTGATCCGGAATGCGAGGCTCGCTACCCAAAAGGAGCACAACATGACCCTATGGCAGGGCCTTCGACTTTACCCAAAAGCGATTGCGTGGTCTATCCTCATCTCGACTTGCATCGTTATGGAAGGCTACGATATCTCCCTAGTCAATAACTTCTACGCCTTCCCGCAGTTTAACCAGAAGTACGGTACCAAGGTGACCGATCCGGAAGGCAACGTCTCCTATCAAGTTTCGGCAGCGTGGCAGGCAGGGCTAAGCAACGGTGCAGTAGTGGTGAGTTAGATCCTGACGCGCCTCATTGCGTTTGAAGTTAAAAGTGTCTACCCCTTTTCCGAGTCTAAATCCATGACGGCTCATTAGCTACTAATGGCGGCGTTGTATTTTCATCGAGGGTCTCACAGCATAAACCGTGATGAAATCCTCTTCGTTAGCTTGGTGATTGATGATTATTTTAACACCGACTTTTGCAGGGTGAAATCATTGGCCTGTTGATAAACGGCTGGGTCTCCGAGAGGTTCGGATATCGGTATACCGTCATATTCTGCCTCGTGCTTATCATCGCTTTTACCGCGATCTTCTTCACGGCGCAGACGGTTGTACACCTTCAAGTAGCTGAGATCTTGTGCGGCATTCCATGGGGCGTTTTTCAAACCCTGACCATCACCTATGCCTCTGAAGTTTGCCCGGTAGCCCTGCGGGGTTATCTGACAACTTACATCAACTTCTGTTGGGGTATCGGCCAGATGATCGGTATCGGTGTCATTATGGGCAACCTTTGGCGTATCGACGAGTGGGCGTATCGTATAGTAAGATTCCCCTTGACTTTCTTCTCTGGTAGGAAGCTCTAACAGGCATGGATAGCCTTATGCGCTTCAATGGATGTGGCCCTTGCCTCTCATAATTGGAATTTCTTTCGCGCCCGAATCCCCTTGGTGGCTTGTACGAAAGGGGAAACTTGAAGACGCCAAGCATTCTCTTCTCCGCCTAACTAGTCTGGATCGGGAGACAGACTTTGATGCGGATGAGACGGTTGCGATGATGGTCCATACGACAGCATTAGAACAGAAGGTTGTACTCTTTCTCTCGTGCCTTCGTACTTATCGCTAACCTTCATACGTAGATAACCAGGGGAGCCAGTTATCTGGATTGTTTCAAGGGGGTCGATAGGCGTCGCACAGAAGTACGTCTGAAGCCCCTATGCTTGTATCCGCTTTCGCGATGCTGACCGAGATAGATTGTGTGCATGTGCTGGGCGATCCAGAACCTGAGCGGGAATTCATTTTCCAATTACTCGACATACTTCCTGCAGCAAGCTGGCCTCGACAATGACAAGGCATACTCATTCGCCATGGGTCAATACGCCATCAACTGCGTTGGTGTATTCGGAGCCTGGACGCTTATCACCTTCGGGGTCGGACGAAGGTAAGGTGAAATGCTACGTATTAATTATCTGAGATGTTAACATCGTGTGAAGGACGTTATACCTATATGGCCTTGCTGGTCTCTTCATCATGCTTCTGATCCTCGGTTTCCTCGGCTTGGCCCCCGATAGAGGTTCCGCCTCTCTTGCGACAGGCAGTATCATGCTCGTATGGGCTCTGTGTTACCAACTAACAGTCGGTACCGTATGTTATTCTCTGGTTGCAGAGATTTCAACGAGACGTCTTCAAATCAAGACGGTGGTGCTCGGACGTATCCTCTAGTAAGACTGTTCTGTTCAGCAGATTGGTTAAGGCCGGATGCTAATAGATCACAGCAACATCGTTGGCATTATCTGTGGCGTTTTGACGCCGTACATGCTCAACCCTTCGGCTTGGGACTGGGGTAATTATGCCGGCTTTTTCTGGGTAAGTAATCCCTCGCGTGCGTTGACTCTTGTTTCTACTTATTGACGATACCTAGGCGGGGTCATGCTTCCTCTGCTTTGTCTACTCTTACTTCCGCGTACCCGAACCAGCCGGCCGCACGTTTGCCGAGCTTGATCTATTATTTGAGCAGAAAGTTAGCGCAAGAAAGTTTGCTTCGACCGATGTGGACGTATTTGCAGAGCATGTCGAGGGGGCTGTATTGAGCAGCTATCACGACCAGATCGCCATTTCGAGTATGAAGATCAAGGTTTAAAACGTAATAATGAGCAAGCCACGATATAACGGCGGCGGGATGACGAGCATTGAAAGTCGATATGAGGCAACTTGTATGTAAGGACTGAGTGCATTTTTCTTTTTCTTTTAGGTGGCGCTATGGTGTACGAAACGGTGTGTATAAGTCTATCTTTCTTGAATCAACTAATTCATTCTACACGAAAAGATGTTTGAGTGCCAGGTCGTAGACTCGGCGAGGTTGAAAAATGATAGATGCAAGTTTCGTACGATCATCCAATAATCCAGGGGGTAAATAACCAGGAGCCGTGGTAAGTTACAGCTCATCCTATTGGTCGCGCGGAGCTGATGCTTTTCGTCGTACCATATCCGGACTATGGTTGGTTGGTTCGTTTGTTCGTTGTGAGCCTAAGACTTATACGACGAGATTTTCAACAGTCATACTGTGCATTAGAAAGCCAATGCGATGGTCAATGTTAGCTGTGCTTTTAACTTGACATCGACCGTGTTATCCTGAAAAATAGATTCAAATTTAATATATTGATAAATTGTTACGGCGGATGCTCCTTAGAGCGTTCTAATAACTAGAGCTGGTAGAGTAGCATGTTACCTCCTGGGACTAGTCGAAGAGGAGAATGTTGGCATTGATAGCAAGAATGCTGAAACTGGACTCTTCGCCTATTAATCCTCATGTCAGTAGAAATGCAATCCGCCTCGGACCATATTACTCCCAGCAACTAAGATCGTCTTCTTATAACACACCTAATAATCATACCAGTTTCACAAAACGTCCTGTCCCTAATTTTAGGTGAAGCCAGACTAGACGGGATATAATGACCGCCATAGTAGACCGTAGTAGTGCTACCGACGAGGAGCAGACTTAGATTGCGATAAAATACAAGCATTACACTACCGATCTGGTAACGATTTGGCTTGCACTTCGTCTGTAGTATCTCGAACAGTTTGGCCCTTCTTATACTCCTCCTCCAATACTCTTTGCATATCGAAATCAAGCTGGCGCTCCTTCTTGATCCGCTGCTGCTCCATGTCGCGTACAACACCCTGATGCATGGCCTAGAAATGCGTGGTAAGCCTATATCTAGTATGGACCATGCGATAGTCTCTATACCTCTTTCTCAACCTTCTGCTGGAAGTGCACCATGATAACCGTACCAACAGCAAAGAGCGAGGTGCCCGCTAGGGTGAGTTTCGAGGCGCGCGACATATTTGCCGAACACGAGTTGATAAGCTAGACAGGTTTGATTTGAGTCTCGCTATAAACCCATCTCAGTCTTTCCTTTCCAATGCTAGCACGGGAGCACTTGGCGATGTAAATTCAACTTCGATTATCGAACTTGGAGGTGAAAAATCCCGGTGACTTGGGAAGCTTAAGTGATGCTAGAGAGTAAATATATATTATCGATAACGGGTAGTTGCTAGACTGCCCGTACTGTACTGTGTGTCCGTGTGTGTTACCGTATGTGGGGAGATGAAAAACGGTCATTCCATATGTAGGTTAGGTACCTAGGTACCTAAGGTAATCATTTATACACTTATCTTAACTACCTCCTAACCTAGGTACATTCTACATTCTGCATGCTACATGCTCTCCTACTTTATCTTCATCACATTTAAAATGGTCAACACTTTCTAACTGATGCAATCTTATAAAACTCCTGCCCTAGCCCCTATCATCATGATGCAAGCAATAAGCAAGAAAATAAATGCACGAAATATGAGTCTTCGGGAAAGGCGCACCCCAGCCGACAACTCGGGGACGAAAAAGGGGGTAAAGACGCAGGTTTTGGTCTTTTGTCTATTGGATAGCTGTTATCGGGACCAACGCCCATTGTCTCTTAAAAGTACCTGCATGCAGGTCAGTAAAGGCAATTTTTCTTATTCTTAATTCCCTTGGGATTTCCCGGAAAGGAGGACAAAGACACTTGATATGTGACATGAGCAAGTCTCTGGATCAAATTAATTTACATCCGAGTTCTCAAGCATAGACGGCTTGGTATGCAATGAGCGAGTAGATGAGATTTATGACGATACAGACTACTCGACGATTTATCTGGCCTCCTAAATAACCTCAAACGCCATGTCGAGTACCAATACTACACGCTCTGGTACTTCTTTTGCCAGGAAGTACAATTCTCTTTCAATCCTAGATGAAGTTGAGGACGTCGAGTGGTACCAGCCGGGCGGGTTTTACCCATTGGATGTAGGCGAGACGATAATCGACAGGTTTAAGGTCATTCACAAACTTGGGCACGGTGGCATTGCTACAGTTTGGTTTTGCTGGGATCTACAAGAAGAGAAATGGATAGCGCTTAAAATTAATTCAGCAAGCCATTCGTCAGACGACTGCTCGGATTTAAAGGCGATTCGCATGATTGAAGCTCGGTCCCAGGGAATTGACGGGCTCGACGATAATAACATCATGATAGCCTTACAGACCTTCTTTATAGAATCTCCTAATGGGCGACACCTATGCTTCATATTACCTGTTGCCGGGCCAAGGTTCACGGACTGGGAGCATAAAATAGGAGGAGACTTTGACCGACGGAAGAGAATCAGCTACCAACTTACCAAGGCGCTTACTTTCTTGCACGGCAAAGGAATTTGCCATGGCGATTTTAGGCCTGACAATATATTAATGAGGTTGAAGCCTGATTACCTTGACCAGATCGGGTATGATGAGATGCAAGCTCTGATTGGGGAAGCAATTGGGGAACAACTCCTGGATGGCGACGAGCGAAGCCCGCACGCTCCCAAGTATGCATATCTACCGTTTAGTTTCAGAAACGGAAACCTTTCACACATGATATCAGATGACATTGCCATCGTCGACTTCGGCGAATCTTACGAAACCCATAGCCCCCCTGAGAGACTAAACATTCCACCTCAGTATGCCGGTCCTGAATGGCTCTTTGGTAGGCAGACAGGCATAGGAAATGATATTTGGTCTTTGGCATATACACTACTAGAAGTGCAAATTGGTAGCCTCCCTGGTGACCTGTGGAATATTATCAGGCGCATGGAGCGATACATAGGGCCCGTCCCATCTGTCTACGGCCCGACTGCTATAAAGATGCTACACGACGAAACAGGTGACCCGGATGAACCACCGCCAGATTATGAAAAAGGAGAAGCAGTTACTGGGTCATTAAATGAGCCGCTCAACCTACAAGAGAAGTTTGAAGCAACTCACACCGAATTCAGTAACCCTATACACATTGCGCTGGGATTAGCAGATATGCCGAGGGACGAAATTCCTATTTTTGGTGATCTTCTCGAGAAACTCTTCGTATATGACCCAAAGGAGAGGTCGGAGGCATCTCAAGTACTAGAACACGAATGGTTTAAAAATCATGAATCCGAAGACGAGACGGCAACAGATGAAACGTTACCTAGTATAAGTCTCTTCGACGATTTATACGAGAATGACTCAGCTCCAGAACAGGTCTCGGGATCGTTAAACGCAGAGAGTACTACGCCACCCATGATGGTGACAGAAGTGCGAACCATTCAAATCACAGAAAAGTGTCCTTGGTATCACTTTGTAGCTACTTGGGTAGCTCCAGTATTGGGGCTGCTATACGTGTATTTATTCTACATTTACACGTGCTTGCGGGACGATGTGAGAATACTTAAGGCGGCCCAGTCGACAATATGAATGTAGCATAGATAGTAATATTTTATAATTTCTAACTTTTAAGTTTTATATCTATTAAAGTAGAACGTTAGTTAGCTGGAGCTGTGTATTCCCTTGCTACCTCGTGAAGACCTTCGATTTAGCGTTGTGATAAACGCAAAGTTTGTATCAGTACTTGTATTATTTCTACTCATATTTGTATGGGGGCATCGCCAACCCGCGTAGAATGTATGAAGTAATCAGTCAGAAATCCTACTATGGGATACTGTCATAGAATTAAACGTTCTTTAGATATAATAAGTCGGGGGTACGAGGCAAGTTAACGAGAGGCTCTAAGAATTTTCCGAAAGCAACCCAAGTTCAAAGAACAAGTACTACAAAAATAGCGCCGTATAAAGCGACGGATTCTTTATTAGAGATAAGTAGTAGGGATCCTTTGGAAAGATTTTGAGCGTATAATCGATGCCCATGTAATTCCTAGTGTGTATGTCACCTTACCTCTTACATTGAACACTTCGACATCATGCCAAAAATAACCCCTTATGGACAGGTTGGGGATGCTCAATCAGAATGGCATCCTGACATGGCCATTCCAAGAGGCGGCTCATTGCCTAAAGATACCGAGGATAAAAGCGCAACCGTATTTATCAAGCCAGAGCCAAGTATCGGCTGTGGGACGTTACAATGTCCAAAGGTTCGAGGGCCGTGTCTCTCCCGTCAAATTAACATGGAGCTAATAAAATGCGTATTAACCTAGGTCTATTGGGAAAAGAAGGCAGTCTATGAACAGTTGGTTAGAAAGCAGCAAGACGTTCTACAGTCGAGCGAGAGCTTCGCTCAAGAAGCCGCGAGACGTTTAGGATTCCCACATATTATCATCCGGTAGTTATTCGCGCCTTAAATTGAGCATATTCCATGCTGATGTTGACCAGTAAGGAACTCCATGACGCTGCCAACACTTACGCCCAGACTGGTAGAGGCCAAACAAGGCGCACGAAGACGGGAATCGAGCCTGATCAGATCCATCTAACGGTGTATCTCGCGAATCAACCAAATTGGGTCTGTGTGCACGGGCATATCTACGGCGTCGTACGAGAGACGAGTTATAAGTTGATGAGCGAAAGGAAGAGTAGATACGTTAAGAAGGTGCCATAATACACGGAGTATGTAATGATGCCAAATGATCAACGATGGATGGCAAAAGAGCGCCCAGATCAGCATCGCCGTAACCCTGAGCTCTGGGAATGGTTTGAGTATATAGCCTAGGAACCTATATCAGGTCTTTCGAATGAAATATTGACGTGGTAGGCGTATTATAGTAACAGATATGCCTCGTTAATTACCCAGTTACATAGAATACTCCATCGAATCTCAAGTCACAACCTTGGCTCGATAACTCGAAGAAAAAGGGGGTGATACGTTAATGATAAATTGTGTTAAACGGAAGCTTGAGAGTAATAGATGCAACTGTCCCTTCCGTATTCCGTAGAACGTGAATAAATTAATATGCGTGCAATATGCGGATATTATGCATATGGAAGTTCAGTTTCGGTTTAAAACGGCACGAAGCAGGTACGTACCATGTAAACTCCAACCCGACCGGAGGTTGCTTCAGCCCCATTTGAACCCAGCCCAGCACCAGCCTTGCCTGTAAAGGTTGCCATTGATTCGCCTACTGAGCTCCTACTCTAACCTAGCTATCTACCATTTCGACATACTTCCTAACCTATCGCAATTAATCTTCGCTACAGCATCATACGTCAATTTCCAAAACAGCAAACCAACAACAAATAATCCCGCGTTCCCTTTTCGTTCGAGTCGACTTGCAAGTAAATCGGATCTCAGCAGCTTAGCAGGATGGTATGCTCGATCCAACCAAACTTATACAAAGAAGACGGTACAGCTAGCTAACTATGCTATCTCTCCGATATAGTCGGCCCAGAACTCGACAGGCATTCAGACCCTTCTCGATGTACGCAACCCCCCAGGCCATCGCAATGATTAGGCCACACAACCAAATCCAATGTAGCGAGTCCAGCTAACAGATAACTCGTCGCGATCGCATAGGCCGAGAGGGAAGCTTCCAAGATTGTCCAGAAAGCTCGTGAATGTCAGTACCACATGCTCTCTACATCTACCGATGCACAAAGGCCGAGTAGTTCGACGCCTGTAGTCGGTACTAACCCATCTCCCTATAGTCCGAACCAAGAGGGTACGAGAGGCGCGAGACGAAGCCAAGAAAGAAGTAGAAGCGTATCGCCGGGCTAAGGAAGAGGAATTTAAGAGATTCGAGGCCGAGGTACGCACACATATGCTTCCTATTACTTAAAGGCAGCTATTCGGTCGATACGAATCCGGTTTACTAATTCGAACCCCTACTACAGCACACCCAAGGCAACAAGCAGGCTGAAGACGATGCCAACCGCGAAGCCGATGCCAAGATCAAGGAAATCCAAGCCGCCGGCCAGAAGAGCCAGGACAAGGTCGCCGAGGACCTGCTAAAGGCCGTGTTCGACGTCAAGCCCGTGCCCCCTGAGAAGGCGTAGGTTAGTCCAGACTGGCCAGAGCTGCTTAGTCTACAAGGAGAAGCGAATCCGGAGGGAATGCTATGCGGAGAAAGGGATCGACATGTCACACCGTGGATTCTGGTTGCTGGAAGACTGAGGCTATGGTGTGTAGTCGCGCGTATTATATTACGTGTTACTGGTGTTCTTGGAGGGGAAGAAACCCGAAATAAAGATAGGTCGGTATTACTGATTGCGAGAGACCTGTCTGTCTGTTCATAGAAGAGATATTTGAGGGATGCCGCGCTGAGAAGCCGGCATGATACGCATTATTCATTGATTACTACTATACTATTGCATGCTGCCAGTCCGCTCGTACTATTGTAGGAATTCCACTAGGGTCGTCAGCATTTCTCTAGTATCTCTGCCCTCTGCATCATCCGCGTCGATGCCTTCAATCTGTTCTTGCAGCGTAGCTTTAACTGTAGCCAAGGTTTCGTCGCGGTCGGCGAGCAACCTCTGTATTGTCTTCCTCGCGCCGTTGTCTTCCGCCACCAGCCACGCCAGCACTACGTCCAGCGTCTGCAGGCAAAATAAGCCAGCGTCGAGCCTCCGCGAGAACCACTCATCTGCCATTTCTTCTTTTCCCTCGGCGCTCATCCCACTCTGCTCCGCGCGGATCGCCTCGTCCACGGAACCTAGGCGCGCCGCGTACTCCCTCCTCAGTTTAACCAGCTTCTCTGTCTTCTCGTAGTCCTTCTCGACGAACTTTGCTAGGGTCCGGATCCGTTCTGCCGAGTCGGCTGGCAACAGCCGCAGCATGGATCCAAATATGCCGATTAGGTGTTCCGTAGTCTGGCTGTCGTTACTCTTTTTCATAAATAGTGTGAAAATGTTCTTTAATCCACCGGCTTCTACGACTTTTTGGCATACACCAGTTCCTGCCGCACCATGGCCCCCTACGGCATGATCTAGGAGCCGGAGCGCGGCAGATTTACTCATCTTGCCCTCTTTCAACATGATCAAGCAAAGCTCGATACCTTCCGCCTCGATGAATTTGGTCTTGCCCTCGGGCTCGTCCGCGAGACAGGTCAAAGCCTCGAATAAGTTCTCCATATACTCTTCTTCCTCGCCGCCCTTTTCGGGGTCGCGTTTTCGATAAGATGCTACAAGCTGTAGCATGATGTCCACGGCATCCAAACTAGCCAATTTCCTCCTATTCTTCGACGATGTCTGCACTAATATTGCTAAAACCTCGGCAGCGTACTGTTTATTCTGACTGACGGTGGCCTCCTTAGCCTGTATACGGCGAAGAAGCCACTTCAGCAGGCTGCCGTTTTCCGTAACTTGTTCTGCCGTCGTCGTTCGTCCGCTGCATAGGTTTTCTACTACACTGAGCGCGTAGTAGACACCACTCCGATCAACCTCCTGCTCCTCATCTAGCCTCTCAAAGTTCGACACGAGCAGCCCCAGCAAATCAGCCTCCAGTAGGGCATCGACCAGTGCGTTCCATTGATCGTCCTCGGCCGCGATATCTTCGTCAGTCAGTTCGTTGATAATCTCAATAGCATCTATCGCTATATCGGTATTCTCGTGTGCGAGTAACCCTACAAGGCTCGCGACGCTTCCAATCTTAGCGAACTCGGGATATAGCTCGGGGTGCTCAGAAAGGATGGAGAGGGCCTTTATGTCGGCGTCGAGGTCGGCTTCGCTCGAAATAAACTTTTGAGGCTCGTCCTCAAACTTGGCGCGCAGCTCGGCGTTCTTGTTTATTCGCTTTTCGAAATTAAGGGCGGTTCGTCGTAGCCACGCGTTGTCGAACTTGTCGGGTGCTGCGTCCGCGCTGGGGTCGGGGTCATCGACGTAGTCTAATACTTCGTTCTCTTGCGCCGTGATTCCACCACCAAAGAATCGCCCGTCCTCATCGTCGTCGGGCGGGAGATCCGGTCCGTAGTCACCTTCTTCGTCTTCTGGAGGGGGCGCAGGTCCTGCTTCGACGTCATCTTCGTTATCGTTTATACTCTCGTCCTCGACGCGCGCGTGTCGGCTGCTGTTACCATTCGAATTTAAACGGGCCGATTTATAGATTTGATCTGCGTATTGCCACGCGTTAGCCAGCAAGACTTGTAAACGGGTTAAACGGGTAGGAAGAAAAGAGGACAAAGCATACTGGGATCTCGAAGAGGTTCTAGCTTGCGCTTGCTACCGACGCCAGATGCCTATAACATAGAGTTAGTTGAGTTTAGAAACAGAGTTGGGGAAAAATATATTAACTAACCTTGAATAGTTCATCAATGCTAGTCATCGTGTAGCAGGTTGATGAAATGACTGATTTAGGCGTGTCGCAAAGGAGATAGCTTATTAGAAAATATTGCTTGTAAATTAGAACATTGAAATGGCAGAATGGAAAGCTTCAATTGACTTCTCAAAGTTTAGACAGTGCGTATTACATAGCTCTTACCATCTTACCAGTCGGTGTACTTTCCATAACCCACCCGTACCAGCCGTACTTGCATGATGTAAGGCCCATTGGACGTAACCCCCCACAGTACCTCCAAGCACTATTCAGAAGGTACGTACTGTAGAGACTATAGACGTCGGCTATATTTTAGTAACAGCATTTTAGTAACAGTAGGTAACTTTGACTTATGGGTCAATCTAACAGTAAGCAATCTTGAAATAACAAAGTAAAGTTCAAGCTTCATTTTTTCTTAATTGCTCATTCTCCAAGTATCTACCTAGAGATTGTTACTCGTCGTAATGCTCGTATTTGGATAGAAATATCGTATACTTCGTACTTCGTTCATATTTGCTAGTTATTGGCCTTCAATATCTCACCGAAAACCAGACACGAGATAGATCTCACCTGAATTCAAAGACACATCATAGACGAAACGTTTATCTCATTTAGAATGCCTCCAATACTCATACTGGTCCGTCACGCTCAGGCTCGCCATAATGCAGAAAGTTAGTTTGTTACGATGCGACTTCGGCCTATGAGCTTCAAGGTGTCGGTTCTGACTTCACCTAGAAAACTTTACAATACCTGATCCGGACTTGACTGAGGAGGGGCATGGGCAATGTGTAGACTTACGGAAGAGTCTCATAGAAAACCCACTAGCTCGGCAAGCCGAACTCATCGTAGTATCTCCCTTGCGCAGGACGATGCAGACAGCATTACGATCCGTCGACTGGCTTATCGAGAAGGGTATCAAGATAGAAGCCGATGCGGATTGGCAAGGTATAACTCCAAAGGTTCTCCCATCAGAACCGCACATCAAGCAGACCCGTTCTAAGCCGTTTCAATAGAAAATTCAAACCATGGGTGTGACACCGGAAGCCCCGTCGATAAACTCATAGAAGAGTTCCCCACGGTCGACTTCTCAAAGGTCGACCCGGTCTTCCCAGACAAGACGTCGTCACTAGGTAGCCGCTATCACTTCACGAAATCAGCTCTTTTGGCGCGTGCTCAAGCAGCCTTGAAGAAACTATACGAACGCCCAGAAAAGGTAATTATCGTCGTCTCTCATTCGGCCTTCTTGCGACTCGCAGTCTCCGGCTATTGGTACTTTAACGCCGACTATCGCATCTTCGACTTTGCGCCTGTGAACAACCCGGGGGACTCATATCAACTCGAGCAGCACGAGTCTACCAGAGAGAAGGGCGGAGGGCTCGGTCGGAGCTGGATCGATCCCATAGTGCTAGGCTCGGAGCTGCCGGGAGAAGATCCGGATGCTAAAGACAACAGCGGCGGAAACGGCCGGGGATATTGAAGACGGCCTTTTAGATATCGGTCCCGAACATGATAAGACCCATGGCCAACATATAATTACCTCTGTCAAATGTTCCCTGCAGTACGGTTTCGGGATTCGGGATAACCGCGTATGGTAGATCAAAGCGAGAAAGCTCATGCAACATCTAATTTTTTATTTACCTTACTCTGACGCTACTTTAAGCGTCTAGTAAATGGTAGTTATGGCTAATAAGCCAGACTGAAATACTGAAATGAAGAATCGAGGCTGTGTTAGTGGTTTCTATCTAAAGAACCCATTTTAACTTAAGGACTATCCCTATTTGTACTGATGAAATAGCACGTTTTATTATTTGTTCATCCTACAAGATACAAGTCACAGATGATTTTACATAATCGTCCGAGCAGTCTGACGGTTGACAGGCATGTTTCCGGTTGATAAATGCACAGCCTCAAGTACTACAATAGCGCTTCAACTTGATTGGACCATATTCCCTACCTACGTTATACGAGATCCGTTATATATGCTCGACATACCATTGGACATCCAAAACGACAGCCATACTAGTAAGTCACTAACCTGATAAATAGGTTTTACGTTTGATGTCGGGTACTTATTCCGTACCTGAGCCACGCCGTTTTAAACCTGAGCCTGACTGGAGTTGTACACATGAGTTACAGTACGAGGTCAGAAACTGACACTGTATATTTATGCATAAATAAGAGGTACCTAACCCATGTAATTTAATGTTTTAAACGGTAATCAAACTGATAAATATTCCACCGTTTTCTCAACGGTTATTTTGCTAATATATATCGCTATAACTATGGTTTTAATAGTAGAAATTTGTAATTTTTATCCTAGGTTGCCATCCCCGAACATTTTCTCGTTAACAGGAGGCAAGATGTAGGTAAGGAAGGTATAGATGTGAATAAGAGAAGCTTGCGGTTTTGTCCTTCCACAATATGTATGTGAAAACCACAACGAGGTAGGTAAGCCTCGAGTGACTCCGGGTAGCATCTAGTTGCGGAACGTGCTAATAGATAATCTACCGATGAAGTCGTTAGGGGAAAGCGGAAACTGGGATGAGAAGTGCTACATTGTCCTCGTATTGGCACGGCTTGACATGAAAGACTTGGTCTTACGTGTCATCCTAAGAGCTGCATGACTCTGCGTGGTAGGACGATAAGTTGAGGTTGCAACTTGTTGGCGCTAGGTTCCTCGGCGGAATTGCCTATTTTTTCGGAGCAATCTAAGCGAGTCTTACATGTGTGGGTGTGAAATAAATATCAGGTAAAAGAGGTTCCCATATCAAATGGACCTAGAAGGCATGAAAACAACTTCGTGATTCCGCTAGGGACTTTGGCTCTCAACTATAGGAGCCCGTGGCAATATGTAAAAAGTTTATCCTTTATTCTAGTTGTCTTATCATAAAGTACAGCAGAGTTAATGTGCTTTTGCTATGGCTTGATGAATGTTCGAATACTAGTCGCCTACACTTTTTGTACAGTTATAATAGGACGGAAATGATATGGTGGGATGGGTATTAAGCCTACTTTTCCACCAACGGTAGTGGCGTGTACATATATGTGAGACGTGAGTGAATCCGACGGCTACAACACTTACTGATTGCATCCTCCCCTTTCCCTATCGACAGAGTCGGTACAAAGGGGTTACAGCTAACAGCATATGCACCCCGAAGACCCACACACCAAATGTAAATGATCACCAACATACTCATAGCAATTTACCCTCAAATTTAATAGATAGGGGCAGGAATACCTCCCGAAAGAGTGTCAGGGGTATGGAAGAAGAGCCAGGTGACTTGCAAATAGGTCGTATTGGGCGGCCTCAAACCAAAACATTCCTACCCTCCAGTAGGTAGAGTCCCAGAAGGAAATAGACAAGACGGTAAGGCTAACTTCCTAGGAAGTTATGCTCGTGCTTGGAACCTTTTTCCATATACTTCCCTAGGAATCCATGATTAAGCACATCATCAGAAACGAGGGTGTCTTGCTACGGAACCCTTCCGTGTGGTGTGTCCACCTACCCCATGATGTGTCGGGTGCCTCGGGTACCTTAGGTAGGTACATAGGTAGTAAGGATGACTTCCTAGGAAGTCAATTTATGCGAAGTGTGGGGGCATGTAAAGGAACGACCGGCCTTTGGGGCCTCCTGAAAAGTATAGAATACAGTTGCAGGGAAGATTACGACTGATGACAGCTATAAAGCCGTTCACTTACCCCTCAACTCTCTCAATATTTATTTTCTGTTTTTCCAACTTGAACACCACACGAGAGCAAACTATACCGACGTTCTTCATTCTCTTTTACGTAGTGTCTCTCCAATGTCGGAAAATACTAGGTCTTTGTCTCCCAAGGGGCGGGGTTCATGCTCGCCAGTCAACCCTATGACCCCTGAGTCACCTTCAGTCGAGCAACTCACTCCTATTCAACTAGACGAACATGCTACCGCTTTGGTCGTTTCCCGCCTACATATCCCAGTACTCCTGATGCAGCTTATAGAGGCATCGAATGAGCTTGTGGGAAGTGAGGTGCTCGGGCAATTCCTATCCAGCTGTACCATTTCTCAGCGGAATGAATTACGCAGAATATCCGAGAAGCTTTATCAGAGTTGTAAAGACTTTTGCACCGATGACCAGAATAAAGCTGGGGAGACAACGATATCTCAGAAAGACCCCCTTCAACCCAACACCACCGGCAATGACAGGTCAGAGGTCGGTCTCGGAGAACAGCGTAAAGCTAGTTTGAGGCCATCCCTCAAGATTGCCCTTCCGTCCAACGATATACTTGATAGAGAACAATCTACTATTGAAGCCCTACCAGAAGGGAGAATGGCACTTGACGGCGATTCAAAGTCTCTCACCGGGGAACAGCGTATGTCTACAATGTCTACTCCCGATACAAATGGCCAGAGCGAAGATTTAGACTCTTCCATTGAGTCTCTCGTATTATGTTCCAAATCGAACAACCGGAAGTCATCGAATATCCAGTATGCTTCGGAAAGTTCAAATAGTAGAGAGAAAAAATTTCGTGGGGCGTCTCGGGGCTCACGGCAGCCAAAGGTTTTACCTCTAAGCGACTCGGACTCTGAAAATACGTCTACTGCAAGACGGACATCAAGAGCTCCAAGCCCCGTAAATAATCCCCTCGAATCTAGTCTCCCAAGTCCCGAAGACTCCCCATTGAAAGGATGTGAACTAAGGTCTCAGGGGCATCGTACTGGCAAAGGTGATAGCCAGTTACTTCCACCGATGGCTACGCAGCCCAATGCCGAGTTTGCGATGGAAAGCCTGTCTGAGATTCAGGACTTCAAGCTACCAGATAATTCGTTAGACACTTACAAGGCTATATTCGCTTCACTAAAGCGCGAACAACAAGATGAGTCGGTTTGGTCAGACGGATCGGAATGGAAGGGTCTAGTTGAAACGGCTTTTCGGGGCCGCCGAAGGAGTTCGATTCACTATGCCCTAACTGCGATGGCACTGAGCCGCTGGTACGACGGCCAGACAAGGCGGTACTCATTAAAACCCCGCGCAGCTGCAGCGGAGGTATCGAGAAGGCTTCTTGGCGAACCCCCGAAAGATTCAAGCGAGAAGATAGGGTGGGAATTGCGCCGCAAGCGTCTCACGACACACTTGACGCGCGGCAGGAAATGGGCTAAGCTAGTGGATAGTCTTGGTTTCGGTATTCTCTTCAAGAATGTATGGTGAGTTCCTTGTTATGAATCAAGTTCCATGAGGGAGAGATATAGTACTAAACTTCTCGTAGGATGCTTGTCAAGACGGATGAGTCTTTGCTGATGAGGATCATCGCTTGCCTCCAAATATGCCCAGAGAAGATGTGTGTTCTTCAGCTTCTAGGGGAGCAGATGGATCTGCTGCTTGAGCACGGGCAGACGCGCCCGGATATTCTAGAGCAGTCCCTCGAGAAACAAAAGCTACTGGACCGACGACCTTCTCGCAAGCTTACTAAAATAATATCGGAAGGGATTACAGACCTTCAAGCCAGGATGGGGACGGCCTCCTCAGAAGGCCATTTTGAAATTGAATCTGCACAGTTTCGGTTTAACAGTGATATTCTAAGTGGTCTAGAGGGGTCGAACTGGATTAGCCATGAGCTGATTTTGCTTTGCATGCATCTGGCCGACAGGTTGCCGCATATTCGCATCGGTTTCTCGGTTCCTATTCATCAAAATAATCGAAGGCGGGAACGGAAAGTATTGCGTGATCCTTTTGAAAGGGCTGCCGACCAGATCGAGAAATGGAACGAGGCAGAAGGCGAGGATCGGCTAGTTTGCTTCTTCCCACTTTTCCAGAACGATAACCATTTCAGTCTTCTTGAGATTAACCAGAGGGATGGTCGCATTTACCACTACGACTCTAAAGGATATAAAACTGATGACATCCAAGTAAGTTTTTTGGCCTTTCGGAATAGGTTCGGTGTTAATTATCTAATAGGCGGCATGCAAATCGAGATTTCCCAACCTACAGTATATGAATCAGGTTTGTACGATGAACTCTTCCAGCGCGGCATAGTAATAACCATAGCAGAAAACCCCTTGTCAACTTGACAATTTTAGCTGTGGCCCGTTGGTCGTTTCGATGGCACGCCGCCGCATGCTATGCCAAGATGTCATTTGCGGTGATATTGGCGAAGAAGATGCCCTGCAACTCCGAGCCGATGCTTTAAGCTTGGTCACAAACGCTTGGTTGGGCAACGTCATAATTCCAGCTCAAGCCCCAATGGGAAAAAGAAAAAGGAAATTTGCTACAAAGTACGACGGAGCTTCAATCAAACGCCACAAGGCTATTCTGATTGAAGATTGAGTGTTATTAAAGTAATGTATATATATGTAGATAACGGTTGAAAGAAATGAAAATGCACGGCGACATACCCCGATCCTAATTGTCCCTAAGCTTTATGTTGATTTGGTCAACTACTCGAACATCTACCCGGTAGGTGGGAAGTCAGGGATAGTTGAGGCTGTGGCTGTGGCTGTGGCTGTGTTTCTGGCTGTGGCTATCTTTTTCTCTCCTCATACCGCGCAGCGACCGATTCCGTACACCATTCCTATTCTCGGAAGTTTTAGCCGTGCTGGCTCCTACCAGTGCCGGCTCGGGGATCAAGCTATGCTGGCTGAAAGTGTGCTGGTAGAAGAACTAATCTGTGCTGACCTACATTCGTGCTGGCTCGGACTGGCACTGGCTCAGGAATTAAGTGGTGCTGGCTCTAAGGGTGTGCCAGCTAAGTAAACAACCCGTGCTGACCCACAATCGTGCTAGCACATATCTTCGCTAGTTCACGATCCAAGCGGTGCTATCTCAGATGCGTACCAGCCTTGAGATAAAGCCGTGCTGAAACGTACCCGTGGCCAGCCCATACTTACGCTGGCACACATGACGGCTGGTGCAAAAATCAAGATGTGCTGGTCCCAAAGATTCATTCACTATTTTAAGTAACAATACCTAGATTTTCTATTCCAGGTATATGATAACATACACAAACTTCTCTATAAGTATTTGTACCTGAAATGGCCAGTGCTATGGCCATTGTGAATTAACAACGCCTCATAAACCCAACGGTATCTATTTTTTTTTTATGTATGTTTAGTGTAAGACTCTGTAACTGCTGGGTACCTAATCATTGCGACAATCTCATTTATAAGTCGTTTATGTACACAGAGACATCGGAAGAGATTTTTGCAAAGATTCAAATATACAAGTCGGAAAAAGTCTATTATATATGACTACTGATTTACGAGTTTCGCTAAGTTTCATACTCTCCTTGCCAGTGATGGCCTTGTGCCGCCCCTTCAACCATCAGCGTGTAGTTTGACTAGTGGTGAAAATGCTGCTGACCAAAATTAAGTCGTGGCAACTCGTTACTATATCTTGTGTTAGGGTTAACGTTTTCGCATGCAACAGAAGGGTAAATCTTGATTAAGGGAAGGGTGATACTAGCTTCCAAGCATCTGAAACAGGATACAACTGGCAAAAGGCGTCAAAAGACTCTTCATTCCACTTTCGTCCCTAGGAGCGCCGTAAGTGGACGCTGTTCGTTTCTGTACTACAACCCGGTCAATAATGCAACATTCTTAGAAACCAAACATTATAAATGAATGTTCTTAAGATGGGAATAATACCACCGGCCTCGTTGCCAACTCCCCTTATCTCACTTATGACTTCCAAAATGGCGCATCAACTAAATGACTCAAGTGCTCCGGTGTCTCAGTCCAAAGGCATATTTTCTTCTAGTAGTTCCGAAGAGGGGGACTCTAACCAGCCCATGACAATTGATGAACCTAATGGAGACCAAAGCACGACCGAGGAGCCCTTAGCCGACTGCGACGAAGATCTACGTTTGATCCTGCAGCAGACAGCGAAACTGAAAGCTGACTCAACGAGATTGGAGTTTGAAGAGCTTTCCTTGAGCGAAGTCCAATCACGAGTAAACAAGATAAAACACTCGCCTGATGAATGGAACCACGTGCTCAAGTCCATCAAACATAGAGTTCAAAAAAAAGATAAAGAATGGGCCAGCGAATATATCGAGTCTCATAAGGATGCTGTTATGAATTTCGTTGGACAGGAAATTATTAGGGCCTTCGAGAACGAGAAGAAAAAGGCCAAGGTACTTGAGCGGCGTGTGAAGGAGCGTGAGGAGGTGAATCGCGTAGTGAAAATATTGAAATCATTGAAAAAGAATAATGCTACATATTATGATCTACTTGGGGTAGACAAGAGGGCTACAACAGCTGAGATCAAGAAAGCTGGAAAGAATTTTGTTTTCATGCTTCACCCGGACCGAAACAAAGATAAATCAGCGCTTCGTTGTACTAAAGGTGCGTTCTGGACCTCGTCTAATTAGGATTCAAGCTAAACAATGCTAAGCCATTAACAATGCGGTTGATATCCTCTGCTCCAAAGAGAAGCGAGCCGAGTATGATAAAAGTTTACCTAGTCAGTATAAGGCCCCTCGTGTCGATGAAGAAGATCTTTTCGGTGAAGAATTTGCCAACGGAGCTTTCGATGATGATGATGGCAATGATTCTACCGATAGTGAATCAGATAGCGAATCGGACAGCGAGTCGGACAGCGAGTCGGACAGCGAAACGGACGAAGAAAATGAGGCTCCAATGCTGTCGGAAGAAGTAATGAAAATATATTTGGAGATGGGCCAGTCAGTTCTCAAGCCATTTTTCAAAAGGTTGGACGACAAACCTGACGCGAAAGTACTAAAGGAGAAATTGAAAAAATATAATATGTTAATTGAGGAGCACAATAGGAAAAGGAGGATAGGTATCCCCAATCTTTTCATGGTGCCCGATACATCGATTAAAAAGTATCATTTCATGGGACGGGATATCATAACCTGGTGGGAGGCGAGGAGATTGAAACCCGAAGGGGTACAGCAGGCTCTACAGAAGCTGCAGAATAACTTTGACAAGGAACGGCTGCGTAGCTATAACCAGTGGCCCGCTGAATGGACGAAGCTTCTTATCAGTCCTTTGCGAAAGCGGCTTATTAAACTGAATCTGCCCAAGGAACAAACCCGAACCAAACCCATGCAAGGAAATTCGGCACGAGAAAAGCCTATTAACTGGGCTTCTGGGACTAAAGAAACTAGTGACACGGATATGCAAGATGCTTACAGGGACGACGAAAGACGTCTGCTCGGGATTTTGGCCCATGCATCCAGCGTCCGACCTGATACTGGCGGGGTGGGGTACAGCGGCGGGATGGGCTATAGTGGAACAAAATACTTCTTTAATGTCGAAGGACTCAATAAGCTCGAAGTTAAGATGGCTAATGATGTCGATCCCGAGGAAATTAAAAAGTATCACGGTTCGGGAAAGGCTAGCAATATTAATGATCAGGAGAGCGAGTACCGTAGGTTATTGCGATCTAGGTTTGTTCGGGTCATAGGCGTTTCATTCCTACCAGGGACAGGAAGCTATGAGCGAACGTGCTGGACTTACGTTAGAGTGAAGATACTCAATATTCCGGGTGGTCGTATCATGACTCGATCGACCTTGCGCGGCTGGCTAGGACAGCGAGAGGCCGACAAAAGGATTGATGCGTTCTTAGTCGAGTCAAGAACTGTTCCCCCGTGGGCTATGGACGACTACGGCTCGGGAAAATACAAATCGTATTCACTCAAATACCCGCTTCCACGAAAGGCCCACGGGAATCACCAGATCATTCGGAAGAGATATTATGATGATAGTGATGATAGTGATGATAGTGATGATGAAGAAAGGTCGCAGTCGCTCAGGTATAAAGGGCGTGTTCGTCACCTTGAAGAAAGCCAGGAAATATCAAACTTGGTAACTCACAAGGTTAACGATATGATGGAGACGATTACGAAAGGGATCGAGGACATGTTCATAACGCGCAAGGAGGCCGAGAAAGAACTTGAAAGGCCCAAGTAGCAATAATTTACCAACGATCTTGCTTAGAACATGAGATATATCATGCTCCTTGACGATACCGAATATATGCGGTTGCTGAGAATTGGGCTTCCCGGCCGGTTCGGGAACAGTGGATTGTGGTCGATGTCCGTTTGATTTAGATAGTAGCTGTAATTTGAGAACAAAGCACTAGCATAAACCATTCTTCTACTGCGTAACAAGATTCAAATCTCTTAATTTTTCTAGCTACCTAAATAAGAGAATAACCGGTCGGCTTTTCTTAACAACGTAGATATGGTGTGACGGGATTACCCGTTGGAGTTGTAGCCTCATTAATTCATTTTTTTCAACGTCATGTTTCTGTGAGAATTTAGTACACATAAGAGAATTGGTGATCACCGGCGGAGCTCTTAGATTCATCTTAAAGTTGTAAGGCGTCCCCTAATTCCACAGTATTAAACTTCTCATCTGTATAGGAGAATATCACATTACACAGCAAAACGATGAGGGGTTTTCTCGCCTGAAGTCTGAATATACCATGGTGAAACGCAACGAAGCTGGCAACTTGGGATATTTGGAGGGAAGCCTTGTGAACATGGTAGATTACGGCTCATAAGTACCGAGACTACCCTTGTAATATTATTATGCACGACATATAGCGTGATCCTAACCATCATGGAATAGTATCACATTTCGATCGTGTTTTAGGCGCTGTTGAAGACCCCCACCAGTCATGTCGAGAGTTAGGTACATCGGGAAGGAGGAAGATGCATATCGTACGAAAAAAAAAAATATACGATCGTTCGTAGGGTGTATTCGGCCGTATCAGGTCACTTAGTTGAACCCCCGTAGGATGCATTGCACTGACACCTAACCCGCAAAGTGGAAGTATAGGTCCTCAAAGTTGAGCACCTGATATCTACCGACTTATCCCAAATCGTAGCTATTACCCTTGCCGCTAGATTAACGTCGTTATACTCCCTGCATCCACAAGGATACCCGTGCCCATGGGAAAATATGCATACGAGAAATCAGGTTACAGCAATCCATACCACCCACATAGATTTATGGCCATTGAAAAGGGGGGCTGCCGGGTTCTACCTTAAGACGTCACATTGAGTAGTAGTAATAGAGCGAGGCTGTATGAACTAAGTATGCATACCTATACATTACTAGATCCATCACACTTGCATTAACCAAGCAGGGATCCGCGTAGGAATCTTACAGCTATCTCCCAATAACACCTTTTCATACACGAACCCCCCCCCTCCTCTCAAAGTTTGCTCCAACAGAGGCAGACTAATATTAGGACGGCATAGAAATAGGTAATGATTGGGTCTAGGAGTTTGAACTATGCCTTGAAAAATGGCTAGTGTGATCGGGCGAAGGGATAATTTAGGAGGTACATAGGTAGATAGTCAGAAGCATGCAAGTTGGTAATTTGCACCAACTTCCTTGATGTAGGCATAATAATATCTGTACTTCCCGGCCCTCCTATGGATAGATGGGTGGTTTCGGTCAGAGTTTGAACGAACTATGAATGTATATGTACGGAATCAACTGATTTCTCTTAATAAGAGGTACCCATAGACTAGATACTAGGTGTATGTCTATCCATATTGAATAGGTCACATTAACACGTATGCCCGCCATCCCGAGCCAATTCTTGTCCTCGTGCCATCAGATTCTGATGTTGGGTAATCACGCTGCTTAATAGATAGCGCCCTAGCCGTGCTACCAAGGAGGAATTATCGCTTTTCGGCCATGTGAAATTAACCACTTACTGATGAGATCGGGCCAGACGGATCCGAGACCTGCAAAGTGATGTTGTCGGCCCGTCCTGGCAAATAGCGTTTCCGCGTAATTCCCCTGGGCGTTTGCTTGCGCCATGGCACCTCGTCTAGCTTCAAGCTCGCTGTTGGAGTAGGAGATGATCATATCGGTATAGCCGGTATTGAGATATGCCCGTGAGGTAGTAAGGGCTTTTTCCCACGCGGCTAACGCGGAATCCACCCGCCCATTCATATGATGAATGATAGCAAGCCCAAATAAGATAGATAGGTGGTCGATTTTGTCAAAGTACGTAGCTACCGCCACAGAATGAGCCAGTTCTTGAAAAATGTCTTGGGCTATCTGTAGCGAACGCCAGTCTAACGGAAGTCCCTGTAATGACTTTTGCATGGACCAGATGAGGTATGCATTTCCTAGAGCAATCTTCACTCGTTTCATGCCTCTCGAATCCGTTCTATTCTTGACCTGAGCATCCAATAGCTCGATCCCTTCCTCGCACCTCTGGAGTTCACATAGTATTGTGCCAAGAAGCGATACTACCTTATTGTCGGTGAGCCGTAACGATCTCAGGAGATTGTAGCTTTCTTGAAATTGGCCTTCAAATCGAAGGATTCTAGCACGCATTAATGCTACCTTACTTTCCTGTACCAGCCCCAAGGACGACACCACCCCACCCCACGAAGACTTAAATGATGCCAGATAACTTAGCGCAGATGTTAATGCATTGAGACGGATGCAACCTCGGGCCTTCAGGATTGCAAGGTCAGCTGAGAATGCGTTGGAACGATGATCAGATATAGGGAATGATATAGTCTCGTGTGACTGATTCGCCTCATCGTATAGGTCAGCCAAGGTTGCTCTCCTTATCTGGACCCTAGCCCGCAGGACCGCGCCGTATGGCAACCCTTCCGCCCCCTTCACGGCCCGAGCGGCAATTTCCATCGCAGTGTATTTCCACGATTTCTTGCCGAAATACGAAGTGGACAAGCATGTCTCAACTAGCTGCACAAGACATGACCCATCCACTAACGTCTCGAGCTGCAGGGGGGCCAGATAGGAGAAGACAGTCTCCAATTGACGCTGGAGGGTCTCGCAATCACCAACATAGTTACATTTCGTTGATGCATCGGTTACAGGATGAGCAAAATTATCATGATTCTCGGGTGGGAGTAGTGGATACTTGGGAAAGGAATGTGCCATAATCTGGATAGCCTCAGCGATCCATCTAGTCCGCTCCAAGCGTGCGTGTAACAGTTCTGAAATACGACGATCAAGATCTACGGTCTCCTCCGACACTCGTACGAACCCAACATGTTCTAGACGTTGAAGAGCAGGCATTAGCTTGCCCTCGTCGGCAACCGTATTGATCGGCGGACTAGTCTCGGCGACTTCTCCATCTTCACCCCACGACAGCGATGGCGCCTGCATACGGCGGAACACAATATTAGGTATGCATGACGTGCCCAAGCATCGCAAAACACAAGCGAGGTTTTGAGGGTTAGGTGCTAGCTTATCCAGGATCTGACTCAACCATTCACTCATCGACGGGTTGCAGGGGAATGTGCTTGCCCTCGTGATGAGCTGCAGTTGTGACTCGTGAGACGCCTTTTTTAGGAAGTAATCTAGTATTTCGCGGCTACGGGGGTTGCGATGAGCATCGCTAGTGGCGTTGAAGATACCCACGAGAGAAAGCGGACCGCCGCGGCCGAAGGCTAAGCTGATGAGATCTGCTCTTGGTGTGTTTCTATTTCGATGATCGAGTGTTCGACTAAGCACATATGCGCGTGCATACCTATCCTGGGTTCCTTGAAAGGCAAGGAGGGCATTACGTACGGCCCGTTCGGCGTGGATGAAATCTAACGTGTCTGAGAGACTCTGCTGACACTGAATAATCGCATCCACCAATAATCCACGGACTACGTAAGGATCCCGTTGGATAGCAGTCACCATATCCAAACTCTCCCCGTTGTCGCCAACACAAACAAGCCGCATGGTGGGTATATTGAATATTGAAATGGTAATAGTAAGATGGAAGTGATAATATAGGTATATTTTACTCTGGGTATTATTCCACGTATTAGGCAATAAACGGGGTGAATTGGGTATAGAGCTACTTAGGCCAGTAATGTTTAGGTTAGGTACATTAGGTACCTAGGTACCTTTTGGGCGGGGAAGAGGCTCTTCCCTCAACTGATCCACTTTATTGGCACCAATTGTAATTTAATATGTATCGTGGTATTACATGTCAGGAAAAGCCAGGGTATTCCCCTAGCAAGGTACGTACAGTACCACCCGAATCCCACCACCGATCTCGAAAGGGCAGTTCCTTACACTATGGAATTAAGCTCACTAACTTACATTAGGTGCCTATTTGGTTAGCTTAGGTACTTGCCTAGACATATAACTTAAACATATTTATTTTCATAATTATGTGCCTTTTATTTGTTTAGTCCAAGGATAAAACTAGAATTACCTAATATTGCACTAGTTAGTCAAGATCTAATATATGGAGTAAAAAAAAAAGGATGGTTCATCAAGATCGATATACATATCTGGGAACACACCTAGTGTTACGATTTAATACCATCTTATAAGCGCTGCAATAGTGTTGATTGACTAACTACGTCTAGGAACTTGTGTTCTAGCTAAGCCTTGAAAGAGTGTATAATATCCCTAACACAATAGAAATTGGTGCATCCCTTAAGCTTCGGTATATTTTAGATCCGAGTGATCTATACCGTGCATACGTGCAACGGCAAGAATGTATAGTTCCATCGCGCCATTAGCAAACGTTTCCCATTTCTTCATATCTTCGTCTGCGTGATAAACTCCCGCCAACTTCTCCTGAAGTGCTTGAACCGCCTTGAAAGTATTTCTGATATCAACTAAATATGGCTGCAACCTGTGGGGAGGATAACCCTGCGCCACTCGCTCCTTGGTTTCTCTGAGCAAGCGCTTTGTCACTTGTCCAATGTATACTTTCGCCGCCCAGCCAAGGCACATCCTGAAGAAAATCTTTAAGCTTTTAAAATCGTCCACATCGTCCACATCGACGAACTGTGATACAATTCTCATGATATAATCGACATCGAAGTGATTGATTCTCGTTGCTCCCTAGATGAACGGGGTTCCGCTGTAAGCTATGAGACTTCCCAAGGTGATACTTTCTCTTACAGTTCCATCCATGATGTTGGATATCCCGAGTAGAGTTCCTTGAGGCAATAGTGTTCGGATGGCTTCAAAAATATTCTTATTCGCGTCGACCTTTATCGCTGTAGGTAATTCGTATAGTTCTTAAGTTTACTTGAAGCTCCCTATTTTCGAGATAGAAATCTGTTCCACCTAAGAAGTATTGCGTATTGGTAGGACTCGGTGTGCCTAAATACTTTCTCCTCATAATATTTTCTCACCTGGATGGACACCTTGGGGATGCGCATAACCCGTATAACCTAGTTCACGACACTTCCGTTATTGAATTGGGAAACCCCGTCGGCATTCGGGATCTTCATCGATACCTACACCGCTGTTTAGGATTGCATGATACCCTCTATCGGCTTTTTTGTGTGATGCTGTTCTTAATTTAATCGTGCAAATAGAGCCGAGTCCCTGAAGGCGGGTATATACTACCTTCTGCCTGCATCAGCTTGTCTAAGTGTCAATCTCGGAAGCACCTTCACACTACCTACCTGTTATCGACACATGCTTACGCCTGACCAACATTTTCCTTAGGTCCAAGAAAACTTTGCCACCAACGAACAGCTTCATATTGAGAAGGAGGAACGAAACCTTGTCATTATTACCTATCATTACATTGCTAGGTCTTTCGGGGTTGCTAGAACAAACGTAAAAAACCCGGAACTGGTGTTGTGTGGAGGGCGGACCGAAAGGCACCATTTGATGTGACCACCCTTTCATGGCTATGTCTTCAAGTACGATGACAGGCTTCAGATTACATGCATATCAATAAATGAAGTACACGACACTAGGTACCTGGCCAGCAAAGAAGCCGAAACTAAAATATTACAAACATCGATGCTACCTTAGGTAGGTACTTACCAACTTGTATGTGTCACTACCTAGTTAAAAGAAGCATACTTACCTCTTATGTCAGGTAGGTGCCTAACCTAGCCTATTTGATGTTGGTGCATGACTTGGTGTAAAAACCTAAGCGATTGTAACAGTTATGCTGATCGAGGTTCTAAGTTCGACTTGGGCTATGATATAGGTACCTAGGTAACCTACCTAGGTATGTATGTGCGTCTAGGGTGGTACCGCACAAGGACTCGTGATAAGATATCACAATGATGATATGTATCCGATGGGTGTATGATGGATTAAGTAAAGGAGAGGAATCTATCCAGGAAGCTATTTACAATTTGTATGCATTCCCAATTCGTGGACTAGTGGGTCCTCGCGAATAGTGGTCCGTGCCCAGTGGTGACGGAATACGGTACGCTAAGTCTGCAAGATGTTCGTAAGTAGTGGGTCCGTTTCAACCCAAATTTACTGTACCACCGTACTGGACGGGATAAAGGCGGTACCATCCTGGCGCACGTGAACTGTAACGCTGTCAATTCGAACGGGTTTGACCGACAGATCTTCTCGCTTCCCTCCGTTTCCCATTAAATCAATATCTTTTGGTCAAGAGGTATTTAAGTCTTATTCATCCCGTTGTACCTGAAATCCAGCTTGTCTTGCGATTGCAAAGCTACCTACCTACCTATCTTACTCATATTCCATCCTGCAAAATAGCCCATAGTCCGTGTTAATTTCCACGCAACCATCTATCAAAATGTCTTCTTCAAGCCAGACTAAGAATTCCCAGCGAGTCCAGACTACTAGCCTACCATCCGTGACTCTACTTCATAGGTTATGCAAACGTCTTAAGCCTATGATGACTTACACCACTTATCTCAGCCAACAGCAACTGAATGATCTCGGGGTAAAGTGTACGGAGCTGGACTTCGACACCGGGATACCAGCAGATGAAGGCCCAAGGTTCCTCCAATTGGCACCACTAGAGCACATTGAAACCCTCGCCAAAGAGAATAATCTGATTGAGAAGTATATCGTCAACACCTCGTTCGAAACCGATGACAACTGGCATACCATGCGGGCTATTTCATACTTCTACACCTACGACCTCTTCCGGTTCCCCTCTGAAATGGATAAATACAAATACACAGCCAACGACCAGGATATGCCGTATGAAACTGTGCTCGACCACAGCCCTTGGTCTATTAGCTAGTAAGTAATTCACAACGACTCTGAGGGAGTACGGGCTACAAACCGGTGCTTCAATATGCTGACATGAAACGAATAGCGAATATTGTGACAGTATTAGGATGGATGGATTCCACTGGGGCACCTACTTTGCCTTAAAGCTTAGCGACAACTCTGAGCCGGATATGATATGCTTCCTCGGAAACACCAACCCGCTCGATGACGAGAAGATCTATATCGGTGAACTGTGGTGCATTGCTCGGTTTAGCGGCAGCCAATTGAGCCAGAAGGAACACCGCCATAATCAGACAGCCTCTGTGAGTTCCTACAGCTTGCAATTATATGCTAATAACTCTTTGTTCTATGTTTCGCTGATATAATTCAAGGTTACCGTCGTGTCGGGCTCGGGCAGAAGCCTCCGTGTAGTGCAAGGTTATGTTAATACCAATGATGAGTCCGTCGTCGTGCGGAAATCAGCCATTATTGAGCTCAAGGGTGATGATGAGAATAACTTGAAGAAACTTCTGCAGGTCTGTCGTTGGTTCTTAGCCCAGCCATGCAAGAAATAACCGTCGCACCTGGGGGAACCTGAAATTCAATTTGGGACATGATCATTCGAGGCTAATCTCCTTAAGTTTATCTACATATCACTTACACTCCTTCTCTATAAATCTCTTTGTTGATCTACACGTATGCAGATATACCAGAATGCAAGGCATAGGTAGTTATATAGATCAGTTAAAATTCGTGGTCCTTGGTTACCTACCTGGCAGATCCCTTTGCCTTTTACCTAGGTGTTAGTGTCTAACTATGATATCCTTGTATTGATTTCTACTCTTTAAAGAATAGTTTAAGCAAGACTAATAATATTATCACTTGCGATTTGTAGGCAGTGAGGATTGATTGCAGGCTTGTCTAAGGAGCAAAAGATTTATCCATCCATGAAGCGATCACTTGGTCATAGGATTTATGATGAGCTTGTTGGGTGCTATAATAAGCACAGCAGTCCGTCAGTTCTGCCGTTAAATACGGTACCATATGGGGTATGGTTTTGGTTTGGTACCTTACGTGCAGGGGTGGCACCTATCTACCTAACCTAGGTACCTAGGTACCTAGGTACTAGGTATATGAAAACATCCTATGAGGTAGGTTGTTATTTCTGAACCCCCCTTCTAAAATGGTCTCGAAACCACCTTCGTAAAGTACCTAGACAGTAGCTATCATTTCAACTCAACCGAAATAACGGTGAAGATTCTAGAACTATAGTATTGCAAAGCTGACAAGAATCTTTTTCATACATGCATTAGGTGTAACCTTGACGCACGGCACAATTTCTACGGTTGATCTACCTGTTCTCTGTAACCGGAGTTGTAATCATCTTACTACAGTTGCAAGCGGCTGATTTCTGAATAATGGGCTTATGCTACAGTGCTACGTTCCAAGCCGTAAATCAGAGAAAGGAATTCATAACTTTCGTGCTTAAGTCTTCTTTCCATCGGCCTCGAACTCCTGGGTACGACATGTTTTAGTGTAGGGGGTGAGATTATATTGCCGGCAAGCCGAAGACCTCCTGGAAACTGATAAGCGGAGTATGCAAATGTAACATTACATAACTAATACAAGATTAAAAGATATGGGTTCTATATTGTTTAGTGTGATACTTTGCATACCTACCTACTTACCTACGTAGGTATACGTAACCGAGAAGATCGAGGGCTGAGGTAAGGATACCGACGTCGTATGTATTTGAATTACGGCGGCTAAGGAATAGCCCCGGTGCTACCATAATGTTGATTTTGACACAATCATAACAATCATATAGCTCTCCAGCCCTTTAGGGGTGTTAAGAAAAGGTACGTACCTTGTATATGCATACCTCCTGAGGGTTACATCCTTTACCCCTACACAGCTATTCTCCCTTTACCTTAACCTATAGGTACCTAGGTACATAGGTAGGTATCTATAAGGTAGGTATCTATCCAGGCAACTAGTGTAAGCAAGCAAACACACCTACCTACCTTGGATATATTCATGACATGCATCTCTGATGTAACACACCATCTGCAAACATATCCTGGCTTCTAACCATGTGCCCTGAGACTTACTTCTATATATCCCTTCACATGTAATGTCATATTCGGCAATGGCGGGAAATATGAAGCAATCTTATTATCCGTAAATGCCGTTTCCATCCTACAATGAGAGAAGTCAAGCTGGGTTTCGCCTTATAGTCGGCTAATACATCATCTTACGTTTGGCATTAACCAACGAAACACATGATATCTTCTATAGTCGAGAACCTTGCTATAGTTAGAACACAAACCAGATCATGTGTGGTAGAATACCTGGACAGGGGCTTCTTTAGTGTCTAACTCATACCCTGGCAGAGTACATAGAGGTACCTATGTCAGAAGCATGCTTTCATGGATTTAAACTTGATGCATCCTTAGTAGGCCTTGATACTGCTCGATGGTAAACGTCTCATTAACAAGGATCATTTCTGTCTCCAATATCAATTTCAACTCGGAGAGGCTTACTGTGACGTTACCTACTCCTTCAATTCTCATGCAGGGTGTTATGGAACCGTTGGAGATCATCCAATTATAATGGGTAAGCCGTTCCTTTCGTGATACGGGATCAAATCCGATCTATATGCATGGTATTTTTGTAAGTAGTGATGACACGCCACGGGGAATATGCAGCCGAGGACAATGTAGTTGGGACGTAGTCAACAATCCTAGAAAACAACTCTGACAGGGAAGCGGCATGCTTCGAACTAACAACTACCACACACCCAACGACGCTGAAAGAAAATAATACTATGACCTAAAGGCTTCCAGCTTGGGTAGGCTATCGGTGGTGGGATAGTTGAGTGGCCAATAGTAGAAGAAAAGAGCGACCGAGTTTTCGTATTGAGATGCGGTACAAGCCATCACATCCGTAATGCGAACGTTCTCTCTTCCGCTGTCCTACGATCTTTCTCTCTACTAAGTACTATATATCATTATATATGAGGAATCGTTTCTCTTTGTATCGTTGCTCTATTATCCGTCTTCTATTGCTATCAAGACGACGATATTTTTCATTTCAATTTGACTACTTCTACACTTAGGTACCATGTCTAACATCACAATGACTGAGTTGCCCGAAACCAAGGGAGAATGGCTGAACTATACTAAAAAGTATGGAATGCTTGATCCCCTCCATACCTCTATTCACGACGCCAATTATGATACGAACTCTGGCTCCAGGGGAGGAGATCAACAAATATTGGGTCTCCGCGTTCTTTGGCCGGCGCCGAAGATACCTATGTTCCCCTCTTTCCTATCTACCGAGGCTCCGCAAATAGTTCCTCAGAAATATCTTTCTTGGGCTGAATCTCGTCTTCGGCGCCTTGATTGCTGGAATGCATTTGTGAGATGGGTCAAAGACAAGCCAGAGAGCCTAGCAACCCCCGCAGGCGAAAGATTAGGACCATTTGCCCTCGTTTACCAATCACATACTTATACACAAGTCCTTAATGGCAACGATGATTACACCAAACTGGATTTTAGTCCAATTGCCACCAGAACTCGGGCCCGTGTGGCTCTGTCTAGTCAGCCACTTCGCCCTCAGACCCCATCCACCCCAACTCCTTTGCGCACAGGGGAAGAACTCGTTGGGACTCCGTCCGCTATGGATATAGATCAGTATGAAGAAATGATGGACGAAACGATGTCTTCACCCGTCTCTATCCCCCAAGTAGATTCCCCTGCAACCGGCGAGGAGGCGAAGCATGCAGGCGGGGCAAATAACGAGCAGGAGGTGGTTATCTCCGCCGTCCAGATGCAAAGATCTGTATGCCTTCATGTGGAGGAAGTTCAGAAGGCGAAGTGGACGGCCGACCAAGAAGAGTTCACGGTGAGGGATAATGGTGGTAAGAAGGTCTTCACTGCTAAAACGGATGGTGCTCTTCACATTGATCCTGATACTCAAATTTACCAAATCACCGAGACCAAGAAAGCGCACCGTTACACCCGTGAGATCATCGCTGCTCGAGTCAAAGGGCAAGAATCATGTCAGATGTCCGCATTGATTGCCTCTCATCCACCTCCCAACTTACAGCAGATGCGCGAAAAGGGTCTGACGCATCGGTACGCAAAGCTCTATATTTGACGAGAAGACAGGCATGACTTGAATTACTAACCTTTGATAGACGCATTCTTCATTCCCATGGCAAGGATGAAATTTATCTTACCGTTGGATCATATGGTGCGGCCTATGTCGACTATATCCGCCACCAGCCGGCCGAGCTGAGTTTTCTAACCATGCAAGAGTATGGCCCATTCCACACAAAAAGCTGGAAAGCAATGGAAGCATACACTATCCTCCTTCTAGCCCTAACTCTTGAAGAAATTGACAGGTTTAAAGGGGTAGCCCACGTATAAAGGTTGTACTTTATGGCCCCCTGCGAACTCGAGATTGTCAGATTCTTACGGCGGCGAGGAGGCGATTGGTTTCAGAAAGAGAGGATACAGAGAGAGGATACAGAAAGAGAAATCTTAGTTTGGTTTTAGTTTCGTTGCTCACCTTTCACTCACTTCTACATCTTGTCTTTCATTCGACAACTACCTATTTTATACATTCTTTCCTAAGCTGTTGATGTGGATCGAAGGATGATTTGGATATTCACTGTTCATTCGTTTAGTTATGAAATATATGCCAAGAAGATCAATATAAATCTTTTTGTTGCTTCAATACCCACGATATGAGAAAACCGGGGTGACACTTGGGCTCAATATAGTCAGTCCTTACCTCCTAGGTAGCTGAGAACATATGACTCGAAATCCCACTTACCGACCATCTCCGACGAGGATAATATGTACCTAGCCTTCCTACACCCTTCTCCGCAAGCTTTGCCATCAGCCTAATTGATGCCAACGTGAGCTTCAGCTGCTGGCATCTGGGGTCCATTCCGGCTCTGCGATAAGGTTGAAAAGAATTAATCGCACGAGTAGAAATCTCTCGCTAGGGATCCGTAGGGATTCATAATACAAGTTAATAGTACTTGCAACAGTCTACTAGAATTAAGAAGCTTCTAATATCACTTAGAGTTGTTCATATGTTCCTAGATTAGGTACCTAGGTACCTAGTTGATTTAACGTACGTAGGTAGTAATTAGCATCAACATTGCACGAATGGTCTCTTATCAAGTACCTGGGTAGGTAGGTACCTAATGAATAATTTACTTGGTACCTAGTTTATGAACTTGTGTAGCGAGTTTTCCATCTACCTAGTAGAGTAGGAAAAGTCCGAAAGGAACGCTGCTGAAGCATCTTCATAGGCAACAATGTATTTTATCGTGCCGGTTTTCACGATTTATTGGTAACAATATAGGCATGCATTAGGTTCCCGGTGTAAGAGACGTGTAATGAATTACATTCAGGTTGTGACTATAACCCTAGGTGCCTACGGTCCCTTCACAACGGTTCTCATCTTCTTGCTTTCCTCGAACTATAGACCCCTTCGGCATTGTTATTCTATGCCTTGTAAAATGACCAACTAGGTGCCCGAGCATTAGATCACCATCCATGTCGGGTTTCTCATTGGTATATACCTTAATACCTTGTGAGTTTTTGAAGGCAATCCATCACACTTAGTTGTATCCACCGCGCGCGTGGTCTTCGCAATATCCCCAAGGACCGTGATATTTGCCGCGGCCGTCAACGTTATAGCTTCGACGTTCGTTGTCACTGCTGACACTGTATCCACTTGAGACTTTGTTAATATACCTATACTAAGCCAAAAAGGTTATTTAGGAAAATTAGGTAGGTACTTGCCTAACGTCGAGAGGCACATAGTTAGAGTGCATCGTATAAGAATTGGTTGAATACGGGAAGTACGTGAATATTGTGCTGAGCTAGAACGAATGGATGCTTCTTCGAAGATGTGGGCTTCTCTCTTCTATATTACAGGAAGATACAATGTTATTTTATATATCCATACTCTGAGACTATTATAAATAGAACCAACACTCACTAAAGTTACATGGTTCCAGCTAAGAAGGGGTTAGATGTGATTAGCCCGGCACGAGCCTGACTGATTCATACTGGGTATCTCTATCACGTCGCTTCACTTTCCCTTTAAGGTAAAGATTCATTATTCATTTGATGTTGGAGGCATGATCACCTACCTCGGTATATTCATGGCCGGTACCTCTGTCTTCCGGGTATTGGATTCATGCTACCACTCTAGGTGGAAATCTGGTTGTAGATACGTTCCTCTTAAGTTCGGCCTAGGTAACGGGGACTTATGTGGCACACTTACAATGCCAGCCACTTATATAAGTACCTCTAGGTACCTAGATAGCTAAGATTCTTGGTAGATGGTATGTGTGTAAAGATCGGCGGTACTTTCCCCCTTTTCCCTTACCCCCTTTCCCTCCCTTTTCTACCTTTCGTATAGCACCCCAGCATTTAACTTCTGTAATTTTCTTAAAAATAGTATTATAGGTTAATTATATGCCCTCTTCCATGCTTGATCGATATTTGTGCGGGCATCGAAGCGGGAATGGGTACGGGATCTGGTTATGGATTAATATAATACGATATCTCCAAAATGACCCTTCTAGGAGCCTTCACAACTTTGGATATTTTACGCTGTAGCGATGGGAATATCCCAATTGGCGTGCTAGAAGAGATATAGAATGACGTAGGCGAGCTGTCCAAATAATCGTTTTTAGAGAACATAGCAGATAGCTTTAGGTACATAGCCTCCAACTAGGAGGTTGTGCAATGGCCGGTCCCATACTACCCTTTCACCACGCAGTGGCTCAACCCGATACGTAATTTCCACTATCTGCCCTGCGGAAACATCCCCCCGCATCCGAGGAAGATCTCGGTGGTGGGTACCTATAGACAAGTCCTCCGAAGCTCTATTCATCAATATAAGAACACTGGGGAGGGGGAGCCGTTTTCATCCTCTCCCCCAATCCAATACTTGTTACCTGGTAGGTACTTACTTCTAATACTCTCGAAGTCCTATATTCCAATATAACTAGCTGTTTCGACCATAGATATGGACGTTCGAATCATACTTCCTCCCATCATCATAATCTTCTTTGTGATAGATAGCATCACTGTGGCGATTAGGTGCTGGCTCCGCAAAAGGAAAAAGTCTCTCAGCAGCGACGACGTCCTGATCGTTATTTCTTTAGTAGGGATAAAGCTGTCACTGAAATAACGAAACGCTAACATTGGGGGAAGGTTGGATTTCTGCTACTAGGTTCGACGATACTTCTGTCGATTGAGTACGGCATCGGGGCAAAGACTGCGAAACCCGGATTGGATTCTGTTAAGGCAGCAATGGTACGTACGCGTCCAAGAGCAGATTATATATTATGCCACACATTATACCTAGACTCATTGATGCTAGAACTACCTAACTGTTTACTAGTGTTTTACTATTGCGCAAGTTGCGTATATTGCGACAGCTTGTACGTTAAAAATGGCAGTGGGATTGGCCCTGTTGCTCATTGTTGACGGAGTCCCCGAGCACATATTACGTCGGATTATTCGGGCATCTATGGGTATTGTAGCCGTATGGTGGACGGCCACTGCTGCAATCTATACTTTCCAATGTATCCCCGTTCAGGCTGCCTGGGGAGTTAGCCAGGGCACTTGTCTATCATCTACCGTGCTTGGAAACGTCGGGGTGACTCTATCTGCTATTAACGTGCTTGTGAGCTGGTTTTACGGGGTAGGTAATACAATCCTGTAACAAATTCGGATTTGATATGATGCTAATCATTATTTTGTAGCTTCTTCCAATTTGGCTGCTCTTTACAATACAGATGCCCCCTGTTACCAAAGTCTCTGTCATGATATTGCTTGGCCTTGGTGCATTGTAGGGAAACCTCAATTTTCCCAAGTTTGATGAAGCGCAAGGTACCTAGGTAGCTAATGATATATGTTTACAGAAGTTCTGTTGCGACTATTTTCCGCTTCAAGTTTGTGCTTGAGGTCGCTCGAGCGCCGGGGTTGGCAGGTCTGTCAAATCCAGGAGTCGTCGACAAGGTACTAGAAGGGACAATGTAGTACGTCTGGAGCCCACACCGGACTCACGGTCCCGGTATATTCGCTGACATTAATATGATTCCTAGCTCCATTATCGAGGTCGGGATAGGGATATTTGCCGCTGCATTTACGGTGATGGGCTCACAAATAAATAAGTGCCTCCCAGGGGTGAGAAGCCGTAACAGCTCCGGACCTATGCGCTTGGGGCCTATTCACAGGAACTCAGCTTTCCGGGGCCCTACATATGAATATCTGAGCTATCCTATGGCTAATAGCCAAGAAATTATCGCGCCCACACGGCCAGACAATGTTGTTACTAGGCGCGCGGATGTTGATGTTTACTAGGTAGTAGCGGTGTTTCCTACATGTATGTGCTAGTTGTAGGATGTACACGTACTGTAGATAGGTACCTACCTAGGTACATATCCTTAGTTGAATAGGTATGTTGTTGGCCAGGTTGTTGGGGTTGAAATCGGGGTTGAAGTTGGGGTCGACGTCAGCGTCGTATGTATGTAGGTATGCATTGTACGAAGTACCGTACCTGGGTTAGGTTAGGTAGGTAGGTAGGTAGGTAGGTAGGCAGGTGACAAGGGTTCACCGGGACCGCACCCGAACCGCACCGGTCTTCACGTCATGCTCTCTCTACCTTTGAAGCCGATCAGGATCGTTATGTCAGAAGTTACATATTGTCGCGCACTCTAGATCAGCGCACCCAAAAAACACCGCGGGCAGAACTAATTCACTCTTCATTGCAGTTAGGGGGGCCACTTGCACTAATTGGCGTCTTCTACCCAACGTTTAACGCAAGTCGTAACGCACGAAGCCAAGAAAACCTCGACTTCTTGCTAAATAAATCCACTGAATCGACCAGGAATGACCTCTACAAGCGAGCCAAGGGGTTTCCCAGCCATCATTCCATACGCAACTGGTTCAGTCGAATAATCGACCGGGTTAGCCCTGACTCTCGGGCCCTTGCCTACTTCCTTTCCTGTCTGGGTACTTCAGAAGTGCCGCAAACTATTTTTCCTCGTGCCCGTCAGCCATCAAAGACATGGGGTAGTAACGGGGAGGTCGTAGACGCGAGCCTACGGCTTCCCAAGTACCTTTACCCTCCTGATGCCGGCGTAGAAAGTTGTTGAGAAAGCCCGAATGCTAAGCCGAAACGTCAGAGGAGGCTGCTGGACGAATGTTCCCGAATGAGCTGTACAACCTGGGGAGGTAGGCGCGTCAGAATGGGCAAAATGTATCTTCTTATTGCTGATATATTTGGGATCGAGGTATTTTCTTCATTAATAGCAGACGTAGGGCCATAGTGCCAGGGCATTCGCCATGCTGCCAATACCCATAATCTTTGGAGGATATGTTGAAGCACATCTTTAGAATCATATTCACGTTTAAATAGGAGAAAGAAGTCTTCGTGTATTGTAGCGACTTCCGGGGATCCACGACAGCGGTTGCAAGAGGAGCCCCCGTAGCATATGGACATCCCATCCACATATACATGTACTGCCTATCTCAACCTCAAATGACAAATATGCATACGTAATGGAATTATAGTTAGATTGGAGGCAACGGAATCGTGAAAAGCCTGTCAATTCACAAGGTATCTAAGAAGGAGAGCTGACCCCTAATTTAACCAATGTTAAAGAGATTCCAACTCTTCACTCTATTTTTGCAGCCTTTTTAATAAGAAAGCCTTCTACGCTGCGATTGCCGTTCCGGTAAATCAGACTCAGCTTTTCTTTTATGAGTACGGGTGCCAAAGGGTGCCGCTAAGCCACTACGAGAAACCAGTTCCGGTAGTATATATGGCGAACCGCTGAGATGGAAAGCAGTATTCCATCGCATCTCCTTAAGCTCTAAGCTGATGGATGAATGTCCAACAAAAACAAGCGCCACTTTTATGTTTCCCTTGGCATCTTTCGCCGATTTAAACTTTGTCTTTTGCCCATTAATCAACAGGACCGAGTTTTGGAGACGCTCTAGGATCGGCGTGAGCGCTGGGTCTCCTGCCCTTCGCAAACATAGTATATTTCCCTTTACGTTAAAACAGGACCCAAATGTTGTAGGTACTTCTGTTAGCTCAAAATAAAACAGAGCTGCAAAGAGCCTCCGGGCGAACTTGTTAATTGTGTCTCGCAATGTGGTGTCCTGGAGGACAAGGGACCTTAGCCGAGGCATCGCTGTAGTGTCATCGAGGCTGGTCTCTCCATGGAGAGTAACGTTAAGTCGATAGTAACTGTTAGTCCTAGCCTCCTTCTTTAGGAGGCAAGTGACGTCGTTCCAGGTTCTTTGGCCTTGCAAGTGAGATAGGTAGGCTCGGACAAGTCGTGTTAGCCAGCCATATCGCCGTGGTCTCTGAGGCATCTCATCTTCCAGGTCGAGTTCCAGTGGTGACCCGGCACCTAGATTAAGCACGAAATCAGGCCTTGCGCCCAACGCCATCCTCTCAAATTCGGACAGACCAACCAAAGTAGGGTTATTCCGTACGATGCCGCCGTCTAATAGGTTCCCGAGTCCTGGAATGTATTTTGGCAAAAAGTACCTACACGCCAGTTAGACATAACTGCAAACGGGAGCAGAGAGACCAGAACGTACATCGGGGCGGCGGAAGTGCTTCTTGCCCTGCCTCACCGTCAGAAATCTCAAACATTTTATGCTGTACTAATCGCTGGTACTTACACCTCCCATGTCTTAACGTCATTTCTACCTTGATGGACCACATAGCCAACCCTAGCTTCGCCAATTCCATTGTAGTTTGTAAACATATAAGTAACTGGTACTTTAGTATTCGTAGTGGCAAGCACGCCAATCTTTGTCCCGGTGAGGGTGGCGTAGGACGGGTTCGCCATTCTCTTATTGCCGAACACTTTTACTAAAGCACCGTCTATCCCTTTTGAAGGATATAGGCAACCCAGAAAAACAAGATGAATCCATTTAAGCACTATGAAAAATAGAAAGAACCCGCGGACAGGGCTGTAAAAGGCTTCTCCGGCCAGTGTTTCTAATTTGAAGGTGCAAGTGGCCGCAGACCAACCTTTATCGTATAAACCAAGGATAAGTAACCCCCCTATTAGACCGGTCAGTATGGCACCTAACAGCGGAAATCAAACTTACCAACACTCACGCCATATGCTAGGCTGAAGTGCTCCTGGACTGGAATTGGAAGACCAAGAGAGTCCTGAATAAGTTCTAGCACAGTAGATGGAATGATCCCGCAAACACCTCCTCCATCAATGCAGAGGATCCCGTGACCTGCCGTCAGAGGCCTCACGCGCACAGTAAGGTCGACCTGCGACTGGCAAAGTATGCATTTTGAAAGATACCATAATCCAGGGTCCGATTCCTGGGATTTACCAAAGATTTGTATACAATTTTCGCAAAAGGCGTGCCCGCATCTGGCGATGTGCTGCGGAATCGATGTGAAACAGCTGAAGCAAGACTGGCTGCTTTGGATATGATTCCAATCCTCAACATATCTTGCAAGCACCATGCGGTGGATCACAGAAGCAGGCTTCCCACCGGCAAGGTATGTGAAGAATGATTCGAGGTTGGCTAAAACCGATGCAGAAAATGCGCTAGGTAATAGGAGCCCGTCGTCTCGATCTTGTTGAAACGCACTCCGCCCGACCTGTAGGCATACTACATTGTAAAGCTTATAATATACTTCTTCGGGTTTGAATACTGAGCAATAATCAGCTCAAGGCACCTATGAGGGGGCTCCAGAACTTACAATGCATTCCCGGGGGATACTGGTCTAAGAGGATACTTGACGCGGTTACGGGTGCGGCGAACTCGTGAAGCTGCCGCGCCAGAGGCATGTGGCTTACGAAGTCTTCCAGATGTGTGGCCATGGTGGGAGAAACTGGAAAGTCTTGCCTCGACGCGCGAAGGCAGTCGAATGAGAAATTTTGGGATCTTCCAACGTCACGAAATGCCCGATCCAACAATGAGTTGAGATGCGGTATCGCGAACAGGGCGTGCGCTTCTTCCCGTCGTTGACGGATATGCTGAAGATGTTCCACCAAGCAAGGTCTAACCAAAGAAAAACGACCACTATGTTGTATTCGAAGTAAGACAATTTCAGGGAAAAAAGAGTCTAGAGGTTGGATGGTCTTTTCCTTAACAAGAGTATGAAACTTTCGCCTCACCGAGGTATCATCCCATTTCTTCCAGCGGTGACCCGACAGTACCATGACTAGTTGGGGAGGATACCCAGATCTCGACGCTGGCTGGCTTTTGATCCACAAAGCCATATGTGTGGCAACGACTACCATGTCATTTTCACAGTACAAGTAGAAGCAGAATATATCCACGAAAGGATAAAGCAGCTGAGAATATATAACGGCAACCGCTTGTGCTAGCGATTCATATACCGAGTGGTTTTCTCTTATAGGATTGCAGCACGGTATGTTCACACGGAACTTTCCTTCTAGAGCCGCCGTTACAAGGAGGAGAGGAAAGTCGTCTTGCTCATCAAGATCAAGACATATCCGGTTGTCTTGCCTTTTAAGTATACGATTTATGGCTGGCCGTCGGCGACGACCTATTAATAAAATAAAACTTGGGATTGAATCTTGAGATAATAATGGATATGTCAGTTGCTCTAAGCGGTTGGAGGTCGCGATGATTGGCGTCTCATCCCCCGAACACCAAATCCAATGAGAGCAGGGGCGAACCATTGTGAAGGTTCGGATAATATGACCGGGAAACTCTGGAACTATCTCGGGGACGAAATATATACGAGAATACAAGCAGGACTGTTTCGGTGCATCTCCTCTGGTTTCTATTTTAGTTGTGATGGGAAGACGCTGTTTACCAAAACGAGCCTCTTCAGTACCGTATTCGGCCACCAAGCTGTATAAAAGCGGCCCCATCAAGTCCCAACCGTAATTGAAACCTCCCTCATCTTCTGTTAGACACATACTAAGGATGTCGTCTGGAAAATATCGTCATAAATGCATTTCTTGTGGCCGGTGCCGGTCAAAGGCCTTCCACCGACGACATCCGGCAGGTCCAGGCTACCCCGTCGTCAAAGGAGTCTGCGGCGAATGTCGACGGTCTTCCAATTCCTCCTCTTATTCTTCAGGTAAGAAGGAAAGGGGAATGCATATTCATCACCACCATTGGCTCCATCTTTCCGACGAAGCGGGACATATATTGCCGGAGGAGATGTTGATTTCACAATCGCCATCCACGACGACGGCTTCAACTTCGGCTGTGTCTCGAAAAAATTTCTCAAGTTTAGACCCTCCTCCTGGCTACTCTGAACTACCAGGCGATCAAGATGATATCCTTAGGACGCGTCTAGTTGAGCTAGCCGATGTTTCCAGGGCTCACCCCCGCGAGCTCTCGGCGGAGTCTCCTCTCACCTATATTGAAACTTCGCCGCCGCCGGTAGGCTCGAAGCCTAAGTTGAATCCTTTTAGTTACTTTCTTAGATCGCTTCGCTCCTAAACTAGTTTCTATACCGAGAAATGATTGGTGCTTTGGGCGTTTAGGACTTTTCTTTCGGTATCATGTATTTTCCTATCTGGTCAGTGGTATGTGCATGAGGTTGGCTTCCTAGGAAGTCAACGCAAGGTACATCGTATGACGTAAGGGCAAGGGTCGGAAGTGGGAATTCTACTATAGCTTTACCGGACGTTACCTCGAATAACAGGTATCTACTAAATTAAACGATTTACTCAATTAGGACACGTTTTCGCTCTTTTGGGTATTTATTTATTTATTTATTTATTTATTTGTCATGCTCGCGTGTTGGATTGACTATGTATTACGTAATAATATGAAAGGAAATGCAAATAACGATCGTGTTCTGATTGGTTGTTCTAAGGTAAGAAAGGAGGGGTTCCCCCGAGTGGGGAAAGATATCTATTGTACAAATGCGTGGGCTGTGCGTGGGCGGTGTGTATGGGCATAACCCTGGTCATGTGACGAGGTCACATGACCGTTATCCCAACATCGCGATTCGCGCTTTGGCTCGGAGACGCAAGACGCGTCGCCGAAACCAGGGTAATACTAATATATAAAGAGCCGCTGCTGCCCACTAAAAAGTTAACTTGCACAACGAAACGCATCTGCTATTCGAAAAGTATAGCATCGTCTGGTTTCACGTAGCCTCTCTTCAAATTTTACTAATTTTAAATTGCTCCCCCCTCGTTCCTCGGGGGTCGCCGGTATTTTAATAACACAGTAAAATTCGCGATCTTCTCCATCCGCCTTTCGTACTAAACGAGCACTTTCTTGCATTGGAGGTAAGGTAGCGTTCTTAATGAAGTATTCTATTACAACCCTAAAATAACAAGTAATTTGGCAGCTATACTACCTAAAAAAACACAGAAGACTTATTTAACTTCCTTATTATCTCTCCCCTTTTGCTGTAGGTACTTCTTATTTAGTTAACGTAGGTACCTACCTAAGGTACCTTCATGCTCAACGCGAAGTCATATCAGGTCGAGCATTCCCAAGAAACTCCTCTAACCTTGAGAGGGGCTACGGTCATCATACGATAATGAGAAACTAGAATACATAAGGCCGGTAACTCGATGATCGAAGACGCTACACTCGTCATGAGAGACTAATCTCCGTTTCCAGTAGTATAGACGTTTACCAACGTAGTAACTAAACGGATCAGCCCGCCGAGAATGCTAGGGCTCTAGATCTTTTAGCTTTATTTGGCCCATCAGTAACCGATATCGTTAGCTTACAAGAAAACACGGCTGATCAGCCAGATAGAATTATGACGGACTGTCCACCATAACCAAACAACCCCAAGACCACCCAGTATGCAAGCGCATCCGGCTACGTACAATATTGGGATATTTCTTGCGACACGCCGCAAGGCCCTTCCAGCTTCTGTACGTCGTAGCATGCTTATGCGGTCGAAATACGCGAAAGTCCCTGGAAATAGGATCAGTCCAGCAAGAGAAATCCAATGAAGGATGCTAGCTAGGATATTATAGCCCGTTCGAGCGCTCTCAGGCCCTACTATCGTATATGGTGTAGCCGTGGAAGGATCTGAAGGCATTTGGTTTGGTTTATTATTCGGGCTAGTTGCTACGTTTGAATGAATCATTGATCTAAGATGGATTTTTGGCCGTGCAAACTAGATGGCTTAAGGAAGCTGGCTTAAGGAAGCTCTAAATACCTGCCGATGTCGTGGCCTTTTCAAGCCACGAGACCTACGAAAGGGCTATGGAACCGGATTCGGCCACCGCGATTAAGTCTTCTTGTCTCTTGGGTAGTTTCTCCCTTATCGAGCCACAAGCTGCCCACGACAACATTAAACTTACTCAATATCACCTTTCATGGACCTTATAGAGTATTACGCGATCGGTGTAGGGGCAGGCTTCTGCCTTTTGCTAGTTGGTATGTCGGTCGTGCTGATTAGAGCCCTTTGCGCGCCTGCAGGTCGCCGTCTCAGGCGCATGTTAAACCCGTTATTACCAACATGGGCATGTGGTCGGATTATCATCTCGATTCAAGAGGCTACCTTATTGTGTGTTATATTAACAATCAATGGGTTGTGCGTAGGTGTAAATATTCACGATGGTGTTTCCGAAGTTGCCAAGCGCCTGGGGCGCGTAGCTCTCGTTAACCTCGTTCCGATATCCTGCGGCGCCCATATGAACTATGTCATTAGTATCTGCGGGATACGCCTTGATCAGTATGCTAGGCTGCATGCATGGCTAGGCGCTATTGTTATAGTTGAAGTGACCTTACACACTATTTTTGGGCGTGGCGCGATTCACGATATTGCTGGTCTCCTGGTGAGCCTGTGTTGTACCCGTTACCTATTATTTACCTCTAATATGTTACCTAGGCTTCATGCTCCGTCTGGATGATTGGAGTGGTCTCCATACCTATCATCCGACGTTGGGTGTTTGAATTATTCACCAAGCTACATACAGTCTCAGCAGCAGTTGCTCTTTTTGCGCTTTGGCTTCATCTCCCCTCCTCGACGTTTTATACTAGACCGCGTCTGTACCTCCTCCTCAGCCTGTTCATCTTCATCTTGACCAAATTGGTCCGGCTCTTAAACATCATATACTCGAGCGTATCTCTTAGGGGCAAGAGCATTGCTCTTGTCGAGAGGCAAGGGGACGGCGTGGAAATTCGCATCCGCATGGCTCGACCACTGAAGTTCAAGGCGGGTCAGTATATATACCTTAGCTTATGGGGCCTTTCAAAGCTATCGGCATTGGAATTACACCCATTCCAGATATGCTGGGATTATCCGGATGAAAGTGGGCATCAAATATTAGTCTTACTTGTCCAACCCCGGAAAGGCTTCACGAAGAGTCTTCTAACGTCTGCCTCCTACCAGGAATACCTGGCCTTTGTGGAAGGGCCTTACGGAAGACCACTATCACTTGGTCAGTACGGAACGGTCTTACTACTTGCTACCGGGGTTGGGATTACCGGTCAGCTGCCTTACGTGAAGGAGCTTCTTAAACTCTATCTTCAATGCGAAGTTAAAACGAGAAGAATAGCTTTATTCTGGGAGGTGGAATCAGAAGGTGATGGGTCCCCTCGGTTGCATTTGCTACATACCTACCTACCTACCTACGTACGTACTGACCTCGTGTAGTCCATCGATATTGGGTGAGAAAATGGATGGATGAGTTGCTAGCACTTGATAGAGACTATGTAAGCACGCTCCTCCGATAACCTGTTTTCACTAATCAATTTCAATTCCAGATTCTGGATATCCAGCTATATATCAAGGCGCATTTTCTCTCCCCAAGGGCGTCAAAGGGGGACGTGGAGAAACTTGGATCTCATGGTCGCATCACGTTAACATATGCGACGATGCGACCCGATATTATCATTGCTTCAGAGATGGAACGGCGTAAAGGAAAGACATTGGTATCCTGTAAGTCCGTCACAGGTTAAGCTGATTGATTAGGAGTTTCTAACCTGAAAGTATGTACGAACCCATCAACAACCCGTGTTATCACGGATATCCTCGAACACGCCGCTCATACAGATGTTGACGTTAAAAGATTGGATTTTCAACCTTGGACCACGAAAGTAACGGAAGTTCGTTTCTAATTCTGATTGGCTTTTTTTCTAGGACATGTATCACGGAGTTGATCTCTGTTTGACCTCTTATATCCTTTCAATTCGTCTCCTATGGACCTTCGTCATTAAATACCTAGGTAGACTCATATAAAGCAATTCTATCATTCCGTAGCCCAACAGATATACCAAGTATTAGGTACCTAAGTACCTACTCAGACATTATACCTCGCCCTGTTGATATCATTTAGGCCCTTACGAAAGCTGCTGATGGCAAGTTGCAGCCTTTCGCTAAGGTATTGAACCTCCTCACGAAGATTTTCACCTAATATTTGAATTTGGTGGAGATATGCTAATTCTTCACGCAACCGACCATTCTCGCGAGTTCTGATTTCGATGATTTCCTTAAGCGACGGGGTAGGTGCCGTTTTTCCTGCCTCAAGATTTTCCCTAGTGGCATCTAAGGCGACAGATGACCCGTTTGCTTTCGCGATAGTCTCGTCGAGCGGACGGGGAGGTCGGGGGCGATCCATGGTGTTTTACGTAGATCTCGCAAAGTTGTAGAAGCAAATAGAGGTAAGGTTCATCTACCATTCAACGATGTTCTAGCCACCAAGACTATAAACTTAGATCGTAGATGAACTATGTAGGTACCTACTTGGTATTTTAGAATCTGCCAATACTCCGGACTATATAGTTGAACTGAAAGGACGGAAGTGGCTATAGCGGCTTCTTTCGGACACGATTACAAGCATATAGCTACCTACCTACCTTAGGTACCCAAAAATAGTGTTACTGTTCACACGGGCAATTGATAGCCGTGATACATACCTACCTACCTAGGTAGGCTACCTAGATACCTAAGGTAGGCTTCTGGCCGAGAGATTCAGGCCTTATTAGATACCGGTGGAATTCCGACATGACACTTGCTGTATCAGTATCATCCAGATGCCGATATCTCGTAAGTCTACTTGAGTACCTGGGTTGGGAGGTAGGTAGCAATATTCGTAACTGATTAACCAACTCTTTGGGAAGTTAGGTACCCGCCTAACCTTCATAATTCTACATACCTAGACATCTATTTAAGAGACCTCATATAATTCAAACTTAGGTGCTACACAGCATATTCCAGCACTACCTAGCCCTTGAAGCTATCGCTAGCAATACTAACTCTTACGAGCACCACGTCTTCTACCGCGTTCATTCGTCGACGCCGTTGCTAGTCGTCTTTGCCATGATAGGCTTCTCTCGTAGTTTAATAACCTTAATAGCTCGTTTTTCTCTCTCCCCCCTTCAGTGAGGCATCTTTCATAATAGCACCATTGATTCCGGGCATCCGTCTCAAGTCTCGCTACTAGGTCAGTCAGATTCTTAATTTCCACGTCTTGCTCCTCGATTCTCTTCTTCTTTTCCGCAGATTCGTCACGGTATTGGTCGAGCATTAAATTGTTCATCTCCTTCTGAAACTGTTCCGCGTCGCGCTGCTGTATCGCTATCTGCCTTTCATCACATACGCGACCAATGTCGCCAACCAACAGACTATAGTCCGCTCGCTGTCTATTTATTTCCACATGTAGGGAATCATTTGCTCGACGCAGCCAGTTCAATTCCTCTTGTAGGTTTGCGATACGGTCATGTTGCTCCTGCTTGAGGGTTTCGTGCTCATCGCCAAGATCCCTGATTTTTTGGCAGAGTTTTTCGCATGCCAGGCTAGTATTCCAAAGTTGAAGTTTCAGCCCAGTTGTGGCCTCTGGTAATGCCCTTGAAAGGAACGACCGAGGTTGTTCGTCAGACGGCTCGCTCTTGAGCCGAGTCTGGTTATCCTGTATTATCTTAGTATCCAATCGCCTTGAGGAGAGGGAAAGGGAAGATTGCATACCATCTTATGCCTTCTCGCGCAACTAATTACAAAGGCTCTACACATCAAAGCACAGAGGTACTTGGTAAGTTAGGGGATTAGGATTTAAGGGTGAATTAAAAAGTTTCCATCATTGCGTTGCACACTACTTTTAGCACTGCTAAGGCCTTAAATGGACACAGTAGCGCGCTTAAAGAGATATAAAATGAGCCAGAAATGGATTTTATAACTTAATTGTCACGATACTGCGTACAGAAAAAGACCAAATCTACCTCTACGATACTTAGCCATACCTATTATAAGACTGTTTTAGTCAATGCCAATTCATACATCCACAGGTACACGTACGTACCAAGCTTAACCCAAGTTCAGGCCTTGCATGTAGGACCACCATTTCAAGCCCTAACCTAGGTAACTATCAAACCTAACAAGCCCGTGGACATACCTAAGAAAGCTTGGTTACAGAAAGGCAAAAGAGTAGTGACAACTACAGAATAAACGAGCAGAGAAATCTCCAACGCCAAGTTTCGATTAAGATATCAAGATGATTTCTAGGTTATATCATAGAATACTAACTCTATTTTAAAGTGAACTACCTATTCAATAAACCTCGATACGCCTATAAGGGACTAACGATGTTACTAAGGACCTAGTATATTATATCTGAAAAGGGGGGCATGTGAAATTGGCATGATAGCTCCTGGCAAGCATGACCGATTTGAAAATGGGAAAGTTCGGGGGGACGGTGTAAGATATGACATATAGCAGCATATTTAGGGCCATAAAAAGCAGAAACAAGCCACCGTTATGGTAAAAGGGTACCAGCCCTGCTGTATCGATAATTCTCGAGCCCCTGAGATAGCTAGCGTGGTATCATACGTTGGGATTGGCGGCGAGCCGAATGAAAATGAGACAGTACCATTGCCTATTCCATCTTCAGTGCCTGCCCTGAGTGAAGCAGTGATAAGTATACTAGGTATAGTAGGACTGGACTTGGGGGAAACCGTAGTCAGAACAGTTTCGATGATAGTTTTAATGACTGTTTGTGTTAGTGTCCTGGTCGATCCGGTGGCCGGCACCGACGCGATAGTAGCAGTATTTAGGGTATCGCGTATGGTGCTCACGGATTCATGATCGATGCTGGTTTGGCTGGCCTTTTCGACAGTCGGAAAGCAGTAATCAGGCTCGAACTTCACGGATCCTAGACCTGTAAGCGTTCCAATCCCCAATTCGAAACCAATAGTCTCGCCAGAGGGGATTTCCAAGCCTAGAGACCCTATTACCAAGGCAAGCAAGGTGAACAGAGTTTGCATTTTCTCTAATATTCATGATAAACGGCATGAGACATGCCGCGGAGATCGAGAGTGAAAAATAATGTTCCATATCCAGACAGGAATGACATTTTAAATCTTCTCAAGGAGGTCGTTATTAGACACTTCAGTATGATTTTTCTCATAATATCCCAAACTTAGAGTCCTTTTTTGAAAAATAGGTAAATTTGTGGTATAAATAGAAGCAGCGTATTCGCAGACTTAGGTACTTAAGGGCACAACAAGCGAGGAGATCCATCAGTGTCCTAAACAGACTCAACAACAGCTGAGGATGATGATTATGGACCCTAAAGTTCAATTATAACTCCTGTTAGCATAGGCTTCTTGGCATATGCGCCTACTATATCCCTTAATTAAGCGAACTACCTCAATACTGATAACCCTTTTCAAACTTCACGCAAAAAGCATTAGATGGGCATGCAATAATTGTATTCTAACAGCCTTATGTATCACAGAGGTGATGGAAATAAATGGTTTACATGACAGGTTATCCACTAGATAGGTAGTTACCCCCCTGAGTCCCGGCGGCGCGCGTACTTGCTACTTCAGCCAGAGCTTGGTGGTTTAGGTACTTTGGAACGCCTGACCAACTTCTCCATACGGATCAGCTCCCGTTGGTGAAAACGAACGAAATCGGTGTTCACGTTCCCTTTTCGACCAGTGTGTAAGATTGTTGGTTCCTATAACGGTTCTTAGTGACAATCTTATTATAGGGCCGTTCATGGGACTTACGATATCCCTCATGGCAGGGGGGAAGTTGATATCTCTCGTGGGTTGGAATATTTCATACTCCCCGTTTATCTTATCCCGGGCGACGATGGTAATATCGAGGTTAAAGAGGCCGGCGTACTCGACAATCTTCCTATGTAGTGATCTGCCTCGTCTCTTGCGCATGACTTTGAGCCGGCTGTCCAGATTTCGGTTTTTGGCCATATCTTTTACTTAATAAATATTAATGGATTCTGTTTTTGACTGAAGATGGATTTATTTCTGGTTAGCCATACCTTAGTATTGAAATAGACTTGGGCTTATATCTACCTTATAGCAAATCTGTGACAAGATTCAACAGGTGTGTGTGGCCAATTCCGGCATGCTGCAACGTACCATTTCTAAATCCCTTGAGACGTCCATGGTAAAACATTCGGAGCCTAACTCCCTTATTTGATCGGACCGGCCATTTTAGGAATAGGTAGTCACTAGGTCATTGTGATATTGCAAGGGTTTGGCTTTGACCCTGGCCTGGCCCCCGAATTTCCTTTACTTCATGGTCCGCATGCTACCAAACGAGCGTGACTTCGGCTATAGATAGATAGGAAAATGGCGTCTAACACCCAATAACCAAATCGGCCCGAGTGGTTAAGGTGAGTTAGTTGGAGTACGAGAATAAAAGTTCAGTTGGCAAAGAAATATCTATTGACGACAAGGATGATTGAAAGCGCTTCGAAGTTAACCAGTTTACATAGGGGCCAAAGTCTTACAAAGATCCTATCTGTCAGATTATCCACTTGACCAAAAGGTAACTTGTAATGTCATAAAATGTCATTACTTATTATATGCGACAAATCTCTTATAATTATAAAGCCTTTAATAGGTACGTGCGCTATAATTATAGCGCTTACGCCAGCCAATCGAACAAATTTTTATCTATTTTATTATTTTGTCGGTTATGCACTAATGTACCACCGTAACTATACCTATCCCGTGTAGTCGGTAACCAATTAAATACGAATTTTCCAGTATTATAAAACGTCCAACTTCCCATCCTCATCCGTGTACCCACTCTTCTTGAATCGAAACCCTGAATAGCACCAACATGTTCCATAAAACAACACTCAATTCACCCCAACAGAGAGTGGCAGTGCTTCTATATTCCAGAACAGGCATCCGGAAGCGTCTGTTTGTATCTGGAAATGTCCCAGGCATCATGGGCAGCAGTAATAGTGCTACCGTAGTGGTCCACAGCTTTTTTAGTACCTAACTACCATGCGAGAGCATCGACGAACTCGCGAACTAATGACAAGGTATTATTTTTACAGCTTCTTGAGTGATGAAATTACCAGCATGTAAACTCGCGTACCTAAGGTATGCTTCTAAAATAAGCGCAGGCAAATAGTTCTCCCGCCTACGTATTAACAACTTAAATATGCGTCAACTTCAGAGACATATTTTCCCATTGTCATTCTATATCAACAATCAACTCCACCTGAATACAATAATCCACAAGTGCATTCATTGATCATTCATATCAAATTTAACCATGCCACCATCAATCACTCGCCAGCTAACAGTTCCTGAATCACCTAGCACAAGCGCTGGTGTTATGCCTAATGACCTAGCCCTCCCTCCACCCTCTCAAGACCTAGGCTATCACCAGCCTCAAGGTCTGAGTTTTGCATCTTCTGGGTCATTCTCCTCGCTCGAAAATTTCGATTTCGATACAGCATTATCCCAGGCACCGCAGACTGGGTGTCCAGCCGAACCCCCCAACATATTGTGGGACTCGTCCTTCCAGACACTTCCTAACTATCCATCACTCGATAGTTCCATCCACATATCCATTCACCTCATTACATCTCAAATCAACTCCCTGAATACTCGTATCAATGAACTGGAGGTGGGATATAAAAAAGCGATGGCTATAATTGAGGAGCTCACGGCCTGGTCCAAGAAGATGGAAAAACACTGCAACGAGATGAACAATACTTTATTGCGACTATTTGGGATGGTTCAAAAACCAGAGTTCCTCCGAGGTATGCTTGATGAAGCCTATGAACCTCCCCCTAGAGAAAAGTGGGCTTAGGAATAGGTGATCGATTCCATCTCATAGACTGCGTTATCGCATTCCATGATCACCCCCCAATAGGAAACCCAGTTCGCTTCCACTTTTTCACTTTTTCTATCGAAGGCATGGATGGCGGGGACTAGATATCGGAGGAGATTGGTAGTTTCTTTAAGTAGTGACAACGTAACAGAGAAGCGTTTAGTTGCAATTTCGATTTCGTGGTGTAGGATCAACGTCTCCTTTTCTAGTTTGTGTAATTGTGATACATCTTCGGCATGCTCCATATCCTCCAGACAATGAAAAATATCTTGAATCAAAAACTCAGTATTTTCGATCGGCATGATGAATAGATAGGCTGGGAGAGGTCGCGATTACGAAGAATGGTGTCAAAGGACAATGTAAAGTATCAGGTTAAGAGGCACGACGTAAAAGAGATAGAAATGAATAAGAAGGGGAATCGATAATATATTAAGCCAGATCCTGCCAGCCCAGTATTCCCGTAACACTAGAAAAAACGTATACGAGCGCAGGTGCCAAAAACGGCTGATATGGAAGTAGAAATCGGGTCCATCTACGAAGAAGGACAATGCCGTACCCCTACACCAGCAATAATAAAACCAAGTACCAAGCCGATGCACCATACTAGATCCCCATTTTCTACTTGCAGATACTCGACCTTCCGGAGTAGGGAGGGTGTTGAAAAGGTGATCGATGCAGCCAGTATCAAAGGAATAAATACTAGGACAGTAACGCTTATCTCTATTATGGCCTTAAGGAGGGGGATGCGGGAGAAGATGCCGAATGTGGTAATATCAATAGTACGTAACGCAATGATTAGCGCAGCAAGAAGGAGAACCCCCACCAAAGTTGTGATCAAGCAAGAACGGACATTAACCTTGAGGCCAACGGATATGAGCGGATCAATGCTGTCAAGGTCTAGGAGAGCGTTGAGGGGGCCTGGAAATAGAGATGAAATATCAGAAGGAATGTTTTGACAGCTAATGCTATCATTCTTAGCAACATAACAGATCTGATAAGTTCCAAGGGTGATGCTCTCCGGGACATTGCCTAGAGCCGAGACTGCACTTGTTGCTTGAGAAATACCCTCGGAAACTCGCGTGGCAATATGAGAAATGATGCTTTTCGCATCTGTTGGGAGTTCCGGAATGTTAGTGACATGAGGAAGGTCGGTGATGTCGGGAAGGTCGGTTAGGTCAGAAGGTGAGGGAATGTCTGGGAGTTGGGTAATGTCGGGGAGCTGGGTGATATCGCCAAGCTGCGTAATGTAAGGAAGTGGGTTGACCTTGGGAATTTTGAAGGCTTTTCGGGGTAATAGCTGTGGTAGATCCAACTTGATTTTGGCAATTCCGCTTGTGCCCATTTTATCCTGAGCAATGCTCACGATGAGAAAGATAGCACTACCAGCTAACAAGATTATCGACGCAATAGTCTTCATATTGTCACGAACTAAATGGAAGATGAGATAGTAGAAGAGAGACGACAACAAGATGACACGGACTTGACGAATTGAGGAAAACGCTACAAATAAAGCTTTGTAGCTTGCCTAAGAGGTAGGTACCTAACCTAAGGTACCTACCTAAATACCTAAATATAGGAAACAGGAGCCAAAAGCGGCCACCATCTATTCACAGGTATCCTTCTTCCGTAATTCCTGGGCTCTCTTGTATCTCATTTATAATAGGTATGATTCGTGCAAACCCTTGAGAGTACCTTAAAGCAATGCTGCGGAAATAGCCCTCTCGGCGGACGGCAGCGTCGAGCTTTTCCTGTGTAGTACTAATCCTCTCATCGGCCACTTTCTGTTTTTCCTCGACGCTAAGTCGCAACTTAATCTCAGCCTCTAGCTGGAACCTTAGAAGGTTTAGCTGTTGGGCCAAGTAGTCGTTCTGAACTTGGAGCTCGTTGATCCTCGAGGTAAAGCTTGGAGGTTCGGTACCAATAGAGACCTATATCTGTCAGAAGATATGGATGGCATGCTAATCAGTACCTACAAACGCATCTTGGCCTGGATATGAATCCGGAGTGGCTCTCACTGCCTCGAAAGTAGTTCCCACTCCCTCGCACAAGTCTTTGTATGCTCTAGCTGAGTGTTCGCTCAAATTCTTAGAAAACAGATGTTGCTTCTCGGGAAGCGCTCTCCATAAGTAACCATCCTCACGAGTCGATTGCAGCCTCACTTGCGATGGTTTTATATTTATACCCAAATGCTTTTCTGTAATCCTTCTTAGTACCGGTCAGATTCTTGCGGATAAAGAGCTAACCAATATGTTCACTTAGCTTCTCCCGACATTTAGTACGCCATTTCCCACGCTCTATGTTACTCTGTTTCGACATTTCTATAGCTTCGAGTAAGAAACGAAAATTCATTCTTCCTACATAAGCTACTTAGAGGATCTATCTGTCTTTTTCACCTTCTTATGGGCGAGTTAGGGTTACATCCGTCCGTTTCTAGCCAGACAGCCAAAACGAAACCGCTCACTGGTTGATATCGTCTACGCAGAGCAGGCAACTTACGTAGCCTCTTCAAACGACCATGTATCGAAGACAGAAGTGGCATCATCCCATGCATTTCTTATCTTAATCTTGGGCTGACGAATATCTTCAACCATATCGGCTTTTCTTTTCAACCCTCTTGCAGTTGCTATTAATAGTTCTTCCGGAACGCGGTGCAGGTCATGCATATGGCAGACGAAGGAATCGCCGTTTTTGAACTCCTCGGCGCAACGCTCGTCTGGGCAATGCTGTCTTTGCCAGCGCAACCCGTGGTCCCTAACCTCAGCTTCCCATTGGCTTTTGGTACAGAACTGGCGCAGGCGGCTGGCCGCCGAAAGGGACGTGTCCCATAGGCAGTACGGACAATAGCCTGGCAAGAATGTGCTTTCTACTCTCTCGTATGCTACCTCTACTGGGAGATGGTCCAGGCTCAAATGCGAGTGACAGTGTTGCTCCCAGGCATCGAAATCGTAGAGCCATTCGTTGCAAAAGAAACAAAACTCTGCAAAACGACGCGACTTCTTTGTGCAGCGGTAGACGTGTAGTTGGGTTCTGTTATATGAGCAACTGTAGGTACCTAGGCAGACCTCGTAATATATGAAGTGATACTTACTTCGGGTTGCATTCGCAAGGACATTTGTCAAGCCCTGGGCGGTAAACTTCCGACTTGCTCTGATAAAGGGCTATTAGTTCCCGTAGTGCTTCTCTCCCCTTTTCGCTGCGTAGTCTCGACGACATAGGTAGGAGGTCAGCCAGCCTACGACGGTTTGGAAGGATCGGTCTCAATCTCGAAAAGGGGCGATTCACTCCCCTGCAAGCATATACTTCAGATCCGACAATGTTTCCTGTGGACGTCTCTTCCCAATATTCCTGAAGCTTCATCTGTTCAAGTCGTTTTATATCCCTTCTAGGCTTACGGTTAGGATGAAGGAGGTTTTTGCATTCCTCCGAAGATTCGCTCCCCTCCTTTACCGTCAAACTCGCTGTTTCTAACTTCCCCTTTTCGAGAAGTGGAAGCTCCTTAGCCTTGTATTCTTCAGTTTGCATCAGCTCCCTCCTTTTCATTAAAGGCAACGATTGCCACAAAGATGGCTGCCATTCTACCTCGACTAGGCGAAAGAGCCTCCCGAGATTAATTGATCTGGCTTCTTTGTCCTGATATACTGCTTGGCTATCGATACCTCCATTTCTAGCTGCGTAGTGTTGTTGATGCATCTGGTTATTCTCATGGCCAGCAATCCTATTCCTTTGCGTATCCGAATAAAATGGTTTCAAGTCTAAAGACGTGAGTTTCTTACACATATAATCAATATTTGCAATCACAGTCAATACGTACCGATATTAGTAAGACCTTCTGCTCGGAAATCGTGAAATGTAGGTGGTTTCGGAAACCCACTTCTGATCCCTAATGCCCTTAATCCCTCACTTACCTCCCGCGCTCTTAATATCTTCCCACTCATTCCCGTGAACAGTGGTTGGTTTAAAACGCTTCGGTGCCAATGGATACGCATCATAGGTGTATCTTCGCATAGTTTTAGGTCGAGGAGTTTAAATAGCCCTTGTTCCCCGCGATAATCTCTCAAGGCTCCGTTCACGCAGAATATGACGAGAAAGAAGAGCAATGGGTTCATGTAGAGAGGCTGCGGAGCCCCGAACCCCCCTTCGTGAATATCTGGTTGTGGTCTAAATTCTCGTCAGGGTGTATACGGTGTCGTAAAATAGAGATCCCACCTACAGCTTGCTTGATTTGGGGTGCTTGCCCTTTAAGAACTTGGTAAGTTGCAACGAGAATTCTTCTAGCCCGTGCTCGTTTCTAAATACAATGAATTCTGTATCCTAAGCACGATGTTAGCGTCTCTCTACCTAGACTTATTCATTGTAAAGTGAACCTTATAATGTAGCCCAATGCCTGTACCAAACCTAGATCCAGACTCGAGGTAGTCAGAGATACGGCCGCTTGTGTAGGCACCCGCAGAAACAGCTGCCCAAAGATCTACGCGGAAACGTGGGCGTGAAAACGTCTTCCAATCTAGAGACCAGAGGAAACATCCCTCCCAAGCAAAAGTGACTTCAGTGGCATGTCTCCTTGGCCCCGAATCTGGTACAAGGTTAAGGAGCTTGCCTAATTCTCCTCGAGGTTCGATAAACTATCAAATATGAGCAGCTCATTCAGTTGTACCTAGGATTTCAACATCACAAACTCTCTTGATAGATGTGACAAATTCATCTCGTATAGGGCCTCGATATATTCGGTAGCCAGCTGTAAATTGCTTCCAGTAGGATTTTAAACCGCTATATGGCAGAGTATCCTCTGGGCTCAAATCTTTATGTTTACGTATTGCCTTTCCCATGCGAAGCACAAACTCCTTGAGATCGGCTAGATTATCAACTGATTTGGGACCCCATTTCTTGTTACTAGCTTAATTTAGTGCGCTGATTAGCAGATAAATTTGAAATAGACGCCTACTAGTCATCCCAATTTTGAAGTTGGCGGCGGTACTCTCTCTTCGTGCATTCGTCGACATTTTTAGGGACAGGGCTCTCGTTAACGATCGCTATGTTCACATCGATGTCATCTTCCATATAGTTCCTTCTGTGCGGTCCTCTGGGGGGCTTCATCGTAGTATCTACCTAGGTAGGTAAGGAAAGATTTCCAGGAAGTCAAAAATTGATTATTATGGGAGAGGACGGATCAAGCAACCATGAGAAGGGTAAAGCGAAGCAGGCCCCTTTTGTACCTACTCTGAGAACCCCTCTGCTATAAATGGCATCACCCCTATCTTCTGCATTAAAGTCTCAACACTATACGATTTCAGACTAAGGTGCTAGCACCTCTCATGATATTGTGAATGTATTTGACGAATGAATTCACCTAGCTCCCCTAACCCCATAAACGCCAGCGCTTTAGGAGATGCATGTCCCTATAGATTTAGTCGGGCGTCATCCTCCCCATTGGATATAATAATTACATGATTCATCACGTTGAACCTAGTCATTCCATGACATTAAGGGAGTACGGGTTGTGACGACGCTGAAAAGGTTTATTAAATTAAAGAGGTGTCCCCTGAGTACTAGTATCGAATTCTATCCTGTGATATGCAGTCATCAAAATCGCAGGAACCAGCCAGATCAGCTTCTGCTTATCTTTCTTTTCCATAAACTTATGCTGTAGCAGCTCTTTGATATTAGGGCTCGTAGTTGTCATAGTAAATAGCTCAAAGGCATCACGCGACCAGTTTTGGGGCTGTGTCAATCCGACCGTTGCCTCCTTATCCTTTTTCTTATCCATCAGTCTCATCACCATTCTGCTAAATGAGTCTCTAAGTTTTGCGACTTTACCCGATGAGCTACAATGTTCAATGTCACATATCTTAACATCACCATCAAAGTCCATGAGAACGTTGGCGCAAGATAGCTGCTCATGGACTAAACCGTGGGTGAGGAGAAACTCAACTCCCATGAGGACCTATAATACCAGTGAGCCTTGACATCGCTGTTACGAGATGACACACATACCTGATGCAGTATCGAACTGAGTTGCGGCTCAGTTGGATAAATCGGTGCTTGGCATAAATGCATGAGAGAAACCGGCATGAACTCGGAGATGAGATAATAGTCCTGGTCAGAGGATATATATATTTCGATATTCTTAACAATATTCTCATGAGATAATTGTCGAATATTCTGGATCTGCTCATCTAGATTGGAACCGGAAATTGTACGAATCATCGACTGCCGGCCCTTGCCGTCACGAGGGATGATGATGCCAAACGACGAACCACCATCCAAACGATATTTCCTCTCGTAATGATTCCAGGGTGAGCCGCTAATAACAGGAACAAGCCGAACTTCCTCAGGTAGTCGTTTCACTGGATATCTACTTCGGGTCCTGGGTGGCTTACTTTCAGCAAGGCGAGTAATATGATCACTAGGATGAGATGGAGATTGGCATTGGGCTGCGACTGTTTGCAAAGGAACGCTATCATCTTCCTTCGACAAGGCATCCTCAACAAAAAGGGTAATTCGTTTCTGAGAAGACATTTTCAGTCATTTCATGATATTTATCAGGTAGTTAGGACAGATATCAGAGGTTTGGGCTCATTGATATTATTTATAGAGGGAAAGCCAGCGGCTGATTTTAGCCTACACTCGGTTTGCGGCCGGAATCGTCACAATCATTTTCTACTTGAACACATTGATCAATCCCGACGAACGATGATGCAGTATTTAACAATTCAATTTTTTTTTTACTAATTCAATCAGAGCGGCTACTACTAAACTACCTAGGTATACAAAGATTTGAAAGACATTAGTGAACCCGACTCAGAACAATGTTTTTCAATATTGAGACTCAATCCAAACAACTTGATGCAGAGTTGAAATCTAAATTTAGTGGGTATGCAAAGGTCGCATTGGATCTTTTGTCTTTTGATACAGGTGAAGAACCTGACGAGGAAAGGATAAGGCACCTTCAGAGAGTTTTCAAGCGAGTTGGATGCGATCGATACAACCCAAACAACTACATTTCAGGGACCATCTCCGCGGATGTACTACACGCGTCTCTCAAGCAGTCAAATCTGAGGCCGGGAGACTTAAAGGGTCGTGAGCTACCCGAACTTCGTTTGCCGGCTGGCCAACAAATACGTTGTCTCGGTGGACGTCATCGTATACTTGCACTTAGGAAGTACAACCGCTCCGCATCGTGGTGGCCAATTAAGTTATTCGTCGGTTAGTAAAATCCATTTAATCCATGAAAGGTATAAATACTGATTTCTCAGATCTTACCCCTGAGGCCTGTCGGTTGGTGTCAGAGGGGTTTGCTAACGAGGCAAAATATTCGGACGGCGAAATCGTTGCAAATATCCTTCGCTATCCAGAGCATTCCGTAGACGCGAATCAGTGGTGGGCGAGACTTGATAAGAGTAAACCAAGAACACTAAAAAAAATCCTCAGTCACCCTACATTAGGACCGGCTTTTAAGAAGGTGTTGAGCATTCCGGGTCTCCGCCCTGGGCTTCTTTTGGCCCCTTGGCATAAGATATTGAATTGCGTCGAGGTAGGGCCCCTAAAAAAAGAATTAGTAGACACCTCACCCTTTTTATTTTCTCTTTACTAACTATTGACTTCCTAGGAAGTCATCCATTACCTTGGCGAGATCTACCGGACGTGGGTCTACATTGTAGGGTCTGAGAGTGACCTTAGATTCGTAGATAAAGACGCAGTAATGGAACTTCAGTCTCGCGTCCCGGGGGTGTCATATTGCGATGAACGTCATGTCGAATACGAAATGCGAAAAGAAACCATATTTAGGGGCGTAACAGGTATGAGAGAAAGGGAGTTCATCTTACGCAATCTGAAGCAGGTTATGCGCTTAATCCCATCCATCCACACTCTACAGCAGGATTTTAAATACCTCCGACAATGTGCCTATGTTATGAAAAAGTTGATCGGTGATGGGATTCAAGCTCCAATCACCGTACGCATCATGGCTCAAAACTCATTTCGGGGCAATCAAGGGCAGCCCGTTAATCATGAGGGAAGGTTTCTACCAAGCTTGAAGATTCTTTATCTACATATCATGCAAGATATTTGTCAACTTTCGGGGCAACCTCCGCTAAAGGATAGTGATAAAGAACCAGATTATGAGTTATTGCCTAATAATGCGATATCCTGGCATACGTTAGCGGTCCGGGCGAGGGAGCTGGGCTTCTCTTCCGACGAGATTATTCGTCTATGCCACACTGATCCCGACCGAGAAATGGCTATCAAGGCGTTGTATGAAGCTCGACCTCGGGAAAAGTTTGACTACGGGCAGAATTTTGAATATATAGTAGCTTCATTAGTCACAGCCTTTCGGATAGTACAACCAGTCGAGTCCCAGAAATCTCCGCCGGGGCTAACCTCACATACGGGAGAGCGAGTCGAAAGGAGATGTGGTCGTGTATACTCGAATACTTACGATACAGATCGCCATTTCATAACCCTGGAGAACGTCACTCATGAAGTACAGAAGGACGTCGATATTACCTCGCTCTTCGTCCGGGCATCCGTTTTCCACTTGTTCTGGGGCTGGGAAAGCGATGATCAGAGCTACGTACGGGGCAACCTAAAAGGCCCATCTCACAACGATAAAGAATTGGATGATATAATAGAGGAAGACGAAGTCACAATCGACGAAGGGTCTCATAATCAAGTATGGAAAGACGTCACGATAGAAGAAAATGTGGAAATGGATGAAGCACCTATTGTACCGCAACAGGAAGTAACCAGACGGAAGAAGCCACAGCAGGATAATGGCCAATTTATATTCGGGGTTAAGAAAAATAATATGGTAGGTGTGAATAAGCGGAACACCCTACGACTTCATAAAGCAATAGCAGTTGCAGATGCACAACCTAAAGAACAGCAGTCTACAAGTCTAGCCCTAGCAACACCGGCGCCCGTCCCTTCTGGACTCATGCCGCAAAGCGAATCCCAGGTCCCACCACCAAAAATGGTCATACTAGTACGAGAGAAAGGGGACTGGGATAGTATAGGAGAATATCCACGTGAGCATATCGTGGATAAGTTAAAGGAAGCATGGAATATGCGCGAGGGTTATAGCTTGTATACTAGAGATGGTCGCGGCATCGCCTTAGATGACTGCCCAACTCATAGCGATTGGTGCGTATGTCTTAGTAAGGATGGTCCTGGCGAAGGATTTCCGGCGGAAGAGACGCTATGAGTAAGAAGGCTGCTTTGAATGGAAATGGGAAAATGTATTGCTACGATATTATAGATAATCTTTACTAAACTTAACTTGAAAGCATCTGCTCCTCGATTCCAGCCAAGTTCAAATCCTGACCCTTTTCAAACGATACAGCTCCATCCTGAATTCCCGGCAGAACCCAAATATCCATACAACTTGTATAGACTTCCATACGCCCCTGGGGTGTCGTGTTGGTAGGGATGGTGGGCCATTCCCAAACCCAGTACAAGGTGTAGTTATCATGAATGTCCATAGGAAGTCGCAAATCGTTCTGGCACCAGAGATCGGCTCCTTGGGGGCGCATTGCGACTTTAGAATACGTTCTCTGGCGCTGTGAAGAGATTGGCCCGCTGTTAATTTGGTAACATCTCCCATCATCGAAAGGTCGAGTGGCGAGCAATTTACCCCTTCTATCTCCTCCTGTTCCTTCAGCATTCCAGACGCGATGAACAGATAGAAGACATTCATCTTTAATGGGAAACGAAGTACCGTAGATGAACACAGTAGAACTTTCAGGTTTTTGTGGTGTGTTGTTAAGGAGGGTGACATGGCCATTTTCCTGGTATTGTAAAGCCACAAAGTCGCCGGGTCGGGCCTGTAGTGGAGGGAATGCAACGTTGAATTGATCAACTGTCTGTTGGGTATCCCGACAAATGGGATCAGAAGGAAGGATTCCCAAGCTTTCGTCTCGACCGGGAGGCGGAAGCAAATATTGTTGCTTCAAGTCATTAAATGTTGCGTCATATCGTGACATAGCGCCGCGAATGAAGCCTTCATTTCCGACCATAGTTCCATTTAGGCCAAGAAGCCTTAGTCGTTCAACCCATGAATGAGCCATAGAAAAAGGTAGTATTAAAAAAAGGATATTCACGAGCGTCATATTGGAGACCTGCGATGAAATACTATTCTTCCCAGAAAACTACCTAACCTAGGAGATACCTACCTCCTAACCTAGTTGAAGCAGTTAGAAGATATTCTGGTTTCTTATATAGGTACCTACACCTACGCTACCGAGTGCATGGACACCCAGTATACCCCGAGTAGAGGACGGATTCAGATATGGCCAAAAACCGCACGGGGTCAATTATGTCTACAGGCCTACGCATTTGCCAAACTTGTCTCTCGACCTCACCGTTTTTCATCAGAGGTCCGTTTTATTCGTACGCCTCGCATAAGTTAGGAGATACTTAAGGTATCGCATAAACCTTGCATAAATCCAGCGCCTCCGGAGACATGACTGAGTCGAACCTGAGGAAAAAGCGGCGGATGCACTATACCCAATTGATCCAAAAAAAGACTCGATGTAAAACCTATAACCTAAATTACCTTATTACAGATCAGGGCGCTGAGTTGGATGCTGATAATGGGCTTCCAGATCCGCCAAGTCCCGAAATATCCATATGTACAGGGGGCCCCCAACATATCCTTATGTAGACCGCATAGGGCTGTTTGTCGTTGGTAGACTGTTATTTTATTTTCTCTCTTAACACTGAGGCGCAGGAGGGCGCAGCTCATCCCAAAGTTATCCTTGACCATCAACCCAAAGTCTAACCCAATCAGGCATATGTGGATCATTTTACACCATAATAGTACTAGCGCACCCAAAACTCAACTACCATTTCACTAACATTATATTTATATAAATATACGCTTTTATACAGCATTATAAGACTTAATGAAATATAAATAAATTTAATATAATCGATTATTAATTAATTTTTATTTTTAATCTTTTTAATATAAAATATTTATTTTAAAATAAATAAAAGATAAAAAATAAGTAAGCGTACACTTAATCAATTCTTAATCGATTGGAAATTAATTAGATAAAACGCGCTATAATATAAGGAATTTAGTGGTTATAATGCGCTGTACTTACAGGGCATTTAACCTTATTTTAGCGATTAAAAACGCCAAAAACTCACCCCAAAGTCGTACAAAGCTCACCCCAAAGCGGACCCCGTCAAATGCAACCAATCAGAATGTTGGATCCAAGGTCCCAGCTTTTTCCAAATCAGGTTAGACTTTGGGTTGATGGTCAAGGATGACTTTGGGATAAGGTGTAGACTCGATAGTTAAGGATAACTTTGGGATGAGCTGCGCCCTCTTGTATTTTCGATCCTGCTCGTCTGAATTTCATCCATCAACAATTGCGATTCACGGTTCCCGGGGACTGTCGATAATTCAACAGCGTCGCAAACATGTTATCCGCTGCTCGCAGCCTTCAAATATTATGTCTCGCCCCGGCAGTGGTGTTAGGAGCGCTTGAAGTTGATCTAAATTCAAAAGGTAAGCAGTTTTGGTCTCTTCTCTTGGCAGCGCAGGATTCTCCCCAAGACTCCCTGGCGCCGCCCGCGACGAATGCTTAATACTCAATATACTCTTAGAATCCATCAAAAATGCCGCGAAACAGGTCGCCTTTGACTTGATGACCTACTATGATGGCAACGAAACAGGCCATGTACCAGGCATCTTGCCGGGACCGCCGCCGGACGGAGACTACTACTGGTTTGACACCTTCTTTCCCGCGGAGGGGCAATTCACTAACGGTGCTGGACCAGGTGGCAAGGAGGCGCGCTTTGGGGTGCGATGATAGACTATTGGCATTACACAGGTGACGATACGTACAACGATGTCACGTTCCAGGCAATGCAGTTCCAGGTCGGCGAAAACGAGGACTACGCGCCTCGGAATTGGACGCTCTCACTCGGTAATGACGACCAGTCCTTTTGGGGCATGTCTGCGATGCTGGCGGCTGAAAACAAGTTCCAAGACCCTCCTAAGGACAAGCCGCAGTGGATTGCCCTCGCCCAGGCTGTTTTTAACGACCAGTCCGCACCGGACCATTACGATGGCGTCTGCGGCGGTGGCATGAGGTGGCAGATCGCCCCCACTAACAAGGGTTATGATTATAAAAACAGTGAGAAATCCCTATACCCAACAGAGAAAAGGGCATCGGCAATGGGGAGATGAGAAAAGAGGAGAACGGAATAAGAAATAGAAGCCGGCTAACATGAACGGATAGCTATCGCCAACGGTTGCTTCTTTAACATAGCAGCCCGTCTAGCCCGATACTACAGCAACGAAACCTACGCGGAGTGGGCGATCAAAACGTTCGACTGGATTCACGACGTTGGGTACATTGACAAAGATTGGAACGTATTCGACGGCGGCCACGTGCAGTACAACTGTACGGATACCAACCGCCAACAATATTCGTATAACGCCGCCATCCTATTGTCGGGGGCGGGTTACATGTACGAATATGTAAGCAACCTCCTAGAAAGCAACTAAGTAGAAGGAAGACCTAGGTAGCTAACTAGCCCGCAGACCAACGGCAGTAAATTATGGGAGGACCGGATCAACGGGCTTCTAGATGGAATGGAGCGTATATTCTTCGTAAACGGCACGTTGTACGAGCCAAGTTGCGAGGGTGGTTTATGTACCTCGGACATGTTGAGTTACAAGGGATACGTACACCGATGGTTAGCTGTAACAACACTGACAGCGCCCTTCACCCGCGACCGCATCATGAAGCTGCTCCGCTCATCCGCCGAAGCCGCCGTCAAGCAATGTACCGGCGGTGCCAACGGCCGCCAGTGCGGTTTCCACTGGACGACCGGAGTCTACGACGGCCAGACCGGCGCAGGCCAGCAGATGAACGTTCTCGGTGCGCTTACGAGCTTGCTCGTCGAGGACGCGAACCCGCCCGTTACTAACAGCACAGGTGGCACCAGTATTGGCAATCCCAATGCTGGAAATCCCAAGTCTTCGCTGGTTCAGGATACCCCTGTAACCACGGGGGATAAGGCCGGCGCGGGGATATTGACTGCGTTCTTGCTTGGTACTACCATCACCGGTGTCCTGTTTATGGCATTGGATTGAACGTATCTCTGTTCGTTTCTGTTTGATTTTTAGGGGCGTTTTATGTATAAATTTGATTTTATATTCGACAAATTATGTTCTTATATATGCAAGAATTCCTTAACATTTACACTTCGGTCAATGTGTATGTATACCTTTGCATTCGACTAGGTGTGTCTCTTATATCAGGTATGTACACTAGCATCTCGGGAGTTAACTAGGGTATAAATACAGCATTGAAACCTTCATCCGAGGTGCGAGGGTTGTCTGGCTCTGGCGATGCTTGGCCGAACTCGGCATTTTGTTCACTATGGGCTTACGTCCGATACGTAATACAGCAGACGGTGCAAGTAGCAAAGACGGTAGGGGAAAAAAGTGGCAGACGATGGTATGTTAATAGTATTCTTGATATACCCGCTCTCTACATTAATCCTTCATTAATAATTTCACTGAAATCACTCATCTCCAAAAGTTTCCGGTTTGTGGCTCATAACCATCTATTAATATTTATGATTCAATAATTTATGATTCAATACAACATTATATCCAACTGAACTCGTACAGTCTAATAGTGACTGTCATCGATTAATATCATTACCTTAGGTACTCATAGCATTGCCATACCCGCCACCAAGCCAACTGCCACGCGCATAGCACCCTTCACAGCTACGGTCGGCATAGCCGCCGCCTCGGAGACACTACTCGCGCCAGAGGTGCTGGCAGACTCGGCTCCTTGAGAACCTCCTCCGGTTGAGCCTCCAGTTGATGCAGAAGACCCGCCGTTCGAGGCAACACCTACGCTTGTTTCCAGTGCCGCAGTCGGTGCCGGAGTGATGGTAGCAACGGAGGTTACACTGGTTGTTGTACCAGTAATAGAAGCCGAGGTGGCTGCTGAGGTGGCTGCCGAGCCAGAGGATTCCCCGGAAGATTCGCTGGACGATTTGCTAGACGCTAAGCTAGAGCTGGATGCGGACGTGGAGACCGAGGTAAAGGTAGAGGCCGGGGCGGAGTTCTCAGTCGAAGTAGGAGTCGCAGAGGCACCGAAACCCGGCAGAAAGCTGGGCGAATAGGTGGCGGTTCCTTGGTAGCCATCGCAGCCCGGAACGGTTGTCTTGGGCGGTGCACGCCCGCCGCCACAGTCGAGGAAATCGCAAATCTCGCCGGTGTCCGGGACGTACCAGATCAAGCTGGCGCCGCCATATCTTACGGTTGCGGACGATACGCAGCCGCCTATATCGGTCTTGGCGGCGGCTTGTCCCGCGAGCAGTGCGGCCAGGAGGGCCGTGGGTGTTTTGGCATACATGGCGTTTAAGACGGAGGAAAGTATGACAAGAGTAATTGCCAAGAGGTGGATTTAATTCGGACTTGGAGATGATGTATAATAATGTACCTATGTATGTATGTAGGAACGAATGGACGGCAGCCCTTTTATTTGGGATTGCCACGAAAGGAAAGATTTGCACTTTTTAAGGAAGAGGCAAAAGAGGAAAAGGAGAAGAGAGTTGAAACGGCAAAAATATGTTGTCATTTCCTTTTAGCGTACGGCACGGTGCTTCGCCGCATAAACTTGTTTAATTTACTAGTTAGGCAGCTATCGGACTAGAGCTATTCTTGGATAGGAGTTATACGACGGTCCAATGAGAAGCCTAGGAAGATGGTGAGAGCTTTGAAGATTCTAATTCAGGGGAAGTTTTGACTCAACTCATTAACTAGCGAATTAATTCTACTAACTACCTAGGTTAACTACCTAGGTTAACTAGGTAGTTAATAATAGTATAGAATTTTAGACTTAGTTTATTGACGATAGAGGCTTTGTCTCTCTAAGTAGAAAAGGGGTAAGCGTGTATAAGCCTTCGCGTAACAACAGTCAAACACCCTGTTACTTATAGGCTAGATTAAAGGTAGTCACTTGTATTCAACTCTATAAGCCAACATCAGAATATAACATTATAACATGCCAATACTACAAGTGACATACGCCGAGTTCGTAGACGACGTATAAAGCGTCCCTCCGATAAATCAGTGCATTTCTACGCATATTTGAGCTAATTATTATTTATTATGGGTAAGCTACATCATAATAAAATAGATCTTCATCTTGACTTATTAGTTTAGGTACCTAGATTAGATCGGTAACTATTGCCACTAAACTACCTACTCTACATACGGTGACATATCTACTACGTCCTAAAAGCCCCGAGGAGGTCGGGAACCACCAATAAATAAACCGATAAGTATTAATTTATTAAATTTATTAATAATCAAGCAAGAGTGCAAACCGAATTATAAATCAAACTTTGGACCCTGCTCTAGATCCCCAAAACAACCCAATCAAATATTTTCTATCCCATTATCACGTCACCATATGACCACTCCAAGAAATACAATGCGCATCATCGAGATTGGATGATTTTCCAAATGCTGAATTCAACTTCTCAGGCTAGGGAAATCTAGAGCCCGTAGTTATCTCATGGTTGCGACCGTAGCCTTCGTATATCAAATCGCCGGGCCACTTAGAAAGCATAGAACAATGGCCCAGGTACTAGCTATCATCAATGATTCGGCCTCATCTGAATTATAAATTATCATGGTTCAATAAAGTCGCGTCAACACTTCTTGCCCGTATCCTCGCATCATACAAGCATCTATGAGCTTAACTAAACCCACATCTCTCATCTACATAATCTTACTTCCCTAGGATAATAGCAATATCAAACACTGGAACGCATACCTAGCTAATTCAAACCTCAAGATGGCACCTGGAAAGAAAGTTCTCATTGTAGGACCAGGCTTCATCGGCTGGGCCGTGCTTGATCTATTAGCAAAGGAGAACTATGAAATCACGGGGTATGTCAGGAGGAAAGAACACGCGGATCAGATCAAGGCTTCAGGGGCCACAGATACGGTGCTTGGTGACCTAAACGACAAGGCATTAATTACGAAACACGCGTTATCCCATGACATTGTGATTCACACAGCCACCGCAGACCATCTCCCAAGTGTAGAAGCCATCTTGGAAGCCGTCCAGCAGCGAGCTGAAAAGGGGCTGAGCACGATCTATATCCACACTTCTGGAACGTCATTAATAGACGACGGGGCAGCAGGGGCTTATAAGGGAGACAAGGTGTACCATGATAACATCGTGTCTGAGATCGACTCCGTTTCTGACAATGCGCCGCATCGACAAATAGACCTTGCTATCGTCAGGGTCCAAAAGAAGCTAAGGGAGAAAGCCAAAATCGCCATCATGATCCCGCCCACCATCTACGGTTACAACCCGCACCACGGACGACTTTCAATCCAGATCCCGGTGCTCACCCGGTACGCCCTTAAGCACGGATATGCGGGATACGTAGGCGCTGGCCTCCCCGTCGAGAGCAACATCCACGTGAATGACTTAGCGAGGGGCTACATCACCCTGCTACACCACCTGGAGTCCACACCGGCTAATACCCCCGATATCCTCGAGAACCCGTACTACTTCTGCGAAATGACAGGAGACAACGAACCGAGCTGGCAAGATATCGCGTCGCTCATCGGAACGGAACTCCATAAGGCCGGTCTCATCCCTGACTCGAAGACGCGCACGATCCCGCCCGAGAACTACGGCGACCTGTTCATGGACTTCACACCTGTTGCCATCGGCCTTAATAGCCGTAGCCGAGCTGTGCGGTTGCGGGAGTTGGGGTGGAAACCCGTAGAGAAGAGCTTGAGCGAGAGTTACATACAGGACGAGCTGGCGGTGATTTTGAAGGAGGATGTGGACCGCAAGGCTTTTGATGGATACCACGGGGTTGTTGCTAGTTGAAGAGGTTATACTTAGACTACTAATAGTTATAAATTTGTTGCCTTGTTGTTACCCCTCGTGTGGGTATTTTCTCGTCATGTGTGTGATATGTATAGTTTGGTTGGGATCGTAGTAACTGCCAGCTCCTCAATACTGACTGCATAGTGTATCATTGCGATTATTTAAAATATTGTAGGAATAACCTGATTATAGTGCTTATGATAGGTTTGTATCAAACCCGTAACCACCCAGAACAACCATTGAACTGGAAGCCAACCTGGATATAACGCATTTTATACATATGCCCATAGGTACCTATATAATTCAAGCACGTTCACTTCCATTTGACTATACCCCTACGCTTCAATTTAAGACTATTTTCCGTACTCTAACTTTGTATAAAGTCATTATCATTCACGCATAGCTGAACACCTTTATTATGACAGCCATGATTATGACCAATTTTATGTCTGAGGCAACGAAATAGAACAACCCGTTGTCTAGATGTATCTCTATACATACCTCCTACACATACCTACTTAGGTACTCAAATAATAGTCTGCAGTTATTTACATCTAGCTACCTACGTACTAACGTTCATACCGAAAAACTCTCTCCGTGCACGGGTGACGAAATATAAGCAGGTGACAGACAAACAATACATACCTTCCCGCTATAACACGTTCATTAACCTTAACTTTGATATCCTAACTCACTATTATACTATTTTCTCAGGCTTCTATGAAAGGTAATTAAGGTATGTTTACGCAACTCCTCTTGTCAGTTTTCAAGACAGAGTCTCTTGCTCAATGCCGAAAGTCGCTAAACCATAGCGTATCCAGTCCCAAGTCGTCGTTCTAGCCACTTTCATATATTGCAATAGTACACTCTATAGTCTCTTCAACATGCCTAAACTAATTAACTCGGTAGCTTACGAGCTGGGACTGGCCAAAGAAAAGAACAAAGACCTCCAAAGACGAATCCAAAAGCTGGATGACGAAGTCTTACAACTCAAGACCTACATCAGAAAGAACAACCTCCCGTTACCTAAAGCAAAGCAACCAATAACCTCGCAGCCAACCATTGAGAAGGGGTTTCTTAAGACGACAAAAGCTTCGCGCAATAGAAGTATTCAAGCACCTACACAAGAGAAGTCGGCATGTACCGAGAGCGTAGTGGTTTACGACAATGGAAAATATACCGAGTATCCATACACCGAATACAGACACGGATACCGATATGTGGACGGAAACTTGGTGAAAATTGATAGCACCTGGGATAGGCCTCATTACTTGAAATGGACCATATCGTCAGATTATAAGAATAAAGGGCCGGGCCCATGGATACGAGCTTTATGGGAACGCGAGAGAAAGGCTAAGGAGGAAAAAGACTCCCTTGGCTGGGGCAACGAAGAAGATAGCGGCTATGAAGAACCAAGCGAGTACTCGTCCGTGGACGAAGAAGAGCTTGAGAGCCATAAATCTGCCCACGAACTGCTCCGGGAAAAATCGGAAGTTAACCGAAAAAGCCCAAGCCATCTTCGATATGTCCCGATTAGAAGCGAGTGTGTATACGATATCCTAAAGCGAAGTTTACGACTAGCTCAGGAGATATTCTTTCACGGCATCCAGAAATGTTTTCCTTGCTGTGCTGACAAACTAGATGGTCCACAAGAAGTGCTGTTCGGGCGGGTTGAGATTAACAGGTTCTTTGGCGGTTGGGATGGTTGGAAAAAACTTGAAATCCTAGGGAGATCGTATGATGTGAGGTATCTCAAGTACGAAACCGAGGGGGTTACCGTATTGCGCAATACCGTGTGCCATTATAGCCACTACGAAGCTTCTATGAACCTCGAGCACCACGATAGCCTTATAGAAGCCGTACAACTCCTAGCTATTTTCTTCGCAGACGAACGGAGAGCCTTCCAAGCACGAGCCCTACGAGATAAGCTCATCGCGCACGCAGAGCAGTGTCTACGTCAGCTTGAAGACATGTTAATCCTTGCTGAACTACCGGGAGCTCGGCCTTGGCAACCGCATCAAGCACGCGGATTCAAACGTATCATCCTAAGCAGTGACTTCGAAAACGACGACAAGAGCGTACCCTTTGCGGTTTTACGTGCCGCACAGGACTGGAATTTACGACGCCCAACGCCTGTGCGGAAATGGCTACCACCCGAGGAGATTGCAGACCAATTTATTTGAGTCACCGGAACTAAAACTTCAATGACAATAATTCATCGACTGCGGAGCGTCATGCCGTCTTCGCCAAGTTGACACGAGCACTATAATACAGAACGCCTGAATATAAACATACGAAGCAGCAACGAAGGTGGCTATCAAACCGTACTACCACATTACACCCCGGAAACGTGGTCTTCTCTGCGACACCGGTGAAGAAATAAGAAAAACATCGTGGATCAACAGGATTGAATTCGAGAGAATTTGCGGGACGTTATATTCGAAAAGCTTCAATATACCATGAAGAATATTTAACTGGAGCCTAGGCTACGCATGGTAGACGGGCTTGATTTCTAGCAAAAATTCAGCCGGGGGATAATATCAGGCGTCGTGATAGAGATGATTGCCCATGATGGTAGCGGTGTTGTTGTTGTTGTTGTTGGAGAGGGCGGATGTCTCATCTTCTGGCTTGAAATTAAAAACAATTTCGTAGATCTGTCATGCAGCGCGGGTATGTCTAGGTAGACGATTGTTATTGTCTAGATACGATTGTCAGTACTTTATAATAAGACATAGAATCTACACGAAATTCTTCAGCATTCCGTCCACGTATTGAATCAATACCAAACTTGAAAAAAGGGCGAGGGATAGGCATAACAATGCCGGGAACAATGCCGGGCTAAGTTAACCGTCATTTATTGCAATAAGTATCTTAATATAAGATACCAAATATTATATTATATAAGTAGGTATTATTCATACAATCATCAACCCTTTATAATGAAGTTTATCTGCACCTAGAGGTATATAAGAGATTAAGCGGGTATAGCGTTATTTATACTCATAGTGCCATCCTCTTCTTCGAGGCCTTGCCGCCTCGGGCCGCCGCGGCATCGTAGAGAGCCTGGATGTCGGCTTGCCACTGCTTCTTATCGAGACGAAGTATACGACGGTCGTAGGTGAGGAAGCCGTTGACTTCTCCTTCGACATCGGTGGTTTGACTGCATCGGCGTTAGTTATGGCTTGCGATATGAAAGTGTAGAAGTTGAAAAGGGGGTTATAAACTCACGTCCACACAGCAGCTGAGCATGCGTACTTCTCGATCTGGTCGCGCAGCTCGTTTAGTAGGATATGACCACGGTAGTTATACGCGTCAAGATCCAGGTCGATCTCGTAGGTCTGATTGATGCTGCTCACAGCGGCTTCTACCTTCCACAAGTGTTCTTCAGAGACATTGTGACCGATTCCTCCGAATTCGCCTTGGATTGCGATGCGCTGGTGATCGTAAGGAGTGGATTCGATAGAGGAGAAAGGAGTACCACACTGCGGGTTTGCGTAGTGATGGTTGTCGTGCCAGTCGCCGGCGCCGTGGTCGTGCCACCCAGTCGTAGCGTCGACAAACCTTGTAGGGTCAAGCGCCTTGACGCGGTCCGTGAGGTTGAACTCTGGGTAATAATCTGTGATCTGACCCCACCCCTCGTTATAGATGACCCATGTGTAAATGCTGGGGTAGTTCTTGTGCTGTTGGATGAGAATATCGAGTTGACGTTCCCATTCGGCCTGCTCCTCTGCATCTGGTGTTCGAAGAGGCATAGACGGCATGTCCTGGATGAGCAACAGTCCGAGTTCGTCGCAAGCTCGGTAGAAGAGCGCGTTCTCTACTTTGATGTGCTTTCGCAGCATGTTGAGACCCAAATCCTTCAGGACCTGAAGGTCGTAAACCATGGCTTCTCGGTTGGGCGGCGTGTAGATACCATCGGGCCAGAAACCTTGATCGAGCGTGCCGAACTGGAAGATGAATTCGCCGTTAATTAGCGGGCGCTTAACTCCGTCGATCTTGCCGATAGAGAAGGTTCGGAAGCCTGTGTATGAGTTTACAGTATCCTGTCCTAGCTTAACAGTGATGTTGTAACTATATTGATTATTAGACTTTTGGTGAATTGGTCAAAGGGAAGGTTATACACACAGAGTTGGCGAGTCCGGAGACCATAGGCTGGGGGAGTCCACAACGAAGTCAAAAGGCTGGTTGGCAACACCCTTCGCTGAAGCCACCTCCTTTCCTTCGCTATCGATGACGGAGATGGTAACTTGATCAGAACTCTCATGGGCAGTTCCAACAGTCACGTTAACTATATAAATAGTATATCAGTATGAGTTGTGAAGCGCGCCCCCTATATAAACTGACCTTGTCCGGACATGTCAGCGATGATATCTAGCTGGTTGATGTATGTTTCTGGTACCGACTCAAGCCATACCTATTGCAGCTAGGGTCAGTCTTGCGCAAAGAATATTCGTAAGATGGAGGACATATAGAGGTAGGCACTTACGCTCTGCCAGATACCCGAGCAAGGTGTATAGAAAATGTGCGAAGGGTTACGAGCCTGCTTGCCAACGGGATTCATGTAACCTGCATGAATATTAGCAAGTGATAATATCAAATAGATAAAGCATAATCACTTACCTTCATGATCTGTGGGGTCAAATACGAAGACGCGTAAGGTATTAGTGCCATGAGTAGTAAGATACTTGGTGATATCGAAGTTAAAATGCCAGTAGCCTCCCCTGTGAGTGCCGACCATGTCACCGTTGACATAGACAGTCGCCTCGTGGTCCACAGCTTCGAAGTTTAGCAAGACTCGACGACCATCTTGGGCGAATCCGTGAGGAACGTCGAACTCGGTTGAATACCAAGAATACGTCTGGTTCTGTTGCATAACGCCAGACAGAGCACTTTCGATACACGACGGCACGAGAATATCCTGTTGGAAGCTGTCATCAGCAGGCACAACCTCGCCTCGGTAGGCTCCCTGCTTCCATCTCCAGATGCCGTTCAAGCTCTGCCAGTCAGACCGTTGAAGCTGGGGGCGCGGATATTCCGGCCAAGGATCTGTTCCAACAGAGTAGGTCCAATCAGTATCAAGCGGAGGAGTCTATGAAGTGTAAGCTATTGATCTCGTTAACCAGGACAATTGGCTGGGATGCCCTGACCTGGACTTTATATCCCAATGCTAGGTTGCCCAACATTGGGACTAGAGTTAAGAGGTTTGTAAACAAGTTAGAATACATCGTGTTTACTTCCCCTCGGTAGACTAATATCTTTGCGAGAGGGTAAAGCAGGCCGCTGGGTGCAGAGCGGTTCGAGAGCTCGGTCGGGTCGAAGAAGAATCTTGCGAGACTGGAGAAAGGCTCGACTCGTCATGATGGAGCAGTCTGGCAGGCCAGCCGTTGTTTAAATAAACTTCTGAGATGGTACAAGATGTGAAGGGGAAAGCTTCACGTCAAAGCTACGCCAAAGCTATGGTAGGGATTCTCCGCAATTCCAGACTGGAATGTTTGCTCACCTTCCTAATCCTGACGATGGTTAGCCTTTAGCGGCTTGGATATAGGTACATAGAACATAGAACTACTATGTACTTGACCCATAGTCGATGTACGATGAACAAAAGACAAGGTGGCAAACCAAAACGAGCGCCGTCACCGCTAAGTCAGAAGAGCCTGGTACTTATTCATCTAGCCAACAGTGTTAGCTGCAAAGCATGCTTGGCTCTTAGTCTTAGTCTTAGCATAGGGAGGATATACGACAGCTGATTTTATGAGGCTGCGTACATTATATTGTTATTGGACGATCTTATAGAGATTCACTAGGCCTGGGGATCCAAAGCCTGTGACCAGCGGCTCCACTGGAACCAAGACGGTCAGAACAGGATCGGAATCCAATCGTGATATTCGGGATTTCATATCCCCAGGCTTTCCTAGCAGGTATTACGTATGTAATACATATGTAGTCTTATACATATGCATTGCCAAGGTAACGAATCCTCATCGGATAACCATATTAGTTACCAATTATAGGTAGATCATGTATTAGCAGAGTCATTATGGCTTGACATAGGCCAAGCCAATTGCGTACTCGGGAAAGGTAAAAGCGAGAGCGGCAGGGAAGATTGAATAGTTAGGGTTGTACACGCATCAATATAATCAAGAAAAATGCCAATGCTAATGCAGTACGCTTCTGGTGATGTAGTCAAGGTAGTCAAGGTAGAGTGTCCGTTGGTGAAGAAAAGTACACAGACGTTGGACAAATAGACCAGGCTTCGGTATCCCCCCCGGACTGCCGGGTCTCGAAAAGAGAAAGCCTAGCGTAGCAGTAGCGCGGCCAAGTCAGAACTGATATCAACAACGGCACAGTGACCGAAGAATAAGAAGGAATAAAGGACTGACGGTCACGAGAGCGCCGCGAGATTAAAAAGGACCGAATCCGATGTGCATTAGCTCTACCCGGCGTGTCCCGTTCTTCGCGTGCAATGCAGGTTTTGTAGCATAAGGCTGCGAAATAAAAAATAAGATAAAAGATAGAAGGTAATGGTCTGCAACTTGGTGACCGGTACGGTTCGGAAGTAAAGTGAAGAATCTCGGCACTTGAGTCTAGATTCATCAATAATAATAAAAAGAAGGTCTAACCAGAACTCCCTTGCGTCCGGATTCTTATAACGTGACTACTTAGTCTAACTTGGCAGAATAATGACCCTCAGAAAATATCAGGTCATCTATGGATCATGGCAAATAAGAAAAAAAGGCGAGATGTGAATTAGAAAATCATCACGGCCGAAGTGGGTCAAATTCTGTAGGATCCAATGTTTAATTACCCCGACTTTTTCTTAGCGTAGTTTGTACACCAAGCAAATAAGGTGCCGCAAATGTGGGGAGAAACCAGGGGTAAGAACCAGTCGAATCTTAGAGAAGTTGGGGAAGTGCTCGTAAGGCGGAAGCGTAGGTACATGTATAAGTGTATAAGTGGTACGTACAGCTTACATAGACGGAACTTAGAATTTACATGTACATAGTACCTAGACAGAAGGAACCGGGTAAGAACCGGTCAGGACCTCGGCAGGAATCGGCAGTCCTAACACTGCTTGGATTTGGTCCAACACCGGAAGTATCTCTTAGCGATTGGCAATCGATGATTAGTGTGTCCTTGGCTAACAATTACCCATCTGGGTTAATGCTGGTCCTTTCTATGCGGGGCCCCAACTTTTGCTTTCTATCACCGCACGGGATTGTTACATAGAAAAGAACAACATGTTAGGAATGTATTTCTAACCAAGTCCTTCCCAGGCGCGCGGCATCAATAAAGAGGTTAGCTTGTCAATTAGCAAACCACGATCTAAAAACATCTTTCCGGCACGTGGCTGGGTAGTAACATCTTACGGTAGATCCCTATACACAACTTTCCAAACCGCCGGAAGCTTGTTTGGATGTACTGATACCTCATTGTACTACTTCATCTTATTACATGTGTGACTATTAAAGGGTTCCTTAACTAAACGGCCACTTTACCTGGATGGAATGTACATGTCCAGGATGTAAGCGGTTTAAATACGTGACATTTTAAAGCAGTGATCTTGAGGTATGCTACCTAATATAAGCCGTATAATACAATAGACCACATAGTATGTATACCTATACATGTACTAGACCAAAGGTAACGTGGGGGACTGCTCCTCATCCCAAGCTTCTCCGCACTTGATGGAACGGAACTTAACTAACGCCAAACTAGCAAATGCTTGTTCTCGATTAACATCCGTTCCTTCAAAGTCACAAATATCAAGTATCAAATATCCTCAGGAAATTTGATCTGATCAGTTCCATGTGCAAATTTTCGCTTCTTACTTTTTTCGATGATCCCCTTACTTGAAGCTTTCCGAATATCACTACGAACAGACCGCTTCACGTGCCCGCAACTCTACCTATTACACAGTACTAATTTTCGTATTCCTCCCATATGTAGAGCCAACAAGAACGACAAAACAATAATCTGAGTGACTTGGCAGTCCCACTCAGGTACTGATGGCTGTGATAGTATCGTTTCGTGAGGCAAAGAGGAAATTCTACACGCAATCACCAATAATAGATGTAAGGGCTGGTTGTCGGCGTACTTCTCTAGTCATTGGAGCGGTGTCTCTAGTTAGCCAACTACCTAACCTAGCTAATCTAGCGCAATGCTTGTTATTATTTAGCACGACCAGGGTATGCTATACACTACCCCTTTGCGGTAGACAAAGGTCACGAGATTTAACATGCCTATGTTTTCCTTTGATATATTTACCAACATGGTCCTTGACCCATTACACATCGTTGGTGGCGTGTCTTTGTTACCCTAAAGGATAGTAGGATACCCTAAAGGATAGTTGGATCCAGTAGAACGGCAATACGTGGTACCATGTGTTAGGTAGTTTTACGATAACTCATTAAAGATCAAATATTTGCCAGCATGTTTGGTCTGTAGCCATACTTCGGGGAGGCACTTAGACCGGCATAGCTGTGGATAGGACGACATCTAAATTGGACACGGACGCGTGTTGACTAGGGCGAAAGCTCAATCGCAGTAGCTGAATGAAGTGTAAACGATGCCTAAAGTTACCTATAAGTTTATCAAAGTCGCTGTTCGTACGAAAAGGATTTACGAATATCACCATTATGACGTATAAGGTATTGTGATGAGGTCATGTCTTCAAAGCTACTTACCAAGGCATCGAGGTAATATTCAGCCCGGGCATAGCACTTGGCGAACTCAACACCCAGATCTATCCAAGCAATATTGAGCTTCTATCCCATCACGCAATTAAGGGTGCCATGTATACGCGAAGCAGGCAATCTTCCGGTCGTTTAGCTTTCTCGACCGCCAACTCCTCATCTACACATCGCTCAGGAATATACCCTTGTTCGCTGGGGTATCTATGCGCTTTGTAGGCGTGCTTCTGTAAACTATTCCGCTCTTCTGAACTCTCCATTCCTAGCTGTTAAATAGCCTCCACTAAGCGACCATTGTGCGCAGTCTAAAGAGCATCGTCGGAATCGTGTCGATCTAGAACCGTATTTGGATCTCGATCCCGCTTAGTTTCGCATCGATAGCAGAGACTGTCATTAGATTATCATCAGAACCACACCCATCGGATAATTTATACGAGTCGCTTGGTCCGCCAGCTCCTCTTTTGCTTATTGGCTGTCGCTGGAGGCGGGCAAATGAAATAGGCAGAATATAGGGCGTGGAAATAATCGCAATCGCGCTCTAGTCGGACGAATGAGCGAGGAACTCAGGGCTTATCATAAATACGATCGGTGTTTCTCGTAGGGCGTGAAAGCTATGCCTCGTCTCTCGTTCGCCGCGTCCGCCAGAGGCCTTGCCCTCCTGTCCCTCCAACCTTGGCGAGCGTATGGATTGTTGGTCATAAACTGGGATTGATAGGCATGCGATCCCTTTGTAGGACCTGAGTGACATGTGGTAGATGCCTGTGTATTGGTCTCGGATCGCCTGGCGGTTGGACGGCCATCGCTAATACATTCTTTGACGACGCAGAATTTGTTTATTCCGACAGCAGAGACGAAAGCTATGCGTAGCAAAACCCGGTTAGCCGACACCGAACTCGAGTTGCCGAGTGGGCTTGCACTACCCGATACAATTGATCACTACCAGGCTATTTTCCATAGTGTAGGTTCCCATGAAGCTTAGCCTTCGTATGGTCTTGGTGGAGGAGAAATCGTTAAGAACAGCCTACAGGTCACCACCTTTGTAGTGGATAAGCTTCGCCAATGCCCCCTCCGACGACAGGGACGAGGACGACTGGAGAACTGTACCACCTGCCAGCTAGAACAATACCTTCGAATGATCGATAATGAGCTAAAACTGCGCAACACTGCCACTACTTCTAACAAGCGACGACGAGGTTGATCGAATTTGTGTATAAGTAAATACCATTAGAAATACGTTTAGATTCAAGAAATTGATGAGTAATTGAGAAGGTGACTGATAAGATGATAAGCCCTAACACAAAGCTTGACCCCGCATCACCCCCTCTTTTGATTGTCCGCCGGCCAAAAAACTAAAGAGAAAAAGATGGAGGTTTGAATTGATATGGTTCCAAGAAGGATGCGCAAAAGGGGAGTCACGATGATTTTTTTTGGTGTTGTGAATCAAAGGCATGTGGGGAAAGACAAAAGGAGGGGTGAAAGCGGAGGTGGGGTATAGGGCTGTTGGAGTGACAAGGGGGTCTGTATGTATATAGATTACGTAATGGGAAAGGAATAACGAAATAAAGAAATGACTGATTCTGATTGGTTGGTTGAATTGTGTAAGAAGTGAGAGATTTACATACTTACGGTTACATAGGTCAAAAATGGTAGACCTAAATCAAAATATGCAACTAATGGAGATGTAATGACCGTCTTATAAATATCACTTGTCAATCGATTGAATAATACTAATAAGCAGGTAATTTCAAGCCAATCCCGCCCAGTACGTGTCGACCAAGGTAGCAAAAGAATCTTCAGTCAACACGGCAAACGAGCTGAGATTGGGTGCCATTTCTTTCACCAGCCGCGCAGCATTTGCCGCCTGGCTGTCGGTATTGTCGGATGCGGGCGGCATCAATTTCCCTAGGACAAGATCTTGCAACACAGGAAAGAATACGCCGCTTCCTTCGAGATTTTGCAAGTCATAAGATCCCCAGAGCTCGCAGTCTGTCATACGGCTCCCGCACTTTCGGCCTAGTTCGATAAGAGCGGCCTCCGTCAATGAGCACTCGAATGCAAGATGCAGGATTCTGAGGTCAGGCAAGGCCTCGGTAATCGGGGACATGTAGTCGCTTTCTAGTTCGGGGGCTCGGACGTGGCCTAAAATTTCCAGCTGCTGAACGTGCGGAAGCCCTTGTACGAGATGGACCAGCTCGCCGGGGCTGATAAGCGCCTGCTCCGTCGTCGAATATTCCAGCTTCAGAATACGCAGATGTGGACTGGAGGCGGGTATGACTTCAAGAAAGGTGTGCGATCCGGTGGAAGTAGGGCCGTTGCTCATAATGGTAGCCTCTAGGTGGGTGAGCTGGCGTAAGTGAGGTGGAAGGCGGACAAACCCGTCAAAGGTTGCCGTACAAACGAGCTTGTCGAGGGAGGGAAAGAGCTGCGCTTCACCATGCTGATTGCCCTGCTGGCTTTCGGCCGAGGATACGAGCTCTGCAGTTATCGTGTGCTGAAATTGGAACGACTGCAGATCAGACCGGGTGGAGAGAGCGACGAAGACGTCGTCGTTAACAACCCGATCCATGCCGTACATTATTGCTAATCTCTTCAAGAAATTGGCACCTTCGAGGAAGCGAAGGAATCCTTCTGGAGAGATTAAGTTGCGCAGGTTGTCAATTAGAACCTCCTCAGGCTGCGGGCAAGATTCCTAGAGTGAGAACTTCATTAGCGGATAAGCTCCCCCGTCTCGATGAGTTTGAATGCGCCGCGGAGAGATATGCATGCCTGAAGTGTCTCCAGAAACCGATCAGAAATCGGTCCTCCGAAGAAGATGAATTCCTTAAGAGCAGATTGGAGATAGGGTTTCAACAAATGCTCCTCGTTCTGGTCTGATGCGTCGAGTACAAGACGCTCCAGCGTCGGAAACTTGATGTCTCTGAAAGCACCATGATGCGTAGAATCGTCGGCAGCAAATTCCAAGCAGCGAAGGCTCTTAGCACGAAGCTGGAGTTGCTGCGGATCCTGTTCGGTTAGGAGGGCAAGGGTAGAGACGGATACTCTGTCTTCTGCCATGGCTATTGAGTTATCTGGATTTTGGAGGATTTGCTAAGGAACTAGAGAGGTCCAGGTTTGGAGTAGTTGCTGAGCTTTGAATAAAAGAATTGATTTTAAAAGGGATGACAGTTGATGGTCGATGGATGGTCGATGGATGGATGTAGAAGTTGTTTGCTGTAGTTAGGCTGGCGTGTCTGCCTGGTGATTGTTTCCATACCTATTACGAGTTCTTGACGCAAGGTAGGTTATGGAGTTTAGGACAATGCTCACATCAGGCTACCTATGTATGTAGGGCGGCGTCGTTCATCTAGAGCTGCCATTCTAATCTCCAGGATGTTCAGCTAGTACTGCTCTTCGGATACCACCCTATCTAGGTAGTTCCAATGCTGTATACTGATCGGAAGTAGTCTATTTCAGCCAGTGCCACTGTACTTAATATCGCGTCTATCCAATAATGGCCCACAGCGTTATTCTAATTGGAATGGGAAGGGTCATTCGGACAGGCTGTGACACCTAATATGTGGTATATTTGATATTGAGTTAACGATTGTAAGCAACACTCTTTCAACGGTTGATAATGTATACTACAGCTCAGCTAGATATTTCTAACCTTCAGCCCAGTCTATGCAGTTGGATATAAAAGACCTCTCAAACCTAGTCTCAATGTCCCCCAAATCCAGCTTCTACTTATCTAGGGTTAATCGAAACCGGTTTCAATCTTCCACTACTATGTGATTCTCATTCATTATGCTCTGCGCAGCCGTAGGGTCTATAGGAGCCATCTCTTTCGACCATGAATCTTTAAACCAAAAAACCAATCCCGACCAGGAGATTAGCCACTACGAAGAACTCTTGCCAAGGAAAGGCTGCTCTGGCAACCGAAAGCCAGAAGATATGTGTATGGGAAAGAAACTTGCGCAGCGAAACTCCTTTCACAACTGGTGGATGAAGATGAATATTCCAGCCAGCAGCAAAAATAAACTAAATCCAACTCAATAGTAAAAATAGCGGCGGTAAATGCTGTGCAGTCAATGCGGATGGCTCAAGGGGCCTTGATGTTAACAAAGGCATTGGCCGAGAGGACTGTGGATATTGCTTCAGTGGCAAGTGTAGTGCTTAGCAAAATGGAGTGTTACCTACCTGGCTTGCAAAGGAGACGGACGTTTCGATATTGAATAGGTTGAAAGGCTGACGGAATATTGGCTGACCCTCATTTTTGAACCTGCTTCGTATCTTATTTCATATCTAGATACCTACTTACCCGGGTAGATAACATTCGTTTATGTTTAATTTCTCTACATAAAGATCGAGAAGCTTTACTGTGCCTTCACCGCTCTAGACATGGATGGCTTTTATTGCGTTTGCCTTTCCCCTATTATTCCCCAAGGTCACCTCTCCACCATCGTGTTACGATCCCGCCTATTATCACTACATGTAATAAGACGATGTGTACCGATGGTTCCTTGACTTGAAATGTAACGGTAGACTAGGATAGATCAAGCTATTGCTGAATGTTCGTAAGAGAAATTTTGGGAGACTCTCCTTTCAAGTTCCAGTTCCAAGATTGCTCGAAGGCTTATATTGATAGGTAGCTGAAGAACGAATGACTAGATACACAAGGAACCCCCCCTTTCATATACTGATTCTGCCTTCCTTATAATAGCTAGATATCATAGCTGTTCTGCTTCCGGGCTCTGCTTGTCATCGGTTTATTTCATGATGGCCTTGCTTGTGACGGTCGGTCGTAACAGGATCCCTCGCTTGTCGTGGCCGTACGCTTCCGCTTCTACTGAGGCCCCCCCCGATCTTTCTGTATCCGACCAGGATTCTTAGGGATTAAAACCTAGTGTCCACGTATCTGGATCGAGAGGATCGTTTACTACACGATATGTAAGATCCCATTTTTCTACCACGGCTCTTTCATTTGCCCATTCACGCACAACTTCGTAATTCCGGCAAGTATGAATGACATCCATTGAAGGCTGATATATGCCCTGTGCATCATTCCACTGTCGCTTATTAGATAATGCAGTTGGACATCGTACGTAGTTAGGAACTCGTAGGTGACTGAAACCCCTGAACGATTTGAGCCGATACAGATTTTGTACTTACTGATCACGCATGTCAGTATTTCCGTCTAAACGATGAATTTCTCTTGGAATTTCTCAGTCGCTCACCTTGAAACGGTATTGGAGCCAGATCCACACTGCACATCACGGATTGTCGAAGGTACTCGACACAGTGATCTATGTGATAGAAATCGTCGTGAGATTGATTCATGTGTTTCATATCATTCTCAGAGTAATATTCCGGATGGAGCAGCTTGCGAATCATGTTCTAACAAAAGATTGTGAGGTTAATAATGACTTGCGAGCCAATGTAAGTATTGCTTACTAGACAGTGAAGCGCGTGGAAGACGTCTAACCCTACTACATATCGCTGTTTTTCATCATGCGGCAGCATCGACGTCTTGTTTGGCAGCTTTTCTGCCTCGTCCCTTGTGATCGCCACAATTCCCACTTCGGCGCGACTAAGTTAGCTATCCTTGCATCATGGGTCGTAAGATCATACTGGAATAGAGATCCTCCCAGTTCTTATCGAGCTCTGGAGATGGTGGTCCAGAGTAGCCATTTGGATTGGAAGCTGAGAAGGTGAAGAATTTCCGTTGTTCATACTGAATTAGATGCTGCGCTGGGCCTATTAGAATGCCCAAGTTAGCACTCGTACTTGAAAGAACTACACCCATGTTCGAATCTAAAGGGGAAAATGCTGACTATATAATTGACTATATAGTGACTGATAACGCGATTTGTAACTGGCCTGTAGCTGGAAGTAGGAGCCAGTCCATAACAGCACTACTATAAGCAGCAATATCCAAGGTGTTGCGCATCTTATTCTAGAACAGTGAAGGGACCGGCGCTGTATTTGATCACTTTGGAAGTCCAAGTCGGATGTCGAAAGCACTAAGCGCTCCGTTTCCATACTATACTTCGAAGGGTGCAATTCCTCGTTATGAAGATCGTCCCTTCGCGACGAGGGAGGGCCAACCAGTGATGACATGGTGAATAATTGAAGGTAACTGAGTGTAGAACAAAAGTCTGAGGAATCGTACACTGCTAACTCACTGGTCCAACATATGGAAGGACATCGGTGGACTGCTCATTCTATTCTATTGACTACCTAGGCATCCCACCTTGTCATACTTCCATAATAGGGATACTACGTTCTCTACTCGGGGATCTGCAATGTACCTACGCATCAATATATTATGCATTCTCACCCGCCAAGCTATCTGTTGCTGCATGGTATAGCATGATTCGTCACCCTTGGCAGGTTGGTTTTCGTGGTGCATGTGCATAAGCCAGCTGAAAAATAATTTACATTAGTGGTTCAGCCAACGGGAAGTACGTTATCCAGTCAACAACCAATACAACAAATTTGACAAAAAGCAACTTGATATTTATCACAAAGATGCATGGCTCAGCTGCTGCTGATGTTTCACTATAGGGAAAACTTTCAGAACCTTGGAGTGAATAGACATGAGAGTAGACATGAGAGTGAAAGCTGTGTCTTGCCCAGTATTTGAATTATCTAATGTATCATTGTAGAGTCTGCTAGCGATAAATTTACATATTATCTGAGGCCTGCCTAACCCTACCTCCAATGGGATTGTCCGTATTCTCAACTACCATCGTGGCTCTGTGAGCTGTGCAACCCAATGCTATCTAGAGACCCGTTGAATGAGTTCTTCTTTGTCCAGTCAAGTATGCGATCAAAGTCACGGCACTTATGAGGTACTGTAATCTCTTGATACATCGTGTTCAGCGTCAAGTCCGCATTGCACATGAGCTCTTGCCTGATCCAATCGATACAGTGCGGAGCATGTACCGTCCTCAAGTCGGGAAGATTATACTTATCTCCCTCTCCTGTAAGAGCCCATTTCACCGCTTCCTAAGAATATGTAAAACATTAGAAATCGATAGTTGTAGCGTCATATGTCGGTAACATGTCGTTAACATACCAGACAGTGCAGGCTGTGAAAAACGCTCACTTGGTACAGCAAGTGACTGCTGTCAAGTGGCGAGGACATAGTCGCTTGGTTCGGGACTATAGTGCTGGTTGAAGGGATTGACACGATACCTCCTGAATCTATAATTCTGGTCGGTATTATATCAAGAGATCAGAATTTCACATCGACGTACCGGGAATGAAGCTTCTCCAAAAGGTGTGATTGTAAATTCTGGCATCAATGTCTTCGTGGTGGAAGATCACGTCGAAGTCAACCGTTTTTGCATAATCATGTAGGGCCAGGTCTCGTAATGTTAATACTTCACGCATTTGAGGTATGTAAGATATTTTTGCTCACATGGACGAGGTATATCTTGCCGAGCTTGGTGTAGAGATACAGTCAAAAGCAAGATGGCAGAAAGCTCAACAATTTGAACTATGATGAAGATAAAACCAAAGGGTTTCCCAAATCGTATACGAAACTTGGGCTGCTGGGGCGTTTCATGGTCGCCATCACCAATGGGGAGGTAATTGCACTCTGATTCTGGCACTGCCATGTTTGGACGCCATAAAATATGAGTTTCTGATAGAAATGGTTGAAAGGGGTTTTCTTGAAAATAATGAGCCTGACGTAACGAGATTTTCTTCAAATAAGAATAAGACGGATCTCAAGCGCTTACTGAGGTTGGGGGGTTGATATCTATTAGCCACTCATTCTGACAATTGAATGGACAGGTGGAATTTTCATGTCTCTAGATATTTAGTTTCGCCCCAATAAGAACCATATCATAGGCGGCTGAAGTATAGCATCGATTGGTCGATCACCTTTGCATGGCGCTATCTTTATGCAACAACATGAATACTGTCTTGGCATAGACAGGAAAGGGGATGATGGTCGTGTTATCTCATGTAGCCTGCCACCTCAGCACTTTGCCCTGGTCAACGATATCTCTTTGCAGGTTGCAGTGACGCCCCGTTATCCCTAGGCCCAATAGGAGCTTTGCACATCGGGTACGATCAGTTAAATCAGGCCAAATGACCGTTTATACTTGGCCGGCAACAAATCCGGTGAGGTACGCTTGCTTTTGAGGCTTACTTGACTGTATCCTCGAACTGGCCTGGAAGTCCTTACAAGGCCATAGCGCTAGCTATATCAGCTACACAGGATGCACTAATCAGACATATAGTATCAAATATATACTTACGTATACCTTCAGTTTATGTAATTGTTACGAGAATAAGAAACATCTACAATCTACGCAGGCTACCTAAGCCATATCAGATCCCAGTCAGGTGAAGCTATTTCCCGAATTGTCGTACGCACTGGCTTTAGGACAAGTAGATATTTCTGAGTTACAAGGGCACCGTTCACTAATGTTCCTAACCTAGTGTTTTGGAATCATGCCGTGTGTTCAAGCTTGATATCAAATGTATGCAGCATGTGGATAGTTCTCAAGTAGAGAACGTGGCCCGACTTTCTCTATCGCCAATTGAACGATTAGGAAATAATATGCGAGCACAGGAAATATACACCCGTTGGGGTAATCACTGGCCAGCTAAAGATATCACCCTTTACGAGAATTCGTGGCTCAATATACACATTAATATACACATTAGGCCATGCTCGATGTGCTAAGGGGATAAATGCTCCTAGACTACAAGTGAGATATGACACGATCGGATTCCGAATCTATGTCTACATCAAAGGTAAAATGATTTAATCACGGTGATCGCTGAGCTTAGTTATAAATTTCATAAGACGACTAAGACAAGATTGATAAACGAATATATTTGTGTAAAATCCCAATGCTACGCGAGGGAAATTATAAGCTCTTCAAATCATAAACCATAACAGACTAGCCTAGCCAAAACGAATGTGTAGTTCGACAGAGATGCAGTAAGATAATCCGCATTCCCAATCGTAGACGTAACGCTATGATGTATCCCAAGGAACAGGCCCTATGCTATGTTAGTCGGTATCTAAACAGTATTAGAACCTAACGGCGACTGACCTAGAAGGGACCTACACATAGCTGATCTCCTTTCAAGTTTTCTGCTTAGCTCTGCTCCTCTCGATGGTCCTCGCGCTTGGCCGCTGCACCCCAGCCAACAAAGACGAGGTCAGGCACACCCGCTTCGCGCTTGGTCTTTTTACCCCAGTTATAGAAGAAGACATCAGGCACGGCCTCAGTCTTGTCGTTCGCGGTGCGCACTTCAGATTTGGCTTCCGTACCAGCGCTGGGTGTTAGCGGAGCAGCACTGCTAACCGCAGCAAGGATGAGGGTGGAAAGGCTGACAAGTCCCCGAACCATGATGTCGAAAATTTTATTTTTTTTTTTTGGTTCAATGGTAGTATGAGATGAGTATAGAAGATAGTCTGTATGCGCTATGGGAATTATTAAGCAATGAGGCATCGGCGCGGTATATATAGATAACTTGACAGCTTGACAGCAAGTGAGAATACTAAACTCAATATATCAGAAGGCGGGCTACTACCACATCACTTCTGCACTCTTGTTGTATATCACTTGTGCATTCGTGATAGCACATGCCATGGTGAATCGGGTTCGTACCTGAATCATGCAGTAATACGTGGGGGTTTCACGAGGGAATGCTTCTGCAGACTAGATTTCCGTCCTCGACCTGCTGGGACCTGACAAGAAACGGCAGAGCAGCATGGTACACCGTGAAAACCCGTTGTTGTGCATTTTTGGCTGAGGTGCGCCGAGCTGAAATCAAACCATACACGGGACAAGACTCCAAATTTTATTAGATATAGCGATGCACCTAATCAATAAACATATTGGTGGCGATGCTCCCATGATCGACGCATTCTTAAAAAGAAAGAAAGAAAATGATATTGCAGCTCAGCAGTGTATCCGATTGGTACAGCAAGTCGGCGAAGATGCAATGTTTATTACTTCATCATGTTTTCAATTACGCATTGAGGATCAGCGACATGTAGACATGTAGAGTTCCGCATCTTCCCGTAAAATGCTTTATTCAACACCCGACACTCGACCGCAACAGTGGCCACGGAGTGGAATTATGTAGCCTAGCTGGTTGAGAACTATCGGAGGCCGCTAAGAGATATCGTTCTGAGAATCAGTCTCTGGTTGCGAGTCTGAAGCCAAGCTCTCGGCCAAGGTCATTTTACTTCTGTACTTCTTGTCGACACATTGGTAGCATTGATTCAATTCCTCTTCCATTTTTTTTTCTTTGGCTAGTTGTAAAGGGTCTATGAACTTTCGATAGTTGCTGAGATACCTTCGTTGGTCTGCGGAAATGGATCAATTTGAGAGAGAAGCGCTGTTCAATGAAGACTTTACACAGATTAAAGACCGCTCCGAAGAATATCAAGATAGCAATAACTTCACCAAGGACCGGTATACTGTTTTTCATATTATTAACCCGTGCATTGTTATCCCATGGCTTCTCGTTGTTGTCTTATCAATCATCAATTTGTTGCTTCTAGCAAAGGTCCACAACCAAAATGGCACTGTAATTGCAACGGAGGCATTATATAGCAAGTCTGCCCTCTTTGGTGGAGGATTGATATATCTTCCCAGCAAAAAAGAGAGTTAATTTAAGCTGACGGCAATGGAGTTAAGGCCCGGTTGAACATCTCATCCGGCATGAGGAACGGTTATTTCAGTCATCCTTGAGTCCAAACCTGACTCCATATCAAGGAGCCCCGTCTCTTGAAGTCGACGGAAAGTGGGAAGAGCTCTATTTGAGTAAGTCCTCAATTACTATAACCTTGAAATGATGGTCCAGTCGTTGATAGTGTGCTTTATTGGAGAGTATAGTGGGAGATATAGCAATATCTAGCGACGAAGCCGGCAAGTTATTGAACCAGACAGCAACGATACGAAACGACCCACAGGGGAGATACATAATCAATATTGATGTATTTCACTCCCTTCATTGCCTGGTAAGTAAGCTTGAGTCATGCTATGATCTTCCCCATGCCCGACCTTAACGACTGTCATGGTCACTGACCCCTTGTCGAAAGCATTCACTTCGGAAAGTTGTGTATTCAGAATATTACCTTGCGGGGTCTGCTGCGACCGCAAAAAAGCCCCCCGGCTTTGATGTGAACCACTTGGATCATTGTGTTGATCATCTCCGCCAGTCACTGATGTGCGGTGTAGATATATCGGTGATGCCCTTTGAAGGTCAGCGGTACCCCTATATACAATTTCGGGATACATCAAGTAGTACTAACGCCTGTCCGTAGTAAGAATCCCTCAATCGATCTCCCTTTTCTTGTCAGCCCTATCTCGACCACTGTTCACCTCTCCACGAGCACGCCACGAGTACAGTTTCATATCAGCTTGATATCTTCTGTAGTACATTGATTAATGAATACTCTTTAGTGGTCTGAATCTAAACATAAGTACGTACCAGAGTTCGAAGTACCTCATATCTGCAGGAACTTTGATTTGATTCGCGATTGGGCACGTCAGCATGCGGTGAGGGAGAATCGTAATGGAGAGATCTTGTCAGAGGGAGTAGTCACAGAGTGAATAAGTCAGGAGGCAGTATCAGGGTATAAATGGAATTGGCCAGAAATAGGGTTAGATCTATACTACTACACGGCTACTATATAGGAGTTTTGCTGCTGCTTTTAATATTCACTCTACGTATGACAACAATTATAAAAGCATATATCGTATTGTGAGGGGCGGATTTTCCAAGATTAAATTACTTACAACAACCACATATTTACGAATAGTTACATAAAATATTCATCTATTTAAAATACGCGATATTAAGCATTGTGATGTTAAATATTAACCTGTAGCAGTTACCGGGTGATAACTAGAGTTCTCTAGTCAAAATATTGGCTCTCCTTTACGCGCCAGAACTGGCTACCTACATGTAGCCTAGAGATCGATGACATTGTTACACTACGTTCAATCAACAGCCTGCGGTTTCCCGGCAGAGTAAAGGGATCTCGGATCGCAACTAGGCTAATCTGGTATGTCTTATGAGGGGCAACGCTTGAGATGTTTTGTATGTGCGGAATACACTACAACGAGTTTGAAATCGAGCCCGCTAATATCACAGGATTGCAATCCAGGGGGGATCGGTTCGCAGTCTAGAGTTGGGTCACATTCGAGATATATTTGCCTGGCAAAGCCCGCAATATGCGCCTTGACAGATTTTGCATATTCATAAACGTAACGAGACATGAGACAAATGATGAAATTTGGAATTTCTTGTCCGTATATGACGCTATTGTCTCTGAAGTCCGTCTAGTTTGTTGCCCCTGAAAAGTGCTGTCCCCGATATATGTACTATGCAGGAAGCTCAATACTGGCATTGACGGTTTCGGCTTTTTGGTATATAAAAGGCTTCATTGGCAGATACAATGGTCGACCGCATTGGGAAGGCTTATATGGTTACAAGAGGGATCTACTCTAGTCGCGTAAGGGTCAATCACATCTCGGGCAAACATGTTAGAACTGGTACGTTCATAGTAAGGTTATAGATTCGATATAATAGCACCAGCACTCCCAACCGGATAAATTCTAAAACGCCACGTCGGATTCGTCCCTTAGCCGTCAAATCCTAATAGTACAATAAATCCATCTCCAGCTTAGCCGTATAATAGGTACAAGGTACAAACACGTATACGACAGATGCTCATTCTCCTAACCGATAGCTAACTAACGTCTCAACTCGGTGGCTAGTGGTGCTGAACCCCCGCAGCTGCACCCTCTCGCCGTTGACGATCTCCTTGGCGTCGCTGTCGCCCCATTCGACAGGCACGTCGCTATCTGCGTCGGCATACACCAGGACGTTGAAAGTGCAGTCGCCGGCCAGCTGGGGTAGAAAGGTAACGGAGGCGGTGATCTGGCGGAAGAGGGCGGCGATCTCGGCTTGAATCTCGGCCTCGGTCTTGGAAGAATCGGGGAGGGCCGTGTTGGAGGCGGACGGAGGCGCGGCGTTCTCTTGGTCGGGAGACGTCTTGGACTTTTTAGATTTGCCGGTATTGAATATGTGGACGTCGAACTGCCATCGCTCGACGTGCTCGCCCGTGTCTTTGTCGGTGATGACGATGACCAGCTTGCTGATCTTGCCGCGCTGCATCCATTTGTCGAGCTGGGACATGATCTTCTTGATGTACGCCTTGACTTGGTCATCGGCAGAAACCAGCATGTTCAGGCCATATTTTTTGACGCTGGTTCCGTTAGTCTGGGCGGTTGACAGAAGCGAGATGGATCGGGTCGGGGCATTACGCACGCTGTGAAATCTTCGGCGGGGTAGACACCTCTTTGAAATCTATCGTGGGATTAACAAAAGCGTATAGGATCGTACGGAAGTAGTCTTGTTACGTACAGGATGGTATGGATCGAATATTGGAACTGGAAGATGGACTGTTAGCTCATCGCTGCTTCGTGGGGAAGCCTTTACGTACGAATTCCGCCACAAGTTTGGCGCTTCCTTTGAGAGCCAATTTATGAACCTTAGATTTGTCCTTGTCCTTTTCTGGTGCGGTCGGCGCCATCGTGATAGATTCTCTGTCGCGTGTGCTGCTATCGACTTTGAACTTGAGCCTAGAGGTTGTAAGCGTAGTGGTTTGTTTACTTTCGGAAACTTTGGCGGGGTGACGAATTAACTAGGTTACTATCATGTTATGTATTGTGGCTAGATAGCGATAAGATAAGAGATTATGTTTATCGATAAGGACTAACTACCTAGGTACCCTTCGAATTTGGGAATTTTTGCTGCAACCCACCGGCCGCGAATAGCTTCATATGTTCTTTATCTATCCAGGTATTCTTCCGTGTCTTGATCCAAAGTTGACAAGGCCGAGAAAGCTCAATTCGTATGGATGGGTGGTAGATTCAAGTCTCCACTGGAGTTCGTTCTCATGCGACCATGTCTCCGCTCATCTTCCCTTCGCACGGCTTATAACGCCGGCGCCTACTCGCAGACGACATGGCCTTCTCTAGACCCGAAGCTACGATGCCGACGGCGGAATGGATTGATAGGATGGCCAACTATTGGACCAGACGCGTATAGTACCCTTCGACGATATAGCACATTAAAAGCAGGAGTAATGGGCGATCTTGAGCGCCGCATCGCTGCGATCCCTATCGAGCGCTTTCGAAACTTTTGTATCGTGGCGCATATCGACCATGGGAAATCCACGTTATCCGATCGGCTGCTCGAAATTACGGGCACTATATCGTCGTCTAATACAAACCGCCAGATCCTCGATACCCTCGAAGTTGAGCGCGAGAGAGGCATCACCGTTAAAGCTCAAACTTGCACCATGATCTATAATCATCACGGTCTCGATTACCTGCTGCATCTCGTCGACACGCCCGGCCACGTCGACTTCCGCGCCGAAGTTACGAGGTCGTACGCCAGCTGCGGAGGCGCTATTCTGCTGGTCGACGCGAGCCAAGGAGTACAAGCCCAGACCGTCGCCAATTTTTATCTTGCCTTTGCCGAAGGCCTCAAGATCCTACCGGTCATCAACAAGATAGACATGGTTGCTGCGGATGTTCCAAGAGTCCTAGAACAGCTCGAATCTACCTTCGAGCTGGATTCTAGCAAGGCTATCGGAGTAAGTGCAAAAACCGGCCTCAACGTCAAGGAGTTACTGCCAGCCGTCGTAGAAAACGTCCCGGGGCCTACAGGCGACGAATCTAAACCGCTGAGGATGCTGCTAGTGGACTCGTGGTACGACAGCTTCCGCGGCGTTATATGTCTGGTCCGGCTTTTCGACGGCACCGTGAGGGCAGGAGACAACCTCGTGAGTTTCGCGACGGGAAACAAGTACACCATCGGTGAGGTCGGCATCAGATATCCTACACAGGTTCCGCAGACAGTCTTGCGCGCCGGCCAGGTCGGTTACGTCTTTTTCAATCCCGGCATGAAGAAAATCCAGGATGCTAAAATTGGCGATACGTTCACCACCGTCGGCTCGGAAGACGTTGTCGAGCCGTACCCGGGCTTCGAGGAGCCCAAGCCCATGGTCTTCGTCGCCGCTTTTCCTACGGACCCTGCCGACTACAGCCGCCTAGCGGACAGCATCGGCCAGCTCGTGCTGAACGACCGCAGCGTGACCCTCTTCAAAGATCACTCCGAGGCGCTGGGAGCAGGCTGGCGGATCGGCTTTCTAGGTAGTCTGCACTGTTCCGTATTTCAGGATCGACTCCGCCAAGAGCACGGCGCAAGCATTATCATCACCGAGCCTGCCGTCCAAACCAAAGTTATGTGGCGGGACGGCACGGAGGCAGTCCTTCAAAGCCCTGCGGATTTCCCGGATTTCGACGACGGGCGCACCCGCGGCGCCACCTTTTACGAGCCTTACGTGCTAGCAACCCTGACGGTCCCAGAAGAATATCTCGGCCGCGCCATAGAGCTATGCGAAGCCAACCGCGGCGAGCAGGAGAGCATCGAGTTCTTTCACGGCATGCAGGTCATCCTAAAGTACCGCATCCCTACGGCGCAGTTAGTAGACGATTTATTCGGCAAGCTTAAGGGCGCAACTAAAGGGTACGCGACTCTGGACTACGAGGACGCTGGGTGGCGCGAGAGCAAGCTAGTCAAGCTGCAGCTACTAGTTAATAAGCAGCCGGTGGACGCGATCTCGCGGGTAGTGCACCTATCTCAGGTGGAACGGCTAGGCAGGCAGTGGGTGACCAAGTTCAAGGAGCACGTACAGCGGCAGATGTTCGAGGTCGTGATACAGGCGGCGGTCGGCAAGAAGATCATCGCGCGAGAGACTCTCAAGCCCTTCCGTAAGGATGTGCTCGCCAAGTTGCACGCCAGCGACATTACCCGCCGTCGGAAACTACTCGAGAAGCAGAAAGAAGGTCGCAAGAGGTTACGTTCGGTCGGCAATGTTATTATCGAACAGGAAGCATTTCAGAGGTTCTTATCCAAGTAGGTTGCCAGTGTACATCGTCTAGATATATATGCGAACACCCAAAGCGCTATATATCTCTAGCAAGCCATAATATCAACTGTAAAGTATATTGAACTGTAATATAACCTGAATATGCCTCGCCACCTTCGATTTAAATAGGGGTAAATTAAGGCTTCTGAAATTATAAATAGCTAACTAGGTTAGGAGGTTGTAAAATACTCGGGTTAGAGATCGGGCACTAGGTCACCCGCACAATAGATCCTGATCGGGAAAATAACCATGGACTATAGGTAAGGCGTGTATTGACGACTGGTTTATTTAGCAAGCGGCACAAAACAGAAGAAAGCTAGCATTTCTTTATGGATTCATATGGTCCTTACAGGGGGCGCATATCGGGGCTGGGTTAAACTCGACCGTTTTAAACAATAGCAACGGTCATAGCCACGGAGACTACAAACACTGAGGCTGGCCTGGTGTACTTTTCGTGCTTGAATTTATACTTGCGTGGTCAATATTAAGACCTGCTATAAAGAAACGGTAGCTACAAGGGGATGTAGTAGTTGATAACATTGGAAATTTATCTAAAATCCTAGCACTCATTTTGTACTAGGTATTCGACCATTTCCACTTGCGTACCCAGACGACCTCTAATTAGCAGTTAATCTCTACGCATGATGCTGGCGTCATTTTTTTTTCTTACCGCAGGCAAAATATCGACAAGTATCATAAGTCCGCATTCGCTGCATCTACCAACTACGAAAGGAGCGCGTGAGGTACGAGATTCTCCGCCATCATATCCTCGAGTTGTTTAATAACCCACTCCTGACCTCGCGGGCTCGCGTTGAATAAGCTACCGACGTCGACTTGCGCACCCTCCTGGGAGTAGGCTTGGAGATACTGTGCAATTATTGACTTTATCGAAGCGATGTCTCTGTCTTCTTCGTCCGGAGTCAGCCTGCTCGCGTTGCGGTAATACACCTCTGCGTTCTTGGCATTCTGAGAGGCCGTGCTTACGGCTCTCCGATATGACGTCGGCGGGAAGGCCATAGTATAAAGATATAAGCACGCGTCACCGCGTAGGAGATGAGTAGTAGCTAGATCCTCCTGAGGAATTCCTCGTATAGCCGACGCAGACTTCAGGCTTGCTATGCTCGCCGTGAGAACGTTCCACCGCAACATCGACTGCGACTGGGCGTCCCCGCCGTCGAAATCTGTTAGTGCCGAGTTGAGCGCCAGGAGAGAGCGAGCATTTGCTATATGGCCTTCCGCAAAATTCTCAAGCTGAAGTTCCGCATTTGCGAAAATAGAATTTAGTTCTCGACTGTAAGTTTCGGCGTCGATCTTCCCAGACCTGTAACCGGCTTCTAGCATCACCGAAACAAGATTGGCTCTCGCTAGAGCGACTTCCTGTACCCTGTCGTGCTGTTCACGCGAGATGGCCTGCACCTTTTCGACGAGGCCTGACGAAACTTCCTCGACCCAGGCGAGCATATTTGTAGGAGCAGCTTCTGGCGAAGAGCTCAAAATGCTACACAAAGTGGTGAGGGTAGCCAGCTGAGCGAGAAGCGTATCGATAAGCGTGTCGCTGGTGACCGGCTCAACTACGTTGAACCATTCTTCGTCTTCCTCAGCACTGCCAGACGAGTTATTTCCTGATCCGGAAGCTGCTGCTGCTTTGTAGCTCGCGTCTTCTCCTTGCTCGTTGGCAAAGCGTTCCTGCTCGAGGAATTCCTGGTATTTTTGCTCCTGCAAGCTGAGACACGCGCTTTGCAGGTCGAGCGCTTCTCGGAGCGCCTTCAAAGCTTCAGCCTCTGTTCCAGCAGCTTCGTCATCTTCATCAGTAGCTATCAGCTCGGCGATAGCCGTAAGAACCTGAGAAGTATTAAATAGCGCGTCCGAATTATGCGGATCAAGCTTTAACGTGTATCGATGCGACTCTAATGCCTCATCCAATACGCCTCTTAAGGGCTGCTGCAAATGCTCGACAAGAATGGGATGCGTAGCAATCTCCAGCTGTACCCGAGCCCTGGGGAAATTGTTAGCAGATGCTTCGTCGGAGAATGGTGATGCAAAAGAATAGAAAAAAGGCTCATTCGGAAAAGAATCCTTACTTGTTGTAGGCGAGGTCGGTGCTTTGAGGGAACTTGAGAAGCCCTTGATCGTAGACATCAATAGCGCGCTGGAAGAATCGCATAGACTTGACGGCATCTCCCGCACGCCATTTTCCAGCGGCTTCTTCAAAGTCGACGCCGGCAGCTTGGAAGTCGTCTGCCGTGTCCAGCTTCTGCTCTTTTTTTGGCCTGGCTTTTGATTGCTTCGTAAATGATTTTGGTTTCGCCATCTTAACCGATATGAAGGCAGTTATCGGCTTCTATGATGTATGGCTCTCCACTGATTGAGATGTTGATTTTTTTTCGGGGAGAATTTTTTAATTCGGGGACGGGGTACGGGGGTACGTAGATTCGGAGGCCGTGTTTCGGCTAAAGAGCCCCGCACCGTACGCGGAACGGCCCGTCTATCTAACGCTACCTACGCTTCGGCAGTTCAGAAGACCGGTCACACATAATATCTGCCAGGTAGCAGAAATTGATTGTACTACAACTGGTAGGTGCAGTAATGATAATGACGAGGTAATTCTCTGGAAGATATCTATTGTACTTTACAAATAAATACACACATCTACTCTTTATGCGGCATTCCCCGTTGCCTCCTTGACCGATCAATTTATAAATATAGATAAATGATAAATATTCAATATTCAATTTATCATTCCGCATGTGGCCCCCCTTTTAGTCGGTCTTTAAGAGCCTTTTGGTTTTAACTGCTGAGGGTTACTCTATGTCAAACACTATGCGAGCAAGATGAGAATAGTATTATTGTAAGAGCTATTAACCTATTTCAAGCTGGTCCATTAATATAGTTTTTTTCTAGCTTCTTCCGCAATTCAGAAATCCGACGGAGATAAGTCTCATGACGATAGCTTTGCGACTTGGACTATTCGTAGGCACGTCTTGGAGGACAAGCCCCAAGGGAGCTTAGTTAGCCATTGAAGGTTAAACATAAGCTTGTAATGAGCGAATATCATTCATCGCCTCTAGATTCCTTCTTGATATAAGTACCCATCAACGCAGCAAAGCATCGCGCGTAGATGTCAACTACGCTTAAGCAATCTCTTCACGTCATCAATATCTGACAATTATTGAATCTTAGATACGAGGCTGACGACACTAAGAACTTCGCATGTGCCGGGCTTCGACTTAGCTGACTTCATAGCAACAATTAAGCTGTTCGAGATGAGACTATAAACTTCAAGTCAATATCGGAAGCATCCAATGAGTATAATCTTAGCTACTCACAACACTATACGATGGAAATATCAGATAAGGGCAGAGATAGTTAACGAATAGTTATCACACGTCTGAACACTGATTGCCTCGTATAGTTCTCTTTATTGCTAGCCCAATATGACCAGCTGAATGTTTCATCGTGAACTCCGCCTGGGCTTGTAGGACGCAGTAATAGTGAAGCTAAAAAAAGAATTACCAAAAGAATCATCATGCCAATTCCAGCTGGAGATCTCGCAGACCGTAGTGTTTGCTTTACCCAATAGTAAGCTGATTATCGTACTCCACACGAGCCAAAATCCGTTTAGTTTCCTATTTGAGATGCGAATCCTATAATTTATCTGTCGCCGGGCTGAGCCAAGCCTCATTTGGTGGCGTCAGCTACATTCGCATGACCTTACATTGACTGGTATCCTATCTCAGGGGCTCTCTTTCCCTTTCGAGCCTCATCAACGGCTGATGAAACCATGACAGTGGCGATAGGGCAGGAGAGGTTATGTTTTCAATGACGAAGACTTAAATAGATGGATATCCGTGAACGATATTCACGTCTTGGAAGATATTCCACCTCATCAACCTCATCAACCTCATCAACCTCATCAACCTCATCAACCTCATCAACCTCATCAACCTCATCAACCTCATCAACCTTCTCAATTTACTCGGTATTATTAATATCTCTTAGGCTTTTACAATTAAACCGCACAACAATGAAGGCTGCTACTACGATCATCGCTACGCTAGCATCAGCCGGCTTCGTCCGCGCTCATGTTGCTGCGTTTACAAAGGGCATGTACTGTCTGGTAAGCATTCTCTCCGTGTCCGATCATTGCCCGATAATAACCTAGCTAGAATGGTACGGAACCCGGAGTGGAAGACTTAAACACCAACACCGTCGTAAATCCCCTTTTCCAACTCCCGAAGAGCCAATGGTGGATGCAGCACGATCGCGGCTGCGACTCGGATCAGTTCCGTCCTAGCCCCGGCGACTTTCTAGAGCTCCCGGCCGGCGGATCCTTTACTGTCGAGTTAGCCCACAACCGTGCCCAAACCACTCTCTCTTACGATGGGAAATTTACGTCGGAGTGGCCAGATGGACAGCAGCATCCGGAAGACTGGCACAGCCCAACTCCCAACGACTGCCTCAACGCTAACCCGGATGGTATGGGGGGCGCGATGCATACCCACAACGAATCGACTGCCGCCGGCACCGCTTTCGCCATCTCCTACAACTCGGATCTATCCAAGGTGACGATGGAGAACTTGGCGGTATTTACCGTTCTAGAGCAGTATGCACATCCCCGTAACCGGACGACCGCGTACAGACGTAATAGCTAACAGCGGCGATAGCACACCATGGAAACGCCTAGCCACTTACCAAGTGCCTCGCGACCTACCACCATGCCCCGAAGACGGCTGCTACTGTGCGTGGCTGTGGGTTCCGGATGGATGTAAGCCAAACACCTGTGCTTTTCACTTAGACGCTCTTCGTTTATCCAGGAGCTGCATATTGACTTCTACTAAGGCGGCGAACCGAACATGTACATGCAAAACTTCAAGTGCCGCGTTACCGGCTCTACTTCTACGAGAACGGTTGCTCCCGCTAAGGCGCCGGTACGCTGCGACGACGGAAAGACCCCCTGTATTTCCGGAGCAAAGCAGATGATCGCTTGGAATCGTACGTACATTCTTTCAACCCCCATTTCTCCCCCTATTGACATGACATGCAGAGGCCGATGGCAACAACGTCGAGACACCGGCCGGCGTGTCTCCGGGTTACAACCAGAAGATGGGTTGGCAGCCCGGTGCGCAGAACGATATTTTCCAGTGAGCGTAGAAGTTCGATCCTCTGCTCAAAGGGATACAAAAACCAACCTCGGCTTCCGTTATTTTCGAATCAGATATGGATAAGGTACTTTTGGTTGGTTGTAGCATATTATTTCTTATTGGTTTACTTCCACTGTCTATTTTGCTGTCGAGTATATAGTCCCCTCAAGTATATAGTTGATCAATCACTTTCATTTCTACGAGCCCTAGACAGATATAGTTTATGAAATACGTCTTAACGTGCTGCGTGTGGATTTAATGACCGATAATAGTATCCATAAACCAGGTCTACCATAACGAAGCAGGCAAGGCAACGTTGGGTTAAATGTATAATTAATGACACAATGCCCATTAATACTACCTATCCGAAAGAGGATATATTAAGAGGGGAACTTCGTCAATCTGCATGGAGTCTGTTGGTTGTGGTATAAGGAAGATCGTTACACAAATAATTCTGTTGGTGTCTAAAACCGCTTCATGTTGGTGGTATTCTAATATGGCCCCCAGTGTTATATCAAAGGGATAATGAGCCAACACGCTTAATGTAACATTACTGCTCGCATTATACTATTTCTCATAATATTTATTGGTTTATGTGATCCAAGAATAGATCTCAACGTACCTGAGGTGAGGAGAGCAGGACAACCTCAAAATTCATTATCCCGATTCATTTTGCAGAACGTGACCCCTATTTTCAATCAACCAAGTTTTCATCACGCGCTTCCCGAACGAAACTAATATACTGAAAAGATTCGACAAACCTTTGCAACAGTTCTTTTTGACTACTCTGCTGCTCTTGTAAACCAGACGAAATGGTCATCTCGGTATCCCAGATAGAAGCAGCGTTGTTGGTGTTATCTATTCCGTTTACTTACTTTTTCATCGCCTCTGTATTAGAGAAACGACAAAACCACAGCACTTTTCTCAAAGTATTCCCGGAAGTCGGCTTTCGTGATGAGTGGTTCCACGGCGTGCGAGCGACATTCCGGTCCCTATTCAAGACAGCAGAATGGGCTTCAGAGGGCTACTCTAAGGTGATAACCTCTTAATCACTTACATGATTGCCCCAGAAAATCTAACATCTACCAAGTTCACTAAGCATGATTCTCCATATCTAATTCCAACTATGGATAGAGGGACAGTGATTATCCTCCCGACAGAACAGATGAAAACGCTAGGCAGACTACCAGAGGACCAACTGGACATCTTCGGCACCCTTCAGGAACAGATACAGGCAAGATACACCGTTCGCGACCAAAGAGTCATTCTTGACCCTTACCACCGGTACCTCATCCCGAGCCAGCTTACGCGAGATCTAGATGCGCTTACGGGGCCGATGGTTGCTGCACTTGAAGATGGCTTTAAGTCTTCGTGGGGGACTAACTCTGCATGGACGGAGGTTATGATGTGAAGTACCTTGCAAGCTTAGAAGGCCAGTCGGTCGCGCTCTTTGGCGGTTCAATGCTCATCAGCATTACACCAACGTTATTCAGACCCGTCACCGGGTACCTGGTTAAGCTTTGGTGTTGGTACCATGCTAGAAAAATCGCTAAGATTTGCGGTCCGTATATCGAAGCAAGAATCAGGGAGACGACGCAAGAAAAGATTAGGGTCGCTGGTAGCAGAAAACCCGTGGTAAGACGAAATGTTTGACTTATAACTGATAACTACGCCTCTTACCTCGCATACTTTGTTCACGACGTAGCTTGGCTGACTTCGTATACAGAAAGACGCGCTCCAGCTGATTATTGATGAAGCTATCTCCCGCGATGATGACACACAATTATCGACGAGCCTCATTTCTGATCGGCTTCTTATAACCAATAACCTATCCTTACATAGCACGACCTTGACGTTACATAACTTCATAATGAGCCTTATTACTTCCGACCCATCTCTAGGGTATATTGAGGCATTGCGAGAGGAGTGTGACAAGGCGTTGAGCGATGTTGGTGGGACGTGGAACCTAGAAGCGATTCGAAAGCTTAGACTTGTTGATTCTGCAATTCGAGAGTCCATGAGATTGATACCTTTTGCTTCTGTAGCTATGGCTCGGACAGTCTGTTGCCCCCCTCTATGTCCTCTAGTTAAAATGGTATACCTAACAGAGTTTTATATTAGGTGGTCGACCCGAAGGGCATATCCCTTAAGCACGGCCAATCCAGCGTTCCAGTTCCTCAAGGTACGATCTTGGCCTCGCCGATAAAAAGCATTCATTGCGACGAAGCCATATATCCAGATGCCCACCGTTTTAATCCTTTCCGGTTTGTGACCACCGAACTCCAGGACAGTAAGTCAGGCGGCCAGAAGTACGTGACAAGTAAACCTACAGCCACTCCAGATGATAATTTCTTCGGTTTTGGGACTAGCAAGAACCCGTGTCCCGGTCGTTTCCTAGCTGTTCACGAGATAAAACTCGTCATAGCATATCTGCTAACGAATTACGATATCGAATACGCCAAAGCAAAACCACAGGGCACGGATTTATTGGCGATGAAGGTGCCGAAGATGGACGCCATTATACGAGTGAAAAGACGTTCTGGTTGAAGGAGGTTTACTTCTATGCCGCGGCTCAAAAGCACACGAGGGACTTTTTCTTCCAAAATAATCATAAACGTTGACTACCTACCTAAAGGTAGTTGTTAATAGGAGTAGTGACATTAATCAAATTTTGATGTTTATTCTACAAGGCTACCTAATCAAAGGGGTAGTTCCGTGGTGCACCGCAAGGGATGAGAACGGACTATTAGACGATCCCGAATTGACATGTTTTTGGCAATGCCCTATCTATCAAACGCAGCTCAGCCGCCAGGTAGCCCTAAACTATCTATGCCGGTTCGGCTCCGTACCTCGCCTGTCATGCGCGTGTTCTTCGAAATCTAAAAACGCCGTAGGTGGCTTCTAACAGCTATGTATGCCCTGGTCGTTCGTAAACACCGTCGTCTCGACTAGTCTGTCCCACTTCGTGAGCCGCCTATCAATTCACGCGGTTGAAAAAGTAGACGTATGCCGTCTTCTTCATCTCTTCTACGTCGCCTGCTTCTACTACCTTCTCGTCATTGAAGAGTACCCACTTCGGCGTTGTCGTGTCGAGCAGCTTGCGGATGAATGCCACGTAATGTCTATAGTTGTGTTAGCGCCTTATTGCGTACGCTTGAAAATAAGTAGGCAAAACTTACCCTGAGTGAATGCTGGTTCCCTTATGGCATACGATGCTCTGCAGTTGGAACCTTGCTGGAACCTCGGCGCTACCTGCGGGGACGACCTCCTTTGAGGACGGTGCGGCCTCGTCGCCAAAGTCGCCTTGGTCGTCCGGGTGGCTAAACAACCATTCTACCGCGCGCTCTACGTCGCCGTTGGTCTCCTTTAGAGCTTTGCGGGCTTGCGGCGCGCCGAATCCCATAGACCCTAGCATCTCGACCTTCTCGGGATCCACCGCAGCATTGCTTCCGGCGCCGGTAGAGGCGACGACCAGAGGCTCGTCGATGTCGGCATCTTCCATGTGGCCAAACAACCACTCCATCGCCGCGTTGACATCCGAGTTACCGGTTGCGTGGAGCGCCTTTTCGCATCGGTTGCGTGGGAATCCCATGGCCATGAGTCCGTCCAGCGCAGCCTCGTTAGGCGCAAAAGCCGGAGCGGCAGAGGCCTCCTCTTCCGGCAGCAGTTCTTCGGACGGCTGTAACCCGGAAGAGAGATATTGATCGAGCAGGAACGGCTCGTCTCCCACTATGACCGGGACGTCGACCTTGCGGGGCACCCAATTCTCTATCGTCATCTTCCGCGCGTTGACGACGAGGGTGGTCGGCAAGGTCTTGAATAGGGACCTCTTCGTGAATCCGTCCTTGCTCTTACACGACGCGCACGTCAGCTCCACCACTTCCATGGCGGTGAAATTGTCGAGACACTGCTTAAGCGTAACCGGCTTGTAGCGATCTCCTTCGCCTTCTACGGCTGGCAGCTTCTCCAGGGGCACGTCGATAAAGATACCGTCCTGTTCGTTGCTGGTGTAGCGGACCCTCTTGCAGCTCATGCACTGTAGTCGCTGTTCAAGGACGAACCTAAACGACTGGGTAGGATCCTTTAGGGGTGTCGAGTGTTGAGATCTGGTTATGAACTTGACTAGGTGCTGTAAAAGCTCGAAGGCGTCCTGTTGGCGCATCGTCGAAAATTCGGCGTGTCCGCGGCCGATAAGGTGCTTTAGCATGCTAGGCGACAGACCTTTCTGGTATGGGATCTCGGGGGAATTCTCGGAGGCTACGACGTCGGAGTCCGGCTTCGAGTAGCGACCTGATAGTAGGCCGTCTCCTAATTTGCGCAGCTGCGTTTCGAGATCTTGAGCCGGATCGGGCACGATGGGCAGGTCGACTTCGGGAATGTTGTACCGCTCTTGAAATGCGGGCAGGTCGAACAGGCACTGAAGTATGCTCGCGAGGTAGCAGCTATTACCGAGATTCTTTAGTCCGGTCAGGCCAGGTCCAAATAGCGGTTTAAGTTCTTTTCCGTCTTCGGTGGTCATAGAGAATTCCCATCGTAGGTTCTGCTCGATCTGCATCTCGGTCAAGCTCTTCTCAGTCTTGACCTGGTCGGAGACGATGATTCCCCAATGCGCCAGATGGGTCGCGAGGTCGTTGTCCACGCGCTCCTCGTCGCATTGGTAGCAGTACACGTCTGCTGTGCCTTCCGGGCTGATAGATCCTAGCTTGACGGCGACCGCGTGTCTCGACTCGGTAGCGTGTGCCAAACCGTGGGAGTTTCCTCCGACGCCGCCAAACTGAGCACGACCGCAACCTAGGTTACCACATTCCAAGCATAGCCAGAGGTTCTCTTTTAGATCGCACTTAGAACAGTGACCTAAGTCGCTCTGGAGCTTTCGGCTTTCGTGCTGCTGTAGGAGAAGGATGTGTTCGCAAGATGTCAGCTCCTGCTCCCAAGCCTTGACCTCTTCCTGCCGCGAGAAAGTATTCGCCTTGAGGATCCCGTCAACGATAGGTGCGAGTTTCGGGCTGGTCTTGTCGAGCTCGGTGGAGCACTCGTGGCACTTGACCGCGGTCGTGATATCGTAACGGTCGGCTTCGGTCTCGGCCGCGATGGCTAGCTTGGTTATCTTCGTGGGAGGCTCGTCCTTTACGACCCGCTTCCGAGTTCGACGGATGTTTAGAGAGAGCGGGTGACTGCGGGTGACGTGGTGAAGTTGGGAATGGGTGCGAACACCTAGACAGCCTCCGTTGAAACACTGCAGACAGACGTCGAGGCCTTGGGCATCGTCCTAAGCGTGTGAGCATTATATTATGACGGTAAGGCTGGCTTTCGGATTCTGGTGCGAGTTCTGGGAACTTACGATAGAATCAAAGCATTGAGTGCAGTCTTCACGATAGACCGACTCAGCTGGGGTTGGGGGATGCAAAGCTGCGATATAAGACAGGCACGTAAGCTACGGGCGAGCACGAGATTTACGCCGTTCTCCCCCAGACTTACAGATAGAATCGAGATGTGGACATGCCATTTTGAAGAACGACACGAAGACGGTACAGGTATCGGGTTAGAAGAGTGCTGAAATGACAAAGTTGTATAACGGAAGACGGGGTGGATGGTTGAGAGAAATTGCAGCAAGGATACAGCGATAAAACCGGAATGTTCCCAGCGAGGCCGCGAATGATGTTTATTTGCTACCAAATCGCAAACGTGAAGCGTGGGAGCGTTGGAAGCTACCTCATGTATGTATTGTACAAGGAGCTTCACGGCGGCGGGGCTAAGACTTTGTCGATGGAGGGGTACAAGTATTGTACAATCTGCAGTGCGAGGCTACTATAGAGATTTCCCCACGCTGCTAAATATGTACGTAACAGGTACTGCTGCTTGCCAGCTGACAGCAGGAGACAGGCCTAGAAAGTTCGGTCGAAACTATCGGACTCGGGCCATGTCTGCGCAGCTGCAAGACCGGATCTGATAAGGTGAAAAGGTGGGGATAGCTATAACCGACCCGCCTCCTTACAGTGCATATACAATCTCCGAGACTTATGATTTCATCGCTAATTTGAAGTTTTATGATTCGCCATAGAACCCAAGGTCCATTTTAATACCGAGATCGCCGACAAAGACCGCTTCACTTTTTTTTTTGGGAGGGGGGGCTACGTTTTACCTCATCATCTCCGATTCGTAACCCCCAACCTACAAATTTCTACGTCTTTGCTTCCACCTCATCCGCAATATAGTCCTTTCACAATCGACATCGCGTGTTTAACCAAGAACACATCAAACGCAATTCCATTTCCATTGGCATTAATCAATCTTGACCACATTACAGCTCGCATATCTCATATCTCAAAATGCTGTCGCGGACGCTAGCAACCGCTGCTCGACGAGTAGTCGCATCGGCTACTCCTCGCGTCGCTACCCGCCAGACTCTCAACCCGGCCGCCAGCATCGCGCGCCGATCGTACCACGAGAAAGTGTTGGACCACTACAGCCGACCGCGCAACGTAGGTTCTATGCTCAAGTCTGACGTTGACGTTGGCACCGGCCTAGTCGGCGCCCCAGCGTGTGGCGACGTCATGAAACTTCAGATCCGGGTCGATCCGAAGAGCAACACCATATCCGACGTAAAGTTCAAGACCTTTGGCTGCGGCAGCGCTATCGCAAGTTCGAGCTACCTGACAGAGCTGGTGAGAGGTATGACGCTCGAGGAGGCAGGCCGTATCAAGAATACCGAGATTGCTCAGGAGCTTTGCCTACCGCCTGTCAAGCGTAGGTTTCCATGTCCCTATACTTCACGTACGAATGAAATGGTTGGCCTATATATGCTAACGCTTTGGTAGTTCATTGTTCCATGCTAGCCGAGGATGCCATCAAATCTGCTATCTCCAACTACTACAGCAAGAACCCCCATGCCAAGCCAACAAACCTTGCCGGTACTGGAGCAAAGATGCCCAGTATTAGCGAGGCCGCGACGGCGACTGCTTAAGGGTTGACGTACCAAACTGAATTTGAAGGATACATTCGTTACTTGCATGGGATACGGAGTTCAGATGGGGAATCAAAAGTCGCGGCTTTGATATGCGGTGCAGACGGGGATATCGATATGCGACTGCTTACGATAATATGATATCGCTGTGCGTTGTTCTGTTGTGAGGGATTTTTGATGTTACGGCTATTTTCAACTCCGACCGGGGTTGAATGCGATGGACTTTGATTTTCTCAGTAATCCAGTTATCAAACTTGGGTTTTTCGAGCACTCATTAAGAGATGTACCATAGTCCTCACTCGGAATAAAATCGTAAAATCGTAAAACCGTATGGTTGTTTTTGTTTAATTATTGTTCAGTGAGGTGCGCGGCCATAGTATTTACTAGGTTACATTGTAGACGTCGAGATCTAAAGTAACTTGGACACTTTCCATTCGCAGTCCACATTTATGCGATAAATGGTTACCTCCCGTTCTAGCCTCGATGAGAGCTTATCCAAACTCAATTACTCAACTATAGCCGAAACAATATCGTGAGAATGAGTTGGTGTATTACTTATTACTAAGCCGCCTACCTACCTCCTATGTAATGTATGCCAAGCCGTAGCCGCTAGCATATTTGCTTTATCGATCGTTATCAGGAGCTTATCTTATCTGATTCAGGGCCCTCGAATGATTTTTCTTTTAGTTCACCTCGATATCCGCAAAGTTCTTATGTTTTAGTAACGCCAATTTTCCCTTTCGGCGCCGCAAATTAAATTCTATCCTATTTAGGTCATTTAAAAGTCAATTGAGAGATCAAAGCATACTCGCCTCGCAAGCTTCCGTAATCATGTCGAAACATCGTCTTGAAGACGCCGAAGTAGAGGTTGCAGCCCTCCCGCGCAAGAAATCTAAGAAGGAAAAGAAGGACAAGAAAGATCGCAAGGAGAAGTCACAAGAGGCGGACTCGGTCGCTCCAACTCTAGCAGATCCAGCCGTAGAACCGATAACACCAGAAGTCGACGGGGAAAAAACGAAGACGAAGACGAAGAAAGAAAAGAAGGACAAGAAAAAGGAAAAGAGAGAAAAGAGAAAAGCAGAGAAGAATAGCAGCGAGGGCGAAGCTATTGATGAACCAAAAGACGAGAATACCGCCGAGCAAGATGTGGCAAACGGGTCTCGCGACGATGTAGACGCAGACCGCAAATCTAAAAAGGAGAAAAAGGACAGGAAGAAAAAGCGCAAGACTGAGGAGCTAGAGGCCAACGGCGTCAATGGCAATTCCAACGGCTCTGCGGACAGTACTGCAAATAGAGTCGCCGATGCCTCGATCGCTTCCGGCACATCACAGACGTACGAGCAGAGCGCGGCGCTTTCTGCCGTGTCCGAGTCTGATATCGCGGCCTTCCTTAGCACGCATGAGATTACTGTCACCGACCCGCTCTCCGACAAGCCTTTCCGGCCCATCATCGAATTCTCTCACCTGCCCTCCTCGGCTCTGATCGCCAAAACCCCTTTCGCATCTTTCAAAGCTCCGACGCCTATCCAAGCGGCCTCTTGGCCTTTTGGGCTCTCGGGTCGCGACATCGTCGGCGTGGCGGAGACGGGATCGGGCAAGACCATCGCCTTCGGCCTGCCGCTCATATCTGCCGTGCTAGGAATGCCCAAGTCCAAGGGCAGCGGCAATATACGCGCGGTCGTAGTATCTCCCACGCGAGAGTTGGCAATGCAGACCAACGAGCAGCTAGCGAAGCTCGGCGATCTCGTAGGCTTGAAGACGGTTTGTATATACGGCGGCGCGTCCAAAGATGATCAGAGAGTATTACTACGCAAGGCGGACGTTGTAGTTGCGACTCCTGGTCGGTTAAAGGATTTCCTGGAAGAGGGTTCTGCCAAGCTCGGCGAGGCTAAATTCGTCGTGCTAGACGAAGCCGACCGCATGCTAGATAAGGGGTTCGAAGACGACATCAAGAGGATCATCGGATGTACGCCTAGGAAGGAGGATCGCCAGACGCTCATGTTCACGGCAACGTGGCCGCAGAGTGTGAAGGCTCTCGCATCCACCTTCATGGTATCACCAGTCAAGATCCAGATAGGCGGAAACGCGAGCGGCGACCTGCAAGCAAACATAAGGATTGAGCAGCGCGTCGAAGTTATAGATCCCCGGGGCAAGGAAACTAGGCTGTTGCAGCTGCTCAAGGCGCAGCCCAAGAACGAGCGAGTCTTAGTCTTCTGCTTATACAAGAAGGAGGCCACTCGGGTCGAAGGCTTCCTGCTGCAGCGCGGCATCAAGGTTGTCGGCATACACGGCGATCTCAAACAAGAGCAGAGGACGCGAAGTCTCGAGGCTTTCAAGACGGGACAGACTCCTGTTCTGGTCGCTACGGATGTTGCCGCCCGCGGTCTAGACATTCCCGAGGTGAAGCTGGTAATTAATGTCACGGTATGAAGCACGTTTTTTTTTTTTGATATGCTACGATTTCATACGCATCTGGTATGCTAACCTACGAGCGCGGATTCTAGTTCCCTCTTACTATCGAAGACTACGTCCACCGTATCGGGCGTACCGGGCGAGCGGGCAAAACCGGACTGGCCATCACGCTCTTCACCGAACACGACAAGGCACATTCGGGAGAGTAAGTCCAACAGGTTCTCGCGTCCCATGCGTCAATTCACACTAACAATTCCTCTAGGCTCATCAACATACTCAAGGCCGCCGGACAGCAGGTGCCGGAGGATCTCCTCAAATTCGGGACAACCGTCAAGAAGAAGACGCATGGCACGTACGGCGCCTTCTATAAGGACGTCGACATGACGAAGAAGGGTACGAAGATTACATTTGATTAAACCGCATCAAGCGCGGCGGAATTAGAGTCTATATAGATTAAGCTATGCCTATGCACTACCTAAGGTAGATGTTACCTTGACGCTTCGCCACGGCCGCGGATGGAATTATAGCAGTCTAGCAAGTATTTGCGTTCGGTATAGGCACTGGTTGACCGGTTAGAGATTTATATAAACGCGTACGGTAGCTAGAAAGTAGTCAAGACACTTACATGATGATTACGAAGGGCACGGCTCTAATTGCAACCGCGATTAGATCTACGAATACGTATGGCGACGTGCTACCGATAGAAATGCCGGCTCTCGCCAGGGAAGCCCAGAACGCCGCAGCAGCAACAGTCGTGAGGGCCAAGTTACTCGGAAGTATACTGTTCCAGCTAAAGTCGATATCGTTAGCCCGAAAATATCGCGCGATAAAAGTTCTGCTCCAGATGATGCGGCATAACATATTGATGCCGTTTGCATACACGAGACCGGCAGCACCGAGGTCCAAAACTCGGAGTGAGACAAACCCGGCAACGCCAAATGCCACGCTGAAGGCGCCCATCCACAAGCTCTGGCGGTGCACCTCGGATTCCGTGGCGATCGACGATACAAACGCTTCCGCGACGCCGTTGATAGCTAGGAGCGGGATATATAAGCAATACCGCGCCAGCACTGCTCCGGCTCCGCTGGCGGACCATTTAGTGCCCGCGACAATCTGAACCAGCAAAGGCGCAGCGTAGGGCCCCACGGTAACGACCACCATACTTAAGAGGACGTAGAACTTGAGGAGCGCCTGTAAATCCGAACGCGCCTTGGCGACGGCCTGCTTTCCGGGAGAGCTCTTTGCGGAAGAGAGTAGCTTGCTGAAATAGTTGCGACTGCTCTCTTCGATAGGCTGGAAGACTAGACGTGCAAGCAAGCTTCCGTAGTTGTTGGCGAGAGCATAGACGCCTTGGGATCTCGAGTCGGAGAGGACGGAAACTAGAAATGTATCGCCCTGGGTGAGGAGGTGTTTTACAAACGATTGAGCCGTCAAGCTATATGCTAGTTGTAGGGTCGGTCTGTAAAAGTATCCGAGCACGTAATTCGTATCGAGAGCCCGCGCCGTCTCTATTTTCTTGTCAGTCCCTTTCTGCGAGGGAGGGTTTGTCCTTAGGAAAAGGGAGAAACCCTCGGCAGACGCCAATTGCGCGCCATACCACGCGTAAACAGCGAGGAGTCCCGTGCTGTAGGCTAGCTGTCCGAGGGCAAATGGTAAGACGCCAACCTCCAAGCCCTTTTTCCAAGCCCAATTAGCCGCTCCGAAGGTTACGAGGCATCGAAAGAACGTGGCAACGGATTCGGCTGCGGCACGAGGTCCAAAGCGCAATCGATATTGCAATATCACGAAGGCGGGCTCGGAGAGCAGCTCGACGATAGCCGCTACGGCGTATATACGGAGGGCGACATCGAGGTAAGGCGTAGCAGCGGTAGCAGCGTCGATATAGCTAAGGTAGGCCCAGCCCAATCCGACAGAAGCTCCCAGACCTAGCAGGAGGGATATATGAGCAATGTTCACGACAGATTGGCTGTCTCTCGCGTTCTCGGCTAGGGGTTGGCCGTCGGCAGAACGCGAAGTAGACGGGCTCTCCTGACGCTGGATAGCTACGCGCAAACTCTCGCGCGCGAAGAATAGGACGGATAAGTAGTAGACTTCGAGCTGAGTCGAAACTCCTAGTAGTTGAGCTGTTAGGAAGCGCAGCAGCAGCTGGTTGGCTACGAAAGTGACGGCGCGCGACGCGATCTGGAGGACTATGAGCAGGGATGCGCCGTGGACGGCAGAACCTTGCTTCGGAGTGGCATTGGTATGCAGCTTTTTGTCATCGGCATCGCTCGAGGCGTCTAGTTGATTGGTCATGGTCGTACCGCATCCAAGGGTTTAATGTTCCATTCTGGTACAATTTTGGCGCGCGACGGAAATGATGACAAGTTTCGATTTCGATAATTACGGTCCGGCTTTCGCGATTACCTAACTTTTCCGGGTCCGGGCGCTGATGTAACTGCTAAAAGCTTCTACCATGTAGCGCCCTGACCTGAGTTGCGCCGATATCTAGGTACATAGGTACCTAAGTACTACATGTAGGTAGGTTCCATATGCCCTACAGATGGGCGCCGGAGTTATTACATCATCCATAATAAAATTAGGTTCTTACCTTTTGACATGCAGTTCTTCTCGAAAAAACCCTGTGGGGGGGCTATGGTTAAGAAATGCCCCATAGATGTATTATGACATAATTCTTGTTTGATGCAGATTTACGATCAAACTACTGCGTCTATCAAAACATACTAATGAAGACGGACCGATGACAATCCTGACCGCTTGACAATTGATACCGCAATAGAATATCGGTCCGATGTCTGTATGGTGACTATTGCACCCAAGAGTTAGTCTAACCCCATAAGACCCCGTAAAACTCCATCATTTCTTACTATCCAAATCAAATCCACAGCGCCTCTAAAACTGCACATGATGTAACTAGGTAGCCTCCATCGCCACCAGTTTGATCAATGCCAGTTCGTCAAGAGGACCCGGTCTACGCCAAAGACAGCATATCCACAGCAGCGAGAGACTTCAGCTGAATATGTCGCATCAACCATCCCTTTATACGTCACAAGCAACCAATCCTACGCGTTTTCAAAATTGCATGCATCCCTAATACTGCTGCTTACTATTCAGGAGAACTTTTCTGGTAGGGACTTTGGCTGGTAGTCACTCGCAGCTTATCGTTCAAGATTGCAGATGAGTGTACCGGTTTCCAAAGCACGATGTATCAAACTTTTGTTTGCTCGGCGTTATTATGGTCATCTATCGAACGATGAACCTTGGTGTCGGCGAAAATGCCTACATTAGATCACGTATGGTGATGGCTCCTCGGGGAACGTGGAGAATAGATGGAGAATAGACGGAGAATGAATGGGGAATGAATGGGGAAATGGAAGAGAAATGGGCCGACTTTATTAGCCTTTGAGGCTGGAATAGCTTTCAGAACATCTCGCTCCCCCCCCCCCCACACGCCCACACATCCTCCCCGTGGTTATACCAGACCAGTTAGGTTCGTGGAATTCGCCGTAGCTGCGAGATTTTTACATAGTTGACGGCACTTGTCACCTCCCCTGCAATAAACGAACAGGGTCGAGCTCTAGGGTCGAGCTCTAGGTACGAACTAAAGTCCCCAACATGGTGGGCTAACCCATATTGGCGGTTTTAACCTATCTTTGGACCGACATATTATATCCTACTATGTACGGCGACGATACGACACAGCCACTAATGCAATGGAGCTCTATGCCCACATCCATCCCGCCTAGGCTTCATGGAAAATCCTGCCGATCTGCTGCTGTGCGCGTAGTACAGCATATACGTTTCAACCAGGGTTATTTCGACTTGGCATACCATATGCTATATTCACTGTAAGACAGTGAGATGAGCAGCTTTCTATTTGACGAGCCTCTGAAACGTCAATTGGGCATAACAACGTACCTTCAAGCTTCGTGTAGCTCAGCTCAGCTTCTACTCTTGACCTCTTCATGTTTAATGCATGGTGTATCGAGCCTGAATCTCTGCACTACAATTGGACCGGCGGCAACTTCTCGGGCCTCTTCAAGTACAACAAGAAAGAGAGAAAGAGAAAGGATCGAGACCTACTAGGTACTCCCCATTCTATTCCCCAATCCCCAATCCCCAATCCCCAATGTCTAGGTAGCTGCAGCTGTAGCCGCATAAGCGTAGAATAAGCGTAGAATTCGCAAGGTAGGAATAACGACATCAAGGGCCTCGACTTCCACGCTACGTATAGACTATACCGTATAGTCTCAGTACCTCGTGCCTCCTTTCAGGCAATAACCCCCTCGTGATTCCCCACTTCATCTTATTTCTCTCTTGGGGAAATATCTCATCATCCCCTGGTCCCTGTTACGTGGATTAAGATCGCGTCTACACCGAATCGGGGTTTCTTTTACATTACAACATCTCTACCAAGTTACATAAAGTACCTGACCTACTTTATATAACCAGGTATATAAGCTTGGGCATTGCTTAATCTTCCCCCGTCCCTGGTGTCCTAAACGACAGCAACACATACGCTCCCATCCTTGCGACTCTACGTATTATTCGCCGGTTTATACAATCCAACGGCGTAGCAATACCTTCGCGATGGGTCGCTTTACTATCCGCAAGCCCGAGCATGACGCCGGCAAGGCGTGGCCTGCCATTGCCATCGGCCTGTTCGTAGCATTCGGTGGCATTCTATTCGGGTATGTTTAACAACATCATCAGGGCGTGTGATAGTTCGCATTGTTCTCCTTTGCGCTGACTTCCAATCGTAGTTATGACACCGGAACTATTAGCGGTATCCTAGCTATGGACTTCTTCCAAAACCTCTTCTCAACCGGCTACGTCAACACACACGGCCATCTAGACATCTCACCCTCACAATCCTCTGCCATCGTGTCGATTCTCTCTGCGGGCACTTTCTTCGGAGCTTTGGGGTCGCCGTTCATCGCCGATACTATAGGTCGCCGCTTATCTCTCATCGTCTCTTCGTGGGTCTTTATTTTCGGCGTCATACTCCAGACAGCTGCTACGGCCCTGCCTCTGTTCCTGGCCGGTCGTTTCTTTGCCGGCTTCGGCGTCGGTTTGATATCTGCTCTGAGTATGTCCCTCGCAAGTCCTATTCGTCTTCTAAGTGATCTTCGGCTAACATGCGGTATAGTTCCCTTGTACCAAAGCGAGACGGCACCGCGTTGGATTCGAGGTGCCATCGTAGGCGCGTACCAGTTTGCCATCACGATCGGCCTGCTCCTCGCCGCAATTGTAGACTACGCCACGCAGTACCGTCAGGATACCGGCTCGTACCGCATCCCTATCGCCGTACAGTTCGCCTGGGCCATCATCCTCATTGCCGGTATGCTTCTGCTACCGGAGACTCCCCGGTACTTGATCAAGAGAGGACAGCAGGATAAGGCAGCCCGTTCTCTTGGCAAGCTCCGAAGGATCGATCGCAACCACACCGCTATCCAAGACGAGTTAGCCGAGATTAAGGCGAACAATGATTATGAGCTGAGCATCGGATCGGCTTCCTATCTTGATTGCTTCCGCGGTCCCATGCTAAAGCGACTTCTCACCGGTATGGGAATACAAGGGCTTCAGCAGTTAACAGGTAACGCACTCCGGTTATGCTTCCGATGTTTAAGGATTCCTCGCTAACATTGTCGTAGGTGTCAACTTTGTGTTTTATTATGGTGTAAATTATTTGTCAGTATAATATTGTTTCGATCCTCTTTGGAGACTGAGTAATAAAGAGTGTAAAGCTAACATGGTAATTTCGATATCGTAGCAAGAACTCGGGTATCCAAGATCCATTCACGATCCAAGTAATCACGTCTTGCATCAACGTCTTCTCAACCCTCCCTGGTCTGTGGGCTGTGGACAGGGTTGGCCGTCGCCCGCTTCTCTTATGGGGCGCAGTCGGAAGTAAGTAAAATCCAGATTTATTTTCTTGCCTCGTGAGATGATTACTGACTCTTCTCGTCGCAGTGTGTATCAGCCAATTCCTTGTGGCCATACTCGGCACCCTGACGACGGGGCAAGACGAGGCAGGTAATGTCGTGGTCTATAACGTCGCGGCGCAGAAGGCCGGTATCGCCTTTATTTGTATCTACATCTTCTTCTTTGCCAGTACCTGGGGACCTCTTGCGTGGGTAGTGACGGGCGAGATTTTCCCCCTAAAGATGCGGGCCAAGTGCCTTAGTATGACTACCGCCACCAACGTAAGTTCTCTCCTATATAATTATTATGTCCCCTTCTCTCCGAGATGCGATACTGACTACTTATACAATTAGTGGCTCCTAAACTGGGCGATAGCCTACGCGACCCCGTATCTCGTCAACTACGGCGAGGGTTACGCCAACCTGCAGTCCAAGATCTTCTTCGTGTGGTTCGGTGCCTGTTTCATCTGCATCGCCTTCGTGTACTTTTTCATATACGAAACCAAGGGATGGTCGCTTGAAGAGGTGGACGAGCTATATAGCGAAGTGAGCAGTGCGCGCAAGAGTGCCGCGTGGACCCCGAGTTCTACATTCTCGCAACGGCAAGGCGTCAACACGAAGGCTACCGGCGACGTTGATAGTGCTGCGGCTGATAGGCATGCCGAAAAGTTGGCCGAGAGTGAAGGACACACCGGCGTTTCGCATCATGACGAAAAATCCTCGGTATAGAATTGGCGGCGCTCTTAGATTCATGTTTAATATTCTTCTGACTTGAGGTATATATTTCAAAACACGTTGTTTTCCAGATATCTCCTCAGCTAGTCTTAGCAAGGAGACCTGCTCGGGAGTCGTGGGAAAGCATGTATTTTATAAACTGAGTACTAACCAGGCTCTGCGATCGTTACTAGAAACTAATCCACATTCGCCTATATATATCGGGTTCTCAGCCTGCAAGCCAATTGATTGTCCTTGTCCCAAGCGCGATCATTTACGCCCACTAATGCCTTATACAAATTGCACCCGTACTAAAATTAGGACGTCGTAGGGACCGCAGCAGGCCAATGCATGCCATGAAACCCAAACCCTATAGCAAAATCGCACTCGGCACGCCCTAGTTCGTGTAGAGTCTTGGCATCTAAGCATAGTAGATAACTCGTCTTACCAACCCCGTCGAGCACGACACTCAGGAGCACGCCGTCATCTTCGTCCAGGTCTCCATCTCCGGGCGACCTCGGGCGCGGTACGAAGATAGGTTCTCCCGGCGTGTGTCCGCCTGGGCTGTCCCAGAACGTCGTCCCGTGTGTTAACACGTCCGTCTTCACAATGGTATCGAATAGGGTGCTGTAGCCGCGGTTGGCTATGCTGTATACGTAGCGATGTTTCTTGGTCGCGTATGTCGGGTTGATCGTAGGCAGTTCGCCAGCATGGGGAGCCTTGATTTCGAATATTTTCTCTGCATTCCGTCGCGTTGTTGATGTGTTCGCATCGCTCGTGCCTAATTTGGGGATCCCAAGTTTCCATCGAGTAAGTCGAACGTGACAGTTGCGATTACGCCCTTCGTCGCCCCAGAATTTCTTGGCCGCGCCGTTCCTCTGGAGCATGACGTCCACTTCATACGCTCTTATCACGTCAACGTTAGGATACTGCATCACGTCGCAGTACACGTTCAGGTCGCCCGTCTCCTCGTCGCGCTCCTCGAACGAGTTTACGCTGTGGAAGTGAAAAGCTGCCGGGCTATCGAACATCGCAACTACACCGCGGTCGCCTAGGCGGTCGACGACAAACCACCTGCATAATTTCGACTCGTCGAAAGCCTCGATGGCCTCGACCATATTGCCTTTCCAAGGAACTTGAATACCCTTCGTACCGAGATGAGATGATGGAATACACAATATGGTAAAGGAAGGTGTGAGATAAAACGAGTGAATGTACGCCGGCTTCACGTCGACGGCGGATATTGTAGCTATAATTTCGGTTACCCCGGTTGACGCCCTTGTGCGGAAAACACGATACGACGACTTGTAGCCCATTTCGAGATTGTAGTTGTAGTAGTCGCCGGTTTCCGGATCTCTCTGGGCGTGGGCGCAGCTCAGCGGACCTCTAAGGAACGGGTGGAGCGCTTGCTGCCTAGCTATACCTATCGGCTCTAAGGTATCCTGGTCGATCTCTTTCATGTTTCCGTTATCCGTAGTGAGCCATAGAGTCTTGATACCTGCTCGGTGGCCAGACTCGGCGGTCGTCTTAGCTTTCGACGGCAGACCGGGCACGTTTGCTTGGAAGGCAACGCAGACATTGTCAAAGTTGGGATCATCCCGTTTCGGTGATCCTCTCCAGACGCTCATGATCTTTCCAAATAAGCCGATGCATGGGTCCATCTTTTGTCCGAAACCGATATCAGGTCGTTTCCCGTCTTTCTTAATAGCGTCGTATAGAGCTTGACTCTGACGTCGAGACGTATATTCGACCCTTGCAGGGCTACCGCCATTCTCGGAATTGGGAATAATACTAAATTTATGTGACTGGCCCAGGCCGTCGAACCAATGTGTAGTACGGAATGTGCCTTTCGGGGTATTTTCGACGACATACTGCCCGGGGCCTGTGCGGTACAGCGTGCCAGCAGCCCACGTCGGAATAGAACCTTTGACAGAAAGTTCTACGGGACCGCGTATCTCATCTAGGCCTTCGAACTTATAATATATCAGCATGTTATACGGGCGAAGATCGTATAATAGGGGCTTACTCCTGCTTCGTTTGGCCAGTCTTCGAAATCAGCATCTAGCATTCCCCGCACCGTAGTCTCAAAATCGGCACCTTCGTTTTGAGGTCCTCCGAGGATTGCCCTCTTTCGTGTATCGTGTGTATCTGTTTCCGTGGCCATCGTGCTCCAGGACTTGTTAACTGTGTACGCCGACGTGTCTTAAATTCCGAAAAACCAGACTTGGTATTTCTAAATAACGTGTGAGCTGAGCTGAAGTGGGCAGGTAGGATTATATACCTAATAGTTACGAATGGACTCTACGATCTTTAAACCGGGAATTAAGCACCGTGGATATGATCTAACGAAGTAGTTCGTCTCTTGGAGATAAACGAATGCGAGAGTAATATGGATCCTATTCGTCAACCACGCCACCAATTGGCAACCGTGAATATTCGATAACTCCAATGCGAGGGAGTCTCTGTATTGCTTGGCAGGCTACTTCAGATCTCGGCCAATAGAAACGCTGCTATTATCATCCTATATCCGAGCCAAAGGATCCGATAGACTTGTCAGTCGAGAAGGGACGTAGTAGACTAACAACAGCGGGCCAATGATAAAAGGTGTAAGGATTTCGGATTCTTTGTCGGGGGAATACCTGTTGCGACTTGACAGTAAGGATGTTAGGAAGCTAAATGGAGGCTACCTGAGAGGATCTATAGGTAGTTTAGGTATCGAGTTTATAAATTAGATACCTAAGGTATGGTGGAAAACTCTCTTGCTACTCGAAGCCGTGATGTGCCGGGATTCGGTAGGATTTGATAGTTGGTTAGGTACTAGCTATTTTTGTTAAGAAGGGGCACATATTTCCAGGTGGAGAAGGTCTCGAAATAGAACGGCTCTGAATAGGTACATGATAGAATAAAAATGACAGAAAAGTACTGAGGCTCTAGGTAAATCATGATTCATGAATCACGTAGGTGTAAGTACCTTGTCAAATCGGTCAGATTAGTGGCTGCAAGCCTGCAGACTGTAAAGACATGTACTTGCCTTATTCAGGGCTTGAATCCATTCGTCGTCCAATAGACGTCTAGTGCCTTTCCAATTATCCCGAAAGGTTGGCAAGGGATACTGAATGGCTTTCCCGATTGGCTGACTTTTTCGGTAAGTTCTGCACTATAGCGGTACCTCGCTGAAGTACTTTCACTTGGGAACTTCTCATTCGCTTAAATTGATATCTACCCGTCTTTAACTCCGAGCCTCTTTATCATTCGGCGATTCGTTAAGATCGATTATCATAGTTAGCACTAATAGGTACCTACCTACCTACCTAATCATAAAAGGATTATTAGTACATACCTACCTAGGTAGAATGGAAGTTGACGAAGATAAGAGGTCATCGGCAGCAGTAGAGGATTAGGTAATATGTAAGATGATAACTCCGTAATCTCCGCCACCTCCTTGCTAGCATTTTGCTATTTTATCTATCTAATAGTAAATCGTTCATAATCCGATCAATATCCGCCCTGTTAGGCCACAACACAGCAACATGGTATTTCCTAGCCGCGGCTGCATTACCTGTAAGACCCGGCGCATCAAGGTGAGGCGTAATATACCTAAGACACAAGAAAACTACTCGATCACCGCAAACTAAGAAACCCCAGTGCGATTCGGTCCATCCATTGTGTAGCCGATGCCAGAAAGCAGGCCGAGATTGTGTTTGGGATCAGAACGAAGAAGCTGGTTTACTATTCAAGGATGAGAATGCCTTTGCTCAAGGCAAACCCCGGCGTCCTTGGAAGTCGAAGGCACAAGAAGTATCAGGACCGGAGGCTGAAGTAGTCGACTCAGCAGTATTTCCCGTATCGTCCTCCATTCCGGCGGAAGATAAAGCATTGCAATTCTGGCTTAATAATTACGTATTCCGAGACGACGAGGTTCCCGAATTCGCTCGAGAGTATAACCACTACTCGATAGCTTGCCGTGATATAGCCCAACATGACTCGAGCCTTCGCCTAATTATATCGGCCCTTTCGCATGCTGTATTCGGCCGTGTGATGCAGTTAGACGAGTCGATTGAAGAAGCTGAGAAGCTGTTCGCACGAAGCATTGATACCGTGCAAAGAGAGACCCTCCGGCTATCGCAGAGCAATATCGACGAGCTTCTCCTTACGACGATGCTGATGGCCGACTACAAGGTATGAGCAAAAGCCTATAAGCCCTTTAGCAGGCATATCCTAATACATCCTTGCCATAAGGACGTCACGGACAAATGCTATGCCCGTCCTAACCAGGATGAAGTTTCACTTTTGAATCTCGACGTGACCGGATCACAGATCTGGAAGAATACTTGTCATTACGACAGAGCTACGGACCTCATGAGGCAACGACAGCAAAACAAATGGACGCCGAATCTTTTTCTGGATCGAGCCGTGCGACGACGATTAGTAAGTATCCGGATATTCGTAATAGATACACTGCTCACCAAGCTCAGATTCGGGTGTGTATTCTCCGAGGCATATCCGTTCCCGAGTGGCTTCGAGACGGGGTTAAGTTCGGTGAGCAAGGCCCCGTTCTAATCCTTGATTCGATCATGGTCCGCGTAGCCGCCCTCCGTGAGAGGTCGCTTTGTCTTTTCCTTCCGAAAAGTGCAAGATTCTCAACTCAACCGCATCCGGGCGACCTTGCAGCCGAGGCTCGATCACTAGATGCCGCGTTAGAATCGTGGTCGGCTGCACTGCCTGAAGATTGGAAATTTACTACACGGTCGGGTTCTACGCCGGATCCTACCTTTGATGTGCCAATTCATGTCTATGCCACGTATGGTCACGCTGCCATATGGTGTCGATACTACGCTACCCGTTTGATTGTCAACAGCATCCGCAATAGAGCGCTCTCCGTTATGGCCCAATGCTCATCTCAAATGTTATCTGTGGCCTCGGAGCAGGATACGTGTCTAGGAAATATGGCATCCCTAGGAACAGACTTGTGTCGAAGCATTCCGATCTTCTTCACCTCTGTCACTACGGAAGGAAACCCCACGGCTGCAAGAGGAACAGCGACCAACGATGATATTATTTGCGTTAATCAAGAAATCATACCTAAGCTAGCGACGCTCTTAGCATGGCCGCTGATACTGGCGATCAATACGGATAACATCCCAGAATTTCAAAAGCAGTGGTTAGAGAATAAATTAAAGTCTGTTGCTAACGCTTTAGGAGATGCCATTCTTGAAACTGTCACCGAACAGAATGAATTGAAGTTCTAGATATAGTGCAGAACCCCCTAGTTCTTAAAAAGCAGTACTCTGAAATAGAGGATAATGCTCTAGTCGAAGAGCCCAAAAACGGGCTTGGGAACGTAGGGTTCCTCAAGGAACTTGACGTCTTCGGCCGTTAACGTCTTTCCTCGCGCATCGCATGCCTCGTCAATCCTAGCAACCGAGTTGAACCCGACGATCGGTATAGTACCTTTCGTATGATGCCACGCCAGATTGACGTTGCTCATCTTCCAACCTTTCTCGATGGCAAGCTTCTCCACGCGGCGAATGATTTCCTCCTCGTCGGGTCGGAGATCTAAGCTAATGGGACCGGGTGTCTTGGAACGGATCGAATCATCCTGTCCCAAGGGTCGGGCCAGCTTACCGCCGAAGTTAGGAGAGTACGGTAGGATACCGACGCCTGTGTCGTTGCAGTAACGAATCATCTCACGTTCCTCTTCGCGATAGCACAAGTTGTACAAGTTTTGCATACTGATGAACTTGGTCCAGCCATTGCGCTCGGCAACCGCCTGCATGCGCACGAACTGCGTCGCCCACATCGAGCTCGCACCGATGTAGCGCACCTTGCCGGTCTGTACTAGGTCGTGTAGCGCCTTCATCGTCTCCTCGATAGGCGTAGTTGGGTCGAATCGGTGGATTTGGAATAAGTCGATGTAGCTCGTGCCCAGGCGCCTCAGCGACGCCTCTACGGCGTTAAATATAGCAGCGCGAGAAAGACCTGTGCTATCGTCAGCCTGATGCTCATGATTTCTCCTTTCATTATGTAGGCACGAATGGATAAATGCGACGCTACTCGAATCGAAACTCGCTTACCCCCCTGGTTGACATAGTCCTTGCTCTGGCTAAGTACTCCTCCAAACGGAGCGGTGAATACGCTCGAATCCTCCCCGACGTGTAGGAAACACTTTGTCAAGATTATAACCTTCTCTCGCGGGATGGAGAATTTCGGGAGCGCCTTTCCGATAATCTCTTCGCTGATGCCGTTGGAGTAGGCGTTTGCCGTGTCCCACGTGTTAATACCCCTGTCGTAGGCGGCCTTGAGAATTTCGAGGGACTTCTCTTCGTCTAGTACCCACGGCAGCCACTTCGAGGAGCCCAGGGACATAGCACCCAAGATGGGCGAGGACACACGGAGCCCCGAAGAGCCTACTCTGGCATAATCGACATTGGTGTTGTCGATGCTCTTCTGGAGAGATGCCGGAACTGGGAATTGAGTCATGATTATGCTAAATTATTGCTGTTATAGTCTTGACTTGGGCTGAATGACGAAATATGAATCGTGCTCGATATTTGATTGTATTGTTTGATCTGATTCTGATGAGCTAGTACATGTATTGGGTGGGTTTATTCCCTTTATATATTCATCATTTTATTCCTCCTGATCACCCCTCTCAGTATGCTACGCGGGGCTTCGTAGTACATATTCTCCGCAGTTAAAGCTTTCGAGACTCCTAAGCAAAATGCTCATTCGAATGATATTCCCCGTGGACGGGAGTTAAGATAGTGTTGTCCGAAGTCCGCAACATGGAGCAATATAGACGGCACGCCTACTTTTATTTCTAAGCAGCTCGTGAGATTTTCCGAAGATGGTCTAGCACCAAGAGCTCGCGGGTTTTTCTGCAAAGGGAATAGTCTTAATGAGCTATTTCGAGAATATCCTTAATGAATTGAAACACTCATGCATATTATGTCGTTGGGATATAGCATGGTATATCCTGACATATTATCATGACAAGCTATGATGTAAGATAGGTATATTCCTTTCAGAAGCTTGATACAGCCAAAACCATTACAGGGCATTTATACTATTTTCAGCCGCTATCCTCGGTATGTATGCATTACATCAAGACCATCAAGGTACTCATTCAATCATCATATCCCATACTTATACATGCGCCCATCCATCCCGAGTTCTCAACGTATCTTCGTCCTCTAGTTAAGTCCGGGTCAAACGCTTCAATACCTCGTCAACTGAGGACTGCCCGCACACGCCGGTAGCGAGAATTTAGTCTCGGCAAATACCTTCTGCATACCGTCCTCGTGCTTCTCGAACTTGACATACACCTTATCCAAGTCGTCTAAATGAACGCGGTGAGATACCATCTGAAGAGGGTCTAGATCACCGTCCCGGATCATCTTCAGTAAGTCCTCCCAGTACTTGTGTACCGGTGCTTGGCCGTTGCCGATGAGTCGAATCCCCCTTTCCATAAGAGATCCGATGTTGAAATGGTTGGTCTGAGCTTGTTAGCAATAAGATTTGGCATTTCGAAAGTACCAAAGAGCCAGGGACTCACGTAGCCGACGTATACGCCAGTAACTCCACATCGACCAAAGTTTCGGACGCCCTCTATCATCTCGTTGATGATTTCGCTCGTGTCGGTCTCTGCACCCAATGTCATCTCGAGCCAGTGCATCCAGCCCTTTGCATATTCGCCCGCGGCGCACTACGAAATTGGGCATTAGCTAACAGCTCATATCTGCGGCAACTAAATTCTGAGATGGGATGAACATGTTGCTTACCTCGATAGCTGCGTCTGGGCCTCTTCCGCCGCAGAGATCCTTCAGCTTTGACACGACGGTCGGCTTATTTGTCACGCCGAACGATAGCTTCTTGTAATCGACCAGCTCCAGCTTCTCAGCGTGGTCTGCGGGCCAGTGGTTTCTGATAAAAGTGAGGCGTGGCTCGGTGTCGACGAAGATGACCTTGGTGGCCCCGGCTTTGATCGCGAAGATTCCAGCCATCTGACCGATGGGACCGGCACCGAATATAGCTACCTGATCACCGGGGTAGACGGCAGTGTCGTGCACGGCGTTGTAGCTTGTTGCTAACACGTCGCTGAGATACAACGCCTTTTCGTCGGGTACGTCGTCGGGAATCTCGAGGAGATTCACGTCGCCGAGCGGCACGCGAACGTACTCAGCCTGACCACCCGCGAAACCACCCGTGAAGTGTGAGTAACCAAACATCCCGGCCGTCTGGCCGCCGTACATGGCTCTCTCGGTAGTGTTGGAGTTGGTCCGCTCGCATTGAGATGACAGCTTCTGCTTACAGAAAAAGCAATCACCGCACGCGATCTGGAACGATGCCACGTACCGCTTGTCCTTTTGAACCTTCTTGACCGCCGACCCAACCTCGTCAACGATGCCGCAGAATTCGTGGCCTAGGATGTCACCTTTACTTAATTGGATGACAGTTCCTGAAAAGGTCAGGTCCGTTAGCATGAAGAATTCGCGAAGAGGAAGAATACGAATTTTGGGTTCCGGCAGCTTACCGTGGTATAAGTGAAGGTCGCTCCCGCAGACCGTGCTGCCGGTGACTTTGAGTATCACGTCGTTAGGCTCGATGATCCTTGGTCGCGGCACCTCGCGAATTTCTACATTATTTTTACCCATCCAGCATAACGCCTTCATAGTCTCTGCTCTTCCAGCTTCTCCGCTATAGTTGCTAACATCCTGTGCGGTGATTGAACTTCCGTCGTGGCCGATGACCTTCTCGGCAAGGTATGCCCCTTGTGTTACAGACATTATTTCCCGATGCTTCTTTCGTTATTTCTTAGTGTTGTGCTTCGTCGGACAGGCAGCTTGAATATGCAGTCTTCACCGAACTCTCTAGTGGAGGTCGCAGTCTTATAACGGACGGTACACATCGTACATCGTAGCAACGACATCAGCGCATCATCATATAGCCAGATTTACCGGGATGGATTCTAGCCCCCACCGGATAGGAAAGCTTTGGTGTTGCCGGTGTATGACGTTGTGCTTAGATATTGGGTCAAGGCCATGGGACTGGCATACGTCATGACTTCTAAGACGCGGACGCAAGCGCGGATGCTAACTATAGTGTATAGCATCAACCGTACGAGGTATATTATACACATGTTAATAATGAGATATAGGTGTGTAGTAGTAAACTTTACAGGTTTTTCGGTATGAGAGCCAAGGCTGTTCTCATAATAGCAAGTCTACTCAAGTATGAGAACGATGGTGATGTTAAATATTTCTTATAAATGGGGTCAAGTTGAATCCCCTCCCCCACACGACGATCCCATATCTAAACTCCTATGTTAGACATCAAGCCCAGTTACCAATCAGTAAGTCCGTTCTATGACAATATGCACAATATGCGCATGCAAAACTCTTGGCTAATCCTCCCCTAAATTCCCATATCTACCTAGTCAAAGGTCTATATTTAATATCTAAGTCGCTAGGTTAGCTAATTAAACCCTTCTGTAAATGACATCAAGTGAACAGGAGCGAAGACGATGGGAGCACAATACGAAGTAGTTAATTCAAACTAGGACCTCAGTTAATCGGACTGCTGCATCGTCATGGCCCCATTCAACCAGACTCCGTTCCTTACTCTCCTCTATTTTCATCTTAACAAAAGGCTCCATCGCCTCGATCTGTTGCTGAGTGAGGAAGCTGAGTCTAGCGTGATGATCGCCCTCCTCGTTGTCTCCAAAATATTCCGTGTCCAAGAACCTCCAGAATATGAAATCAAATGCCCAACTATTTCTAGCTGTGTAATTAATCATCCACGTTCTCTTCTCCCAGCTGTTTCTCATTCTTTGAGAGAGAGGTACATCTTCTTCCAAGGACGAGGACGTAATCGTATCACCTGCTATTTCATAACGATCCTTCTCCTTCTTTTCTTCAATCTCCAATCTCTAGCACTCGAAGGAATGTTTCTAGGCGAGGTTCGCAGGCCTCCATCCAAGATGTATATCCATCATCCCAGTATTCTGGACTTTTCAAGAGAAGCCACCAAGGGGGGTCAAATGAGAACTGCGCCGGCGCAGCGTAAGCAAATTCCCAATCGATCACGCCGACCACGTGATCATCTTTGTCGATTAAAACGTTTGACGGGCGCAGGTCTTCAGAATATAATCGAAAGCTGGAATCGTCGGCTTCCTTTTTCTTAGCATCCAGTCCTGGTGTAAGCCGTCCTTCTGATGCGAGCCGTCGGAAAAGTTGACGCGCTACGTACTTGTCCCGCTCGTCATCTTCGTCCAAGATGGCATCGTTATGTTGAAATGTAAGCTGCGCTAGATGCATGTCGGCCAGGGCGCAAAACCATCCGTTAGAGGCATCGTACGATCGGGATGGTAGTAAGGTTGGAGCGACACCCGCAAACTCCATCAGTGAGTTCATGTTTTGAATGAGAGGTCTCCCGGAGACGGAAATATCACCGTGTTCGTCTTGGTTTAGCGAGCCAATTCTGGGGAATTTCAGTGTAGATAGCTGTAAGACGATATTGGCCATCTGCCCATAGAGAAGCTCAAGCCGTCCCTCGTCGATAGTAGGATCTAACACATGAGACTCGTCGGGTTCGAGAGCAGGGTCCTTAAGGGCATCAGACATCGTCCTCTCGTGCTCGACATAGTCCATAATGATAAATGGACCTAAGCCAGCCGGGTTTTCTGCTGCTGTTCCGAAGTGATATATCTTGGGCACTGGAATAGTTGTGTTCGCTGCGATATATCGCATTGTGGCTACCTCGTAACGGACTTTCTCTTCTGGAAACTTGACGCCTATTCATTCTTGGTTAATAGACTTTAATACGTAAGGGGCGTCCATAATTCAATACCTTTACAGGGGATTCTCATACCAGCGGACGAGCCATCTTTATATTCTAGCCGATAAAAGACGTTGTACCCTCCTCTAATCGGCTTATGCAGTTCTACAGCCTCGCCCGGTCGATGTTTATTGATGAGACTGGCGATTCCGCGGTATATATGTGACTTGTTGAGTGACCTCTCCCATGCTTCGATCTCTTGGTCGCTTTGCTCCCAAGCAAGGTCATCCCTGTCCATACGGATATATCTTGGTTTTGGTGGCATGATTGGATACTGGTTATATGCGTGTATATTCGTAGTCGCTGTTGGTTTAAGCTTGTAATTTGCGCCCGATTATTGTTTTAATTATTATGTTTCCTCTCAATGTAGCCAAACAGCATGGAAACAACTTCGTTATTCCGCAAGGAACTCTAACATAGCTATCAAGGGATATGTGGAACTAGTATGAATTAGGTATAGATCCATATAGGATATAGGATATGTCGCATTGCTGTGATTGAGATTGTGTTGGTTACTTTCTACTATAAGGTGCAGGATGTATTTATACTTCTACATGTCATGTGACTATGACAGGATATATATAAGAGGCGCAGCGCCCTCGTAAGAGGATAGAAGGCTAAGTGTTAATAGATTCATACTACTACGCGGCTATTATATGCTTCTAACATTCATTCTACGTATGACCTACATCAAGGGTTCATTCTGACAAACTCCAACCCAACTACGGGAGCCTATGGCTATATACTATATACTGAACATGTTCTTTGTTCCAAATGTCCCATCTAGTAACTCGAGTGTAAAAACATTAGACTAAAAACCAGCTACATGGAAGGTTATTTGATGGTGATATTGATCCGAGATGATAAGGCTATATTCTAACTAAGTCTCAGTGTGAGAAATGTATATACGTGATTATAGCCTCTAGGGCTTACAGCTTAGCTTACCCTACAACGCAATTTAAGTGCCGCATCTTCAAGATCCAAGGAGTGACATCAACACTAATTCCACGTCAAAGCAGTATAGTTCGTTTATTAAGTACGCTATTTGATCTGCAAAGCAGTTCAGAATGGCTGACAACATTAGAATCCCCAATGATAAGGAGGAAGCTCTCATGAAGGCCTCTACTGATGCTTACAAAAAGCGTCGGGAGGAAGAGGTGAAGCGTAAGCAATGTGAGGATTTGATGAAGAGAGCAGCTGATAATTCTAAGAAGAGACGAGAAGACGGCAAAGTGAATATGTTTTAGTCATGCTAACCAAGACTGCCACATTGAAATGTAGAGATTGCCACGAAGTCGTATACGATTCTTCATGGCCAATAGCCTCAAACTATGTTCGCTCACTTAATGGCATTTAGGACTTAAAAATATATTCTTATCTTGTTACTTAACCTTCAACGATTTGTTTCAACAGTATCTACAGACAACGGGTTGTACAGAATATAAAGAAGTGTTATTATACTTGTCATTTAACTAACAAGGAACTTAGCCTTAGAATATTAAAGTCGCGACTATGCACTAACTGCCCTTCCAAAAAATGGACTTTGAAGGTACTCTCAAGCAATATAAATTACTTTTCTCAACTAAGGCTTTAAGCCTCAAGCGACTCCTAATACATCAAACAATAAAATGACTTGGGTTCCTAGATAATAGCGAATTGGGTATCATTGCATTGATAAAGTCAAGTGCGTATGTTACTTCTTATATACGTCCCGCACAATTATAACTTCTACCCCCCCTCACGAATATTTCTAGCAATCTCCCCTTTAAACATGCCAATTTTCATCTCTTCAAGGTATCGCTACCGTCTTCTATACTACCGCTCCTCTAATCAATCACCAGAAATTCGCTTTCTCGCCCCCTAACTTCATATAGGTAGACAGGCTAGTATAAAGCACACCCCCTGCGCTTACGCTCCAAAAGACATGGGAAACCCGGACGGGCCTGTATACCTCTGAGAGATAGAAGCGCCGTTCTGCTCAGTGACGAGCTGGTCTGAAGTTATTTCGTACACGCCGGTGTAGTTAGCGTGGGAGTCCTGGGGCGTTGTGACGCTGAGCTTTAGGCCGTCCTCAACCTTGTCAACGGCCCACGAGTACGCTCCCTTCTCTGCGCACCCTGTCCAGCCAACAGCCGGCAGGTAGTCAGGACCCTCTGCGAGGAATTAGCATTCATGAGAATTTAGTAAATCTAGCTACGTCTTGCAGTACGACTCCTCTGTTCATTTGACAGGAGGTGTATAAAACAAGCCGAATAAGAATAGTACTTACGGAGCATGAGACTACACTTTGCCGGTTCTGGATTACCGGAGGGCGATGCCGACGCCGGATCAGTAATAGCAAAGAATTCGTAACTAGTCGTGATGTTAGTTTATAGTCGACCATGCTTTAGAAAGGATTGACATACGTGCACATGACGCTGTGAGGAATGCAAGAAGCCGTGAAGTTGGATACGGTGAACCCAGATGCATATCTCGACTTGATAGCGGCGCCTGAGGCGGTAGCCGCGAAGAGGGTTGCGAGGATAGCGTTGATCTGCATATTGAATAGCTGAATATTAAGTATTAAAAGGATGTATTTTGGTTCTTGTTAAGCGAATGTAGAAAGTTGAAAGTTGAAAGTCGATAGATGATATAAAATAGCGAAAGATGATATAGAATAGCGAAAGATATCACGATGTGCTTCTCGATGCAATGTAATTATATACAAGCGGCGTTGTCTATTATATAAATGTCTACTCTCCAACTCAGCCACTTTCCCGTATCCAGTAGGCTTAGCTGCGCTGTCTGTCTAAAAATGGACAACTGTCGATAGCAAATACCACGTTGCATGCAACTGCGTTAAGCGACTTCACGCCGCTGATCTCAATTGGGTAGGCGATCATCTCGTATTTGTGCCCGCAGCGTCGCTTAGGCGCCGAGTGCACGATAGATGACGACATCCTATAAACTTCGCTAACCCTTCATCTTCATCTTAATTTGTAAGACATCGTTGATGATGAACGGAAGTTATCGTCACTTGGTTGTATTGCGACTCGAATAGGGGTAGACTCAAATCACATAACTACAGTATGAAAGATATATAGATGTTACTGAATCGAAAAGATAGGTACACTCGTTATTTCATCTGTAGCAATCGTCGAATAGGTTAATGCTACTTGCTCTACCACGAAACTGGTGATCTGGTAGGGTGGATTGCGGCCGAAGCCGTGTTGAAGCCCAAAATAGGCTGAACTAAATAAATACGAAAAAATACTTCACTATAGACAGCAGACAGCATCACGGGTTATGTAGGTTTTACAAACAAGCCTACCATAAACCTACCATAAACTTACCATAAGGTGAATACTTGCCCCCCCTGACGTATATCGGATTCTGGATCCCGGTCTATATGACAATTGATTATTCGCCTTATTTACACTGATAATCCCCACTCCCTGATCCCGGAAAGCCGCGGATCGCAGACCGCAACCACGGGTCTTTCTCAGGGGTCGGTTTATGTGCCGAAGCCTTGCATCATCGTTTGTTTTTTTCAGGGTATTCCGCGGAAATTCTTCGCTCTCGGCCGATGACCTTTCGACCTTTCGACCTTTCGACCTCTGAAAGCTCGTATTTCCCACCTATAAATAACCAAGGCCTGGAATGTCTCAGCATCGCAGCACCGGAGTTCGGAGCGCGCATTCTCCATCGTCAGTTCATACACAAATCCCAAACAACCTTGGCTAAATCCTGATGTTACTACTTCTCCTTCCTTGCTTTCTTCTCGTCCAGCCTCTGTCGACGTGCTTTTGTGAAAATATCCTGTCTGCCTCTTTGCCTCTTTGCCTCTTTACCTCTTTACCTCTTTAAAATTTACAAGAAAGAATAAAATAGTTACATATACCAAAATTTTGCTATACCGTAGACTGCTACCGCTACTAGTTGGGCTGTTTATAAAGCCAGTCGCTGTTTGCATCAACCATAAAATTCGTAATGTTAAATTCGTTTGCGGCGCTGTTTGAATTACCCACACCGCCGCCGCCTTCGTTATTTGCTGCGTTTTCCGAGCTCATCTCGATGGCATTCGGCGGGCCCGAAGATGCCTCGTGACTAAATGGTAACCGTGGTACGTTGAAGAAGTCGAAGACGTCCAAGTACTCCAGCTCGTTTGGCGCGGGCGTGCGTGCTGGAGTCACGCTTGGTCGGCGGCTCGGAGCACCCGCCAGGTGACGAGGCTGGCGGCTGATCAAAAAGTCAAGATCGAATGCGGTCCTTCTCATGTCTGCAAGTATCTTGACCGAAGACGGCGTGATTCGCTCCCCCGTCTGGCCTACTGCACGCTCGCTGTCGCTATGCTCGTCGAGAACTCGTTGCAGCAGCTGACAATACCTCCCCGCTACCGGCCAGTACCTACCCATGTCGCGCAGTGTATCGACGAGGAAGGCGATCTGTGGCGCTAATTTATGTTCTACTGTCGAGCCGTGGACGAGAAGGAGCCGGGCAGCTACCCATAACGTGAAGGCGAACGGAGGGCCGAGTTTGTTTAGCATGCCGTTTTGTACGACGAACTCCCCGAGAGCAGCGATGTTCTCTACGGCGCTGAGGCAACGCTGACTTGCACCATACGAGGGAGTAAATATGGGTGATCTGGTGGTCGGGTACGCGGCCGACGAATGCAATCGAATCACAGCCGTGTGATAGGTAGCATGCAGCATAACCCATCCGCAGTTTAGAGTCTTGCTGCCGCTGGGTTGAAATAGCTTAGCCATATTGCCGTATTCGCCCGGAAGGCCGAATTTCCAGGATGCGAGGAGGTTATCCAGCTCCTTGTACCGCAGCTGCCATTGCTCGACGTCTCCCAGCGCGCCGATGTCTACGGGCTGCTTCAGAAATTCGTGAATTTTGGATAGTATGCCGAGGATCTCGATGTAGTATGAGAAGGCACCCAGATTTTCCGGTTTGTTTTGTTCGTGCTCCGGGAGATCCGGAGGACGATCTTGAGTGCGAAACCACCTTGTTTCCACCTTTTGATTCTTAATCCATAGGTCATCCCGGCAGGGAAGTGTCCGGTCGATCTCCTTGTCGTTCAGTGCGAAGTCGAAGGCGGTGGCGATTGTAGCGTACCGATCCAGTAGGTATATCATCCAGAATAATCGCCGCCTTGACTCTTCCTCGACGAAATCTTTCGGCTCGGGTAAAACCATTGCTCTCAAGGTATATATCGAAGCATAGCTTGGTGATACGGAGAGCGAGTTACTCTCGACAGCCAGGCCTAGCTGCACGACAGAGCGCGTAATCAAAGCCATGATGTTCCAGCCTGGAGGACCGTTACTGCTACCGCACAAGTCGAGTGCCAAGATGACCAGAGCCTGTAGCGCCTTGACCGACGAATTCTCCATGCCGTAGAGTAGAACCCTCTGTTTCGAGACGTCATGGTAATGCCGCCTTTTTTCTTCTGTGAGTCGGGCATCTGTCGAGTACCTTAGAGTAGCCGCGACAATAGCATGTAATAGTACCTTATCGGTGTCGTCCAGTGTCGATGGTCCGAATAGTGAGTCCAGTGTAGATTTCCTGTGTAGGATAGGGCACCAGGTGTTAATATGTTTGAAGTATAAATCTACCAACGCGTACAGGAGATCGTATGGTGGAAGATCCTGATCCGACGATATCTGCGTCTGACCCTGTGTCACGTTCATGCCGGGAGATCGAACAGGCTGTTGTTGCGACTGTCCGTAATATTCCTGAGCCGTGGGACCCGGCTGAAGGCCAGACCCTAGCTGATTAGGGGGGGAGATGCCAGCCATAGGCATCTGCGATTGGAAGCCATCATGCACAGAGTGGATTGACGGGGTCGGAGGAGGTAAGCCAAAGTCGACATGTTGCGACGTCGTAGGGAACGTGGAAGGCTTTTGCAAAAACAATGCAGTCTCGGCTTGGGGAGTCCTGATAGATTCACCAGGCCGGAACAGGGACGCCGGCTCACGCGGCGTGCCATGATCGCTCGGCAGGCTTGGGTTGCTGTTGCGCACGCTCGGGGCAATATTGTGATGAGCGTGGTTGATGAAGGATGTCTGCAAGATCTCGGAATGAGATCTCAGTATCTCCTCAAGTTTATCGAGCCTCTGCTCCAGCTCCCGGCCGTAGCCAGCTCTCAAACCGGGCTTCTTGCGTTCGCGATATTCGCAAAAGACGGAATTTCGCCTGCACCAACCACATGACGGTTGTCCACGATCGCATTTTACCTTTAAAGGAGTAAGTACATATAACTATAGACTTTCTAAAGTAGGAAATGCCGAGCAATAAGTTTATATGAAAGTGAAGCTGATTGAAACAGACCTTTCTTTGCTTGCAAGTTTCACACCTTTAATTAGCATTTGGATGTTAGCGTGCTTCGTTCGAGGTCAGACGACGAATAAGACGACGAATAAGACGATATAGATGAATAAGACCAATGGATATGCGGTGATGAGCTGATAGGAGAAAAGGGTTGTGTGGCGATGATCTGAATGCGGAGATGAGGAGATGAGGAGATGAGGGATATCAGATGGATCAAAAATCGACAGGCCAAGACCAAGGCAATTGGGAGAATAGAGAATAGATCATACTGAAGCCTGTCGGATAATAATATAAGAACAGTAGCTTGAAATTCATTGGATAAGAAAAAAGAAAAAGAAAAATACAACTCACGAGACGGAAATTGGTCTCTTGCGTTTCCCGTTACGCACAGCGCCGGTACTGTCGTGATCGTCGTCTTGATCATTTTCATCCCCGCTCTGCAAGGCGTTATTACCGTCGTCGCTGTCGGGTTCCTGTTTGCTGTGTAGCGATACGTGGTTCTGCTGCTGCTGGGGTCCGGATACGGCTCCGTTCTGAGATTGAGCAGCTTGCATCATGTCTCGGTATCAATTACAAACTTTGGACCTCTGCGACTCGGGGTTTGTGGGCGACAGCATCGCGAGCTGACTCTCGACTTCGGGGTAATGTTGAGCAGAGGAGAGACGTATGTTAAGTGGAAGGGGGCTGGCCGAGCTAGTTGTGCCTCGGCTGGGGTCTTGAATTCTTTTTTTCTTTTTTTTTTTTGCTTTCTATTTTAGGTCATGGAGAATTGTGGATTATGGGGTGAGAGAAAAAGAGGAAATATGATACGAAAATAATAGTCATGCCAAGATAAATTCTAGAGGCTCGCGGGTGCTAATTACGAATAATCAGAGTACTAAACCCTGAATGGACTCGTTCGTGGGGTATTAAGCTCTGATAGCTTCTGTAGCTTGTAGTACCTAACTAGAAGTAGTCATGTAGACATACATGTAACCTAGTAGACACGATATAACAGGCGGTCTGGTATTAACTGACGGAGGAAAAGAGTGGGTGATAGATCGGTCGATGATGGGTGTCCGAAGAAGACCGGACGACGACAATTACTGATGTGTTTCTAAGACCTAGTGCCTACATGTAGGTTACAAAATACGACCCATCAACTAAGGGCAGTTATAATTAGATACCTACCTATTGGTATAATCAAGCGGTCGAAGATATAAATGCCCGTATACGATAATTTCGTATCACATTTTCCCTAAATTTCCTAGCTTCTCTGCCAACCTCGAGAGGATCTCTACCAGCATTTGCGGGGGAAATCGGTGGACGAGACTGGCTGAGATGTCAAGCCCAGAAGCGTGGAGGGAAAAGTTGGGGAGACCAAGAAGGGAAGGGGTGTTAGGAAGTGGAGGAGTTCAGATGCGGAGACCAATGATATATTCTCGGCCGGGGTATTTCTTGGTTATTTGCAGGGATATTCCCTCCTCCATCACACGTCGGTAAGTCCCTCTGTTCCTCTAAGGCCTGTCGTCGTTTGTAAACTGCGACTCTGAAATCTCATAGGAAATCTCATGAACATTTCATAAATATTTCAAGTGTGATATCGTCTCTGCTTCAAGCTCGAGTCGGCATTTTACCTATTTCCTTTCTTTATACCTAGGTTAGTTAACTAAGCAAGTATAACTAGCAAGTATAACTAGCAAGTATAATTCATACCAACTAATCTGTATACGGCGTGTATTGAACGCGAACGCTCCTATCTCCGAGATCCAAGATACCTTCCTAACGCGCAAGTCCCGACCCAGCAACCATTACATGCAAGTCGGCCATTACTACATTAGGCGGATAACCCTCCGTAGGATTCCGTTCCAATATCGGCAGTATTCACCGGATTTTTAGCACATGTCCAACTGCCGGTATTTCATTTCATGCTTCCCTCACCCTCCTATCTCTAGTGTTTTCCTGCGCCCAGCATCCACTCGAGTACGTATGGGTAAGGATGATATGAGTACAGGCATGAATATAGGTATTCTCGTCGTTCGAATTCGTGCCTTTTCTTTTCTAGGCGCTCGTAGCCACGTTCTTTACGCCCCCCGTAAGATGATCTACGAGGCTAGTTTGTCTTCTCGGTAGGTTCCGCCTCCGCGGTCTGGGCAGGTGTCGAGTCGGGCAGCCCTGTCGCGGTCTGCAATATGCTCGCCGGCGGCGGACTTAATAGATAGTCCGACGGAATCAGCTTCGATCTAGCGGTGGGGTTCAAGGTAAGGCCAAAGCCAGGCTTATCGAGGTCGGCCGCGGTCAGGAAACCTTTGGTCGGAATAGGTTCGTCGAGGAAGAGGTCGCCGAAGACCGGTAAAACACTCTTTCCGTCGGGGGAGTTGGCTAGATACTCTTGGAAGGGAGTATTGGGTTGAGAGATGACGAAGTGGTAGCTATAAGGTCCGCTCGCGTGAGGCACGACAGGAATATCGTAGGCGGCAGCCATAGCAGAGACCTTGAGAAGCTCCGTCATGCCGCCAAGCCACATGACGTCTGGTTGGATGATGTCGAGATTGCGCCCCTCGATCAGCTTGCGGAATCCGTACCTCGAGTACTCGTGTTCTCCCGTCGTGAACTTGAGCGTAGGATGCGCCCTCTTGATCTGCTCGAAGCCGTCGGTATCGTCGGGGGACAAGCATTCCTCCCACCAGTTGATGTTCAAGTCTTCACACTTCTTAGCGATCTCGATTGTGTACGACACATTCAAGCTCATGTAGCAGTCGACCATTATGGGGAAGTCCGGTCCCACGCTCTCGCGATGCTTGCGGAGGAACTCTATGTTCTTCCTCAGACCCTCGTGACCGTCGGCCGGGCAGAACGGAAGCGGAACTTTAGCTCCCCAGAAACCCATCGCCTTCGCGGCAGTCGGCTCTGGTCCCGTACAGTAAAAGTCTATCCGCTCCCGCGCCGCGCCGCCGATGAGCCTATATACCGGTTCGTTCCTCAACTTGCCGAGCAAGTCCCAAAGGGCGAGGTCGATAACAGAGATGATAGCTATCGGTAGTCCTTTGCGGCCGTAAAACATAGAGGCTCGGTACATCTGTTCGAATAGCAGGTTGGTATTTCTAGGGTCGGCACCGATCAGAAACCGCTCGAAGTGTTTGTGAACGATCCAACAAGCTGGCGGGCCTACGTAGAAATTATCCATTAGTATATACCTCTCACTATGACCGATGGGTAATCGTAATAGTTCGTACCGCCAAAGCCCGTCGCGAAGCCTACCGTGCCATCCGTAGCCTCGATCTCGATAAGGAACGATCCGAGGACGTTAATACCCCAGCTCGTACGAGATTTCTTATACTGGTCCCATATGGAACACGGCGTTGAGATATCCGTGTCGATCAGCCTACGGCATTGCTGATATCAGTCTCGCTATCTTAAGGTTCTCTCGTAAGAAATGACAGCTCGGCTACTCACCAATGGCCACCCTTAACGTTGTGATAGTCACCACCTATAGTAAGTTAGCTACCGTCTGACTGGTCATCCCCGCACATCCCCGTCTCAATATATTAGGGTAGCTTGCATACCTGAGCCAACGCCGCCAATCACATAAGACCGGATGGCTTTGATGGTGGGAAATTGTCTCACCGAAGCCATCGTGGGACTCTATCACCTTGGGACAAGTCTTGGGACAAGTCTTGGGACAAGTCTTGGGACAAGTCTTGGGACAAGTCGTTTCGTAGTTTTACTTCCAGCTAACTGCCAATTACACCACTGATCTGTGGTTTGGTACGGGAGCGTCGTAATAGAAAGACGGAGAGGGGGAGAGAGGCAAGGGAGAAGGGAGGAGAAGCTAGAGTAGCAGCAGCATTAGAGAAGCACATCCATAAGCGTCGCGGCTGGAATATTAAATACGTCTAGAGCAAATTATAGTAGCGTCAAGCTCGGCTTCCCGAAGAGCGACCTCCCCTGGGTTTTCGAAGGCGATACCCCAAAGGCCGAGCAGGTCCGTAGGCGGCGGGGTGGCCGGGATAGCCTTGGAAGCGTTCTAGCTCGTTGCCAACCGTCCCCGTTCGTCCCCATTCGATCCTATTCGTCCCAGCTGCTGGTTTTCTACATGGGATAGTATATGGTATATGGGTCTAGCTCGCACTTACACATGCATTACGTTTCATGAGAGGACTTGTCGTCCTAGTCTATATGTATATCGGTCTCCAATCTCCCGACAACAACCAGCGTAGCTCATCTCGAGCTCCTATCAAATAGACATGGTATCAGCACCAAGTCACGAGGGCGATAATATGCTGCAAACCTATACGACCTACATACGTAGACGCATAAAAGGCTGTGTTATAGGTTAGCATTTCATATAAGTGAAGCGTCTCGGATATAAGGTGGTATCCCCCCGCGATGGGTTCATATATTTCCACTAATGCCAAAGTGCGGACGAGCTGGAATAGAACACGAAACACACGAAACACACGAGCTGCGATGTATTACGGGAGCTTACAGGCAATATTAGAAAGAAACAGCCAGCTGCGCTCCTAGCATAAAACGTCATAATAATACTTTCACATGTAAGATACGTAAGAACTAAGGAGATGTGTGCTTTCGATTCCTATTTCTTGGCGAATGCCGAGGCGGGCTACCTGCGTCTTTTTAGGTCTAAGACCCAGACGAAATCTCGCTACGCATTACACCGAGATCGTGGGGTTAAGTGCTGATCGCACGCGGCCGGTGTCTATAGCTCGAGACGCCATGAACTTGGACTAGCCTGGTTATTTTAGTAGTGACTTGGAGATGCGTGATTATGGTAATTCATGCGTAGCTTTAAATTTTATATTTACAAGTTATTAATGATTGATACATATCAAGAAAGAGAAAATAAGATTTGTTCAAGTAGTAAACTTTCAACTTGACGAACTGCTATATTTTCTCTCTTATGACTTATACCTCACTTACAGCTTATTCCCGACTTATATTCGGTACAGTATACAACAACTAAACTAAACTATACCTTTCTTCATCACACGCCAAGGCATGCTATTTACCCCTAGACCCCTATACCCCGCCATCCTTGGAACCCTAAAAGCTCTCCTCATCTGCAGACTGCAGACTGCAGCATATTTCGGATGCTTCCGAGAAAGAAAAGTGCATCGCAGCTCAAAACTTGACCGAGGAAACTTCTTCACCTTCTAATTCGTCCCACCGACACATTCCCTACTTGCAAATACATACGATACGATATACACGAAACACGTACGACAAAATGCCGGCGACAAATCTGCTGAGGGGCAGAACCGCCGTTATAACGGGTGGCACCACGGGTATTGGCCGAGCCATTGCCCTCGAATACCTGCGTCAGGGGTCCAACGTAGTAGTGAACCACCTCGGCCTCGAGCGCGACCAGCCTCATCTCGAATCGCTACTCGCCGAAGCCGAATCTCTCAAGACCTCCAACACCGACCCTAACACGGTAATAGGTTCGCTCGACCATCTCGCCGGCGACGTCTCGGACCCAGCCACGGGACCCGCGCTCGTAGCTCACGCTGTCTCGCGCTTCGGCCGCCTAGACATATGCGTGAGCAACGCGGGAATCTGCCAATTCGCCGAATTCTTGACCTTGACCGGGGATCTGTGGTCGCGGACGGTGCGCACGAATCTCGACGGCGCGTTCTACGTCGTGCAAGCCGCGGCGCGACAGATGGCTTCTCAAGAGCCGTTGCCGTCGTCTTCTTCTCCTTGGAGGAAACCGCAACGCGGGTCCATCATCGGATTAAGCTCCATCTCGGCGTTGGTAGGCGGCGGGCAGCAGGCGCACTACACGCCGACGAAAGCCGGGGTGCTGTCGCTGATGCAGAGCTGCGCGGTGGCGTTGGGTTCGCACGGCATCCGGTGCAATGCGCTGCTCCCGGGCACGATTCGGACGCAGCTCAACGACGAGGATCTAGCTGATGATGCGAAGCGCGCTTATATGGAGGGTCGTATTCCGCTGGGACGCACCGGCGACCCCCGCGATATGGCGGGACCGGCCGTCTTCCTCGCCTCCGACGAGCTGAGCGGTTATGTGACTGGTTCGCAGCTACTGGTCGACGGTGGTTTATTTGTTAATCTACAGTGACGAAATGCCAGTCGACGACTCCGATATACCTTGGGTACACATTCCTCTATCCACCGTCATCGGGAATCCGGCCCCCTGTTCCCATTCTCGCCCTCCATCTTAAACCCAATGATACCGTGCCTATTCGCCTCGCGAGCATGTATCCGACCATTAACAGCATCCAGGCTGACAGTTAGGCGAACACGCACCTGTTCCAAGCACGTACGTGTCTGCGTAAGTGTGCATGTGCGAAGATGCCGAGAAGAGCGGGCGGATAACAAGGCGGTTATGTAGAAACGTCGCAGATCGCGGTGGCAAATGTGACATCTTCGGATAACAAGATCGAAATGTGGGCTGATCCGGGAGTCCAAGTTGATTAAATGTTGATTTGAGGCTCAAAAAGTAGGGTCAGGAGACAATACAAAAGGTCTTCGTGATTATGATTGGTGTTAGATTATGGTTATGTGTCAACATTCATCGAGATGATACTTACCGGCTTATTAGCAAAGCAATAGTCAGAGCTGAAATATCCCAGAGGCTCATCGATGTAACATCAGAAGCGTTCTTCTCTCCAAAGCTGATAACTTGCCGGGTTAAGATGCCGAAGTAGTATATGTAACATGGAAACCGCCTCGTCACGCAAGTCACATCGCACGGTTAAGCCACAATATATAGCAGTAAAGTTGTAAAAATGCTTCATTTAAGAGAACCCTGATTATATCGGTTTTATATCAATAACGCCACCTAATGCACAATATATCCAACAGTGACTTAGACACACACGAGCTCCGTCTGAACCCAATAACGATATCCCTAGCGATACCCGAACGAATGCCCCTTTCTACAGCATGATTCCATGCGCGAAGAGTATATAATGATAAATAGAATAGTAGTAGAACGGAAGACGGTGGTAAATGTAATAAACAATGGTATCATGAGAATTTTCCCTCTGGGAGTAAACCCGGTTCGTGATATTCGTAACATCATACGGTGAGCTCGAGGGACCGTTCCTCAGCAGGGCTGAATACGGCGCAGTCTTGAGCTTCTTCCAAGCTCAGCTTGGGCATGTCGGAAAGACGCGGCTTCTGCATCTTGTTCTTCTTCCTGCGCTCCACCTCGCGCTCGATTCCGTGGTTTACGGCGTCCAGAACCGTATTTACGGTGACGCGGGGCTTGTAGGCCGGTTCGGTGCCATCCTGGTAGACACCAGTCTTGACCAGGATGCTATACCAGTCGTTCTCGGCCTTCTCGTTGTATTGGTTGGTTCCTCGGATGTCGCTCTCGGGAGTATCGCCGACGAAGTAGACGGTCTCCGGGGGCTTGTTTAGGCGATGCTCGTTCATGCGCCATCGCTTTAGTAGGCGTGTGGCGAACTCGAACGTTCCGATCTGAGGCTTTCCGAAGGCGTGGGTCTCCAACGTCTTGCCCTTGGTAACCTCCTTGAAAGTGTATTCGACGATACCCCGCAAGGCGCCCATGCCGAGGCGGACGTTGTCGTGCGCGGCAGACCAGACCACGTCGTTGTGGGAGAAGAAGATCGGTGGGCCCTCATCAAAGGTCTCGGATAGGGTTCCGATGCGGCCACCCTTGGACATGGCCAGGTCTAAGATGATCTGCAGGTCTCCCGCCCAATCACGTGAATCGGCAAAGACGAAGATGGCTTCGATGGTAACCTTGCTGAAGTCACGCTCCTTGGAGTTTTGGTGTTCCTCAGGTGTCAGTTTGCGAAACGGCGTCGTAGCAGCGTCGGCCTTGATGATGTCGCCGGGGGTGACAACGTCCTTAAAGCCGTAGCCTTGAGCGACGGTACGGCACTTCTCGCCTTCGCCGCCTACGACCAGGACTGTGTTGTACTTGTTGGCCATCTCGGACATGGGCGTGTGCCCGCAGATGAACTGAGCCGGGGAGATCTCAATGTCCAGCTGGCTGGAGAGATCGCCGCAGCGCTCGGCCTCGGACTTGCCGCCGCCGTTGGTCAAAAAGATATACGGACTACATCAGTTAGTATAAATCGTTCGAATTTAATATTGGCGTTTCCGGTGCCGGGCTGAAGCAGTACTTACACCTTGATTCCGTATTTGTTATCACCGTTCAGGACTTTCATAGCCTGGACAGCTTCGGGGATGGGACGACCACCTCGGACTAGGACGCCGTCGATGTCGAAGGCGAAGGCGAAGCTGTCGGCAACGAGCTCCTCGTCGATTGGGGGAGAGATAGGAGAGATAGCCACGTCTGATTCCGGGGCTGAAGACGTAGCGCTGGCGGCTGGGCTCAGCGACGGGGCCGTCTCGGAATCGGACGGGCTGGTAGCCGGAGAACCGACAAGAAGCTTGCGGGCAAGATCGGTTCGGGCCGTCTCGATCTCGTCGGCAAAGCTGCCGCGGTGGAAGGTAGGTTGTTGCGGTTCCAAAGACATGGTGAAAGAAGAGAAATTGTAATGATCGAACTCTACACGCGATATAAAAGCAAATAGGTAACTGTGAGCTTAAAAAGGACCAGCCAAGGCGGTTGTTGTTGTTGTTGTTGTTGTTGTTGTTGTTTTGATGAATGTCTTGCAGATTTTACTCTTCAAGACGAAGGATACTCGAGATCCTGTTGAGTAGCTGATGTGTTGATTGAAGAAGAAAAACCAGGCCTCTTCTCGAGAAGCTGGGTAAGGGGATATATATATTTACATAAACGACCCGGCATCGAGAAGAGTGGTTCTATCTGGTATATCTGGTACATCTAGTACATCTAGAGGTAAGAGTAAACGCATACCGTCATTTGATAACATCGACAAAGCACACCGTCAACGACTCCTTGACATCAATGTACAATGATGTGTGATAATGTGGCTACGTACTAGTTTAGATGTATGTACCATGATAAAAGTGTGGATAGGGGCGGGTTTGCTGTGTGGATCCGGCCTTATACTACTTATACTAGCCGGACAGGGTACTACCTTGCAGGGTATAGCTACCTGGGTACCTAGGTAGGTACTTGTATACTACTGACTTATACCACCTACCTCTGACTTATACTACTGACTGATACATGGTAACGGGTGTATACAACATACATATATTGAAGCTAGAATGCGAACGGCTTGGTTATCGCATCGCTAGGTAGGTACGTATATATTAAGCACATATCCAGGGTGAGATTTGAGTCGCCGAGCGCGGAAAACCAATGGAAAATGATGTGCTTGGGTATTTTGGCATATGAACGACAGATATAACCTATTATATTCAAGGTATCGTCTCATTACTTGCCAACGTCAGCCTCGTGTGTCTGGCGTTACCGACCTGTCACATTGAGATATACGATATACTCCATGTCTTGTTTGTTCTTTACGTACCTATGTAGGGAGGCGAAGTACGAGTATACTTGGATGGTTGGTATAGTATATCGTACTTACGACTTACGTATGGTAGAATAAGAATTCGCCAATGAGATGAGAGAACCGGTTACTGACTTTACAAGGATCGAAAATAAGGGTCTTTCTCTGCTCCTTTGTCCTTTCGCTTGGACTGCCGAACCTGGCAAGGCCGGACCCCGTTACGGCTTGGAAGCATCGAGCAACCCGACAAGTCTTCGTGGTGTGCAGAACCAACGACGTTAGCCTCTCCAGGTATGGATGATGTTGCTTCCGAAAAGGGATATGATCTGTGACGTTGGACGCCGCGCTTAGCAAGTGCTATATCTATCCGGCTTCCTGCGCCGGAGGCTGGTTCGCATACTGTACGAAGATGTAATCATGCTTTTGGCGATTCTTAGAATCAATAAACGACTGTACCATCTAGGATGTTACTTTGTAATATTCTCCGACCTCGAGAACCCGTCAGCCCGCCTCGCGGGATGTCATCGGGATAACTACTAGCGACGCGATGCATGTATGTAGCCCCAAATAGTATCAGGCTGGATATATTGGGTTGCATAAGGCCAATCGAGAACCCTACGACTTCTGTATGGGTAGCCCGAGTAGGTAGGCGAGCGGCCAACTTGGTTTAGAGCTTGAGGCACGTGTAAGCCGACTCTTCACTTAGTCACTTATTCACTTCTTCACTCCAAGTTGATAGGACGTGACGGCAGCGGTGTTATTACTCGGGCCGTAATATAGATCCTCCACGCCAGAAGCGAAAGCAGGCGAGTGTCTAGCAATCCCTTTCTTCGACGTTGGGTTGGTCGACGCTCGAGGAATATGGCTGAAGACTACAACGACGTATCAATCCGTCAGAAGCCGCCGTTTTGCGTTGCGTTCTTCCGTTACATAACCCGGGGGAGGCCTTACCCAAGGGCTGCACGATGCAAGGATCTCTGATAGATCGGACCGAGAAGCCAGGCTTCTGGATGCTTGGATGTTGCAATGGTTCTCTAGGCGATCTTATCGTCTTCTGTATCTTCTGCATCTGAGAGCGCGTCTACGAGTATCTCCCCACTGAAATTATATAAATCTGGTACGACACGGCGGTTGAAGAAGGATATAGATATCCACAGTAATTATAGACACTGTCTACGCATGATTGTCTACGCATGATTGTCCAGGTGCAACGTACAAGGTGAATTGATTGGATTGTGATGGTTTGTAATAAAGGCGTGAAGGTGTTGTCAAGCGATTAGAGAAAAGTGGAAGTCGAACAGCCGCAGAAACACTGACGTCAAGCGCAGTTATATAAGTGGGTACTTTAGTGGGACTCTTAAATCTTTTTAATGCAATGTCTGAATGTTTAGGATTATTCCTTGCGCCTGTTCGGCCGTTTCCATTTAACCCCTGATCCCTCTCGGCAGCATTAGCCACCCTTTGGCCGAACACACCCTTTTTCCTCTTTACCCCTCAATCAAAGGACGTAGCAGTATACAACCTGTGCCCCCCAAAATGCCCCCCATTCTGCCATTCCAAGACTTCAGATTCCCCTGGAGATCCATTGGCACAACCCATCAGTCATCCATCAGCCACTGCATTCGATATAGCTTGAATATAGTCGATATACGTACACGGCTCCTCTGGGGCTACGGATGCCCACATAAGGTAAGCGACGGGTCAATCAGCCTGTGAACGGTGTTACGACGGCGGCTATAACGGAAGGGAACATCTCACATTTCCGACTATGTCAACAATCATCCATGCTTAGACCATGTATCTAGGCTGCTAGGCCGGCCTAAATTCGACGGTAACATGTTCATGTTCATACTCATATGTTATGCTTACAGGCATCTCTCTCCTAGATTAGGTGTCTAGGTTAGGTATGTAAGGACCCATTCGTGAGGGAATACATCCATACGCCTGACGTGCTTTCGTATTGTATGGAGTAATCTAGGTTACGTGTTTTTATTCTAGACATACTTTTTGAGATAGGACGAGAGCAGTAGATGATGATATCCAGGGGAAGGTTCTCGTCATCCTCTATCTTGTGTTAGTCTTGACCGTACAAGTCCTAATCAGATACCTCTATTTGATGCATAGCTAACTATTTGATAAGAGTCAAGATACTATGTAGATAGTGAAAGGGCGACCATAAGTAAAAGGCTCTGAATAGGCAGATAGACAAGTTGATCATCATAGCAATATCCACCGATGCTCGTGTCGGTATCCATATTCTACTCCTCCCCCGGACCCGTATTCTAGTGTGGCCCCGACTTCCCCATGTCTCCGGTTCAGGTAGCAGCCGTCGGACTCAGTTTAAACA